GTCGTAGTGGTATCAGCCTCAGTGGTCGTCGTGGTATCAGCCTCAGTGGTCGTAGTGGTACCATCCTCAGTGGTCGTAGTGGTATCAGCCTCAGTTGTTGTTGTCGTATCGGCCTCAGTTGTTGTTGTCGTATCAGCTTCGGTCGTTGTCGTTGTTGGTTCCGCTGTGGTGGTGGTGGTCTCGGCCTCCTGAACAGTAACGATAAAGGTGCCCGAGACGGTTCCTGAAGCTGGAATGGTCGATGTGGTACTGGTCGCTACATTCGCTGCGACCGTAGTTGTCGTCGTGACATAGTTGACAATGATGGGCTGGTTGCAATCCGTGCAGGCTTGGGCGTTGATCATAAGACCTGAGTCGAAAGACCTGTCTCCGTCATCGCAAATAGCAATCACTACCTGATGTGCCCCCGCCGTCGTCTGGATTCCAAATAGCAGGGGTGGTGAAGAATCATCATATGAAGTGTCACTGTTGGGGGGTTGGATGGCGCTCAGATAGCTTGATGTTGCCGTCAGCCGGTCACCATTGGGATCGTTGGCATATTGGGTTCCATCAAGATATACACCAATAGGGTCGGGGTTTTCACTGCAGCATGTTAGCTGCCTCAACGAATAAGTTGTTTCTCAAGTAGTGTGTACTTACAAATCTTCCGAAGAAGCCAAAATGAGCTGGATTAGCAGGCCGTTATATCCGGGTGAGATAACGAGATCGACAGTCAGCAAAGAGCCATCGAAGGTATTAGAACCGCAGTAGGTCGCCGATCCTGCCGCTCCATTGGCGACTTGGGTATTCCCCCCTGGAGCAGCGCCTGATGCAGAGCCGGATGTAAAGATTCCACCGCTCCCAATACCGAATGGACCGTTGGTGAATGTTCCTGAGGCATCTGTGGCACCTTGATACGAAGCCGAGGTGATGACCACGCCAGTGCCAGAGAAGACAGCGTTGGCCAATGCGTTTGCATCGTTGCTCGGCGTAATGTTGATACCGACACAAGGAGAGGCGAGCAGCCAGAGGGCCAAAAGGTTTACCCGCTGCATCATTGTGAACGATGTCACAAGAGATTCCAAAGGGGGCTTGGCATTCGATGGCCAAGTAGTACGGCAGGGGCATATCATAATATATTTCTCGCCCTCTAAAGAATTCCAAACCGCTGGCCCTGTTTACCCCTGAAACTAGGCCATCGGAATTCTGTTTGATTTGTGGCGTTTGAAGTATGATGATCGTACTCACTAGCAAGCACTAGACCATCTCCTTGAGGGCGGGTGTGCTTGGTGGGTCACAGTGACGTGACAGCTAGCCAGTATATTTATTACCTAGTATTTGCTGAGCGATTGGCAACAAGGCTTGTCTTAGAAGCCTACCCTCCCTTGAGGAGATAGTTCAGCTACATTCGATAGTCTTGGTACCTGAGTGGGGCTCCACTGCCTACCTAGTTAGCTCAGTAATTCCAGATGTGTTGTATTGTATGGCCACTATTAGTAAAATTGCTGTCATTGAGAGGAGCCTTATTTTTTTCTCTATTAGACTACTAAAGGTGGCAGCCAAATTGGCTTCTCATCCTATTATCTAGTGTGGTTAGTGCGCTTAAATAAGTCAACTTACGGAAACGATAAGCAAGCGAGACAGATAAGTGGGCGAGATAAAATTCTCAACCTTGCACAACATACCAATTAAAATTAACTGCTAGACTCATTCCCAGAAGCCCCAATACCTTGGCATTAAAGACATGCACATGCCCTTTGAATCATGACTCCAGAACCATCAAGCAGGCCTGAAAGCCCTCCACTCTCAGAATCAGACGACGCACCTCTCCTCTCTCGCAGCCCCTCACCACAATCCCCTCAACCCCCAAAACCACCCGTATCATGGTCCTCCCTCCCAAACAAAGGCCAACTCGCCGTGATCCTCCTCGCGCGTCTCGCGGAACCCCTCAGCGAGCGCTCCCTGGCTTCATATCTCTTCTTTCAGCTCCAATGGTTCAATCCCGATATTGATCCTTCGGAAATTCCGAAGCAGATGGGTTACATCACTGCTACGTTTGCTGCGGCTCAGTGTCTTACGTCTATGTGGTGGGGAAGGGCGGCTGATCATCCGAGGCTAGGGAGGAAGAGGGTTTTGTTAATTGGACTTGGGGGCTCGTCCTTGTCGGCCTTGGGGATGGGATTTTCGAGATCGCTTGGCGTGGCCTTCCTTTTTCGGTTTTGTGCGGGTGCGTTGAATGGTAATATCGGGGTTCTGAGGACCATGGTTTCTGAAATTGTTCCTGAGAAGCGGTGAGCAGAATGTCCTTATTTCGAACGTTCTGTAAGCCGATGCTAATTTCTGCAGGCATAAAACGCGAGCCTTTCTCCTATTGCCGATGTGCTTCAACGTCGGAGTCATCATCGGACCTCTGCTGACAGGTTTCATGGCTGACCCCGTTCACACTCTTCCTAGCATCTTTGGCCCAGGTTCTCTATTTGGCGGAGAGAATGGCGTGCAATGGCTCGAAAGATTCCCCTATGCACTTCCAAACCTCTTCTGCTTCTCGATCTTGATGTCAGCGTTCTTTCTGGTCATTCTTGGCCTCGATGAAACGCATTCGCATCTCCGACATCGACCGGATCCTGGACGCAGACTCGGAAAACTTCTCCTACGAATCATCCTTCGACGGAAGAAGAATGACCATCTTTACAGCTCCATCGATATTGAGGATCCGTCTGAGGAGTTGATGGATCATGACGCCGACCAAGAATTCGGGGAAAGTTCAAGACCAGCTAAGGCATACAGCAAGACTCGTCCTCCGTTTCGAGATGTGCTGACAAAGAACGTCTGTCTCAACATGCTACAGCGCTTTCTACAATCACTTCACGTCTCGGCATTCAACTCCATCTTATTCAGTCTTTTGCCCACTCCTAAAGCAGACTCTACCGATTTCCATCTGCCTTTCCGCTTCACCGGTGGTCTAGGCTTGTCAAGCGAGAGAATGGGCTTAGCCAACACAATCATCGGGACTATCGGCATCCCGCTTCAGCTCTTTATATACCCCAGACTCATCGGCAAACTGGGCGTAAAGGCTTCATACAGTGCTTTTCTTCCATTGAGCATTATTGCATACTTCCTCCTCCCATACCTAGTTCTTCTGCCAGATAATAACGCTCTGGTATGGACTTGCCTATCTGCAGTTCTGAGTCTACAGGTACTGTCTCGAACGTTTGTGAACCCTGCTACTATGATGCTTGTCAATGACTCGGCGCCAAGTCCAAATTTGTTGGGCACGGTGCATGGTTTGGCATCGAGTATCTCGAGTGCTGCTCGGATTATGGGACCTACGGTCGGTGGAACGTTGCTTGGATGGGGTCTTGCTCATAATCTTGTGGGATTGCCTTTATGGGTGTTGACGATTTTGGCATTGGCAAACTGGGTTATTCTGTGGTGGATTGATGATGTGAACATGTCTGAATGAGGTGCATGTACACCAATTGGTGATGAGGTCAGGGGTTGGATTCACTGCCTTGGATGAGAAATGTATCTCGTTTGGCATGAGTTTACGGTTCTGATCATCATTACTATAATTCGGCGATGCAAGTGTATAGAATCTTATATGGAAGTCTAATAAATAGGACCTCCATTCTCATTATTGGTGACTACCTCTGTCCCTAGCCAATGATCATCGTCAGGAAGTTAGCCTTCCCGAAGCTATGGATGAATAGTGACCCTCCAATATGAGCTAGGATCTTGAGTATCCAGAATGAGTTTCATTGATAATCCGGGCGATTCTTCCCTTGTCAAAGACTTCAACTCAAAGCTCTTCTCGAGCCCTCTCTTTGCCAATAATCGCAGTGTATGCTCCCATACCATGGCTCTCAAGCATCCGAATCCTCATCACTATCCTCCTCCACAACAAGATCAATGACCAACGCCGCCTTATCATTCAACTTATCAAGCTGAAACCCCACCGCAAGCGCATCAGTGGCGTCATGTATACAACCCGCAACATCGAGGCCAACATCATGCTCTTTGAGTGCAAGACAAATCACTCTGAAATGCTCATGATGCACATCCTCATCGCCACCTCCGTCAAAGATGAGCACAGCGTTGCGGTGGATGAGACAGAAATCTTCTTGCACACCGGGATATTTCTTGATGGCTGCTAGTTTGGCGGGCGTGCAGGATGAGCTGGCGACGAGGCGGGTGAAGATCCGCGCGTTGAGGAGGGCATTGACGGATGAGGGTGATTTAGGAGTGAAGATTATTACGTTAGGAGGGAGTGCTGGTGTTTCTGAAGGACGGTTCTGTGTCGTCATTTTGAAGTTGTAACCCAGGTGTTAGCGGCAGGGGGTTTGAGACGCAGAAAAAAAGTGAACGAGAGCAAATTTGGGTTAAGACACGATGAGTCATCTAGTTTAGGGTAGGTTGATGCGCAACAGTTGATAGTAAGAGAGCGTCAGTATGCAGCGAAATGAACGGCAACTAGTTTCTCAAGACGAGAGCATATATCTCTGTCCCGAAGATAAATTTGTGATTACTGGCAGTACGTAGGAGAGTCGTTATCAACAGACGCCAATTGGTTGCCTCGACTTCTACCGTCGAGGGAAAGATGGCACTTTTTACGCCAGCCAGTTGCCAGCCAAATCAAGTCAATTACCTGAGCACATGCAATTAAAATTACAATTTCTGTGAATTATATCAGGTCAATTGAGATAGTATTTATCAGACAATAAGTCTGTAGAGTATACACATCCTCATCGAGTCATACTCACGATGCGGCAGTGCTCAGGCTTATCCGATTATCCTTATCGGACCAATTAAAGCAAATTGACGGGAGGCAGCTGAAGCTTATCGGTGCAATGAACCTTGACGAAATTGAGGCGCAAGTCAGAATACGTGAGGCGTAGGGACCAAAAGAACAGCCAGAACGGTCCCGAATATGCAAAGAAAATGCGCCTGAACCGTTATTGCATGAGACTATTGACGCTCAGCGCGGCCCTTGTCCAGATTCTGATCGCTGCAAGGTTCCATTTCGCGGCGCATTGCAAGCGCTTGACTAAGACACGGGGTAGTTAAACGCTAAAATTAGGCGATTTTCATGCATTTCTACGGCGGCTGACTGACTTCTACGAACTGTTAATTATTCTCATCAAATTTAGGATTGAGAACCAGAACTCTAATATCGAAATGACTGTCTTTCAGCGGCAGTTTCTGAACTACTCAATCTTAAATACAGTTCCCTCAGACATCCCGGACAATGGAGAGCCAACAGCCCTATGAGCATGAAGGCGGTGTTGGTTTTACCCCAGACATTCCTGACGACGGTCTGACTGCGCCCCCAACATGACTCACTTCCCCTGTCAAGGCATATTCGGTGCATTCCAGACAGAGTGTAGCAAACAAACTCACCTTCAACTCTCAGCCCTACATACCGTGTGACTCACGCGGTAGCATTTTCATCTTTATATAAGCCGCCTATCTGCCCCCAAGTACTTATCGGATCTTCATCAGTAATCATCATGGAAAAGGTACGCAAGACTTTCTTCGACCCTTTGGCTACGTCAAAGGGTCGGATAGCGGGACTACTACAAAATCTGCCTGTTGGCTCTGCACATCCTTTCAGCCCCGAGGGCATATTATTATGTCGAACGAAGAATGGCATCGAAGAGATTGATATCTCGAATTACAGTCAAGACTACTTTTTCAACTCCGTTGACTTGGGAGAGATGGGGGAGATTTTACTGAGACGGATGAAGGGGTTTAGGGAACATCTTGGTAAGAATACAAAACACTCCCTGAACCTGACTGATGCTGACAATTGATAGCCGTGTTTGATGACTTTCAGATCATGCAAGCTCCAGCGGCTACCTTCAAGATTCCCACAGTATCAGGACAAATCACCATCCTAGCAGTATCAGAACGCACTCCCACGTACTACGATTTCTGCTTCGCAGATCAAGACTGCAACACTTGCTGCTGGACAGAACGAACGACCTTTTCTGGAATCAAGCACAGCGGCGATCTTCTCAACCAGCAGGATCTTCTGGACTATGTGAGGATAGACAATGATACGCTGACAGAAAAGCCTATCTGTGTTTTTATCTCCGGATATACAAAGACGCAGATCACGAGGTTCTTAGGATCGCACCCCGCACTGATGGTTGCGGATCACGTTGACAAGGTAAGTCGCTGTTTGACGTAAATCTCTGTTTATTGTGCTGATGGGAGTAGATATTGTACATCATTCCTGTTCCTTTGGACAAGGCGACTATTGGAGATGCTACCATTTGCTGCCCTTTGGTCATCAAGCGTGACGAGGATTCCATCATTTGCTCTATTCTTCCCAAGGCGACAACGGATAGGAACATGATGTGCGACAGCAAGAAGCTCATCAGCCCTTGCTTCCCTGAAGCCATCAACAGCGCGGACTTCAATGTCTCTGAACCTCTGCCTGCTGTAACTGCGGAGGAGAAGAAGATTGAGAAGATGGATGAAGTGGAAAGTGAAGTACAGGTTTCGGACAAAAGACGTGCGATCTTGACCACCAACTCTTCAAATCTTCCCTCTTTCCTGGCTGCTTCTGACGCACAAGTCATTCGCTTCAGCACTGGTATCGATTTCATATCTTCAGATGCAAACAAGACGGAACAGGACAATTCAGCGGTTGTTCTTCCCTGCATCTTCGGATCTCAACTCCAAGGTCCTATGCTCTTGTCCACCGGAAGTACACCTTCCAACGTTCCCTTCAAGGACGAGAAGGCACTTTGCGCTTACTACGACCAACTGGAGAGTATAGTGGTGGTCGTCGATGAGCGCATGACTGATAACGCGCGAAATTTGGCCTCCGGTCTACGGATGAATACCTTGTTCATCGTGCAGATCAAGACCAAGGAGAAGCATGAGACCGAAGAGGAAGTCTCAGCTGTGCTGAGTTCGGCGAATATCAATGCTGTTACGGCACTTGCGGGACCTCAGTCTTTGATAGTGGCTAACATTGGAGAGAAGTTCTACTTCTATCGTGGTTTGGCGAATCACAAGATCTTGGATACGACCAAGTTAAACTTTGGAGAGGATATAACCGAGATCATCACGTCGAACAGTGTGGAATCTTTGTTGGCGCCAAAGATTCCTAGACTGGTCAATCTCAGTGATGCCAACACTATTTATCTGCCCTACTCAGCCCAAGTTGTTCGTCCCCGGGATTTATCCCAGATCTTCGAGGGTCTCAGCATCGCCGAGATCAACACCATGCACGACGACATCACCGCCGCAGTTCCCCAACTCCAAGCCCTGCTCAGCCAAAAGGATCTCCAACAACTCTCCAAGCAACTCGTCGACACGCTCTCCTCCAAGATCGACAAGAAGATGGCCCCTCTTCGCAGCGAGTACATAGCCTTCGTCACCAGTAACCTCCGCACCGATGATCAAGCCATTCTTAACAAGAAGAGCAAGATGCTCGGTGACATGCGAAAGGTAAACAAGGAGTTGCAGACTGCCCTTGAGCCTGTTATCACTAGCCTTGCGAACATGATTTCTGTTCAGACGACGTCGAAGAGAACGCATGATATGAAGAGACTTGTGAGACAGGCGCAGATCCAGAATAATGTTGAGGCAACCAAGTCGATGACGTTTGAGAGTCTGACGGGATTGTTGGAGAAGCATGCTGAGGAGATGGGAGTTATGTTGTTGAATATTGAGACGGTGCCTTATAAGCAGATGCTGGCGAAGCTGAAGGGCACTACCATTGATGCCAAGTACGTTTACGATACACACCCGCTTGAGACCTCGATTGCTAATATTACTAGGCCCTGCTGTGCTCTTGATGATCGAATTCTTCATCTTGATGGCTTCGACGCCGGTATCATCATGGAACAATCCCAAAGCCAACACGCCGGCCCTCTCGTCAGCCAAGCTGGTCCCAACCATCCCATCCTCGCCCTTCCCTACCTCAGCCAACAGCGCGGTATCGGCTCAATGCTAGCATGGGTATGCTGGGATGAATTCGTCAACCTCAAGAGTCCATACACAATTCGCTGGATGGAGAAGTGCAACGAATCACACATCGCCGCGCTGAGAATCATGATGAGAGATACACTTAGCCAAGCTGTTGCTTCAAGGGAGTATAACTTTGAAGCGGGCAGTCCTGAGATTGGCCATCTGATGAGTTCCTTGCTCATGGCGGCTATGTCGAAGCTTGCTGCGATGAGAACGAGTGCTCCTGTGGTGTTGGATAAGGCTGAGGATACGGTTACGAGGTTGATGAGAGGACTTTTCGGTAATCTCATGACGATCGCTGGATCGGGGGTTAGGCCTTTGAGTATGGTTTGGCAGCTCTTTGGGCTGAATCCCCAGTACGATGTTCCTGTCACAGACGCTGATTGGGTTTGGTACGAGAATGTGGTCGAGCTGTATCCCTACACTGGCTGGCCTTTGAAGACGTTCAACGACAATCTTCTCAAGCTTCTTGACAAGATCATCGTACGGGTCATTACCAAGAACGAGAACGTTGCTGAGATCAAGCAGAGCAAGGCCTATAATATGGTGCACTTCTGCAAGCTTCGAAACATCCAGCTCGAGCACTGCCGTACCATTATCACTGCCTTCGAACGAATGCTCACCACGGATGGTATGGACGTCGCAGCTATCGCGGGACGACTTCAAGACAACATCCCCAGTGAGCTTGAGAAGCAGACTAAGGGCTACACTAGGATGATGCGATATCTCGGGCATCTTGCCAGAGGCGGCGCAAGACGTCCTACAGACGATCTTGTTTACGGCAACGTGTACACCAAGCGCTCAGCTGCGTTCAGGGAACTAAAGATCACGGTCGCTTTAGCATGCCAAGACAAGAATTGGGATGTCGCAAAGCAGAATTGCCAGGCTGTTCTTGACTTGCATAAGGAGATTGCTGCCAGGTGGCAGATTCAGCCTGAGCAGCTCAAGGTGCAGAACATCCACTACTACCGCGAACTCATCGATGCAGACGTTTCAGACGATGCTGAACAAGAGGTCAAGAACCGCACGAGGAAGATCGTCGGACGAATCATGGATGATGCAGAGAAGAAGCGTATTCCCTGGCAAGTTGGCAATGATGCAGCCAAGAATAACGTCGAACCCCTCGACGAACAGTTCCTCGAGCAAGTCCTCACCGGAATACGCCCTGAAACTGAGACCAAGGCTGTAGTCGAAGTTGCCAAGGAAGAACCTGTTGATGAAGGGTTTGCAGCGTACAAGAGTTCTTTGGCGCCCAAGTTTGTTTCTACGATGGAGAAGGCTCTTTCGGCAGAGGATGTCTGCGCGATAACTAAGATTCCTGAGTCTTCGATGAGGGTGTTCATTAAGGCGCTTAACCCTGAGTTTGAGTGGGATGATTTGGCGCAGCAGTTCAAGGTTGTGATATTGAGTTTGTTGCGGGAACGTTCGGGGAGAATTGAAAGCAGACCTGCTGCCAGGATGTTGAGATTACGATGAGCTTCACGGGCAATGGATAGGTAATGATGGGGTTGAGACTTGATCTCGTTTTATTGGTCTTTGGTTTTACAAGTAAAATCAGGCTTTCTTTGTTATAGCTCGCTCTAATGAAATGATGTCTTCTAAAGTTTCTCTGCTCGGGAGTTCCTAATGGTCTTGTCTACTATGTTCATCGCTCGGAGACATTCTTCGTCTCTAAATCGTGGTGCAATGATTTGAATTGCGGTTGGTGCTCCGTCTGTAGCCTCTGGAATGTCTGATATCGATTAGCTACATTGTAATAGTGTTTGATCGGAGAACTTACAATCAGGATCGAACGGGGCCTTGGCCTTAACGTGTTCGGAGTCTTCAAACTTGGATGAGTTACCGAAGGGAATAATACCAGCAGGGAACTAATATCTTGTCAGCAGGTCCCAGTTTCTAATATACAATGATGACAACTTACATCCAAGACATTCCACATAAGAGTGTAAATGGGAACACCATATGTATCATGAGGAATAGCCGTGGTAGCAGCTCCAGGAGCAAGAATAACATCAAGCTTGTTATCCCGATACGTCTCCTGCCAAGCCTTAAGGTACTCAAAGCGAGCCTCATTCAGCCGAGATATCTTCGCAGAAATCTCCAGATCCGGAGGAACAGGGAAGTTTCCGTTGGCAAAGGGATGAACAGCGATGGCCACAGAGTTAACAAGTGGCTCGCCGATCTCACGGGATACGGTATCAAGATCAGGGCCCATAATGCTAAATAATTGGAATCCGATCCTTGCTCCAAGACCGGCGTTACGCTTGGGATCTTGGGAAAGATGAACGAGCTTATGGCCTGCTTTCTCGAGTGTAGAGGCAGCCTTTGCCAAAGCGCGTCGAACTGGTGGGTGAAGAGGATACTCAGGGTCTTCAGCCATGACACCAATGGTAAGCTTCTTATCCTCGTCGCCAAGCTCTCTCCAAGGAACATCAACAACAGTGGGGTCATAATTCCAAGGCCGTTGAGCAAGGGTGATCTTCATGAACAACTCAAGATCTTCGATGGAATTGGCCATGGGTCCACCGACTGGTGCAACACCAGGGAGATGATCCTTAGGGAAAGGATATTCTGATTGGCCCCCGAAGGGAACGCGTTCAGAAGTGGGTTTAAAACCGTAGATACCGCAGCATAAGGAGGGAATGCGGATGGAGCCGGCGATGTCGCTGCCGACGCCGAGAGGAGATCCCCTGAAGGCGACTAGAGCGCCTTCGCCACCAGTTGAACCACCTGCTGTGAGGCTGGTGTTGTGAGGGTTGAGGGTTCTTCCGAAGATGTTGTTCTCCGAATCTGCTGTCTAGACACTGTCAGAGAGCACAGCCAGTGTAGTATGTGGTATATAGCTTACCATCATTGTCTGGGGCAGGTTTGTCTTGCAGTACAAAACAGCTCCAGCGTCGAGCAACAAGTCAACAAGCGCAGAGTTGTGGTCAGGAATTGGTTGACGAAGAAACTCAACGTATCCGACGGTGGCATGGTGGCCTTTTACACGATATGAGTCCTGTTCTGTCAGTAGAGTTTCTGACGTTGGAGTTGCTGGTGTATACCTTGAGACTAATAGGCAACCCGTGGAGTGGACCAGCCAGCTTTCCAGTTGTCTTTAGTTGCTCATCAAGCTCTTTAGCTCTCTGGATACCCTCCTTGAACATAATCTCCGTCAAACACGATGTCTTCTTCTGTCAGTACTAGTTCCAACGGATGTCTTGGACGTACATACCAATTGTTGAGCGAGACTTGCACGCTTGGAAAACGCCACGGTAACTTCCTCTGAGGTGAGTTCCTGAGAATGTATCTTGCTCAACAACTCAGCAGCAGTATACCGCTCCGTGATAACAATCTCCTTCTCCGTAAGAAGTCCAGACCTATGAACGGCCTTTGACTCAATAAGCTTACTACCATTACCATCTCCAGTATTCTTCAGTCCCTGGAGTTGTTTCTCTGGGAGGAGCCATTCTGTCGGTACAGCATCACGCTGCTTCTCGCGGTGCTGGGCAGCAATGGTCTTCCAGTTGGTAGTAGTAGCAGGCATGGTGAATGATGTGAGGATGATGAGATTTTGCTGGACAGAGTGTTTTTGGTCTTCGCATTGTTTTATTAATGAGGAAAGACCAGGCGACGGAATTCCGGAGGTCTAGATCCTCTAATCTCCCCCACAATGCGGATAGACTACCCCATACTGCAAGCCGAGATAGCGTCGCCGCGAGATTTGGACGGGGTTGTTTTAGCTCCGCGGCGCATGTAATACCTCAATTTGGCAGTTGGAGCCGCCAACGTGTCGGCAAATGCATGCGGCATGGAAACGGGGTCTGATCTGCATTGTCATCTGCAGTATCATCGGTATCATTTCCGTAGCAGTCACCGTATCAATCAGCGTATCAAACAAAAATTGATTCGTAAAGATAAAAGATGCCATGGTCTTCCAAATCAAGTATACTAGGTTTCCACAAGATCAGATCTGAGATCTAACACTCCCTGCCCCTGGTCCATCTCCTTCGGAATGTCTTCACACGTTCCATCCCCCGGAAATGACTTCTCGCCTTCCGACACGGGCATTCCTGCAATGCGCATGCCGCATCTAGAGCTCATCTACCGCATCTAGAGCTCATCTACCGCATCGTTGCCGAGATGGACAAAGAGGGGGTTACCGAGATTGCAGGCATCGACGGCACCTCCAAGAGCAGAGTTGTCCTCCCCATCCAAGGAGGCCAAGTCAATGGCCCTCAGATAAAGGGAATCATCGTTGACAAGAGTGGTGCCGACTGGGCCGAAGTCATTAACCCCAATAAGGTGAATACTATGTATAAAAGAAAAGCTTATCGTTGATTAGCTAGCTAACAGGGGTATAGTCTCTTGTTCGGTTAAATGCCATGTACACGCTGCGGACTCATGATAACGTACATATCCTTGTTAAAGCACAGGGCATCTATCGTACTGGACCTGGAGTGGAGGAGCAGGTGGGAGAGCGGGATACCGTTACGCAAGATGAGATGGAGTATTTTACGCATATTAAGTTTGAGGCCCCTGGTGATAGTTCCTACGGCTGGTTGAACAGCGTTGTTGCTATTGGGGTCATGATCATGTCGGAGGGGAGACCAGTTATTGACTGTTATCGGTTGACTAATTTTCCTGGAAAGAGAGCTGCAAACTTGTAGATGGATAGATAGTTGATATAATAACATAAAGTTCCACATCGTATCTCTGAGCTGCAGGTTCCATGTGGGGCTGAATGACCCGGGAATAACTACTTTTCACACATGATGTGACTCAACGACGTAATGATCTCCCTGGGTTGGGTGAGGCTGAGTCTAAAACGCCGCCGAGTTTCTAAAGGTGTGACATGCCCTAGCCAAGTACGATACGGCCAATAGGACGGTGGCTATTTGACCACGGAAAACTGTAATTCAAGTCCGTTCACTTCAAATGAAACTTGACAGAAACCTGAGTTTTGAGATGAAAGAGAGTATGAGTAAATTGATGATACCTAAACTAACAGCGCCATAACCCGACGAGTCCCAACATCGTCCAGACATTCCTATCCCAAAGTCATCAATCCATCGTAAAGTCCTGTCAAATACGCGACCGCATCTCGACGAGCTTCCAATAGCGAGGTGCCAAAGTAGTGCGAATCTTCTTGCCGTAGATAATCATGGGCACAAACAGGGAGCCAATGGCGAATGCAATGCAGCCACTGATGATGAACATGTTGGTAAGACCCATGGATGTCATCCAAGGAACAATGGCAAAGGTGACACCAACGGATACGGCGTTTCGCAAGAAAGCAATACCGATGAAGGCTTCAGCGACGAGCTCACGATAAGTATCAATGATGAGAGTGAAGGTGATATCACCATTGGCACCGAGTCCAAAAGCAAAGAATGCTCCGCCGAGGGAGGGGTAGATCCAGTGCATGCCCTAGAAAATGTTAGTGAAAGCTAACAAGAAGAACGAGGTCGACTTACTCGAGCAGCTGTGGCGCCAAACATGATGATTCCACCGGCCATGAAAAAGGTAGGAATGACAAGAGGATACAATCGCATCTCAGGCTCGTAGACACCGCCATTGCGTCGCGCAAGTCGAACAACAGTCCAGTCTGCGAGAGGTCCTCCATAGATACTTCCAAAGATGTTGCCAACAAACGGACCGAGAGCCATGTATCCAATACCAGCGGTGGTAAAGCTATAGGGAGGAGCTGAGAAGACAATGGAGATGATCTGCATGAAGATAACAAGCCAGCAGACTCCAGATGCAAACTGCAGAGCCGTAAACATGACGTGGGGAAGCGTGATGACGTGGAAAGGCATCATGAACAAGCGAGGAAGGGATTCGCTTGTCGTGGTGGTCAAACGCATACACTGACGGTATGAGTTCATGGGGATGGTAGGGTCAGTATGAGTACCGACGGTGACAAGATCACTGCCGACCTTGTTCTTGGAGTCAATGTCCTTCTCGGTGGGGTTCTGCTCGGAACATGCGTCATCGTTATCTGCCTCGCCGACCGAGACGGGAATGTACTTTGTCTCCTCGAATGCAAAGATGAAGACAACGAAGAGAATGGTGAGGCAGATGGACAGGGTGTAGTAAGACCAGCGCCAGCCTTGGTTGGCAGCTTGTGTACCAGCGGCCATGGGGGCTAGAAAAGAACCAACCATGACGGCAGTGAAGTAGACAGCATTAGCAGATCCACGATGGTGAACAAAGAAGAGATCAGAGATCTATACCTATCAGCAAACGGCCTGGATATTGAGGGCATGGACTTACAGTCATCTGAACAGCAGTCTCGTTGATAGCACCACCAAGACCAGTAATAACCATGGTGACAATCAACTCAGGATAGCTCTGCATTCTCGAAGTCCACCACGAGACACCAGCAAGAACAGCAGTAGAGACGATGTACGCAGAGCGACGTCCATACTTGATAGCGAGCGGAATGAAGAACAAGCAACCCATGGCTAGACCAGCTAGCTGGGCGGATTGGGCATTGGTCAACTGCTGAATGCTAACGCCCATGTCGACAGTCATCTGCTGCCAAAAGACAGTCTGGATAGAGACATTGGTGAAAGCAGCGACCGTGACGGCGATCGACAGCCCAAAGTTGAAGAGCTTTCGCCATGTAGGCCAATTCTAAACGCGTTAATACAAAGTCTAAGGGATAGTGTTGGAAAATGCTCACAAGAGGTTCATTGGGATCCTTGGAGGGCGTTGGCTGAAGAACGAAGCGCGACGCGTCGGTAGCTGACTCTGCTGCGAATTGATCAGTGAAATTGTCGGTGATGATGAGAAGTCATGGTGTTCTACCCAAGATCAGGCGGGCCTCTCCCGGGATGGGGACGCGATCGGTGGAGGTCATGATGGGACTTGGCTCGCTTGGAGAATTGAAAATGGGGAAGAAAGTGGAGGTTTTTGATGCTGGACTGAATCGTATGATGTGAGGAGAGAGAGGCAGCACAGGACTATATATCCTTCGATCTCAGCCCAGTCTGTGATATCAAGAGTAGTGTACAGCCACCAACATGCAATGCACTGAGTCTTGTTCTGCACGAGACAAACTTGATACGATGGCCGTCGGCCGTTTCTCTCAACTCAACATCGGCAGTGCGTCAATAATGAGTACGGGGTATAGGGGCTCAGGGTCTGTGTACCGCGATTAGCTTCATCTCCCGCTATCTACCTCTGACAATCCCTGTCCATGCGACTTATCTGCAAATCACGAGCAAAGGCTATCTCCCCGCATTCTCACGTTCCCACATACACAAAAAAAGACTTATGTGGCGATAACAAATGTTCCCATTGACGATCTAAACTGCTTTAGGGAGATACACGCGCGGCGCCTCTTTCACCCCTTTTCGTCTATAAACTTCCATCCCCAGCCCCGCAAAGTCAGAATATCGCCTCCTTTCGTACACCCACCACTCCATCCACAATCCCTGAGCAAGATCTAAGCCCAGCGATAGAGAGACACACTATGGCCCGATCTCGCGGAGGCTGCCTGAACTGTAAAGCCCGCAAGCGAAAATGCGACCAGGCTCGCCCGGAGTGCCACGCTTGCTCCCAAAGGGGCATGAGGTGCCAGGGTTACTCGACTCCTCTCCGCTGGGTCAATGGCGTCGCTTCTAGAGGCAGATTTGCCGGCGCATCTGTGCCCGACGCGTCATTGGTCGCGACTCAAGGGCCTGAGAGCAATCAGGATCTACTTTCGATGAGTTCCGAGACTTCCTCTGCTCCTAACCATGATACGTCAAGCACCGCGTCGGGCTCAATCTCGTCGTCTGCCTTCTCACCCCAGGCCATCGGCGTGCCTTCAGCAGACGCTCAAGACCCGAGATTTCAGAGATGTAGGGTTGTCATTCATTTTTACTACTCCTCATTTTGATACCCGAGGTAGTTGCGTGCTAATGTTTCGCTAGTTATGAACAATGGCCTCAATCGGTTGTACTCTACGGAAGCGAGCTCGTGGATCAAACCCTTCTTTGAGCAGATGGCTTATCAGAGCCCGGCGCTGGTCATGATTGCCGGTGCGATACAGCTCTATATGGATGATGGAAATCGGGGCATGTCTGTCAAGTCAATGGAATACACCGACTTGGCGTTGCAGACATTCCGACAAGAACTTTCCGCTCGGTATGAGCGAATGCACCTCGCGACAATATGCGCTGGGTTGCTAGTCTGTTCGCTATGTGTACGTGTTCCCCTCACTGCTTATTCCCGGAGTCGGAGCCTCGGAAATTAACACGGTGCGTGCAGCTGCTGCAGACCCAACCATGGACAATGTACCTCGAACTCATTGTCGACGTCTACGATCTCAGAACCAAACTCAGCACCGTTGGTCAAATCTCTAATGATCTCCATACCCAACATCTTCTCGAAGTTCTTGGTGTAATGGATCTTCCATCCAGCGTCATCGGTCGGGTAAATCCTTCCATCGGCGTCTGGAAACTTTTCCGTCGTCTTCAAGATGATCGCGACGAAGGCCGAGCGACCGGTATAGAAGTCGTATCAGGCATTCCCCGCTCTCTCCTCGATATCTTTGCTAGCATCATGGACAATGATCCAGAGTACACCGAGACTCGCTTCTGGGACTGGCCGGGACAGGTAGGTGAGTCACTGCAGTGCCACTACTGGGAATGCTGGCGCTTGGCAGGCATACTGGAAGTTCGTCGTCGACGGAGAATGGAACGAAAAGCACGAGGGCTCCCGGGCCGAGAGGACGACATGCCGAGGAAAGGTCCAGATACAGAGGTCGTTCTATGCCGTCTCATCTCGTCCATAGATGCCCTGCAGAAGGCCTTCGAAGAACCTCGCAACCAACACCTACTTGTCCATAACGGGCTTCCGTATGCAGTGGTCAACGCTGGTCTGGAGGTCCCGCTCCTCAAACAACATCCAACCTGGAAAGCAACGCTCGACGATGTCAGGAAGTCATTACTTGGCACTGATTCCTTTGATCTGATCAACACCATATTTGAAATGCTTGATGAGGCTTGGGCAGATGGGACAAATAGTTTTGACATTGAGAGTGCAGCACGCTCTAGGAACTTTGAACTTGCTATTTTTTAACGGCGTCTGGGAATCATTGGCGCATGGTAAACTCATGACTCTCTTCTGTACTATGGACTACTATTTATCGCTTGAAATAAACGAAGCAACTCGCTGGATAAGAGACTTTGTATACTCCGTACTAGGCGCCGAGTAATCAACTGCGTAGAAAGACACAGACGCCTTGCCATTCTCAACAACATACGTCTCGCCAGGAAGAGAGCAATCACCATTGATGCAAGCATTCACACCAGCAGCGTAAGGCTTGATGTTGGCCCAAGTAAACGTTCCCTTCTCTTTGTCGAGGACAGCTTCGTTGACGTGAGCGTTTCCAGTGAATCTTGTCTGGACGAAATCTGGATTTTGGTTTTTCTTTGTCAAGACGGGAAGATTGACGCTTACGCCGTAACCGAGGGGGAGAAGAGGACCGTTCTTGGGGGATGTGGCGATGAAGTTCTCGACGAATTTGACGGAGGCTTGAGCGGCCCAAGTAGCAGGGTTGGTTCGGTTCTTGACTTCAAAGTAGGGGACTTCTTGGTTGCTTGCGGATATGGCAATGGCTGGAATTCCACGGTTGGTAGCGGCATATCTGTACGTCGTCAGTTCAGACATATTGTCGCTGGGATGGATGATACTCACGCGGCTCCAGCAGTACCGGACAAAGTCCACACAAAACCGCCCAAGTTGGTTCCGTAGTTAGGGCCAGTAACAACGAGGTCAGGAACGCTAAAGTTGGCGAACTTGGGGAGGACATAGTCCAGAGCGACAAAGGTGCAGGCAGCGGGTGTGCCGTTGTAGTACCAGATCTGGCTGTCCTTTGGATCGTGTCCGACCTGTGTCATGTCAGAGGTCAATTCCAAGGGGGATGCTTGAAAGAACGTACTGAAGGCGCACCCTTGGGAATCAAGTCATACTGCGATGGGGCAGTCAAGTTTCCTTCAGTGGTGAAGTCGGAGGTACCGCCTTTGCCGCTCTGCTTGGTCGCAGGGGCAACGAGCCAGACTACGCAGACGTCAGAGATGTTCTTAGTATGATGATGAGGCTGGCCTACCATTATGACCCTTCTCCTTGAAAATGCGGTACATCTCGCGCAAGTTCCCAGAACCAAATCCATCGTCATTGTTCAACAGAATGTTCAAGGCATTGGCACCCGAAGAGAGCAGAGCTGCTCCGGTGATGAAAGAAGACAAACGCATTGTCACGAAGGTCCAGGGTATGCTGATGGTGTCGGAGTAACGCCTCAGTGTCAAAACGAGAGAAGAGGTGCCCCAAAACAATCAATTGAGCGATCTCGACGATCTTTTATCTAGACAAACTCGACGGAGAGCGGCCATATCCGTTATCGCATTGCCAAGCCTTCAAAAGTTCCCTTGTCTATCATTATAGTATCTATCGCTCGCGTGCTCTCCTTCCAAAAGTGGACAAGGTGAGGAGACGATGAACCTGGGTGCAGATATTGCACTATCAGTTCTCCTGGTGTTTTGTATGGCGTTGAGATAATCAGCTAGTAGACCTTATCAAGCCCTGGTTATCGCACGCGGGGTTGAGAACCAACCATGTGATAGACAAGGCTGCTTGGATATTACGGTGACAAAAGATCCTGGTTTTTGAGTAGGGGAATAATAATTGTCCGTTAAAGTTTGATATGCTTATTCGCTAGGCTGATTGTGCTACAGAAGACTAAAGATCATGGCGCCAACACCAAGGAAGACAGCAGCCCCCAACCCTCCAACTCGCGACGCCGTGTTCTCGTCCTCTTGCTCAGCCCCTTCTAGCTTCAATTCGGGTTTTCGACTACCCCGAACAACCTTATTCGGAGCAATACATACCATCTTGCTGTCACTAACACCACGGGTCGATACCATCATGAACATTGGAATGGTCTGCTGGACTCTGATATCATACACATCATAATCATCGTAGTCGATATCACCGTCTTCCCCGAGAGATATATAAGTGCCATACGTCCTGTGGTTATCGGGAATGTCGAGATATGGCATCTTGTCGAGCGAACAGCGCGCCGTGGAGAAATTGCGCGGCGGAACTGAGCGGAAGTAAACAGTTAGCTGTAAAGGTAATCAGACATCAGAGGAGGTTCCAAATTACATAGCATTGCGGAATAAAGGTGCAGCTTGCATTTGTCGCTGAGATCAAAATCCTGGTAACTCGGACAATTTTTACCAGTACCTAGCGGAAGAGTCAAGTTCTCAAATTCTTCGATACATTCGTCGCTCATAACCCCTTTGCACGATTCATCCGCATCGTCTGGGTCTTCAGAGGTGTTGTTGAGTCCTTTAAGCATGTATGGGCAAACTTCGACGGTCTTGCCGTCGAGAGATCCAACAAGTTGTCGGGGAACACTTATAAATGCCTTGAGCCACTGCATGGAGTGGCCGTTGATGAATGTGCGGTTTTGGTCGCGCTCGTCGGTCACAGCAGTGCTTATGTACCATGAATCTCTTTGGCCCTTGAATTTGACGGGCAGCGTGCCTGATGCGTTGAAGGTCACGCCTTTGTCGACGTCTGTAATTTCGGTAGGGCAATCTCCCGGTAGTGAGGAATTCCGGGCGAGGCATGTTCCCAAAAGGTATAACCATACAAGGGCGAACATTCTGAAGATTTTGTACAGCTAACTAGCAATGCCAGACTGATGATTAAACTGGACTCATGTGCCGTCTCGTCATGAAATCGCATGATATATATTTTGCATATTTTGGCCCCCAACTACATGACTTCATCGCGATCCCCGGAGTTTACCTGTTCAGGAATCCTTCACCATGCAAATCTCTTATTCAGCGCGCGTTGTCAAAGCGCCAAGGCGGCGCAAGCTGAGCCAAGACATGCTAATCGGTGATCATCGCTTAAAATCTCTGGTATTTTAGAAGATTCGACATGATGGTTGGGAGAATGGTGTATTGCTACATATCAGGTTTGACGAATGGCATTTTATTCGCTACGCATGAGGAAAATAATTTGGGGGCTATCTATGCCTTGGATCTGTGATGTTGCTGAACTGATACTTATTTTTGAGCTTTGATATGTTGGTCGGTTAAAAGCTCTGTGGTAGGTTGAACAGGTCGAAGTTGGTATATCGGCCTTCCTGCAAGAGCTCATTCGTCCTTGTTGTGAAATCTTCTGACTCGATGTCCAGTGTTTGTGGTATGATGGGTAAATTCCTCTTCATTAGTCCGAGAGAATGTTCCAGCAAGAACCTTACCATCCATCCATCCAACTTGTGACTTTCCGTCGACAACAGGCATATCTTTTGGAAAGTCATCAATCTGTTTATCTAGTACATGTCAGCGGCATATATGAACCCTCGGAACTTGGGTCTCACCATTGCTTCTGTTGCTGGCCAGTACTGTCGAAGTTCAATCAACGCTTCGAAATTCGTGTTCAATTCTTGTCGCGCTTTCGGGATATCCTCCGGCTCGCCAAACAAAAGCGTGTGTAGAAGAACAGCAGATGCTACGGTAGTCATGTGTCCAACAGTCGGGTAGTTCTGCTGACATCCACTCATCTGTCGGGAAATGTGTAATAAACTGCTGAAAGACGAAGCGTGAGATTTACACAGCGCTATGTGACCTTCTTGTCCCATGTATGATGGCTCTTTGATCTCGAGAGAGTTGAAGTATACCAGTGCGGAGAGGTGGTGGAATACCAGATGAAGAGCGATGAAATGTCCTCCTAGATCGTTCTGCTGGTGGCTGTAGATATTTTGTATTGTCATCTGCATATTCTCTGGCAGGTCGGTCCTCCATGATTCGAGCTTCTGGCCTATGCGTTTGATGGCATCACATTTGACCTTCGGTACCATGTCTCCCTTGGCCATAGCGCGGTTCACGCCTTGAATATGACCAAAGTGCTGGATTAAGGTCACCATATGGGCAAAGACACCAGGAGTTCGACTGGAATTTTGGTTTGAGGATGAAGGTCGGAGGCATTTGAAGGACGTTTCGTCGATAGGCAGAGGAGATGAATCAGGGCAGTGAGGGTTATCCAAATGTCGGGGTATGCCAAGACCAGAAGAGCACCAACGATCGAGTATGTAAAGAGACCACCAAGTTCTAAGAGCTGTCTCACTCACGATACTTGGGTCATCCGCCGAAAAGTTAAGCTGAAGAACCTCAGCCATACCAATTGCAATTCCTGTAACGCATTAGCAAGGCTCACCACTTATACAACTATGTTCACAACGCAAATGAACTTACGAAGGAATAGTATCTCTGAAGAAGTCTGGCAGTTCCCAGCACTAAGAAGTGATAAAAGAATACACGTCTGCACATTCTCAATGCACACATTCTCCAGATCTGCTTGCACCAGTCTCTTCGCCTCCTTCATCAACGGATCCTCCATGGCGCGGTGCTCAGACTTTGGGGAGAACTTTGAGCCAAGAGCACATATAGAATAGAGCAATGCATCTCCAATTTCTTTGTCGCGAACTTGTCTTCGAAGTGTTTCTTGGTGAAAGATACTATGGGACAGGCCGTCAAGATGCGTCAGATAAGACTCCGCAAACTCGATAGCCAACTCAGCGGTCAACTCTGGGAGTGATTCGTGGGTTTCTTTGGAGGCAGATATAGTTTGTAAGCTGACGTGCAAGGAGCAGGCTAGATTCTTGCGCTGACAGGTGTTGCATGGCGAATCGGTGGTCCGCTTTACACACCGCCTCTTGGCCTCTCTACATTGAAGACAAGATGTTGCTTTCATCGCTGAATTGGATTAATAATGTCTCTTCGTGGGATCAAATGGCTGAGACTGGTTGTTGAGCGGATGATGGCGATTGTTAATAAAGAACCAATCGCCGCTTTGGTTGCCCGAAAGTCGCCGAGCAGGCTGCGGCCCCACTTGCGGAGTGCTAAAGCTGTGATTCGTCGGGGCAAATGGGAGTCGGAGACGCTTGAGCTGGGATTCTGAGTGTTGCTAGGGCTGAAGTATCTTGTGGTCAAGATTGAGAGTGTAGGTACTTGTCATCCAACGTGAGCGACAAGAGTTCACATCGCTACATGTATGCTTGCAAGACCACTGCGTTTGCAAAATGATGCCAGATTAGATATGATCTCGAATATTTAAAGTCTCTGTCTTCTCTCATGAAACTCATACCACACTCTATTCAAAGCCAGTCACTTCAATCGCCTCAATCAATCATTGCTCAAATACCATACCACCTTATCCTCTTCATCATGTCAAACCTCCTTGATCCAATCACCATAGGCGGCAAGCTCCCTCTGAGAAACCGTATCGTCATGGGTTCAATGACTCGCAACCGCTGCATCGATGATAACAAACCCGGCCCAGCCCAAATCAAGCACTACGCTGATAGAGCCAAGTACGGCACTGGTCTCATCGTCACTGAAGGCACTTTCGTAGTTCTAGCAACATGCCTCACATCCTCTTTCGTAACAGTCAACTTGACAAGGACATGTCCAATCTGCTTTACAGAGTTAAACTATGTCTTTACTCATGTCCTTGGTTTTATTAATAGCCAGTAATTAATTCAAATTATATTACATTAATTATAACTCATACAGAATCACCAGGTAAATTTCTCAGACATCCTTACCAGCAGGTCCAACTCTATTATAACCTCAGCAGTATTAAATTATAAACATAATACTGTTCCCAAGACACAGATATTCTTTCCAGTTCTACTGGGAGCAATCTTCATAAGGTCATTCATTTCAATGCCAGTATTAAACTCCAAGTGACAACTATTCTATTAGAGTAAATCCTGGTGATTTAATCTTGGTGTTTGCGGTAACATAACAGAGAACAATCAGGTAGATCGTTCATGACATACAATAGCATATGATCGACAGACAGACAGCAAGCAGTATACCACTCAGTAAACGTCTTGGGACAAGTAGCTGAATTTACTTTGGCCATAAATTGAAGAGTGGTGATTAATTTTTAATTGAGACACTCAGATGTGAAAGAAAATTGAGTCACTGTATCTGTCTTAGATAATTCAAGTTGTTGCGCCTCTCTTCCCAGATAGTGCTGGTTATTTCGCCTCTCTATAATCAAGAGTTTAAGAGAGCAAACCAGAAGAGTGTCAGAACGACAAGGAGATAGAGATCTTAATAATGGTAAATGTTTTATGGCAATGGGTGTTCAGAGACTCATTTTAATGTGGGTCTTTAGGGTCACGTATGACGACACTTCTGGATGCATGCAGCTGCAACACTGGCTCATCTCCAGAATAAAATATTGCGATTAATAGTTACATTTAATTGAGATATGCATAACAAGCGGTCTGCGCCATATCTCAGTTAAGTTCTGTACTCTGAGGTTCTACTCACATTCTGAACACTGTAAATAAAACAAGTCCATCACTCCATTAATTGAGATAGGGTTCAACTGTCGCGTCAGCTCTTTGCCATGTTTCGTACTCCAGTGAATTCTACCCGCAATATGAACATCATACTCGAAGCAATTCCGCCACCCTGATAATTGAGATCCATGTGGGAAACGGTCGTGTCAGCTCCTCGCGAAGTCTTGTACTCTAGTGAATTCTACTTATGACATGAATACCATAAATAAATACAACATTCCGCATCGCTCTATCAAGTAGATGAGAATAGGAGTCACTAGATATCTATTGAATAACTTCTCAAGTACTAGAGACATTAAGTCTTGCTGCTATTGACAAACTGTGTCCAATATTGAGTAGCAATTAAGACAGCTTGTTGTTGACTGTCCTTATCTATACTTAAAGACAAGTGATTCTAAGAACCCTTGCTGTCAATATGCTGTCCTTGAAATCAATCTTATCCATATCGTGACTGATGGAAAGTTTCACGGTAAATATAATATGTCTAGGTACCATCAAACCCACAGCTACCTAAGATAAAAAGAACATAATGCAAAAGGTAGATATGATTTCCCTGACATGAGATACATCATATAGACCAATAGTAAAGTTTATATACGAACTGTTTCAAAGAGCATCTGAGTTGTGGGCGAGTAATGTATTACTTGCAGTTGAGACTTGTGACTGAGAGTTGATATCACCACAGAGAACTTTGAGTTCAGAATCATACAAGCTTCAAACTCCGCCAAGCCAGAGGACAGAGATGAGGTAGCTTATCAAAAGCTATCCTGGACGTGGACGCTTGCTGAGGTGAGGATCAGGCCTTGCGTACCAAGCCGGAAGACAGAGAGGAAGTAGCTTGACTGTTAACTATACAATCTTAGTCGCAGAGTCAAGCCGCCCAGTACAATCATGTCTGGGCTGACGACAGGAAATGAGGGCTGAAATGATAATATTTATACTAAGGTTACAATTGAGCTGAGACTGGAGTTAGAGTGAGTTATAGTTAACCCTAAAGTGGTGGGGCAAAAGGTGGGATACTTGATCTGGACACTTTCAAAATGGTAGGTTCAGGGAATATAAGAATTAATAATATTCAGTATGGTAATCACATTTATTAAAGCTTAGCATCTTGCACCAAGCTTTATGCCATAACCATAAGCTGGTATCCACAGGTCCCAACTGACACAGAACATCGTAAACAAACATCTGGATACTGCTTTAAGATACCTTCTATCTTTGCCTCAGTTATCAATCTCCTTGAGGCAGACAATCGGTTCTGAACTGTAAGCTAATATGTATCTCAATTTCTCTCCATTGGCCATCTATTTTCAATTTCGCGTGCCATATCCTCTCAAAGACTGTTCGTTGTAAGCTAAGCAAATAAGCAACGTATTCTCTCCTTTCCACCCACTCCGTTACCCCTCATGTTCTCTCATCATTAGCTAGCCTTCATAATGTTCCTTGGAAACTCTAGCTACTCATCATCATCATCATCATCATCATCAATGTCCTGAACCTCATAGCTCAATCCGGCCTCCTCATCGCGCTCTATTTCTAACGCGGTTGTTTCTGGTGTCACGCTGAATGGCTCTGGTATGGCAGTAGGCGTGATCTGCTTCTCAAGTGGGATAGCTTGGTGAAATGCAAGTTTGCGATGCGGTCCAGTTGGATACTTCGACCAGCCACCGTGATTGAGGAAAGGCTTATCAACGCCCCAAAGTTCCTTCGATGTAGTTATAGGTGTGAATGTACATGGACGGTTCATCTCGGAACACCGTTTGCATACCCATATGTCAGTGCGCTCTGGATCTCTTTCGCATGGGGTGCGGTTCCATTGGTGCGGTGTACTATAGTTGCAGAAATCACATCGCATCTTGTTGCGAGTGTTAGGATTTTCATTTGCTGAGGTTTTCCAAAAGTCATCACCACGAGCAGGTGGTTCGCTACAGATGACCGTCGCGCCTTTGCCGAATTCTTTCGTCATCCATTTGAAGTTTTGATCCCAAGATGCTTCAACAGGAGCTTGGAGAATCTTTCTCTGACGTGGAAGCCATTGGCACCTTTGCTGTAAATGGTCTATCTTGAGTACTGCCACTTGCATGCCGCCAAAGTCTATGGAGTTTTGAAGACCATTCAGTGGACCTGTCCAGGTGATACCTTCTAGAAGTTGGATGATAGTAAGGGCTTTGGTCCATCTCAGTATGGGGTCTATCTTCCCAGAGGTCTGGGTGATTGGTACCGTTAGCCATTTGTGTGAGGTCTCGTCAAACCACTCAATGCGAATTCCCAAGGAAGATGGCAGCTCAAAGTTCTCAAACCTCCCGACACTTGGACAACCAAACCAGGCATCTGGATGTGGGCGGTAATCATCCATGATCTCAAAGACTATGTGTCCAGACTGTGGAGAGAAGCGCTGGAAAGATTCTTTGGGAAAGCCAAAAGCAATACAATAGGACTTTCCATCTTGATCATGGTACCAGAAACACGTTGAGTGTCGGTTGCCACGCCCTTTGTTGAACTTGCAAGCCATCCTGTATGTCGTGTACGTGCGGACCGTGGGATCAAGATTAGACATTTTGAAACAATTGATAGTCTTGAGAGAGTAATAGAACCATAGCGGATTCGTGACATTACAGCCATGGATATTGGCATCAAGGTGATGTTGCCATCCTGTGATATCTCGTGTCTTCTTTGTAACTGACTGCAAATACTTGCATTGGTTATGCATGGCTAGGTATTCTGGCTTGTAGGCGAAGTTTGAGGAAGAGCTTGCAATCCATGTGTGGTAGGTATCGAACATCGAGATCATTGTTTGTTCTGCCATGTCCATTACAGCTGGACTAACTTTATTATCAAGTGTCCAGAAACAAAGCAGAAAGGTTTGTCGATCATCGGGACGGGATTTGCGTGCGATGCTGTAGTGAGGGGAGTATCCTCCCATTGACTTGATAGTCTTCTCATGGTCTTGAACCCTCGCCTTGACTCGAGTGCTTTGACCAATATAGAGACCGACTTCATCAGTTGTATCCAGGTGGAGATACACACGAAGGTAAATTGCTTGGCCAATAGTTGATTGAGCGGTAGCATCTGGGAGTCCAAGAAGATCTTGCAGACCAAAATCGCCATCTCGGAGGAATCGCTTTGCTTCGGAAACAAGGCCGTCAATAACACTTTCCACGTTGGACTTGTAGTTCGGCTCAGAGAAGATATCTGAATATCGTTTATCGCTGAGTTTGAAACCCTTCAAGGTGTTTGGATCTTGGCGAATGGTATCCCAGAAAGTTCTAATGAATCTCTTGAGCTTTGTTGTTCCAGGCTGCAGGCGACATTCATTGCCGGACATAACAACGGGCGGAAACAGATCGTTTTGCTTCTCCGATAAGGGACGGAAATTCTTCCCAATGTTCAAGTAACTCAGGGGTAGTATGACTGGTATTACCGTCAGTTAGAGAGAAAAGATTATTGCCTGGAATGACTTGGAAACATACCATGTAAGTGAACCCCATTCCGGATAAAGAAAGTCGATCCCCATCCTCTAGTAGGGCTTTTAGCATAGAGGAACCCTTCTTCATTCTTGTAGAGGTGCAATTTTCCTTGTTGCTTCATTGCGACAGGAATGCGGCGTTGTAGTGATGGGGGAACATGGCTTGCGGTATCGTCATATGCGTAGTTGTCTCGCAAGATAATTGCTTGTGGTGTTTGCGCGCCACGAGGGAGAGCAGGGACCTTCTGGAAAAGTAGATCTGTCATTCTGGACTTATGAAAGCAATAGTTGCCGCTGCCTTGAAGAGTGCTGAATGAATATGAAGGAGTTTATCTGATCGCAATGGCGCTGTGGTGGTGTTGAAGTGGTGAGGCCAAATGTCTTCCTGTGTTGGATTGCGGAATGAATGAGAGAGAATGAAAGAATTAAGTAATGTTAAAGTGAGAGAGAGGAGTTTAGTTATATGCTCTCTGTGTAGAAAGTTGGGATGGTATTACGGTGAATCACAGAGGTGAGCGCTGCGGTGAGCCTGAGGACACGCTCTATCAACACCATAACTTCTCCTGACGATGAAATTTTCCTTCTTTCATAAGTTCAGAGCTCAAATCTATCTTAAGTCTTTCTAACTACGGACTCTACTCTCTTCTTCCTCTCAGATTTCCTAAGTTCGTCTTACCTCACAGCAACCTGCTTGTTGCTCCTGCTCAAAGTCGCTCCTTCTGAACTTCACGACACTTTGCCCTCAAGTCACAAGACATGGGTCTCTCGTACTTCTTTCGCTTTTCGCGCCATGGCCATGGTATAGTTCATCCGCGCCATTGCCATTCCTCGGTCCGAACCAGCAGCGATGGCGCAAATCACTGAGAACGATGCCCTACCCCCCATTGAAGACACCGACATAATCTGGCCCGACGATCTACCGAATGCTCCCCAATTCCAGGAGGAAGATGAACCTGCTACAACTCCGATGGATCAAGAGATAGAGCCTGATGATAGGGACTGTCAGTGTGTTCGACTTTATTATAACCTTGCAAATGCTTACGATTTAATCAGGGACAGAAATTTTGGCTGAACAAGATCGACGGCTTTTTGAGATCAGAGTTAATAATGCGAAACTCTACTCTGGATATCTCTATAGCCATATTCCCAATTCAATTATCGACTGGGAACTCGATGGATCAACGAGACCGTGTCGTGTCCAAGGCCTGTCCTATTATAGCAAACCTATGGGATCGATTAGAGAGCTCGAAAATCACCTGAAGTCAGCAAAACATTTAGTGAGTATACATCTCTAATTCCTTCTATTGCTTTCCAATTCTAAGTGGCATAGAAATATGACGCATCTCTCGCTCGACAATCCCCTGCTCCCAAGCAAACGACTGATCAGCAAGACTACCAAGTCCCAGTCCCACCATTGAAGAGAACAAAGTTGGAGCATACCGTGAGCCCCGAAGAGTTGATGAGCGACGATCTCGTGTTGGAGGACAAGCCTTTTAATGAGGCTTTGCAGTTACCGAGTTCTTTTAATTACCCTCCTTGGCTGGTCATTCCAGACTCTCAAGATACAGCCTCTGAGGATGAGGAGATGACACTATCACCCACAACTGAGCCTCGGCTTAAGCATACTATCGAGAAGACAACTGGCGATGATCTTGTGTTGAAGGACAAATCTTTCGATGAGGCTTCAGAATACCCGTCTTCTTTCAACTACCCTCCCTGGCTGGTTATCCCAGACTCTCGAGAGACCTCTGAGGATGAGGAGATGCTACCATCACCTGCGAATGAGCTTGGGCCTGTGTTAAAGCATACAGTTGAGAAGACAACTGGTGAGAACCTTGTATTAGAGGACAAGTCGTTTGAGGAGGCTTCAAAGATGCCACTTTCTTTTTCTTACCCTCCGTGGGGAGTTGTCCAGGACTCGGACGAGGACTCAGAGAATGAGCCGTATGTGCATGCTGTTTGAACGCGCTGGAATGAGTATGGGATAAAAATGGCAATTATAATTAGAGTGTGAAGAAGAATGAGACTGCAAATTGAAGAGAGCTTGAGACTGAGATTTACTTACTGCAAAGTGAGATGCTGGTGGAGGTTAATTGAATTGATTGTGTGGAATTAATTGATAATACGTGACTTGGACAACCAAATAAATGGCGTTGGTGGATCTCACTTTTTTAGCCAAAGTCCGGATAACGAGTTTAGGATAGGGGGCGCGGGAGCCACCATTTTTTGGCGAACTTCCCACCAATTTTACACACACTGGAATTACCTTCCTGCAACCAATACTACTCCAAATTGAATAAATTTGGTATCATTAAGAAGCCTGAGTCTCAATTTACTATTGCTAATTAAACGCGCCCGTAAAATCTCTCTAGAATTGCTGCTGAGGCGTGGTACTCCAGCAGCCAGACAGTGCCATATGAGTCCACCCAGCCAATCTCGCGATAACTTCATTGCAACACTAATAATTATCTAAATTTGATAATCTTAGTACTATTAATAATCCCAAGTCTCATTTTATTAGTGCGAATTAAATGCGCCTGTAAAATCACTCTAGATATGCCACTGAGGTGTTGTACACCAGACTCATCTAGATGAACCCAGCGTCACGAATCTCGTGATAGCTTCATTTCTAAGTCTGAGCTCACTATTGCCTACCTCACTGTAGATCCCAGACTGATTTATGATACTCTTAGTCTTGACCTCTCTATCTAAGCGTCTATATCTGTTGCTCTCAAGTTACTACCACTCACGTCAATGTAGATCCTGCATATTGTACTCCAAGTTTTGACCTCTCTATCAAAACCTCCATATCGGTTGTTCGAGTTATTGTCAAATTGTTCAAGTCTTATAGCAACTCATGTCCCCTTAGTTAAATACAATATTAGTATTACTTACTTATGCCTTGTACAACTTGTTCCTCCCATGAAAGTCCTGTATGTTGCCAGAGTCTCAGTGACTTGGTTATCAATCAGAAGACAAGTTTACACTACCTACTGTTCTTTGCACCATTTGTGAGATAATCAAGTAGCAAGAAATTAACAGTATTTACTTGAGAGTTTCTTTTACTTATAGCTTTTATCATTCTACCTTTCCCAGGAATATTATTGCTATCAATTAAAAGCTCCATCTGTCCTCAGTATTTTCTAAATCCCAAACCCATAATACTAAGCTTGAATTCCAATCACCAAGTATCAATATTATCTACAAGATTTACAACAACAAATTTATACAGTTCTCATAATCCAGACACCTCACTAGCATTGCCATAAACTATTTCATCTCCTTCCCAAGAATCATTATCAAACCTCAGGGAGTTCCCATCTATTATTCTCAGGTTATACGGAGTGTTTCTCTTCATGTTCAACAGAATGATTAGTATACTAAAATAGTACTGGGCCTTATGTCCATTTCTCCCAGCTGACAGCATTCCCATGATTATTATATTCCCATAGCATAAAAAGATCTTACTCCCAACACTTCCTACTAAAGATTATAAAACTTCTTTTAGTACTAAAGTTCCCGCTCAGATCTCCCTGATGACAGCACTCCCATAATTAGTTATGAGTCTGTAGCATCAGGGAACAGACGTCGGCGGAAACGTCTTCTTTCAGGCCTGGCATGCTGGGAGGTGTCAGCATGATCAGTTGCCGATGATGAAAGAGAAAGGTGCCAAGGTTCTGGCTCCTTCAGCTATTAGGGCTGAAGCTGGAAAATATCGAGATTTGCCTGGGATGCCTGTGAGTTTGTTCAGAGTATGATTAATGAATGCTAATCAAGAGATAGGGGCATACGGACAATATCGAGGCCATTACAGATGTTCAGTCTGTTATTGGGACTTACAGACGAAGCTGCGAGCTAGCTAAATCAGCTGGCTTTGATGGAGTTGAGCTCCTTGCTCAAGGGTAACATATGACATATCCATTGGCACCTCTAGGGCAATTGCTAACTTACATCGCAGCGGCTATCTACCTCAACAGTTTCTCAGCAGGTCAGTCATGCCAATTACTTCATATCTCCTGGGTGCTAATTATGTAGCCGTGCGAATCACCGTACCGACAACTATGGCGGTTCAGTCGGAAACAGATGCCGCTTCACCCTCGAACTCGTCGATGCAATCGCCGCCGTCTTCAACGGACACGAGTATATCTGCGTCAAAATTAACCCTACAGACCATCTCAACGATTCTATCGTTGACTTTGGTGAGATGAAAGAGACCTATACGTATCTCATCACCGAGCTTGTCAAACGAAAGGTTGGTATCATCAACCTTGGCCGTCGTGGTGCCGAAACGTCCCCCGGTTCAGGGGAATTCTTTGGACCTCTCCCTCGGCCTGAAGGTTATCCTCTCCCTCGTGGCTATGACCCTGTTCTTGACTTTGGGAAGCTCGTCAAGTTTCCTGGTAGTCCGACTTTGCTAATGGCCAATCATGATTATACTGTTGAAGCGGCTGATACTCTCGTTGGAGCGGGCAAACTCGACATGATTACGTTTGCGAGAGCTTTCATCCACAATCCGGTGAGTAGTCCAACATTGACATCTTCTATTCTGACTGGTTGCAAAGGATCTTGTTCCTCGCATCATTCATGGAGTACCCCTCGCCACGAATGATAGAGGCGCTTGGGTTTATTACGGGCTGGACAAAAGACCAGAAGAGGGTTACAATGATTGGCCAGTAGCCTCAACCACATAGACGTCACTCGAGCAAGCAATAGATAGTCATTAGACTTTTCACGACAATATCAGATAGGGGCAGATATATGAGCAATATGTGCATTGTTCCATTCAAATGAATGTGACTTGATAATATACGAGCAGATAACTATGTACAGATGAATGAGTGTCATGGATGAATCACCATGATAATCCCATTTGCAACGCAAAACTGGGTGTCCAGCATCCACGTCCGTGCAAAACCCAGAAGAAAGAAAAGCAGTGCTAGCACTGTTTTTCATTTCATTTACTTCTTGAGGGTGAGCAGACCAGGGCGGTAAGGAAGGTTGTTGTAATCGCCACCAACGCTGGGGTTGCGGCCCTGGTAGAGGAGCTGGAGGTTGCAAGGGTCGACGGGGAAGGTCTGGTCGTTGCTGGTTCGGATCAGCTCTCCGTGGCTGATGTCGTTGGTCCAGGTAGCACCGCTGTTGGCCTTGCCGGCGAAGGGGTTGGCCTCGGTACCGGCATTGACGGTCCACTGGCCATCGAGGCTGTTGGCGGTGAAAGAGCGGAAGAAGCGGCCGTTCTTGCCCTTGGCCTCGACGATCATGAGGTACTTGTTAAGTCCCTGGAGGGAGTAGACCTGCACGGCCTCGAAGAGGTTGTCCTCAGTATCCTGGAGGATGATCTGGGACTGGGAGCCGAAGCTGCCGGGGAAGTTGCCAATGGGCATGCTGGCGCGGTAGATGCGGCCGTTATCACCGGCGAAGAACAGGTACATGTTCTTGCTGTCACCAATGACGGTCTGGTCGATGGGACCGTAGGCAGCGTTGGCGATCTCGCCGGTGAAGAGAGGCTGGGCAGCAGACCAGCCGTTGGGGTTGGTAGGGTTGCTGGAAGTTCTGTAGGAGAACTTGGTAGGACCCCACTGGTGGGCGAGGATCCAGATGTTCTTAGGCTTGAAGAAGAACAGGGTGGGGGCGACTGCCGTAGAGGTCATGCCGGTCTGGGTGGCGGAACCGAGCTGGTTGAGGTTGGAGACGGGGCTGAAGGCCATGGATCCCCAGGCGCCGTTGCCGAAGGTAGTGGCGTAGACAAGCTGGCCGCCGTTGTAGGGAGCGACGGTGAAGTCCTTGAGGGAGACCCAGGGGGACTTGGGCTGGGCGAGAGCACCGCTAGAAGTCCATCTGTAGGTGGTGGGGAGAGAGCACTGGGCTGAGACATCGCCGACGGAGGCGAGGAGCAGCAGACCTGTAGAGAACAGGCTGAGATCGTTGCTGAAGAACTTCATGGTGAAGGTTGAGGAGATGAGGAGATGAGATGAGGTTGTGGTGATACAAAAAAAAAAGACTGATCGACGAGGAAGAAGTCAGTATATTATATATGAATTAGTAGATGGACTATGCATGGCGAGATGGCCCTTAATTGGTATGGGGATCATTCGTTGCTGGGGAATAATTGAGCTGGCATTGGAGGAGAAAATACCGTGTATCCACAGGAATACAACGATACAACCCAGTCTTGTTCTAGATCATCCGAACAATGACCCAAACAAGGATCGATCGAGGGGTGCTGAACGAGTGTAAACGAGCATGTTCCTTTTGGAACCACGGAGACGGATCCGAGTGTTTCTTCTTTTGGGTTAGCTCGATCGAGCCAGGTACACTTGGCTTACGCTAATTTAACCAGAAGAGAAAAGTACCGTTGCCTGTTACAGAATGCTGTGGTGCGAGTCAGCTTGAACGTGCGTTTGCCTGAAGCTGAAGCAGTGACGAATACACATGCGTTTGCCATTTCAAGAGTATAAACTTTCTTGTTTGGGTCCTGCATTGCGTGCAGGAAACGTGACGAAGCGGTAGACACGGCATGTTTCTCGGCTTCATCTAAACAGAATCGATTTGCCAAGCTGAATCATAGTGGGTTTCATCTTGGCAGGCCTGGTTTCAGCCTCCACTTTGTCATCTCATTGGGCCTTCCCGCGGGATACGAGAAAAACCAGAGACAGGCCTGACCACCACATGATGTCCTTTCCCAGATGGACTGATGCAGTCATTACTGTGAACAGTCTAGTTAACGATGCCATGTGGCTAGCAAATGTGTATGCACCCCAGGAACCCAGCTGCGCAGGAAAAAAATACAGTGGGATATTGGCGCACCTATAGAATTGCACCGTTCACCGTCTTTGGTGTAAAGCCCGTCGGTAAATCTAGTCAACACCCCAGATTCGTCCCTGAAAAACAACCCCGGCACGGCAAAGGGCCTCCTTAGGCTAAAAGCATCGGGGTCAACGATTGTCATATATTATTAGCGTGCCAGTAGAATTAACTACTGATATGTTGTTTCACACGCAGTCTGTTATTCCGCCTATCAGACTCAACTTGGTATTTAACAGTAAATTGTATTTTAGCCAGATTTGGTGTAAGCGGGCGAATTAAACTATGCGAGTCGCACAGGAAATAGGGAATAGCAACTACAGAATGCGGGGGATGAATGCGGAGTGCATACAGCCGTGTAAGTCAAAGATATCATGAACTTGTAAGTGTTGATGAGGATGGGAATTTTGGCGGTGAGGGTGAGGGGGATTGAGCAAGATGACTTCAGATAAGGCTGAATGTTTTCCCACGGAACTCGGCTTCTTTCATGTCTGAAGTTAAATGTCAAGGCGAGAACAAAGTGGGTTTGTCATAGCGTGATGGACGTCCCCTTGAAACGCCAAGTAATATCCGTTTCCTGGAAGAGATAAGATAGGACGACCAAAAGGGGGAATGGAAGCGAGATGTAGTGCTACATACTGATAAGATAAGAGGAATGAAGTCATTGAAGCTCACCCTATACTCTAAGAATATTTTGAGTAGAGAATAATTAACACACCACAATAGCTTGACCTTGATGTTGATGGAGAGTAAAAACAAAGTTTTAAACAGTTCTATAAACCTTGTGGTTAAAATAAGATCATCAAGCTCTTCCTAAGTCTTAAACCTTGTATTTCTAGCAAAGACTTAATTTCTAAAGTTCCTCTCTAATAATCTGAGCCACAGTACAGACCATAGTTACTTCAACTAAGCCACTACCCAACGTCGACTAAACAGTATAGCATAAAAAAAAGTATATTTCTAGGACAGATATCTAGTACACATCTATTCTAAGCAATCTATGCATTCGGCATATGATCCTTCATCCAATTCTCCTTTTCTATCCGTAATGATCTCTGCCCCCATTTAATAGTCATCCACGCCCCAATCGCTCCCCAAACCGACGGAACTGCCCATCCCAGCGTATATCCAACCTCAACAGGCAACACCCAAGCCAACACGATCAAAACAATGCTCACAACCGACCCGGTAATCGCCCAGGCCCAGAGCATCTCAACAAGCATCCTTCTAAACCTCGGCGACGCGTTATATCGCGCCATAGCAGCTTCTCTATACTCCTTCCCGCCACCCCCATCACAAGCTGTGATATCCTCCATGATCGTAAATGTGAGGGGAGGATATTTGTCGCCGATGACGTGGGAGCTTAAGCGGTGCCAGCGAAGTCTCCAGCCGAAATGATACGCTATCCCGGTCCAGATCATGTATGTGGTTACCATTAGTATACCGACCGGCATGATGATACTCAAACCCCTCATCATCGGCGGATCAGGTATGCTGAACCCAATCATAAGAGCCGTCATGACAAAGTACGGTGGACCGAGAACAAGATGCACCGTATCAAAACTCCATCGTCCTGCACCGTTAAGAGGACGATAAGTATCACGCTTCAACGCAAGCCGTAAACCGCGAAGACCATATTCTCCACCTGATATAAACCCAAACATTGCCGTGATGATGGCAAACATAGCGCCCGGACGTAAATCGGTCAGGTTTGAGATTGTGAAGTAAAAGATAATCGGGATGAGTGTGCATTCGGTTAAGATGAGGAACCAGAACAGAAAGATCATGAGCTTGTGCTCGTGGAGGTTATACGGCAATGGCGGAGGACCACGGGCGATAGTATCGGGCTGTTCATTTTTGCTCGGCATAGACGGTGTGCTCGGAGCAGAAGAGAGCGTTGTATTTTCTGTAGTCGACACATTATTCGATGTCGTCGCCATTGTGAGAAGAACTGGCGTGCATAAGCTTAAAAATAAGCTTATTTTACAAAAACACTACAGAGGAGACAAAAAGCACCATTAAATCACTCAGGGGCATTCAGTCTGTTTTATTAGACAGTTCTAGCGGTTATGGCGTACGTCAGTGGCAAAAAGATTAGTGACAGACAAGTGCGTCAGAACGGTCTTGGTATTTGAAGAGTTGGGGGCGGATGGAGCGGGTGATGATGCTATTTTTGCTTGGCGTGAGCGCTGAGGATGCAATGCCAAGGGATTGGAAAACAAGATTGGCTCTCTGGAGAGGCTTGGTTAGAGGGAGAGTGTTGGTGATAGGAGATTTAAATCCGGGGATGTAACGTCGAATGTGAGAGAATTGGATCGATGATGACTGCTTTTTGTCTTCGGCTTCGTTTTTACTGACTGGAGTGTTTCGTACTCGCTCTTTGAGATGGTTTTGATAGGTTTGCCATTGTGGGATGATGGTCGACCTCAACACTGTCAGCCCAACACGCAAGATATTGCAGCAATGCAACCACAGAACCAGAACAGAGTTCAAGTTTACTCCAGTGGATTGCACAAAAGAATGAGAAGAGATGATACTGATAACTCATCATTGGCACACGTAACTACCGGCGTTGATCTACAACAGCACCAGCGTCTTATTACCGGCCCGGACGTCCGTACGGACAAGGGTGATGATCAGACCATCCCTCCGCATCTTCCGGGCCGCTTCGTCAAGCGCAGACATACCAATGCCGAATAAAACCAGACTGCTTCAAGCGACTTTGGTAGTGGACCTAAACAAACTCTACCTACGTCTGAACTGACCAGCAAGCTTCAAAATCTCGCGCTATGCTCGTACCAGAAGACGAGGCATAACACCGAGGACACTAATACTCCGTAGAGATCGGATAAAGCATGCAATAACACCGCCCGAACGCGAGATCGGTAAGGCCGAAAGTTTATTCTTTCGCGAGCTTCGCGAGCTCGAATGCGATGCTATAGGTGGGGGAACAACCGCGCGGCCTTTATACACCGACATGTCTTGAGTAATGTCAATGCACAGAGTTCTTCAAGCTGTCTTCGGAATGAATTATCCATCGAGTCAGGGCATGGTTAACAATGTGCTCTGATCGCAACACGGAAAGATAACCTTGCGGCAACGTTAACACTCCACGTAGACAATGGACATCTTCGAACCGAAACAAAACATGGGTATTCGTGTACTGTTCTAACCTAACTCCCCCCTTCAGAAGTCCAGTCCCTCCTCCTCTTCTAGCTCGTCACTAGACCCGGAAAATACCTCCTAAGACTACTATCCAGCATCCGTATCCCCACCGGCTTGACGAGATAATTATCCGCACCCGCCTTACTCGCCGCCTCCCTATCCGTCTGGCTATCCTGCCCCGTGACGATAAACAACACCGATTTGCCCGTCTTCTCCAGCGCTCTGATCTGCCGCGTAGCGCTAATACCATCGCAGACCGGCATCTGGAGATCCATGAGGATGAGGTCGATCGGTGTGGAGGTCTGCTGCTTCTTAAAGAGCTCTACTGCCTGGTGCCCGTCTATGGCGCTTAGGTAGGGAAGGCCGCGCTTTTTGCAGTACATTTCTAGGATGCGCAGGTTCACTGCGTTGTCGTCCACGATGAGGGTCATGGGTTTTGAGTTGGTGGGTGGGATGAGGGGGCGGATGGGGAGGTCGATTGTAGCTGCTTCGATTTGGGACACGGCTTTTGCGACGGATTCGTTTAGAAGTGCTTCGGTTGTTCGTAGAGCGACTGAAGAGCCGGTGACGGAATCGTAGCCTTCGTCTGAAGTTGACTTTTGATCGCTCTCGGTTGTTGGGTCCGGGGGTGTCAGGAGGGATTCCGGATCTTCGAGGGGCGCGGGAGATGGTTGTGGGGATGTCCTTGTAGACCTGCGTAGTCGTGCTAGTAGTTCATCTGCTTTCTGGAGTGCAGAGTCAATCGCCGACGACGAGAAAGGTCCGTTGACGAAGACGATGTTGGTACATGATTCGGGAACGTCTCGTTCATCCGAGTTGGGCACTAGACAAACAGCGACCTGTCCCTTCGGTAGTATTGAGTGATATTTCTCTCGTTCGGTCGGATCGCGTATATAGTCAATGATATTGAGACAATCTTGTGGGTCATTCGATGAGGAGAAACCATTTCGGGCCAGGTATTTCGCTAGGTTCGAGGATAGCTGCAGGTCGGGGGGATCGGATGGCAGATGTCGGTAGCTCAACGGCAAGTGCTTGAGTTGCAAGGTTGTTATTTCGGTGGGAGGAGAACCCGAGGGACGAATGTCGCGGAACGTCGCGCGGAAGTGAGAACCGCGATTAACCTCTGACGACACCAATTCGATCGAACCGTGAAGCAGTGCAGAAAACTTGGTCGCGAGTGTCAAGCCAAGTCCAGCGCCGGTTGAGTGCTCGCCAACTTTCTCGTATAGATCAAAGATGCGACCTTGATCTTCAGGAGGAATGCCGCAGCCAGTATCTTCAACATCCACCACGAGCGTCTTTGTGTCTTGTGTATAGGATTGTGTGACGGTGACTACTCCTTTGGTCGTGTTCTGTACAGCGTTTACGATGAGCGGAAGGATACTGTCTCGGAAGAGGTTGATGTCGATTCGAAGGCCTTCGGAGTCTGGTGTGAGGTTGTGATGGAAGAAGACGGGGGCTCGTGTACGCGTGTCCCTAAAGGTGAAGTCGGCCAATGCCTTGACGAGCGCTGTCTCCAGAGACTCGATGCCATGCGTAGCGTATTGTCGTTCGGCCGCAGCGATATCAGCCCAGCGGTTTAGAGTGATCATGCTGTTGACAGTCGACATGAGCTCTCTGCCCGCAGTAGATATTGTATCGAGGTAGATGGACGACTTCCCCAGCTCAGCAAGCGGCTTCATTATCGCCTCCACGCCAGGCCGCAACGTCGAACTTCCAGGCACTGTCAATGCCCTTAGATCTTCCGTCAATAGTTCTGCGGCGCCGAGGATGCCGTGAATCGGGGTTCGGAGCTGGTGCGATACGCCGCGAAGGAATTTCTCTTTCGCTCGCATGACTTCTGTAAGGAGACGTTTCTGCCATCGTTGGGTGAGCATGGTAGCGCAGGTGTGCACAAACCAAGAGTCGACATCGTCAAATATTCTGCGGAAATCCTTTGTCGCAACGACGAGGACCGAGGGGCCGAGTTTCGTTTCGCATTGTGCTGAGATGAAGCGTACTACTCGATCTTTAGGTGGCTCGTCGAAATTGGAGTTCGCGATAAAGTCCTCGATGTATTCGTCATCCTCCCACAATCCATGCTTCAAATCTGATGTCGTCGCGGGGTACGGGACCGTCGATTGGTCGGTGCCCGTAGACTGCAGACTTATTGACTCGTCGGGGAAGGCTTGTCGAAGGATCCGGAGGATAGGTTCTTGGATATCGTCGCCGTCAGGCTCTTGTTGAACGGCTGCGATAAGCTCAACAAATCGGTGACGTTCACGTTGGCGTCGTGCTCGTGCACATTGTATTATATCGTGAACGATCCAGTCGGCTAATCGAGCTAGTGCAAGCTGTTGTGTCTTGGATAACGGATCTCGACCCGTCGCTGACGCTACGCACAACGAACCGAGTCCGACACATTCACCCGACTCGTGTTGCATTCGGAGCGGGACACCAGCATATGCGACGAGTCCACCGTGTTCAACGTATGGCGACTCGCGAAATCTCCAGTCCTGGAGCATGTTTGGCAAGAGGAAGACATTCTATCGAGGCTTAGCGAAGGGCGTCAGAGAGGTAGCGGTGACTATACTCCAGGTGGTTGAGTCACGGTATGTGCGCAGAGGGTTTCACCACGGGGAAGAATAGCGAGTTGAAGGCCTACCGTGGCCAGACGAATGTAAACATTGACATCCAGCACACCAACAACAGCATACTCCCAGCCCGACGACTCTTGAGCAAGACACGCCTTCTCCTGCAGTCCCGCAAGGAGTTCAGGCTCGTTGTCTAAATCCCTCGCATAATACCATAGCATAGACAGCCTCAGCCTTTCATTCTTTGCCAAACGCGACCGCACATATTTCGAAGACGACGCACAATGCGCTTCCGGCGGTATCGACGACGGACCGAACGGATCTGGTTTCGGAGGGTAGAAGGACGAATCGACGTCGGAAGTCCACGGCTCTATCGGGGCCTTGAAGTTGTTGGCATCGAAAATGGGGCCGATCGCCTTTGGACGCGGAGGGAGAGAGTGTTTATCGATTGTTGAGGAGAGGAGCGCGGCGTCTGCTTTGGGGAAGAAATGCATTTAGTGATGATTATCTAGGAACTGAATTGAATTTGACGAGGCATGGGTGTGGGAACTTTTAGGGAAGGGATCGTCGAAAATTAAATTGTTAGAGGAATTGAATTCAAACCGAATTGAATTTGATGGAGATGGGGAGAAGAGAGGGAGGGGCTCGTGACCCAAACTTAACGCGGGAATGACAGACATTTTTAGGGGCTGACAAAGATGTCGTCATAATTGTTCATGCCGAGACAAGCGCTATTTAGACCGTTTTTATTTCTTCAATTCCTCGGATTAGAGGACCCTTTCTTTTTGGGTAGAGTTTATGCACTTCATTCAGCTAAAACCCCCGCTCAAAATGATACCCCGAAACCTCCGGTCATTCTTCAAAAGTCATGGGTCGTTTTGCTAGCCTCTGAGCCCCAGACATGCTGATCTGCCGCTACACTACCTAGATACCAGAGTCCTCCTGAGTCGCGTTGTTGTGCTTGTTAAACATTGTATAATACGCAGCCCAGTTTGCACACGTCTCGGAGTACGTAGGTAAGATCCCCGAATTTTTGAACATAGGTCCAATAACTTCAGGGGACTCAACGAACTGAAGCGCCAGACCACCCGATGCGTGGAAGGCGATCTGAGGGCGGAGCATTAATTCCGAGGATCGAGGTTGGGGAGTGCGGCGAAACTTACATGACAGTGCATTAGCCAAACACCAGGGTTGTTGACTAGAAAATGTTAGTCCCGTATACCACTAAAATAAAGGAATTACTTACTTTGGAAGGCGATAATAATGTATCCATCGACTGGTAGGAGTACAACATCCCGACGCGGGGGATTGTCCAGCTGAAGAGTAAAGTTTTTCGGATTGAACTCTTCAGTTCCTGAATCGAGAAGAACAAAGTCATGTCCGTGCACATGAATAGGATGCGCAACAGGTGCTTGCGTCTTATAAACTTTGCGGTGCCCCTTTGTCGTAGAATTATGAATCGACTCCGTAAACTTGCCCTCGATAAGAAAAGCAACCCACGTTCCATTCTTGTAGTCGAGAGTCACAGGTTCATACCCAACAGGAAACTGAGGGTTATCCCATCCTTTTTCAGAAGCAATCTTGACGAGACTTAGGCTCGGTTCTGCCCAGTCAAGATAGAAGGACGAATTGGCGAGGACCCATTTGTGCATCACGGAGTCTTTCTTAAATTCGTTGGGATACCCGACGAGATGCACTTTGAATGAGTTTTTGATGTAGTCCTCGTTGTGCTGTGTGATGTTACGCTTCACAATGGGTTTGAGTTTCTCACTGGGCTCGTCCTGGCACCCGTAGCAGATGTTATCCTGTCTGGGGGGAGGTGTCCAAGGGATGGACTTTGAAGTAGCGTCGTAGCGGATGATGCCAAGATTGGACCTCGCGCCGCCGTTCTGACAATCGCGAGCGTGCATCCAGAAGTTCACGTTTCTGCTATTATGCCCCTTCACAGCTGTTGCATTGACAATAATGTCGTAGCGCTGGCCAATGGCGATGTTGATCATGTCTGTTTCGTAGGGCTCAATGGGGACAAAGTCAGTGGCCACGACCCAGAATTTATGGCTGTCAATCCAAAAGGTTGTGTGCGTTGAAGCAGCGGTGTTGACGAGGCTCATCTTATAAGTCTTGTTTTGCTCGAAGTGGAATGACGTGAGTTTGGAGTCACCCTTGCAGTTCTTGTCTAGAGAGGGACAGCAGTAGTATCTTCCGTTGCCATTCATAAGCATGCTGTCAGGAGCTGGAGGGCGGCCTTTTGGCTGTTAGTACTGATGAGATTCTGTTGGAAGAGGGAGCAGTACCTAGGTATTCGAGTTGGACTTGGGAGAAGGTAGTTTTGTGAAAGTTATCAGTGATGAGAACTGGTCCAAGATCAACATCGTAGTTCATGCTAGTCGGCCCATTGATCTTCAGAGCACCTGCTAGCCCATCGGCATCTAACCTAGCGTTAGTAGGAAATGGTGATAGAAGAGCTTAGATACTAACATTGTAGACTGAAGTGGCCTGAAACTGTTAGATATTGTCAAAGATTTGAGGAGATGTGACTCACTGTGATACCACGATGTTCCATATTGTGTAGCTCTCCAACTGTAAGTGAAGTTTTCACCCGGCTACACCTGTCAGCACTCTGGAGGTCAGTGTTAGAAGGCGTTCAAGGCTTACTGGGATCGGGCATTCTGTCACGCCTGATACGCCGTCCATCCAGTTGGTATTTAGTTGGCGGATACCATGCCAGTGGATCGAAGTGCCGTTGAAGTTGGTCAATTTATTCACGACGGTGATTTCTTGCAAACGGTCAGACCAGATATGGACGCAAAGAGGTAGCAAAGCAACATGACCTACCAAAAGTATCTCCCCAGTTCCCCTCAAGAGTCGGTCCAGGATAAGTTCCATTGAACAGCATCCGATCAACCCAGTATCCATCAGGTGCGATCCTTTCATTAGTAACGTACAAAAGAAACTGCATCGCTTCAGTATCGGCTTCAAAGCGCAACAGATGAATGACTTACCTTGCGAACTTTGCCCTCTGGAATGATCTCCTCATAATCGGTATAGATGTCAAAGTCAGTTGACCAGCACTTCCTATTTGTAGGTGAGTTGCAGGCTCCATCAATAGACTTTGCATCGAAAGCATCAACAAGGGAAAGATCTTGAACCGGGGAGTATGTATGAGAGAACTTGGTTTGGTCTGTGAACCGGTGGATGAAGAGAAACTCTGTGAGTCTCTTCCAGAAACCCATATTGGAAGGCTTGAAGGGTAACCGGTTGTAAATGGAGAGAAGAGGGTAGGAATGGCAGCTGGAAAGAAATGGAGGGCTACGCGGACCCTGATGGAGAAGAGATGTTGATATAAACGCCCAACACAGTATCTTCTCACAATAACGCAAGCTACCTAAACATTTTATGATAAGCAGTACTGCAGCGGCTGAGAAGCCATGAACTAAAATGTAAAAACCCGCATGGTGGCGCCAGAGATTACGAACGAAGTCATCGTCAACACCGCCATATCAGCACCAACTCATTCGTCAATGCCACCCCCAACGTCGTAATATTTGCGTCGGTCTAGGCGTGAGCTTTCTACCGGCATATGTGTAGTATCCAAATTGAGGAATCACAGCAGCGCTGAAATGCAGGATTTCAATAATGCGATGCAGAGGGTAAGCCATACATGCAGCTGAGAGCGGGGAAACACCAATATACGGCGTACGTGGTGTTGATGGATGATAAGATGATATGGCGTTATCTTGATGATAAGATTATACCTCAGCTTATGGTTTTAAAGACATGGTCTAATTTAGTCGAGTATTGGATTAGGCATGTCTCAGTTTCCCAGGCTACGAGTTTGCATCAATAGTCTTTGAACTATTGACCCAAAGCGGATGTGACGCTACCCAAATGGTTTTGGCACGAACTGCTGGCGGGCGAGCTGATTGGATGAGCAAGTATCCTCGCTGGGCGTCGTGCAGTTTTGAGGGATAATTTATTGAAAGGTTAGGTAGGTTAGATGCGACTTCGTGTAGAGGGTGACGGGTTGTGCAGATTGCTGACCGGTCTTGGCCGGGAGGATGCAGGTAAGCTGCGTGGCTGGATGAGGTTGTATCGGTGGGCTAAGATGCTAGACGGCGTGGATTTGGGGTATGACAATGGTTTGTTCTCGTTTGATTAGGTCTGTTCACTCAGTATGAGCTTGAATTTGCCGACATTGTGTTCCGGAGAAGGAAACTGAGGTATTAAAGGCCCAATCCCTCATAGTATCTTTTGATCAATAGCACCGCCAACTATCGCCATCATGGCTACTCCCACGGACCCCCTCAACTTCATCCCCGCAGACGTATTCTTCCCCACCGTTCCCAATTTCACTAAACCCTCGGAGATTCTTACCGTTGAATCATCTGCTTCAACATCCCCCAGCGATCCTCTTCGCTATGCTGCACACATCACTCTAAAGGGCGAGCCCAACACTCACTGTCTAGTCCAGTTCGCATCGCCGCAGATCTGGAGAGTCAGATATAATCCAAAGTACACTGCTGTTTCGGATTATGATGATTTCAACTCGTGAGTTCCCTTTGTGAGCTTTTGAATGTTTAGTGCTGACGAGAGCAGGCGTACTATCGTTAGAGATACTTTCTCTAGTCTGGTAGATGATCTTCAGCAGGATTACAGGGACTCTGAGGCTTGGAACTCACATCCTGCTCAGGAGGGATGGTTTTGGAAGACTTCTTTTGAGCAGAAGGCCCCAGACCATTGGGTTCTCACTGTTAGTCACTCAGCACCCCATCATACTATCATCTAACATCCTCTAGACAGTTGAGTACGAGACCAAAGAGTCCACTGGTGTCCCAAACACAGCTCTCCACTTCTTCGCCTCTCCATTCCGCATTGTCGTAAGTATCCTTCAAACACTCACATCTCTAATCTCACATCATTAGGCGACAAGGAAGCTCAAGGCTCTCGACGCAGACCCGGCGTTCTTGAAGACCGTTGGTATCGACACTGTGTCTGAGTACGAGCAGATTATCTGGCAGACAACCGACCAGACATTCTCTTATCAAGGTAATCCAAGCATCGGTGCTGTGAACAATGTCGTTTTCAACATCAAGAAGCCTGGGTCAGCGGCGTATCTTGGTTTTGGAGAACAGGGTGGACGGACTGTTATAAAGAAGCCCACTTATCTCAACTTCTTCTGTAAGTATAATGTCACGATACAATGGAAGTTGCTGACGAGTTAGGCTATGATAACTTCAACTACTCGAAAGTCTATGGTCTTGGAGCTCTGGATACTCGAGAGCCACTGTGAGTATTGCTCAAAATATGTTAGCCACCGTCTAACCGAGCAAACAGTTACCACTCTACACCTTTCTTCCTGGAGATGAACGGCACTCCGGATCGAAAGAATGTTACTGGCGTTATGGTGGATAACTACTCTCAAGTTGCTATCGATCTTGGCAAGAATGATTCGCATACCATCAGTGTTGCCACGCGCTTCAATACCTTTGATGCGTGGATTCTTACAGCTGATGATGTACCAAGGATGATTTGGTGAGTATGTAGTCTATTTGAGGAGCATCGCTTACTCACTGTCATTAGGCAGTATACCTCCATCGTCGGACGACCTAAGCTCAAGCCCCGATTCATTCTGGGTCATCATCAAGCATGTGAGTTCTACGACATTCCCTACGCCCACATTCATGACTGACATATCAAGGCTATGGTTACTCGAATGAAGGAACTGTTAACAACGTCGTACAACGGTACAGAGACTCCGACATCCCATTAGATGGGATGCATCTCGATGTCGACTTCCAGGCAAGTCCACTCTCGAAACAGCTGAGCTTGACTGACCACAACAGGATAAATACCGTACTTTCACCAACAGCAACAAGAATTTCCCTAACGTGGGATCGTTCCTGAACGGTCTGAAGGCCAAGGGAGTGAAGAGCTGCACCAACATCACTCCCATTCTTACTATCCGACCCTCAGATGAAGGTCCCTACAAAGCACTGGACAGCTTCTGGGATGTGAACGATAAGAAGAACCCAGAGACCAAGTAAGTCGCGGCGGCTTCTAAGCCGACATTGGCTAACAGGTATAGTCTTCTGGTCGCTGATAAGCGATACCTCGACGGTCTGCCCAACAACCAACCTCTTTGCTGGCGCTACGACGGCGGTCTTCAGAACCTGGACCCTAACAACGTCAATCAGCGTGAGAGATTTGCAGACTATATTGGTGCTCCTGACTATAGGGATGACTATAATTTCTCTGAAAACTATAACAGCGGATATCCCTTCCACGGTGGTGTTAGCTACGGTACTAACCTCGGAACTGTGAGTCCTTGTGCGCCTAAAAGAATAGGGCAGTACTGAGCTAACATGTGCAGCCCGGATTCTATCCTGATCTGAACAGGAAAGCTGCGAGGAAGAAGTGGGGTGAGCAGTATCAGTATCTCTTCGACAACGGTCTCGAATTCGTCTGGCAAGGTAAGCCGCGCGATACAACATGTCAATCGACTCATGGTAACACTCTCAATAGACATGACAACTCCCGCTGCCGCAAAATGCTACGGCGATTCCCTCGGGTAATTTCCCCCTCCCCCCTTCACCTAACCTTCCTAACAATACCAGCTTCCCCTCCCGCCTCCTCATGACAGACGATAGCTACACCAACCCCCCCAAGACCAAAACCGCCATCGAGCTCTGGAGTCTCTACTCCTACAATCTCCACAAAGCAACGTATCACGGCCTCAACAATCTCAAAGGCCGCGAGAACAAACGCAACTTCATCATCGGCCGCGGTAGCCAGACCGGTATGCACCGCTACGCTGGGCTCTGGACCGGCGATAATGGTAGTTCGTGGGACTTTTTCAGAATCTCTGTTGCGCAGGTGCTTGCGTTGGGGTATAGTGGTTTGAGTATCGCTGGTGTAGATATGGGTGGTTTCACTGCTGATCCAGCTAATACATTGCCGAATCCGAGATGGTGTGATCCGGAGTTATTGATTAGGTGGTATTCGGGGGCGTTTCTGCTGCCGTGGTATAGGAATCATTATTTACAGCATCCTGAGGCGAGCTCTGGGGGTTGCAAAGCTTTTCAGGTAAGTATATTCTTGAGATACACCGGCGAGGTACTGACAAGAATAGGAACCCTGGGCTTACGGCGATATTCTGAACAATTTCCCCGGTCCTCTTCCGCCTGACCAGGCTGCGTTGTATCGCTCCGTTGTACCAGTTTGCCGGTATTACGTGCAGCTTCGATACTCCCTCCTCCAAGTCCTGTACGACTACATGTTTGCCAACCTGATCAACGGTCTACCAGTCGCACGTGCAATGGTAAGTCCCGCATCTCCCCAAGACATGACTCCGTTACTAACCCACCAAGCTCGTCACCGATCCCTTTGACACAAGCCTCTTCAATTCCAACCAAGGCTTTATCGACAACCAGTACCTTCTCGGCCATAACATCCTGGTCTGTCCTCAGGTTGAGCAAAAGGCAGGACGTCGCGACGTGTATCTTCCAAACTCTGATAATTGGTATCCCTCCAACCTTCGTGTTAACAACCAAGGATTTGGCCCAGACCCGATTCTGAAACATGCTGCTGTGTTGCAGAAACCAGCTCCTGGTGGGAAGATTGTGGACTATGATTGTCATATTCCTGATGCTGTTGCGGATCCAGAGCAGGTCGCTTATGTCACTCCTGTGTATATCCGAGGAGGTGAGTAGAGACTTCTGGTGACATGGATAAAGCTGACAGTTGTGAAGGTGCTATCATTCCTCAGCTTGATGTTCGTCAGTGGGTCAAGGAGGGCGATCTGAACTCGCCTACCATTCATGTATACCCAGGTGGCAAGACTACTGTAAGTACTACTGCGACGCTCAAACAACTTACGCTAAGTGTTCTTGCAGTCATACTCGATGTATCTCGACGACGGTGTCAGCCGCGACAGCGCGCCCATCGACTTGCCCCAGCACAAGTACAAAGACGCAGCACAGTACACCAAAGCAAAGGGTTTCTACCGCGAAGTCAAGCTTACTCAGGTACAAACACTCCTAGCCCTATCACTTCTGCCACAAACTAACAGAGCTCCAGGAAAACACCAAGACAAACCGCAAAATCACCATTCGGCACCAGTGGGACGGCTACGACGCCAAAGCAACAATCGGCGACACCTACAACTTTGCCATCTGGACCGTTCAAGCCACTGCACCGCCCGAGTCACAAATTAGTGTCGACTTTGAGGATGAGAACGGGATGACTGTTATTGACTCTGGACTGACGTCGACTTATATCGTAGGTCGTGGTGTTTTGACGGTTAGCGTACCGGTGCATCTTGTGCCGTCGCTCAAGACACCCCAGAATTATACGCAGGGCTCTTTTGCAGATCGGTACCTGGCTATTAATGTCAGTGGGCTGCCTTGAGAATGGCATGGGGTATTGGATGGGGACACTCTCTTTGCGTCGTTTATTGGGGTTGAAGTCATTCATGAAACATTGGCCAGATTAAAATACCATTCATTACTTGCATCGTATCATTGATACGTGGAGATTTGGGCAGGCAGTGCTAGCGCTAAAGTCGCGCTAGGTACCTCGTTGGCTTCAAGAGTATCTCAATTCGAACCACGTACTTATGATAGGGTCATACTATTCTAACACATGATTACGGTTCCTCATTAGATTTACGATCATATTGTTCAAATATGATGACAAATGTTCAATTCTCTGGCCATCCTAGGGTGCTGGACACCGCCTTTGGGCCGTTTCTCTTCAACGCCCGCTCATAACCGTCTGTGTCACATTGGGCTGCGAACAGTAACATCCGGTGCTACAATGATGAGATGCTCCTTCACGTCAATTAATTCACAGTCTTCAGTGTGTTTTCCTGTTGAATTAGCCCATGCACCAGACGAACAGCACTCAAAATAGACATCGTGCCACGAATCATCAGTGGAGCAGCAAACACCTTGTCCATGTCTGCATCGTGTCTTTGCTGCACCTGCATAATCTACGACATGCATACCCGCAACATCCTCCTCAATCAAGTGTCTTGCAGGAACACGGATCGCCAGTACATCCGCCAAGGATCAGGGCATCATATCATCAACACCACGGAAGGCGGTCATTGACTCACGCCATCGCCGATACATACTACGTTGGCAATCCACTTGGGCATCAATTATACCACTTAATCCAAGGATACAAAACTCTGACTCATGACAACAAGTTCAAATTTCTACCTGCCAGCAAATCTAGCATCGTGTACCATCCCCAATATGCATGCCACATCATCGCGATTCCACCAGTGGGGCTTCACCGCCAAAACCCATTAATCGGTATGGATACCTATTTCAAGCCCTACAATTCTCCTCAATTCTCCCCTCAAACTGCCCATCACTTTTCTCCAAATATCCCCTGTCTCATCAAATGTCCCGCCAGAAGAATGCGTCTCATACACACCAAAACCTTCCAGCTAGAGGAATTCTACGGCCAGCCTCCCGAATATGCCATTTTATCACACACATGGGGTCCCGACGAGGCCACGTACCAAGACTGGCAGGGCAACCTCGAGCTGATGAAGCTCAAGAAAGGTCATCAGAAGATTCGTCGCGTCTGCGAGCAGGCGAGAAAGGATGGCCTCATGTATCTCTGGTGCGACACCAACTGTATCGACAAGAGCAGCAGTTCAGAGGTCTCTGAGGCGTTGAATGCCATGTTCTCTTGGTACAAGAATTCATCGGTTTGTTATGTGTATCTGAGTGATGTGGCGCCCATTGATACGGGCGCTTTTGATCCGATGGTGCAGTTTAGACAGTCGAGGTGGTTTACGAGAGGTTGGACACTGCCTGAGCTGTTGGCTCCTACGTCGGTGGTTTTCTTTGCGAATGATTGGACGACTATTGGAACGAGAAAGACGCTTGCCAACACGATTTCGTTCGTCACCAAGATCGATCAACAATATCTCGACTGCACTTTTTACAAAGCTAGTATCGGCGAGCGCATGTCTTGGCTATCCAAACGAGAGACTGAAAGGGTCGAGGATATCGCATACTGCATGCTGGGTATCTTCGATATCAACATGCAAATCATTTACGGCGAAGGAATGCGGGCGTTCATTCGACTACAGGAAGAGATCATTCGTGTTTCTAACGACCAAACACTCTTCTGCTGGGCCTGGGACGAGCGCTACGTTCCTCACGACTGGGCCAGCATTCTCTCCCCATCACCAAAGACCTTCGTCGACTCAAGCATCTACACAGAATGGCCTGTCCATGAGGCAAAGACATACACCATGACGAATGCTGGCCTTTCAATCAGGCTACCCATCATGAACACCATCACCGAATCAGTCGAGCAATGGCTTGTTCTCCTCAACGCCAGACGAGACTCAGAGAACCAACAAGTCGCACTACTTCTGAACCGCCTACCAGGAAAGGACCGCTGCACTCGCAACCGAACACCACCCTGTCCAGTACCAGTCCTCACAGGATCTACAAAACTCCGAGAAGAAAACATGTTCATCGCCGGAAGTCGAGAGCGCGCCTCATACCAACCCGACTTCCACGGCTACGGCAGCTACGAAGTCCTCGTCACTCTTGATAGCGGCGCCATTCCCTACGACAGTATAACATCATGCCCCCGCCTCGAGTCCGGAACTATCAGCCTCCAATCATGGGACCAAGCAGGCCACTACGGCCGCGTCCTCGCCATCCAAGGCATGCAAAGCATAAAAAAGAACGAAAAGCGCGCATCCGTCTTTATCGCCACCCTCGTCTTCGGCATCGAAGTCATCGGGTCCAAGATCGAATGGTTCTGCAAAATCCGGGGCATACAAGAATCTTCCTCCGCCTTCAGCAACAGCACCCTCGAAGAAGCAGTGTACGAAGAGGAGCAGGATATTCGCTCTCAACTTGCGAGGACAGGGCACTGGCGGGCTATCTTTGATCAAGAGAAGGATACGACCTCTGATACTGTGAGAAAACATGAGATTGATCTGTTGACGTCGGTGTCGTTGAGTTCGGGGGTGAGGATATCGGCGTCGTCGATGATGGCGGTTGCGCATTTGCAATTGGCGCATATTGTTAAGCCGGCGGAGGTTGCACCGTGGGATGATGGGCATAAGTTTAGGACTGCGGATGGAGCGAAGGATTTGTCGAGATGGTTGAGTGCTTTGGAATAAGAAGGAAATGAAAGAAATGGTTTACGTACATGATTTAATGAAAATGATAGATACACATACACTAGAATACCTTTTGCATTTACAGATTGAACAATGAAGAATCTTTATCTTTATACCTCAGGGACAGACATATTTCTACTTCATCTTGATAACTGTCTTCTTTGGACCAAACTCCATAAAGTCCTTCCCCTCAATAGCAAGTCTGCTTACTGTAATAGCCGTCTGCCTTTCTTCAATCTCAACATCCTGATCGCCTTTTAAAACTACCAGGAAGATCAACTGATTCACCAATCCATTCCTCAACACTTCCTTCTTGAGTCTCGACGCAACCAAACACCGATATTTCCCCGTCGGTAAAGTCATGTTATGCTTAAAATTCCTCTCCGTAACACATCCAATCGCCTGATCAGTCCCGGGTATAACTACCTCACTGAACGGATCAGTTCGAATATCAAGCGTTACAGTCCATCCTTCCAGTGTAACCACCTTGTCATCAATACTGACCATCCGCGGAATGAGATCACCGTTCTCAGTTTCTGTTTCAGTAAGATCAGTCGGATACTGCACAGTTCCGCCCCAGCCGGCCCAACTCCAGCTTGGGAAAGCCGATCGTCTTGTAGGCTTGACTGTATGGTCGTGGACCCAGGCCAGTGACTGAGGGAATTCTTTGAGTGGCATGCCCCATTCAAAGCCTTGGGGATAGACTGGTTTACCAAAGCGTGCGAGACCGCCTTGGAAGGCATTTAGAGAATCACCATCGTTGGTAAGAGATCGTGAAGTATACGTTGTCACCGCTGATATGAACATGGAGGAAGTTCGGTCGAGGAACTCGGTATTCGTAGCCTGGACGCGTTAGTGTACAGGACATTTGAAAATGGCTCAACAAACCTCAACGTAACCAGCTTTTATCTTCCCACCAGAAACTTTAGTCCAAGTAAGGTCCAAAGCCGTATTGTGCGCCTCAGCATAATCACTCGGCCCCAGCGTCTCATTACACTGAAGAATCCATTGCGTCTCCGTCAAGTACAACTTTCTCGTAGACAAAACATCCTCTTGCCACGTCCAGGCTCTCGTTTGCCAAACGGAAGACTTTATCTCTGTCATGATCTGTGGAGGGACTACTACAAGCTCCTTTCCGTTGATGCGCTCCCGCGTAGATCCCACGCGTGGCTTTGAGATTCCAGGAATGCCGTAGTCGGAGCGCGGACCTGCGACAGCAAAGATCGTTATTGTGGCGCAGTAGTAGATTAGGTGCATGAGTTGTAGCTGTTTGGCTTTGCTAGCTGCTTGTTCGGGCGTTGGGCTGGGGCTTTGATCGATACAGAGGGCATCAACCTGCACAGTTAGCAACATTTCCAAGAGCGAATGAGACTACCTACCCATAGGTATTGCTTTCCAAGCCTTTTGGTCAGAGTGATGGCATCCTCAATCGTCTGAGGAAGTGTCCCAGCCTCCAAAGCCCCATCAGCTGGGTGAATACCGCCCCAGACATAGCTGAGAGCTAGATAGTCGCAGTTATCAGGACAGTCCACGACCTTTCGGGTATTAACGTCCAGCATTCTCGTAATGAGTAGGCCTTTATCGAACTTAGCATTGCATTGTTCTGAGTGATGCTTCCGGCAATGCTCAAGGCCCTTCCTAATATGATCAACGTTAACCATCCCTTCGATAACCCTGGCGCTATAAGAATCCTCTGAAGAAGAGTTTGGGTGCATAGCAATGGCTTCACCCGTCATCATAGCAACTCTCAACTGCTGACCCGCGCTAAAGAAACTCGGCCCAGACATATCGAGACCAGGTGTTGAAAGACCAAACCAAATGGCGAACTTTGGCTTATGATCTTCCGGAACGCCTTCCCAGTGATCTTGTCGGATATGCCACCGGTAGGGAATGAGAGTGAGAACAGTAGTATCGTGCTCTGGTGGCGGTCTAGGAATGAGTCGATAGAGCAACCGACATAGCGGGCAAGAAGGCTTCATGTGAAACTGTGACAAAAGACCGAAGCGTAGTCTGTATTGTTCCTGTCTTTCAGCGTGTTGAATATACTGGGCCTTTTCTAGCTCGCCTCTCTGGCTTTCATCTAAAGGATCCGCTTCGTTGAAGGCGCGAATGATGTCGAATTTGGCGCATCGTGAACAGAGCTCACTTGGACGGCGGCGGAGTTGTTCTAAAAAATCTTCATCCTGCTTCGTCCATGGCTTCGTGACACCATTTATACTGGGGAAGATCTGAGTTGGCTGACTCTGAATCAAAGGACAAGGCTGGTCTACCGGCTCGAGCTTACGGCAGAAGTAGCACAGTCTTGAATTCTCGATAGACATGTTGGATGTTAGTAGAAAACGACTGGAAGTGGTCTGTGGCTGGGTCTTGAGAGTTATCGCACTATCACTTAAACCATTATACAAAAGCGTCCGAATATTCTGGCTGCACTCTTGTAACTTAACACACAGGTTAGAGGACGCCAGACTATCGAACTAGTATTTGACTGCAAGAAACGCCCTTTTTACTGCGGGGTTGAGCGTCAGTGGTAAGACTGAGTGGATTCTTGAATGCAATGTTGCGTACTCCGTACCGGGTGATAGGATGAGATCAGACAAGGATTATCAGCCTAGCCCACTTCGAAGTGGAAAACGCCTTGTACAGCCACAGCAGACGTGCTCCCAGCTGAGATTTTCAACCCCCATACATCGGCGCTGAAGCTTTCGGGAGATGAAGGCCTGGGACAGCACTTCTTTTCATTTCACTCAGGAATTGGCATTTCCGCCAAAAGTCTTTTGTTAAGCTTGCCGTTTGCAGATTGCTTTCAGAGCTCATCTAACACCATTTCGGTCCAACACATTGTTCTGATCAGCCCTGGGTCGCAAGAATGTCGGCAGCACTTACGGCTCGGCTGGCTCAGCCATATCCTGGACCTTCACTTCCCAGTCCATCGCATATCCGCCTCGTCTACCTACACCCCGGAACAGATGAAGCTGTTTATTGCGAGCCAATAACCGTCTCTATTGAATCCGCACCAAGTTATGAGGCTTTATCATACACCTGGGGCGATCCCTCCCGTAGAGAGAGCATCAACATGACCACGCAAGGCTCCGAGACTACGCAACAATTCTCAGTAACTTCCAACTGCTACTCTGCCCTGAAACGCCTTCGGTATAGAGATAGGACCAGGGTTCTGTGGATTGACGCCTTGGCTATTGATCAATCTAATGTTGACGAGAGAAACTATCAGGTCAGTCTCATGTCAAGGATATACTCTCAAGCTGCGAGTGTAGTCGTTTATCTCGGTGAATCTGGAGACAACAGCGACTTGGCCATCGCATTCATCATGGAATGCGATGGCCCATCCCAAGGCACCACGTCTCTGAGCTTTCCAAAGTCGGATATCTTGATGGGTGCACTCCGGAATTTCTTCCTCCGCCCTTGGTTCACCAGGGTCTGGGTAATTCAGGAAGTCTTCCTATCAACCGACAAGATTATATACTGTGGAGAAAAAGAACTATTACCTCGTCAATACGAGACTACGGTTTCGATTGCCATACGTGGTTTCAGCATCAAACAGACATTTTGAAGAGGAGACTACGGAAGAATTACTGCTGAGGGATCTACTTGATTCGAGGCATTGCGAAGCAACTGACCCTCGTGATAAAGTGTACAGCCTGTTGCCCATACTGCAGTCATTCAATAAATCACTCGGTCTGATACCAAGGTACCAGGACACACCAGAAAAGATCTACACGGATTGCGCTCTCTCTCTATTGCCAAGTTGCGGCTGGAAGATTCTCTACGCTGTGCAGGGTCAATCAACCACATGGAGGCTCCCATCCTGGGTTCCAGATTGGAATGTCCTGCCTCAGCGATATATCATCGGGACAGCTCCTTAGCTTGAAATGAGTTCGTTTTGGACAGACAAGGTGCTCCCAGGTGTTCCCCGCAAACCGCAAATCATCTTACGTAGCTCGGATAAGGGACAGATACCAGTGCTGCATGGGCATGGATATTCATGTGGAAAGATATTGAAACTGGGGTCAACATACATCGCGGGTCAAACACCATTCCCCGCTAAGGAGTGGTATAATCTCGTTAACAAGATTGATCTATCAACACGAGTCGACAAGTCTGGATCTGGTTCACCCGACCCGAAGTTTCCTCATCGATCAGAATCCTTCGTCAAGTTCCTTCGGCTTGCTCGTTACCTTTACTCTTCGAGCATGAAAGAAGAAGAAGAAGACCCTGCAGATGATCTGCCAAGACCAGACTTTGTCATCGGCGGCGCACGCAGCTCCTACGAGGGATACAGATTTGGTTCCAAGTGGAAAGATACAATACGGAAATTGGCCACTGAGAGGAAAGATGGAGTGCTACCATTCAGGGATATCCCTTTTCACTATGCTGCGGCGGGGTGGCCGCCGAGTTATGGGAATACTATAAGAGGGAATCTGGAGGCTTGCCATCTGCGGCGGTGTTTCGTTACAGATACAGGATATTTCGGTCTTGCACCTGCGGAAGCAGAAAATGGGGACCGGGTTTTCTTATGCGTTGGGGCGTCGGTTCCGTTTGTTCTGAGGGAAACTCAGAGCAATGGAGGTGATGAGTTTGACTTGGTTGGGGAGAGCTATCTGCAAGCTGGCGCGTGGTTTGAGATGGTCAACAATGACAGTCAACCTCAAGCTCTGTATATCATATAATTCTAGTAACTTAGTAAGCTTTATCTACTTATCAAGACTCAATCCTGATAAAGAATTCCTGCTCATCATGCTTCCTCTCAACAACTGCCCTCCTCACAAGATCATCCGCAACAGCTAACCTCAACTTCTCTGTCGTACACGGAGCATCCAGTACCAAAGGTTCACTAACACCATTCATCTCCCTCGCAGACTTAACTGCTTCTCTCAAAGCGAAGAATACAGCACAGCCCAAGAACAGAGGAGGTTCTCCTACACCTTTGCTGCTTTGGATGGAGCCTAGCTTTGACCAATTGACGGGGTTGCCTTGGGAGTCGTGTTGAAGGGTATTAACGTTGAAAATTTGAGGGATGTCGGAGAAGCCTGGGGCGGGTTAGTGGATAAGGAATTGGGTGGATGAGAGCAGGAATTACCAGGGATTTTGTATGTTCCTGGGCCTTTGGTGAAGATTTCGCCTGATTTCATCCAGAGGGACTCTTCCATCGTGAAGAGACCTTGGCCTTGGACGAAAGCGCCTTCGATTTGACCGTAGTCCATTGCTGGGTTGATAGAGCGTCCAATGTCCTGCAGGAGAGTCAGCACGGATTGGGGATTGCTTCAGTGACCACGTACCATCATGAGATCAGTTCTTAGTACTGTCGAGTCTCCAGTGAGAGTATCCAGCTCCACCTCAGATATGGCCCTAAAGTCATCGTTAGCAAAACCCCCGTACAAGGATGATACAGTAAAACTTACACTCCTTGCGTAAAGTAATAGTACCTAAGCCCTCAAAGTCAGCAGAGCTTCACCACCAGAGACCAATCACTCACATAGGCAAAGGATCCTTCCAATTCCCCCACTCATACCCAATTCTCGGCATCTTCCAAAACCCATTCGCCGCCAAATTCACTCTATCCCTATACGCCGCATGCGCAATAACCGCCATACTAGCATCCTTACCAAATTTCTCCCTATACGGCTTCAACCTCTCATTAATCTGATCACAGGCATTCTTCACAGCTTGACCGTTTATGTCACTACCAGACGATGCAGCGGTCGGTGAAGCATTGGCGACTTGGTCGGACTGGGACTCTTTGTTGTAGATTGAATCGACGCTCACGTTAAGCTCTTCGGCTGCGACTTGGGTCATTTTAGTGTAGAGCCCTTGACCCATTTCTGTGCCGCCGTGGTGGAGGAGGACGGAGCCGTCTTCGTAGATTTTGACGTAGGCTGCTGCTTGGTTGAGATGGAGGGCGGTTGCGAAACTGGTTCTGTAAGCAAGGCACTGCTTAAATGTTTCGGGAGACGTACCTTAGACCAAACTTGGTTGGGATTCTAGAGATACCTCGCTTCTTGAAGCGATTCTTCACATTGAACTGTTTGATGGCGGACTTGCGCTTCTCAAACTCGGAGGAAGAACTAAGCTGCTCCATCATGGTGGGAACATGGAAGTCGTCTGTGATCTCCTGCAGGAAGGGTGTTCGTTGACCGACTTCGTACAAGTTCCGCATGCGAAGATCATCAACGTCCATGTTCAGAGACTCTGCAATCTTGAACATGATCGTCTCAGTGATGTACATCCCCTGTGGACCACCAAATCCTCTGAATGCCGTGTTGCTGACTGTATTCGTCTTGCAGACGTGGCCTCGAATCCAAGCATTGGGAATGTGATAGCAGTTATCGACGTGGGTACAAGCTCGGTCCCTATTATCGTTAGCACCTATCCCATCACCTCCAAGGGCATCTTACATGACTGCACCGCTCATATCCAGCGAAGCACCCGCATTATTATAAATATCGATATCCAAAACCTGAATCTTACCCTGCTCATCAACACCAACCTTCCACTTTGACTGGAACGGATGTCGCTGCCCACTAAACGCAATATCCTCATCACGATTCAACATCATCCTCACAGGCCTTGAAGTCTTTTGCGCCGCGAGAGCAAGATACATAGACAGAGCTGTCGTTCGTGACTCTTTACCTCCATATGCACCCCCCATTCTTCGAACGCGCATGTTGACTCTGTTCATAGGCACGCCGAGGACTTGAGCGGTGAAGACTTGGTTCTCCATGAGGTTTTGGGTCGAGATGTATACCTCCATTGAACCATCTTCCATGTGCGGAATTGCAAGTGCTGCGTTGGTTTCGAGATAGAAGTGTTCTTGGCCGCCCATGCGGGTGGTGCCCTCGAGGACGTGGGCGCATTTGCTGAATGCTTCGTCCAGAGAACCACTAAGGGCCTCACCCTTGCGGAGTTCTTTGCCGTGTTTGAAGAAACTCTTGGCTTTGATGGCTTCGTCGATTGTGAAGATGGCAGGGAGGCGCTTGTATGTTACTGTGACTGCATCGGCGGCAGCTCGAGCTTGAAGCGCTGTCTCGGCGTAGATCATACCAATCACTTGACCGTAGTAGTTGGAATTTCCATCTGCAAAGATGAGCTCATCAAGAACAACAGGGCCCCAGGTATTCTGTTCCTTGGTGATGCTATCCTTGTCGATGTATCCGACTACACCAGGCATCTCCAGCGCAGTTGAGTAATTCACACTAAGAATCTCAGCATGAGCTGCTTTGGACATGACCAGAGCTCCGAAGAGTTCGTTGTGCTGCCGTGGCATGTCATCAACATATTCTGCTTCGCCGGTACAGTGCTTGACGGCGGAGAGGTGAGGAATCGGACGGCCGACTTCCTTGGTACCCCGGTTCAACATTGACGAGGTGAAGTTGTCACGGTTACCTGAAGAAATACCGCGGTGGATTTCTTCGATGAGATCGGCGTCGACTTCGCCGAGACCTAGATCGTGAACCACTTCGTGCCAGAAGCGGAAGAACATGGAGATCGTGAGAACTGTGGCGCGGTTAGGGAAATATAAGTTGGATGCTTATAGGGATGAACTGACCTTTTCGGTAATGTGCCATGCCACCAGGTACTCCAAACGGAAGCTTGAACTGCTCCAAAAGTGCATCAATCGCAGCATCCAATGTCTTCATGTCAGACCACTTCTTCCCCATGACACCCTGCTGTGCCTTATCAGCCATAACAGTCGTCGGCGCCATACCGCCAATGGCAAAAGCAGCATCCTGAACAACACCATCCCCATCCAATTTAACTCTAAAACCAGAAGTGACGATAGCGATGTCATCGTCTTTCCTCTTCGCCTGCTTGTAAGCCTTCGTGATCTCAAGATTCTCTTGACTTGGAAGCGGGATCACAATCTCTGTTATGACTCCATCTTCTGGAAGTGCAGTTGTTCTGTAGGACAAGAACCATGAAGATAACGGAATCTCAGTTGTGCCGCGAGCTTGAGAATGGATCTTTACCTTAGCGCCTGCAGCTAGAAGAACGGGCGCAGAGTCAGAGATGGGACTTGCTGTAGCTAGACTTCCTGCAAGACTCGCCACGTTCCGAATCTGTCGGCCCGCGAAGTACCGAAGTTGTTTTCGAAGGGCTTCTAGCGCTGATGCTCGTCTACCAAGCTTGGCGTAGAGCGTAGTACACATCTCCTCAACCTTGGTCAAGGAAAGGTTTCCAGGTATACTGATATTCTTCAGCGATTCCAGCTCAGCTTGTTTCATCTGCAGAGGATCGACATTGAAGCTATTCAGCTCAGCGACATCTGCTGCAAACACGGAGACGCGATAAGCTCTCTTCTTGAAGCGAACTTCGATCTGCGTCTCACTCGCGCCACCGACGATCTTGGCCTCTGGATACACGCCCTTCAAGTCGATCAACTGTTGGAGGTTTGTTGGTCGGAACCAGAGTCGTCGATCATCGCCGTAGCATATCGGTTGAGGTTCGTACTTTCGTAGCGCTGGTGGGAAGATGGGCTCTGTTGAGGGGTCGTATGGTAAGAATGTCTCGCCGAATGCAGGTTTGTCAGGGGATCTTGGAGGTGTACTTGGTGTTTCGTGAGGCCTGGGAGCTGTGATGGGTGTCTCCATCTCTTTCGGGCTCGATTCATCCACGGCAGTTGAGCCGCAGCCTCTTGAGTCGGGATTATCTCGACAGCAGCCTCCAGGACGACCGCAAGAGCCTGTCTTGTTTACTTCACGCGCGACTGTCGCATAGTCGTCTTCTGTGTTCTTCTCGGGAGTTATCTCTTTGCCGCTGATCTCGGCGATGGCCCCGTTGAGGTCCTCTGTGATGAAAGTTCGTGCTGCTTCGAAAATGGGTTTGTAGCCGGTCTAATCACTGTAAGCAGATGAAAGAAAAGCTAGCTAGGGGTATCTTACACATCGACAGAGGTTTCCGTCAAGGTGCCCCTGTAACTCGACTTCGGAGTTGGTAAGGTGGAATTTCCCATCTCGGTATGAGTTTCTGATGAGTGCATACAAGCTCATGACAATTCCCGGCGTACAGAAGCCGCACTGCGTACCACTACTCCAATTAACCTCATACCTTCACTCAACCCATAATTTCACTTACTGCATCTTCGCAATCCTCTCCTGAAGCGGATGCGGCCTCTTGACAGTCCCCAAACCCTCAACAGTGATGAGACTCTTGCCATCAACGCCAACAAGTGGATACAAACAAGCATTTACAGCAAGATGTCTCACCCGTCCATCTTCCAAAGTCTGTAGCACTACAGTGCATGCTCCACAACCTCCTTCTCCGCATCCTAATTTCGTCCCTTTCAAAGAATCTTGAGCTCGGATCCAATCGAGAAGAACCCAATCGGGATTGGGGTTCTTTACCGTGACTGGTCGGCCATTGATGTAGAATTTTATATCGGAGGTTCTGTATGTTGTTTTTATGAGGGCTGCGAGGGATTCAATTGGGGTTTTGGGGGCTGTTTCATCGGTGTCGGATAGGGGCGGTGATGGGAGAGCGTCTTGTGAAGCCTTCATTGTAGCGATGTGAATACTGAGTGAGATAGACGTCAATTGGTACAGATGAATACAGAATTAGGTTTGGCAATTCATCAAACATCAAATGGGAGAAACAAAATGGTCAGCTCAACTAGCCCCCTCCCCTCTAAAGTCAGCCACTCGGACTAGTTGTAGTTATCACGAACTATCATCCCACCCTTGCCCAGTCCCCATCCTTGAATGATACGCCACCCAACGACTCCCCCGCATTATCACAACGGCCCCATTCTTGTTGATTGGTCTATTCCCGGGATTTAAATCTTGAAGCGTTATCTCCCGTTGTGTTTCCGGCACGTTGTACATAGATGAGGGGTTTGTGTGGCCGAGATAACCGAATTATCTATCTAACTCGAAAGTGGGAGGAGGATGCCCACTTCTGTTGCTAATATTCCCGAGTTATTACTTTACCCCGCGTCGATGCTGTAGATTGAGGATCTGCTTGCATGAACTCGAGCGGTTTGGGGACCTATTGGATCGGAGGAATAGTCATTCCCTTTATTATACTTTCTCATTTTGGTAGGTAATCTATCTGTTTCACAAGAGTGGCACAGTCTCTTCAACGCATGGATAGGCGAATGCAGACCCTCTTGAGCTCATTCTATGGTCCAATCTCCATCGAACATGGGGTTAATCTTCAGCTGACCTAACACATCCTCGCTCGCATTCTTCTTATCAACTTCCTTATCGCCAATTGTCCAGTTTGTGATATGAATACCCAGCGTCAAGTTCCCCTGCCCAGGAGTGTAATTATCCATTCCCTCCCCCGCGTCCATACCAACGACGCTTCTCCCAAGCCTAAATTCTGAGTCTTTATGCAACATCTCAAAGCGCACATTAGACATCTTCAAGTCAAAGTTTTGCATCGGAGCAATCGTCATGAGCGCTGCACAAATCCCCTCGCAAACAACATCGTCAATCTTGACTTGCATCGTCCTCTGAGTATCGATCTCCTTTGGATCACCGTAAAACGGCGATGCGCCCAGAACAGCTGACGGAACATACGCATCGGGCTTGATCCACCGATTATGAATGATGCGAAGCTTGCTTACAGACACGTCGCTTACATTACGTGGTTTCCAGCCCATCTGAATAATCGCGTTGTTCCGGGCTTTCCAGATCGTAAGAGCGTGAAGTTGGGCTCCCGAGTGATATAGTTTGATGGCATCGTCATTGACGTGCCAGAAAACATCGCGAACTGAACCTCTGTACATCTGGGTTCCGTCGGTTTGGAAGTAATATGCCCCAACTTGCTTGTAATCACGGATATACGCGCTGACCTTGTTGTCTTCCTCGTGAGGAGTGCTGTTCACAGGATAGAGATCCATGGTGTTGAATGGCGGGGAGTTCAGAGTTGGACCAATGCAGTGCCATGTCTGATTATCCATTACGGACTGGTGCCAGAACATGCGGAGACTGTACCGGTCGTCCTTCACTGAAGTATAGTTCTTGACTGTGTTGGCCATGTATACATAGTTCTCGCCCGACAGCACTCCATAGCCGACCGTATGGAAAGTGGGGTGTTTCGTTGTGTATTCCAGCGCTGCTTTGACGTAGGCACCAGGCTCGAAATATACATAGTGAGTGTTCGGATGCAACTTGATATGGTCTTTGCCGACAATGCCATCCTTCTCTATCCAATGAATTCCAGATTCGAAGATCATGGTTGGTTTGGACCCGAAAGTGTCTTGCGTCACCTTGCCTGAGTGGATGACTTGGACATTGCTGGATGTCTTACACGGAACAAGGTCTTTGGGAAGAGGCGGGCTGGCGAAGATGATAAGACCATTCTTAGGCTCCTCGCTGACAATGACACCACCATCATTCACATAATCAGTGCCGTTGGACCTGTACGTGACGAGATCATCCCGAAACTCAACAGAGAATCTCGCCCCAGACTTTTGGAAAGGTACTCGAATCAAGACAGTATTATCCTTTGGGCTCTTGATTTTGAAACCAAGGTCAACAGGGCGAATTACAACGTTGGAGGCTGGGCCAATCGAAGATCCGTCGGTAGTAACAATCCGAACATCGACGTCTTTGCGGTAAACAAACTGCGTCCAAGCCATGTTGATGCCCTCATCTGCCTCAATGGTAATCCCGTCTCCATCCGCAAAGTCATACTCTTTCTCAGGCTGAGCTGGGTCGAACATCTTGCCGTTGCCGTTACGGGGAATTGACTCATAGACGAAAGAGCGATGGAAGTCATCTTCACCCGCCAGTGAAATAGAGACCTTATATCGCCGTGAACGTCGAACCTCATCAGCCGCTACCGAAGCATTGGTGTTGATGACTGAGCTGTCGTGCCACCATGTCGTGACATCAGATTTAGGTTCTTTTCCTTCGCAAAGTCGGGCTGCTGTGAGGAAGCCGAAGAACTTCCAGCATGGTAGTACCATATTTGTAACTAGCGATTCAAGAAGGGATAATCTCAGCGCTTGAAAAATTCTCAGTCATGCTCGGCTTCTTAGGTATAAATATTGCCAGCAGACCTCATCTTATAGATGAAATCACATACTTGAACATATCCACATGTCAAGAGGCCTCATTGCGTGTCAATTGCTTGATCAGATACAGAAACGGACCGACAAGACGTTGTTGGTCCAATGATAGGCTCTATGCCGAGACCCCATACATCTTGGCATCCACAGACTTTAGCGAGTAAAGCCGACTGATTCCTGCGGGTGCGGCAATTTCATGCAAATACATGTCAAAACTTCCCGAGAATCACTCCGGAGTGACAAGAAACTCTTCTGGTGGCGCCAGTGATCAAGGGAATAAATATTGTGACTTTGGACTATATAGAAGACTTGTATATGAAGCGTTTATTGCTCTTGGTTCGAGGCTGAACATAGCAATCTCGCTTTGAATTGACTTATGCTACTGCCTGCCTCTGACAGCTTTGCAAGATACCACTTGACATTAACCCATCCAAGAAAGAATGGCCAGTCGAGTCTAGCACTTGAACTTCATAGACTTCCACTCATCTCCAATGTTGAAGCAGTCATAGAGATTAAGGCCCTTCTGGGAACAGCCCTGGCAGTTCTTCTGCCTATATCTAATCACTAAAGTAAAAGCTGGTAAGCAGGGCTCGATATCGTGTTGATAGGGATTACAACTCACTATGACAGCTGCTTTTCCTTCTCTCTGCCATGCTAACAGCATGGTCTGCACCAGCCAGGTCTTTGATGCAATGCCCACTCTGGAAACCTTTTCTGGATCGCTGGGTATGGCATGTAGTGGTAGTCTAGAACCTAGCCGTTACCTCGGCAGCTCGGCTCTCGAAATGAGACTTTAAGCCAGCGGGAAGGGTGTCAATAGGGTTGGCTAGGGCTGGAGCAGCGAGAAAAGCAATGGCTGTGGTGATGAAGACGTTGAAGGGCAGGTTGGGCAGGGGGGTTGGTATACAAGTCCAGATGAAGGCAGTGTTGGATAAAGATGAAGTCGGAAAGATGAAGAGTCATTCAGATGTTTATAGTCGCGATGTCCTGGGAGGAGGAGGTTTAGCAAGCGTGGCTCCCTTGCCTGCTTCATGCATTCAACATGTTGTGGCAATCAATATCACTACGCCGCTTGACTGCAAATATACGGTGTGCTCTGGCGTCCATTCAGTGCGAGGATATCAATATCTGCGGTTTACTAACTTCCGGATTAATACGGCTCCCGAGAAAACGTTCCTGAGGAAGGCTGCAGGAACTGCAATAGTGACTGCAATCAGCAGTCTGTATAATGGTTTTATTTGAACCCGCATAAATGGCCCCCAAGAAACAATGCTGGGACCTCAATGGAGCTGATACGTACTGCATATATCCCGCATTTTTATGTGTATATGAAGGTCTAGATTCAAGGCAACGCCGCCTATTTAAAAGCCCTGCGTAAAAACATGTACACATACTAAGTTAGCTGGCGTTTCTGACGTTGCTGAAAATAAGAGTCGGGATCCGATTTATAGTAAGGACGAGGCTCGCTACTATCATCACATTGAGGAGACCAGTCATCGAGGGTTGAATAGTTGATAGCAATCTATGTCCGAAGATGCGTTCAACTGGTCAATTCCAACAAAGAACAAAGTTCCAAAGTCTGCATAGTGATTATGGGATCTCAGCCAACGGGCAGCTATAAATCACATTCTAGTAGGGGCTCGTGAACTCAGCTGAAAAGGGAGCCGGATCATCCAGCCGAAAAAGGGATCATGCAGGCTCGGAGTTTTTAACACGATGCAAGTAACTCTAATTGGACTCACCCTTTATGAATTACCCAAAAGAATGGTACGAGCTAGTTGTGTGGCATTGGGGGCGGAAAAGAAAGTCTAGACTGAGGACCGAGGGTGTATAGAAAAGCACACTGATAGGGGCGGCTTCAAGTTAGAGCCTTATGTGTTGAACGAGATATCATAATTGAACCTCGCGTAGCTCTGGTTCATGGTAGCTGAGTTTGTTGCTCTCTGGATGGCATGGTCAGTCGATCGAGGCCAAGATCTAGGCAAATAGTAGAACCTCTTCGACCCCGATGATCGTCCTTGGCAGTCTTTTTAATCACATCGAGATCCACTATTCTGCAGTTCGCCTGAACAACTTAACAGGCTCGGTTGTGCGCGTCACAGACGGAGCATATGTCCCCGCCGGAAGAAACACAAAGAGACAGGGACACATACCTTCCTGCAGCCAAGCCGGCTACATCGGGTTCAGTGCTTTGTTTAAGTGCAAGCCAAGAGCATCTTGGGGTTCAATGGGATAAGCGTATCAAGAGATTAGGTGAAATCTTATCAAGAATTCAGGTAAAAGTCTGAAGCGCAGAAAAGCGAAGGTGTGGTCAAACTCGAGAAGTTCATTATCTAATATTCTTTTAAACACATACTAAGCTCTCTTCAATGCCTCAGTTCTCGACAGGCTGTTGGGATCAAGGTAAGGCTTCTCGCCAATGCCTACAGCCCTGTGACCCGTGCGCTCACCAAGACCATCGTAATCATTCGTGGCGCTATGGAATGCACTGCGGTTATCCCAGAATGCTATGTATCATTAGCTTGACCCTCAACCACCAATTCAATAAGAGTGCTTACCAATATCGTTGGGACTTCTCCAGCGGAAGCGAACCTGAAGATCATGGTTCTGTTCAATCCTCTTGTAGAGCGACTCCAAGATCTCTCTGCTCTCACGCTCACTCAGCTCATTAATGCGCTTGGGGAAGTTTCCGATCGCAAAAATAGACTTCCACCCAGTGACGGGGTTTGTTCTAACAACGGGATGAATAGCCTTGAGCTCATCACCGATATTGGCGGGATTTCCTCTCGGTTCCTCGTAGACCTTATAATGATCGGGTCTTGCATCTCGTGCCCTCAAAAACCCTTCGCCAGAAAACGTAGCAGTCAAGCCCTCAAAGAACTTCCTATAAGGATCGCTATATCGATCATAGAGCTCATATCCCGAAGCCCAAAGCGTATCGCCACCTCCTGCCGGGAGTTTTGTAAGTCTCAGACTCGTGTAATCAGCGGGATACTGCTCGAATTGGATATCGCTGTGCCAGCTTGCAGCGCCTTGCTTTCGATCATCACGATCCTTGATTCTGTCCTGGAAGAACTCAACGTTTGATGAAATAACGCTGATTTCATTGTCGTCTACGCCGAATTCATTGGTGCTGTTGAGGAGAGGGTGGATGTGAAGTGTTGAGTCCTTGGGTTTGTTGGTTAGTTCGCCGAGGCGGTGGACGAGCTGCTTGTGCTGTTCGTCTGTGAGGTTGTCTTGGGCGCGGAAAAAGACGACACCTCGCTGTGAGACTGGAGATCATATGTTAGAGGTGAGTCTGGTGAGTGGGGATGGGACGCACTGGTGATGGCGAGATCGCGGATCAGTTCGTCTGCGTTTGGGGCGTTGATGATGTCGTCGACGAGGTTGACTTTGGGATATTCACGTCCGATGACGGGGGTCGACTCTTCAAAGGTGAACTTGTCGAGAGCTCCAGAGGGCTGAAGGGGTTTTGGGTACTTGTTGGCTTCGACGTTGAGCGGCACGATGCGCTCAGCCTGTTGAGTGATGGTAGCAGTAGTCGACATGTTGAGCTATGTTTGGCCTGTCGTAACAAAGCAGTCTTGTCTTTGATGAACGAAAAGATCCTTCGTCTGGGGTTCTATGCTTTCCTTATATATAATAGCATCAGTCCCCACTACGCGTTATCAGATCGCACAATCCACCATTTCACTTACGACATCGCATATTACCGCGATTGACCTCGCTAACCCCGCAGAAACAGGTACAAGGCAGGTCTAGTGAGTCATGCCGTTGGTCTTGCGCTTTCATCATGGTCGATGGTGTCACTTTAGCTTCTACAACCATTGGATATGAGGCCGGAGCTGCGCTTACGATAACGTTGTTTCATCCGCATCATCGGTCGATGACCCATTCGGAACTCGGAGTAACTCGGATCTCGTTCCATTACTGTTCTTATTGGATGATCGGGGATCAGGTAGTCGCTTTGAGCTCCGAGATATCGGTTGTCGCAAGCATCTGAATCGGACAAGCCCTCCCTACACTCGGCCATGAATGTCCTTTCGTATTAGGTGACCAAAGTTGACAATTTCATCATGTCTCGTCTTTCCGACAGGCCGAGAGGATGATTTATTTCAAGCTCAAAACCATGTGATTAGGCCCGTCTTCTTTGCAATTTGGTAGATCGATGGGAGTTCTGGATGGCGTGCTAGCTTGTCAAACCCCCGAGGTTGCACGTTATCCACTTCGTCATTAGAGCCTTGGATGGTGAAATGCGGAGGTCTCCATTGAACTAACGCACTGATAAAATGTTAGCATGGGCCGATTTCATTGATAAGATTAAAGAAAAATGGTAATTCCCTATTTTCTTTTGGTGCTGTGCTACTGAGAATAGATTGCTTGCTGTGAGCTTGGAGACCAGCGAAGGTAAAAGAAGTTTGATCGAAGTCTACTAGAATAACGGTAAAAGAGACACATCAGCCATCGCAAGGGGAAAACACACAATGTCTCTGAACTGAGTAGCAATTAAATTAATTTTCAAGTAAGAGATAAATTCTACCAGATAGTCGAGTTGCAAACAATGGCATTTGGTATCATTTTGATCTTCTGATAGGATAACATGGACAAGCTCAGGGTAGCTGGGGCTGATGCCCGGACAAAGGCTTTTCCACCCACGGTTATCGATAACAAAACAGAAGCTTTGCTGAGACAAAGATTCCCCGGAATAATGCCAGACATGTCCTCCGGCCATTCAGCCCACTTATCACCGGAGCCGTCCCCGAGCCCCGACAGGCCCGGCCTCAAGTTCTTCCGCCCCTAACCAAAGGCGGAGAACCAGCCGCCGACTCCGCCTGATATCCGCCCTCCGCAAAGATTTTCCAGTGTGACACACAAAACAGGCAGGCATGGAGTCTGCGAAGCGGAAGCGAGCCGCCAAAGCCTGTAATTACTGCAGAAAGAGGTATGCTCTTTACTATTTGATGCTTAGGTACAAGGTTGTGCTAATTGGTTGCTAGGAAAAGGAAATGCGATGGCAGACAACCTGTTTGTACGCTCTGCGAAGAGGCGAATAACTCCGAGTGCGAGTATCGCGATGAAGGAAATGAGTCAAAGTGAGTTTCGCCGTCATAATCCACGGTATGAGACTGATTTAGTTAGGCGAATTGCCATCCCTGTTGATCGCGTTGATGAGATCTTTGATCGTCTTGAATCACTCGAATCAACCTTCCAATCCGCAATAGCTCGTCAACGAGATCGAAGTCCCATCTCAACACCTTTTCCAGCATCGACTCCTTACCCAGCCTCAACACCCTACGCACCATATCCCATAGTGCGACATAACGAACCAATTAGCCCTGAAGATGGAATAGTGGCTGCTTCATCTGTGCATTCAACAGGACCAGGAACGCAAACTTCGTTGTCTCAATTCGCTAATAACAATGTCTTCAATACAACGATGGACATTCCACTTTCTCACTCATCAACAACAGGGAATTTACTCAGGTCTGCGCCAGCGAAAGCACTCCTGGGTCATTACCCTTCAGATCTGTTTCTACATATCGAGTTAAGAAGACCAATTCCCGAAGGGCTGAGATTAAACGCCGAACCAGCGAGTCAAATTGACCTCCCGACACTATCACCCAACGAAACAGATCATCTCGTCAGGAATTACTTCCAGCTCGTTCATCGCTTCCATCCAATCCTTGACCAACGAGCCTTTTATGATCTGTACGACAGAACCGTTGACCACGGCGCACGGCCTGATCTTCCCTCATCACTGGTCCTCGTTGTTCTCGCACTAGGTTCTGTTGCCGCTGAGACGCCGAATCGAATGGATGCGAGTTGGAGTCCTGGGGTAAAGTTCTTTACACCTGCTGTGAGACTTTTACTCACGGAGTCGTTGTGTTCGTTTGGTGGAGATCCGCTTCTACCGCAGGCGTTGTATCTCGCTGCGCTGTATTATAGCTATTTGTCAAGGCCGTTGCTTGCGTGGAGGTTGGTGCATATGGCGTCGACTGATGTACAGCATTATTGGATAAGGTATGTATAGATGTGGTTGGGATTAAGATCCGTACTGACTTGTCAGATCTGAGAAGTTGCTGCGAGATGGTTCGCAAGACCAGTCAATTCTGCGAGTCTTTTGGGCCATTCTCGTGCTCGAATGGTAAGTCACCCACTCTGTGTTGTCAAGTTATTCTCTAACTATCGCCAGTGACATCCTCGCAGAGCATCATCTCCCTCGCAGTGGCATCGAAAAGATCGTCGATAAACTCCCCTACCCATGGTCCGACGGCCCCTCCGAACCCTACATGCACCGCTGGCTCGCCGATCTCTCATCCCGTCGCCTTCTGAACAGAATCCACTACGTCCTCTACGCAGAAGCTGAGCCAGGTACAGGCGATAACGCAGCGGATAACTCTGAAGAAACGCAATCGAGTCTTCCAAACTTGGCTCATGAATTGAACCGCCAGCTTGGAGCGTGGTATCATCTCCTCCCTCACAGCATTAGACCCAATCTCGAGATTCCTCCGATAGGGATTGATGATACCATGGTTACTATACGATATCACACGACAGGCGACATTATCTACAGGCCTTTTCTATATCAAGTTTGCGCCCTCGCGCCAGGTACACAACCCAATCCCGCGACACTCGGGAATGCGAGACAATGTCTGGTACACTGTCGTCGGTATCTCAATGCAGTTGAATTCGCAGTCCATGCACCGACTGCATCTTTGGAGAATCTCTTACACGGGTATGTCTACAACAAGAGTACAATAACAATTACTAACAGTCCCAGGACCATGGCGGTGGTATTACTCCTCTCATTCGCAGCCTTCTCAAGATTGGATGCCCTCAGGGTCCCTGATCTCAACCAATTACAAGACAAGGGAATAAGGATCTGCGAAAGATGGGCGTTTCCAGGCTCAAGTATAGAGCAAATGGTTGTAATTCTGCGCGCCCTCCGAGCGAAGTGCATCGATACAGGATGAGGGTCAAGTCCATAGAAAACAACGTCAATGTCTCGATTACAGAAAACTACTGAATCCGGTACCGTGACTGTGCATATCCGGCCCCGGAAATGATCAATCCAAAGGCGAGGTCCATTGATTTTTGACATCAAGGGCGCGCGCTAGTCATCGTTGGGAGCAGGGCCGAGACCTGTGGCGAGATCTTTCCAGAAGCCACTCGTTCAGATCTGCATAGCTTTAAAATTTTTGGACTCGGAGAGTTTATCTGACTTTCCTTGTTAGACTTATTCAAGTATTTTAAGCCGCCCAGCTAAGCCCAATTCTTGAGATCCAAAATCTGGAGACCCACTCACCGCCAACTCCTCCAATATCTACCCCGGCTACAAAGTATTGATTACTCAATCGTTACCATTAGTTGAGTTTCATCAATTAGTCGCATCATGACTGCCAAGGACTCCCAACAGGCTCAGAAAGGAGTCATCATCAAGCCTGCAACACTCACCGATGCCAATCGCATTGCAGAGCTAGGCGCACATGTCTTCACAATAACATTCGGGCACTCCGTCGAACCCCACGAACTGGCCGCCTTCCTCGAAGAATCATACACAGAAGCATCCATCATCAACGACTTAAACGACCCAAACAAAGACGTAATCATCGCGACAAACTCAAACGATGATTTTCTTGGCTTCGCATATCTCACCCGAGGAAGCAGTGAACCTTGCGTAGAAAACATAGAAAAAACCGTTGAGCTGCAGAGGATCTACGTACATCCTGATTCTCACGGCGCTGGTGTTGGAAAGGCTTTGGAGAAGGCTATTGAAAGCATGGCGAAGGAGCAGGGGTTCAAGAATTTGTGGCTTGGTGTCTGGGAGGAGAATCCAAGGGCGATTAGGGCGTATGAGAAGTGGGGATATAAACAGGTCGGGGACCATGATTTTACTATTGGGTCAATTGTTCAGACTGATCATATCATGGTTAAGAGTTTGTAGATGGAATACACATGGAACAGGCAATGGATCATGGATTGATGAATTTGGCGTTAGATAGTGGACTTGGAGTATGGCACTTAGATAGACAGGCCAGACTAGAGGTCAATTAGCTTCTTTACGATCAACACCCTTTCCATCATGTCTCGTCTCTCAATGCTGTTCGGTGTTCAAGACCGAGATATTGAGACTCAATTGATCAAATCTGCATTCAAGCATTTTCGACCCTCGGAAGCAGGTCCGATAATGCTAGGTGAATGACCAATGACAAACCCCTCGGCACCAATTCGCTCTAGACCTTGCTGAGAATGACTGTGCCTGTGATTCGCCGATCTAGACCGGCCCGGTCGATGTGAACGACGCCCTCTCATACTGGCGGCCCGCCTTCTCCGCCAAACCTTTATTACTTGCGATATCCGTTCGTTTTACACCAGCTTGAAAACTTCAAGATCACATATATCTCTATTTGCCCAAAAGTCATTCCAATAATACAAAGACATATACTCGACATCGCAATCATGTATATCCGCGCCGCCCACGCCGAAGCAGACCTCCGCGTCCTACGCCATCTCATCCACGAAAACCCCCTCGGAATGCTCACAACCGGCATAAAGTCCCAAACCCACTCCTTTCTCCAAAGCAGCCACATCCCTTTTCTTCTCGACGTACAAGATGAATCCAGCGAAACAGAACTCGGTCGTCTGCGCGGCCACTTGGCCCGTCAAAATCCCCAAAGCAAAGCCATGATCGAACACTGCACCTCCAACCCCTCTCTAAAAAACTATCTCGAAGACGAAGTCCTAGTAATCTTCACCAAGCCGGATCATCATTATGTGACCCCCAAATTCTACACCGAGACAAAACCAGCGAATGGAAAGGTTGTGCCGACGTGGAATTACGCCGCGGCGCAGGTTTATGGAAAGGCAAGGATTTACTATGAGAACAATGAAGAGACGTCTTCGTTTCTGGGAAAGGCGATTAGTGATCTCACGGATCATAATGAGAGGAACACGATGGGGTATACGGGTGGCGAGAGACCAAGCCAGTGGAAGGTGTCTGATGCGCCGGAGAAGTATGTTGAGTTGTTGAAGAGGAACATTATTGGGATTGAGATCGAGGTTACCAAGCTGGAGGGCAAGTTCAAGATGAGTCAGGAGATGGGAGAGGGGGATAGGGAGGGTGTTATCAAGGGTTTTGAAGGGTTGGGGACGGAGGTTGGTGATGAGATTGCAAGGGTCGTTAAGGAGCGTGGGGAGCTGAAGGATCAGAAGAAGTGATCTCAAGAGATATTGACATGCCCATGGGCATCTTGAAGGGTAGATCGAAAACATTAATGCCTAACTTAGATCTTCTTGTAGACTCGGGGATGAAGCCATGATGAATCCTTGGTGTCAAGGTTAGCACGTTAAGAGCCTATCGCACGATATACAGGTCGTAGGTTGAACGACTGGTACAGATTGACATCTGATAAGACTAAAATCGAACAGAGAGACTTGCTGTAGAGACAGGGTAGCTCTGCTTCATTACCTAAGCGGAGATCCCCAAAAGAATACTACTCCATCCGATCCATCGTGATAGGCATTTCCAGCATCATCAACTTTACCTAATCACCGAGAACCATCCGGCAACGAACCTCGGCACTGTCAAATAACACAAGATAAGCTTGTCCCCAATGCAAACCTCAATAACCGTATATTCCCGACTATGGGGGCCCCATGGGCTGCCAACCGCTCCAATAACATTCCCATTCTCGCGGTATCGTGAAGACGACCATCGACTTTCGATGTTACGCGTCGCTGTCGGCCCTTTTATCATACTATGAAAAACGCGGGTCGTCAAGTGATACAAGATTCAACATTTCATTGATTGCATCTTCAAAAGCTGACAGCCCTACGGATGGCTCGGCATTCAGGTACACCATGATGCGAACACGAAGAGGAATTTGTGTAGGGTAAGAAAAGCTGCATACCACGCTAGTGTACCTTGATTAAATTCCCCGACAATGACATGATACAGTATATCTACCAGAAGTACAATCATTGACTCGTGGGAATTGAATGCAAACGGTTGCTTAGATAAACCGACCGTGGATTGGGGAAACACGTGGAATTAAGTTACGCTTTAGGTAAATTACCCGCATAAAAACTGGTTTTCTGGGGAAGTTTGTTTCAATTCCTTAACAGTACAGAATTTGCCTATGACGCAGTGGCGCTGGGAATACCGGACATCCGCACGCGGCTGAAGGATACATGCATCCCACATCCCATGACAGTCAAACAGAACAAATACAGTGACTATTGGGGCAATGATATGGGGGAACACGGGGTATGGAGAAATAAGAAAGATAAAAGTGCTTTCGGCCGAGGCAGGGCCGTTCGGAGACGAAGAGCGGGTAATCTTTGAAAGGTACGGCATCTAGAAGTTCTTGGAAGTGTCGTGATACCTGGCGATTCTATGGTGAGATCGTCGGGTTCTGAGGGGATTGAGATTGGCGTCATTGCTTCGCATGCCAAGATTTGTATGGGAGATCGGCAAACGGGGCTTGGCAGGTCAGACAAGAGATTTTGACGGCTGGGCAATAATTCAATGTCTTACAGAAGAGTTTAACATAAAGATCTGACTGTAAGGTAGAGACGCGATGAATCCGATGTCGATTGACGTTGTCTTAGAGTCAATCTTGACCAAGAGAATGTCATGAACTGATGCTCATTGAATGCATGGTCTTTCCGGATCCCTCGGGTGTCGTCATGTTTTGATGGTGAACCAAATTCAGAATAGTACTGAACAAGGGTTAATAGCACTCAGGCACTAACGCTGCCAACCAAAACTGTCATCCAGGCCATCACGGGGACATTTCCCCCAATCAGAAGTACTGAGATTAATGCATTACCGTTTTTTTACAGGCCGTTTCAGTTGTTTTGCAGCCACTACAAATTCTTCAAAGCCATATCGTCATACCAAACACTTGACATTCATCGCAGCGAGAGGTGAAGGATCTCGGGCTTTCCCCAGCTTTACAACCCCGTGGAGGTGGTGCCCCATTACCCAATTATTGACCCATTGTCTGCATTCCCCTTGCTCAACCCCACAGAATTGGTAGAAGCAAAAAAATGGGACGGACCGATTTCGTGGTCTCGCGACCATGACAGCCAGGATGCACGGAGTGCGGCTCATTGGACGCCTGCTTTTCAGGCCTGACATCACGAAGTAGCACACTTTTGCTTTATAACGTCATTCTTGATCAAGATGTATTTAAATCCTCGAAACCCTCCCTTTTGTCGAGTAACTCAATCACCAATTGACTTTGGATCATCACTCAAGATTACAGCATATCATTATTATTAAGAAGCGCTTGGATTAGGACTGCCCATCATGGCGCCGTCTTTCCTCACTGTTCATTTCGATGACCAGAATCCAAACTCGGAAAAGGGAAAAGAGGCTGGTGCGAGGAGATCTCTCGCTGGCCTTGATTACTCGCCTTTGCCTCGCATCACGCCCAGATCCTTCCTCCTAGCTACGTTTGTCTCTATGGGTGGTCTTCTGTAAGTCCTACTACCCCCCGACTCTCCAACATGAGCTGATGAGAACAGCTTCGGCTATGATACAGGTCAAATTTCAGGCTTCCTCGAGATGCCAGACTTTCTCGACCGTTTCGCCCAAACAAACAGCAAGGGGGAAAAGGAATTCAGCACAGTCCGCTCAGGTCTCATCGTCGCGCTTCTCTCAATCGGTACGCTCATGGGTGCACTGATCGCAGCGCCTGTTGCAGACCGCATTGGAAGAAAGTACAGTATCTCCGGCTGGACGTGGGTGATTGCTATTGGCTTCATCATCCAAATTTCTTCAGACAGGGATTGGGTGCAGATCATGATGGGCCGATGGGTCGCTGGTCTTGGAGTCGGCGCCTTGTCGCTGCTTGTTCCTATGTTCCAGGGCGAGACTGCACCGCCGTGGATTCGTGGTGCGATGGTTTGCTGTTATCAGCTCTTTATTGTAAGTGATAAAATTCTTGGCATGCCAAGTTTTTATGCTCCGACGATCTGTGGAGAAGCTGTCAAGGATTGCACTGACATTTGGCTTAGACGATGGGTATCTTCTTGGCTGCGTGCTTCAACTACGGCACTGTAACGCACCATCCCAACAGCTCAGCCTGCTGGCGCATCGTCATCGGCGTCGGCTGGGTCTTTACTCTTGTTCTCGGCATTGGAATTTTGTTTCTGCCTGACACGCCCCGTTTTGACTACCGCAATGGCAAAGTCGATCGTGCGCGTGAAACTCTCTGCAAAGTATACGGCGCGACGCCAAACCATTGGGCGATCCATACTCAAATGGAAGAAATCGAGTCCAAGCTCCGCGCCGAGAGTCACATCAAACAGAACCCCGTCCAAGAATTCGTGAATATGTGGAAAGCGCCCCGCATGGCTTATCGTATTTTCATCGGAATGTCGCTCCAGATGTTTCAGCAGCTTACCGGTGCGAATTACTTCTTTTACTACGGCACTACCATCTTTCAGTCTGTGTCTATCAACAGCTACAAGACGCAGATCATTCTGAACACGATTAACTTTCTGGTTACGTTTATTGGATTGTATATCGTTGAGCACTACGGTCGGCGCAAGTCGCTCATTGCGGGAAGTACTTGGATGTTCATCTGCTTCCTTGTCTTTGCATCTGTCGGACATTTCTCGCTCGATCGCAATGATCCCACGAAGACTCAGGGCGCGGGTATCGCTATGATCGTCTTTGCTTGTCTTTTCATTCTGGGTTTTGCTACCACTTGGGGTCCGATGATTTGGACTATCATGGCTGAGATCTTCCCCTCCCGATATCGTGCAAAGGGCATGGCGCTTTCAACAGCTAGCAATTGGCTCTGGAATTTCCTCCTCGCCTTTTTCACGCCTTTCATCACGAAGGACATTGACTTCCTATACGGATACGTCTTTGCGGGGTGTAATGTCCTTGGTGGATTACTTGTCTACTTCTTCGTCATTGAAGGCCAGGGACGTACTCTCGAGGAGATTGATACCATGTATCTTGAAAGGGTGAGCCCTATGAAGAGTTCCAAGTGGGTTCCCCCTCCTCCCGAGGAGATGTCGAGGATCAGGAAGCAGGCTGGTACGGATCTCGAGACTGCTGCTCCTGCGGCGTCGAGTGACGATGAGACGCTTGCGAGGCCCTCGGGTGTTACTGATGGTGGAATGGGACATCATAAGGAGGAGCATGCTGGCACTACGCACCGAGAGTAAGGGGATGGTGATGATTGAGATGTGATGGGGATTTATTTATGAGTGATGTTGGAGATGAGATTGCATGATACCTACGACCTATTCTTATCGTTCATAGTCAATTTTACCGTACTTATACCAAACGAGCTACTTGCAAAATGTTCATCACAGACTGATGTTCATGAATGACACTGGAACTGCGATAAGGATACGATAGAGGGACAGGAGGTTCAGCATCAGCCTCAAGGTAATGGACGCAAGGCAATTTGCTCACTGCCTTACCGGATGCCCAAGATGCAGCTTTTGACTGAAAGATCACGATAGTTATCATCCGTGATTGTAATCAAAAAGGCTTCTCAATGTTAACGAGCTGCGCTGTTGGCGTGGCTTGGCTTGCGCTCCAGGCAGTCGCAGTCTTGTTGACACCTGAACGATTCACTTTCCTCCATAGTCAACGCACTCACCCACTGCGACTTCCATCACCCGCCAGTCACGCTGAGATGGAAAAACAACAATCACTCCCCCATCTCCATTCTGATCCACGCATCGAATAACGCCATCATCATCATCTGCATAAAATTTGCCGCCGCCATCAAATATCCATCTTCATCACGACCGACACCTGTCCCACTGACCGAGCGCGCTACGCCTTCGACTACATCAACGCCGACTCAAGGGCCTTCATCATCCCCCCTCCCATCATCCATTTTCAACATTCTCATCACGGCTTGCCACCAACATCATCAACAGCATCAACAATCTGCACCCAGTACTTCATCATCATGTGTCAGAAGTGCAGCTACGAAAGGCGCTGTGAAGACTGCCACATGAGAGTCATCATCAGCGTTGTAACCCACCAAGTATGCGGCGGCAAGCCCCGAGAGAAGCTAACCAATGCCCAAGAAGAGAAGCGCAAGAACCATAAGGTACCCTATCGCAAGGACGGTTTTATATGCAAACTCAGAATACGGCCTCACAAGAAATACTGGTCCTACATCGGAGCGCACACCTGCATGCGTTGCAGTCTTCAAAAGTTGAGGAAGGAAGCGGAGGAAGAGCTCAAAGCACTTGTGGATGGAAATGGAATGGAGTCAGAGATAAATCTCAAAAAAGGAGAGGTTGAAGAGGCTGAAGGAAGAAATGACGGATACGGGGCTTCCCCCAAAGGATTACAAGAAGGTGCTACCCAAGGCAATCGAAGTCAACATGAAGGGCTAGTTGCCTGGTGTCCTGGCCGAACGGGATGATGGTATCCGGGACAGTATCGAGTATTTGTTCAAGGAGAGCCTTGAAGCGGATCAACAGTCAGATGACTCAGCCGCCTCGTCCGACCCGCTTACCACGGGCACCGAGGAGCCTTCTTCTCATGCAGCGGGAAAGAAGACAGAGGGGAAACAGGTTGCGACATCAGGTGTGGGGGATTTATTATCCGATGCAACCAGGTCTTCTCCGTTTCTTGGCGAGGACCAAATGAGGATTCTATGCAACTCTTTTGGTGTTGGCATGGGGGGTATTGATAGTGATGAGGAGGTCATGGAAACGGACGCCCAGCCGCTCACTGCAGGTTCACTCGCGGATCAATTCTATAATTTCAGGCCCTAAGCCAGTGGTATCACTTTAAGATTCGCGTCCCGGTTGTGAGTGATACTGTTGCTGCATGCCATCCTTGGATCAGAGTAGTCTCACGGTGGAGGATGGATGAGTGCTGGACAGGAATGGGGGATACGACATCAATTATCGAAGCAATAAGTATGAAGAGGGGGGGGGGTGAAGAGGGTTGCCGACCACACACGATGACAGATAGATAGAGATTATGACTATCGTTTCGTTGATCTGACTTACCTCGCATGGACTGTGAGTCGCTTTCCCTCAGATGTGGAGGTCTCTTGTTCCGGCAGACCAGGATACGCTCTTCCCAACAATGTTAAAATACAGTGGCAGGATGAGTCCTGGATTGAATTGACATGATCCGCTCATCACCATTGTTCTTCATGTTGATAGTGCGTAGCATCATGAGCATAGAGCATGCTACACCATCAACAGTGTCACCATCGCGAGTATTGAAAGTGGCCAAAGACAAGGATAAATGATGCTAGACACTGAATTCTACAATTAGATGTCTCTGATTGACCTCAGTCGTGCTGTGGGAGGGTCGACCAGGAGACAAAGAAGTGACGGATTCTATACGTGAACATGCGATTACTTAAGTGCTTTTAGAGACCGTGATAATAATAACTTTTATCTGAAGACTCAGCATCACCTTTCCTCCAAAAGTATAAATGCTTCCTCTCATCTTTCCCAATTGTTCCAACCCTTTAATTAAACGTCCCATTAAACACCCGCAAGGCTTGAAAACATTTTACACCATCATCTTCACTTCCCATCAAGAATTACTGAAACTCACTCCCAAAATGTGTCAAGAAAGAACAGAGACTTGGCTATGCAAGTACTGCTACCGGTACCTCAGATCGGAGACTTACAAAATATGGCTCTGTGATGGGTTCAAACGAAATGGCGTTTGCACTGAGGTGAAGAAAACACTGCCAACGACTATCTACCAGAATGATCCGGATTGTAAGTTTTGTAATGCGCCGAGGAAGTGGCCTGACGATGAGGCTTTTGATGCGTGGCTCAAGAAGCAGAATGGTTCATCGCGATGGTGATGGATGAGAGAATGGTTATGGAGGTTTGAGAATTGGCAAGGCTGGGTGGGCTTGTCTTCTTCAAAGCAGGCTATAGCTTCAATTAAAGTCGCAGATACCAATTGATACTTAAAAGCCCACGCCTCCTCGGAAACCAGTGATGAATTGAATCGAGGCTTTGTAGTTGTTTATACTGCAATCTTATCTTACCACCGGCTGGTGAACCCGGTCTCAGTCCCCATCGGTATCCATCCCGATCAAGTGACACGGCATCGATACTCCACATTCTCCATTCGGCCATCTTATCTCTCTGACATTTTCCGACCGACGAATCATAGCCGTTCTCAGTGACAGATTGTGGGGTTTCATCTCCGATCTTCATGACGGCGGCTGAAGCTTTTCTCCTCCATCACTTTAGCTTGCGCCCGGACTTTGACTTCCAAATACTAACTCTTTCCCCAGAAGTTAATTGACCGGAATTCCGAACACTCACTAAGACTTGCACGACCCCGGCCAAGATATTGTCAATGCCCAGGACTACTGGCGAACCGCGTGTAAGGCGCTCCTGTGAGCGTTGTCGGTAGGTTATCAGTCGCGATAGAGACGATATACTGACGATGGGGATAGTGAGAAGAAGATCAAATGTCCTGCTGAGAAGCCAGGATGTTCGCATTGTCGAATAGCGAACCAGACATGTACTTATTTGCCTCGGAATCACGTCAGCAGTAATCGAAGATCCTTCGCTCGAAGCTTGTTAGTCACTGCGCGCGTGGGCTACGATGGACGAGAGAGTTGATGTAGAAAAGCAGGCCTCTCAAAGCGCAACATGCTAGCATATCACCAACTGCATCGAGTCATGAACCAGAGTAAGTTCTTGGGTCGGGTTACTGTCCTCGCTAATTGAATTTAAAGTCAAGCGTCTGGGAACAGACATCAAAGTCAAGAGGTCAATACCTGGAATAGTCATACCAACTCACCGCGCATACATCAGCAATTACCCCCAATAACAGCTATGCTCTCCGAAACCTCATCATGGTACGACATATCTTCCGAGCCAGTCTTGACTCACTGACAAGAACAGGTCACCAGCAAACCCCGAACCACCGTCGGACCTGTTAACAGACTTTGTGAATGCCTACCGCGAAAAGATCTACTTCCAACCACTTCCGCTGTTCGACCCGAAGCGTCTCCAGCTCAAGACCGGGACATTACCCCAGTACCTCCGGTGGAGCTTTCTAGCTTTGTCGCTTCATTATACAAGTCATAACTTCTACTATGGGTTAGAAGCGAAGGCTATTGAGTACTACACCACTTCAGCAAGGAGTGTAGTTGTTGATATGGCGGCGGAAGGGCTTGTCAAGTTGGAGGTTATGCAGGCGTTGTGTCTACTTGCTTTGTGTGATCATATTGGTACGTTCATTCTCATGCTATCTACTTATCGCTAAGTAAGTCCAGCTGGAAAGTCTTCCCGGGCGTGGATGATGATAGGGATGGCTGCAAAGCTGGAGTCACTTCGTCTTTCGGACTCAAAAGCCAGTCGTTCACGACAGTCCGATGATGCGGTCTCAAGATGTCACTGGAGCATCGCTATCCTGGAAAGCACCTTTACTCCCCACTGCAACACTCTTTTCGAAGTAGCCCACGCACCGAATTATCCCAAGAGCGTACCGCGACCAACGACTCTGCATGGGATGAAGACGTATTGCGCTGACTTGACAGATGCATACGAAGCAAACGTCCAAGACGTAGGGATTGTCGCAACTTGTCTCGGCTACATCTCCGTTTGGGGTAGTATTATTTCTTACCTTCGCGACATCCGCAACGGAGCGAATGAGTACCCATGGCTAGCAACGTCAAGACACAATCAACTCACCGTCAAGCTATACGAGCTCGAAAACATCACTTCCCATCGCCATCTCATCCGCAACGCCCCCTTCCCAGACCAACCACCCTCCGAACTCAGCGAAAACAGAGAATACTGGGCGCCTTGGGTATTATTCCAAGTACTCATGCACGCCACCCAAGCCATTCTCAACAATCCCTTTGTGCAACTCGTCGCTCTCCGCCGCGCCGGTCGGAATTTCCAACCACGGTCCTTTCTGCAGAATACAGTTGATCAAGCTTTATTCCACGCCGAGTGGGTTTCTAGACTTGTGAGGATGTGTGCGGATAGACAGTTTGAGGTGAATGATCCTTTAGTTGGACAAGCTGTTGCTGGATGTGTTTCGATACTGTGGATATTTCAGTTTGCGAGGGATAGGAAGGTTTCGGAGAAGGCAAAGGAGAATCTAGGTATTTGTGAGACGTTTCTGGAGCACTTATCGCGGAAATGGCCTCATATTGCTGAAAAGGTGAGTCTCCTACAGCCTGAGTGCTTAATAATACTGACAGCGTTGTAGGTCGAGATTCTACGAACGCTCAACATCAAAGTGAAAAAGAAGCGACAATCGCCCCAAGATGACGAATCGAGCAGCGCGACTATTCAGTTTGAACCAGATATGATGTGGGAGCTTCTTGACCCTGCAATGTCGGGCGTTGACTGGGCGAGTTTGTGCAAAGCAGGAGGGACATATGCTTCGACGAGCGCTACGATCAAGGTTGCGACCAAGTTTATACATCCGATTAATAGCGATGAGGATAATGCGCCGATGGAGAATGTTTCGCATAATTTGTTTGACCTGGAGGATATTTATGGGGAGCCGTTTTTGGATCAGTTCTTTTCTGACTCTTTGCTTGTCAATATCTCATAGACAACATATTATTTATACCTTGCTGCCAGTATGAAGCTCAGCCGTTTAACACTTTTTGCCGGTTTTGAAAGATTCTTTAAGATGTGAATCCTTTTTCTCGATTGACGCTTGTGCGGCGCCAACTTCGGTCCCGGCTAGGAAGCCGAGTTTGCCTTGAGAACCTCGCCGTCCAATCATCGCGATACACAAAGGCGCGGACAGTAAGCCACAGCTACGTCACAGCCAATACGAGATGTTGAGTTTGTAACATGTCTGAGATAAGACGAATGAGAGGATGAAGTGGCTTCAGCCTGAGTTTGGCGCTGACACCAGCTGTACCGACACATAAAACACGCAGGCTAGCTGATGAAGTTTGCTGGCGCATTCTTCAGCTTTCAAAATGCTTGTTTCACAATCTCTCCTCTCGCTTGGGTCTATCTTTAGCTCAGTAACCACTCTGCCAGGATGCGGAGAAGTCAATGTTTTCTACACGCGAGTTCATGCCTCTAGACTGTTGATGAAATATCTACTGACGTTGTGTGAAGCGGCTTGCCTGGTCGGCATACGTATGTTACGCAGCAAGGCTATGATGCTGCTCTTGTCGAGGCGCAGATCTTCAACCATACGCGCCAGCTACGGGAGGCGGGATACAACGTGAGAGGTATATCAATCGAAACAAATAGCCGGTTTGCGATACTGACCAGTGTACAGCGGTCTGGAGAGGCCCCGAAATACCTGGCAACGAAATGAGTAGGTATATGAAAGACGTCCACTGGAACGTTGCCGGTATTGGCTTTGGAGTCCGAGGATCTCAGATTTCAGATGTCATCACGCTCTTCGAAGGTCAGTAATCTCCCTTGACTGTCAAATTGAAGAGTAGTTGCTGAAAATAGCCAGAAACCCTTGATATATACCGCGAAGAAGCGCCGGATGCCAAATATGTGTTCAACTATAATCCATTGACCTTTCTATGGTCTGTTAAACGGTATTTCCCGCTGTCGAGTGACTGTAAAGATCACCCGGGAAAAGACTTGGTAAATATACGACTATTGAAGTAACTGGGCCGAGCTGAACACTCATATAGGGATACATCACGATTTGCGATGGGGCGTGTAGTTAAGTGGCATGACAGCACACGGACAAGCGACGATGGATTGGGTTTTCAATATATTGAGAGTAGAATCCCAATATGAAGATAATCTTTGGATAACTGTTATGGGCAGTGTTGCTCATCCTTGTTTGATCTTTTGAACAGCGTTATGTAACAGCGGCCTGGTCCTTGAGCCAGATATCATACGAATCACACTCGGGAACGGGACGATAGAGATGATATCTACCTAGCTGAAGGAGTTTCTGATTGCTATAGGTGTCTATAGTGAAACAAACTTTAGTTATCTTGCAGCGCTCTTTTTGTAGTTCACATATTGTGTCTAGACTAAATCCCGTCTCTTGAAGTTAGTTATTGTTTAGGATTCAAGTTTCCCTACTGATTCACATTCTCAGATGGAACTCTGCAAACTATTTTCCATCTATTCAATCAGTATTTGTAGTCCTCGACCGTTAGCCCTGGCTGTTCAAACCTTGCTGGACTATTCGTGGCAAGATATCGACAGCCTGAGCTTCCGGCCATTCCAAAGCGTGCAAAACAGAACGAATAGGTTTTTGAACACAATACAAGCATCTATCAGAGATAAGAGATATCATATACTGGACATATAAGTTCTATGAGGCATGCGAAGGAATAAGAGCATGTCGCCCAGTTGTGTCGACAAAACACCAAGACAGTGCCACTTTCGCACATCAAACCATCTCTACAAAAGAGGAGAAACGAAAGAATATTCTAGAAGCATTTAATGCATGGCAGACCAGCATGTCATCGCACAGTGTAAAAACTACTACGGCATGGGAACGTCATGATAGGCCTCGCAGGTGACAGATCGCACAGACTCACCCTGCCACGTGTACATGGCCCATCCCTCCCTCGACCACGCTAGAACTGCCGTGACAGCTCAAACACAACGGGCTGCAACCACATTATGAGTCCCAGGCGTTTGGGGCGCAACCACCGGGTACCAGGAATGCATCACGGCGAGACGGTGTACGGCATGCAGATCGAGCAGTGCCCCTGGCTTACTATCTGGGGGAACACATGACGCTCGGTTATGGTTGCAGAGGGTCGACGTTTTGGGACACAGCCTAAATCATGGGGGATGGTCTGTGAACACTTGGGCTGGGATTTCACGATAGGGATACCACTCTGGCGTGTATATACACCTGGCTTATCAGATGGTGGGGTGTTGATCCCTGCGGCCTAGATTTGGGATGACATTGGCGGAAAAGCAGGAACATAGCTTTAATTGTGACTGCAAAGAGCTTCGCTACAAGGAAATAAGTTGAAGGATAGAATATGAGTTGGTCCTTGACCGAAGTTATGGTTCGGAATAGCGTCGCGTCGCGATCAAAAAGGCAGCAACTTGCGGCACGGTGACGTAGCGTGATGAACTACATGTATCGCGCATGGGCATGGTATTAAGTAAAAGGTGCACGAGTTTCTTCATACATAAAGCTTAATGTCTATCTCTATTCAACTAAAGACGCTATCACTAGTCATTCATCATGCATTCATGGACAAGCAAGCCGCAGCCTCAGCATGTTAGCATACGCTTCAACACCATCACATCCCTTGCAACAATTTAACCCTTGAATGCCTTTCCAGTACTGACATTGACCTTTGTCCACACAGAGCCCGTCGACATGTACCAAGCGAACTGAACGGGCCAATAGACATGCATCATCCACAACCAAGGAAGAGGATCCCAAGACTCAAATGTCCCATCCTTCCAGTAGATTATATGCTGCACAAAAGCCCGAATGGACTTTTGGATGTCCGACAGACTCATTGCGCCTCGGAAGAGAGTGAGGTAAAAGGGATACAGAACAAGTTCGACGAAGTCTTGGCCGACCCAGTAGTACTGCTGGGGATGGGTAGGCGACAGAGGTGGCTTTGTCAAAGGCCTTGGTGCAGATGGGGTAAGAATGGAGAGATACTCATCGACGATCTCGGGGGTGTTGTTGAACAGAACGGTAGCCGTGTGAACTCTTGGATTGCACTCAATGGGATATATCGTGACCTCTTTATCGGCACCAGACTTGACAGCATCTTCATCTTCCTTGTTGATCAAGAAGTCAAAGCTCATATGTCCTGTAAAGCTCTCCCCTCCTTCCTCAGCTTGCTTCAGTGTAAAGTCAAGCATGGCCCTGCTCAGAGGTGAATCAACAGGAAGAGCCGAGTAATGCATGAGAACATCGGCAGAGCGACACGCGACAAACGCGCAAACGCGACCGCGAATGACGAGTGCGTGGGTGCAAAACTCAGGGCCTGTGATGTACTCTTGTATGATGAAGGAGCATTTGGCGGTCTCGAAAGGAATAGAGTCGATGCGTGCGAGGGTAGCTTCTTCGGAGGGAAGAGGAAGTAAAGGCATTGCAAAGCGCGCAATATCATCTACACCAACAGGTTTGACGAGGTATTGTCTCGCACCATGTTTATGCTCAAGACCACCGTTTCTTTGAAGGAAGTTGATGACATCTTCTCTATCCTCAACAGCCTCTGTCAACGGAACCGTCAGACCAAGACCCTTGGTATGCTCGATAAACGCATCCTTCTCATGAAGTCTTCGAATATCCTCAACACCAAATTGAATCGCCTTAGCATTCGTACGAGCCTCGATGATTTCCCGAACTGCAGCATCTTCAACGGCTGCATTGACATCTGAGACAGAAACCCAAAGATCAACGTCCTCGTAGTGAATGATCTCGACAATTCGATTGAGATATGGATCATTCATGCTCGTTTTTGAAGGATCTGAAGGCGGTGGGAGACGATAGTACGCGTCGATTGCGAAGGATACGCGACCGGGCGAGAGGGAATGGCAATCTGCTCCTATGACGCGATGGCCTCGACGATGAAATATTCGTGCGAGAGAGAGCCCTTTCGCCATGTTCACGCCTGTGACCAAGACGGTGACTGTGTCCAGATTATCGCCATCATCCTGAGGTTTGGAGGATTTCGACGTGAAGCGGTTCCATAGGTAAGATCCCAATGCAAAGAGTGCATTTGTCGGTAGGAATATGAAGCTGAGGAGGAAGAGAACCAAGTTCTTGGCGAATTCAATCGCTCGAGAGCTCTCCAGAGCCTGATTTGGCTCACCCATGATCAATGGGATATAAGCTCTAAAGGTTGAGTCCTAGCAGTATACAATTGACAATTATGAGCTTCACCAAGCTATAGAGCTAAAGCTACGGAGGATACAGCTCGAAAACGCGTTGTGAAAAAAGTCAATTGGAAGACGTCATGACTTGGGCGTGTCTGCGGAGAATGATCTCACTAGCACGTCGGTGCAGCTCCGGGGCAACACATTCCGATCGCAAACAGTCCCCTCTCTACTAAGACAATCTAACTCAACCTAGTCTCAGATCCTAAAGAGGGGAAAACACATTAGGCTTCTTCGCCAGGAAGATTAGCTCCGATGATTTCACACCATAGATCTCTCATGCATATGCAGCATTTCACACCGGCCCCTTTCACAACCAATTACAGCTCCAGGGTGTTCCTCATGTCCCTTGAGGCATCACAAGTAAAACACACCATGTGCGGAATTGTCACTGTGTGTATACCGATACAAATGGTCGAGACTCATTTTTCCACCAGCCCACAATACTGTTACACCGAGACGCTGTGCTAGGAGTCTGCTTACTTCTATGACGGCTAGACTCGTGAGCAGGTGGATAGAAAGAGCTGCAAAAGAAAGGAATTCGGAAAATAAGAGGCGGTCAGGGAATAACGGTCCCCGTATGGTGCAAGGGTAGATATCGTAGATCTGCAGTGCAACATTCCCATTCACCTTTTCTCGATCTCACTTCAGGGTCTATTTCACATGTCCAGTGTTATTTTTGGCCAAGGGATGATCAGCTAGCCCACTAGGTTCACGTGGGGACAACCTAATGAATGACGCGCACATGCGAGATGGTAGTGTAATCGACGCCCTCGCGCTAACATCGCCCCGTCTTTACGAGAATACAGTATCCTCAGCGACTATGAGATCTAGGTACAATCTGCCCCATGCGGGGCCTAAGATCGTGCCCCTGAACGACAATTCACGGTACATCCCGTTGCTGTTGCTAGGTATATGACACCTCGAGAAAAGAAGATTCGCAATATGCCTTACCAAACAGGCTAGAAAGAACCTATGTCGTGCTCAACCACTCGTTTCTCACGGGCTGTATTCCATCCACTCATACAGAAGCGTGGGAACTAATGCCCCAGACCCATCATAACTTGACCATCATGACACCAACATTAGATACATGCGTCTGCGTTCGAACATGCACTTGTAGCCAAGTCTCGGGCCTCAAACCACCTACCCAATGGAAACGGTCCTCTTGTCCCTGTACTTCTCTCCCAACCACTCGTTCACCGACGACTCATGTAGTGTTAACTTGCTCTCGTGAAAAAAACCCTGGCTCGAAAGTTTGTCGGCAGTTGAATATCCCTCAGAGGGGGTGGTTATCACACATAAAAAGCTCTTCCCATCACCATTACTGCCCTGAAATCCAACCTACACACATCCTCTACACCCTTCCATCCCTATCGTACTACCCCAAAACACCACCCACCATGTCTGATATGAGTGCTACCGTCGAGCCCACCACCAAGGGTTTCGCTGTCTGTGGCTACGAGAAGATCGAGTATGACTTTGAGTTTCTCGATGGTGTTTTCAACACTGCCAATCCTCAGCTATACCAGCTCTACTCCCCCTGGGGACGATGTCTGGCTGTGATGGACCTCAACATCTTTAACCTCTATGGGAATGAGATGCAGAGGTACTTTGATCATTATGGCATTCCTCTTACTATTCATAAGACGATGATCGGTGAGAAGGCGAAGAGCATGGATACGTTGTTGTCAATTGTTGATTCTATGACCGATTTTGGTATTTACCGAAAAGAGCCTGTTCTTGTTGTTGGTGGCGGTCTCGTCACTGATGTTGCTGGGTAAGTCTTCAGCCACTATCATTCATAACTTAACTAACGGTTACAGCTTCGCTTGTGCTGCGTATCGCCGCAACACAAACTACATCCGCATCCCCACCACAGTCATCGGTCTCATCGATGCCTCAGTCTCCATCAAAGTCGCCGTCAACTACGGCCGCTACAAGAACCGTCTCGGCGCCTATCACGCCCCATCCCACACATTCCTTGACTTCACCTTCCTCCGCAGTCTCCCCGTAGCACAGATCCGCAACGGTTTCGCGGAGCTGATCAAGATCTCTACTTGTGCTCACAAGGATACTTATGATCTTCTTGAGAAGTACTGCGAGCAGCTTATCAACACTGGTTTTGGACGATCTGATGATGCTTCTCCTGAGATTAAGGAGGTTGCTGATAAGATCTGCCGTGCTGGCATCCATGAGATGCTGAAGCTCGAGACACCGAACTTGCATGAGATTATGCTTGATCGTGTTATTGCTTATGGTCATACTTGGTCACCTCTTCATGAGCTTGTTCCTGAGACCCCTCTTCGTCACGGCCATGCTATCTCCATTGACATGGCGTACTCTGCTACCCTCGCTCACATCCGTGGTCTTCTCTCATCGGAGGAACATACTCGTCTCTTGAACCTCTTCTCCCGAGCTGGTCTCTCCATGGACCATCCCCAGTTTGATGCTCCTCTTCTTGAGAAGGCCACCGCTGCTATCCTCAAGACTCGCGATGGCAAGCTTCGCGCTGCTGTTCCCGTCAACCCTATGGGGGACTGCGTCTTCTTGAACGACGTCAGCCACGACGAGATGGTTGCTGCTCTTGAGGAGCATAAGAAGATCATGAAGTCTTACCCTCGCCAGGGCGCTGGTCTTGAAGCTTTCGTTGACAGCAGCGACACTGGCTACACCATGAACGGTGCCCCCGTGGAGAATGGCAATGGTCAGAACATTCCCCTCAATGGCGTCGAGAACGCCAAGCTTCATGCCTCTGGTCCCGAGGGTGTCGATGGTCTTCAGCAAGACTCCAGCAGCGACGATGATTATGTCGTCAGCTCTTCCAAGACCAACGGTCACCAAGGCAAGGGTATCCTCAGTGATCTAAAGGAGAAGGCGAATGGACTTCAGACCCAGATCGCCAAGGCTGTCACTGTTGAGAGCCAATAATTGCATCTAAAACAAAAACAAGATTCATTGCATTGGGAAATGAGTATACGATTGCTAAGTATTTGGGTTAGTTGACTGGGATTGCTTTACATCCTAGTCCTTTTTAGCATTATGATACCGGGTCTGAGAGCGAGATGATAAATCACTCAGCATCCACGGTTTTACTTTCGATTCAAAATACAAACAAGGATTATATTCCATCTAACGTTCAGATTGAGTTGTGCCTGCACATTTGTTTAGCTGTTATTCCCCATACAGCTGGTAATTCCATCTTCCAAGAACGGGCTTCTCATCTGGCATCTTCTTGTCCATCATCCACCGCTCCATCGATCATGTTGATGAAGTCCTCAGCCGTATTCTCCGAAAAGAACTCCACTTCGCGTGCCATGCAGCGTCTTACGTAGTCCTGCCCACGTACAAACATCTCCCGCTCGTATTCCTTCAAGGCATTTTCCAATTGATCTTCCTCAATATCTGCACCACCAGCTTGCTTACAGTACTTGACTATCGCCTTCGCCAGCATGAGAGCATCTAACATCGCCATGTTGACTCCTTCGCCCACTAGCGGGGTTGCAAGATGAGCAGCATCTCCCAGAAGAGTAATGCCAGGGACTCGTTTCCAACTTACCGACGAAACAGGCAAGCGATACAAATGCCATGCATGGAACGGCCCTTCAGCATTGGTCAGATATTCCTTCAGGTTCGGAGCCCAGTTTGCGAAGAGCTCTGGTGAAGACAGGAATTTCTGACGAATGTCCTCTGTATCTTCATGGCCCAGAGGTCTTCGATAGAGCTCTTCAGGCGCATCCATGCCTATGTAGAATCGATAGGAACTGTCGGCTAGCTGCTGAACGGCCATGATCTTGTGCTGTCCCATTGCGAGCATGTTCCCTGGTCCTGCGTGTTCCAGTGCGGCGGTGTAGCTGGGATTGTTGTGAGATATGCTACCCTCTATGAAAACTTTGCCAGAGTACTCCTGTTTCGCCGAAGTAAGCTTGAGATGGATTAGTATAGGCTACAACGCGAGAAGTCATTTGACGTACCAGCGGGCGCACTTTGCTCCACGCTCCATCTGCGCCAACGATAGCACGAAAACCAGAAGCAGAGGTACTATTGACAAAAGAAATAACATGCTCAGAAGCTGTATCTCCTCTCTCAATAGACTTTACACGGTGACCCCAACGAATCTTGCTAGTCGGGATAGAGTCAAGCAACAATTTGCGAAGTTGCAGCCTATCAATCTCAGGTGCATCGCGTTCATCTCCAAAGACAGCCGTGACGGTACCTGATGGGTTCTGCATAAAGACACGCGAAGCATCCCATCGAGCAATGCTCTTGAACTCGTCGAACAACCGAGCCTCTTTAAGAGCGACTTGACCCGAGGAGGCGCGGATGTCAAGAGTTCCTCCTTGGTTGATGAACTTAGGTTCTGGGCTTTCGTCACGCTCGTAGACCATGTAATCGATGTTGTTGATCTCGAGTAGCCGGGCGAGAGTGAGACCGCTGGGGCCTGCTCCGATTATTGCAATGGGTGAATAGGTAGCCATTATGAAATATCTTCAATGATGTATGTATGTGTTTGCTTCTCTGTGTTGCTCAGAATGATAACAGGACTTCATACGGCTTTATACCTGACAGTTCATGAGCCGATGGTGACACCGGACAACAATAATCTATTCAAATTCCGGTATTCCTCCGCTGACTGGCATCCATCTTTAACTCATAAACTAAGTGTCGTGAAAGATATGCAAGCGGATGAATTCATTAAGCGGACATACTCATCTTACTGGCATGTCCGAGTCTGCTGCAATTGATTGGCGGACTTCGGAGAGTAAGCACTTGTTTGCTCCGATCCCAGCCAATAAGACTGCGACTCCTCGGGCTTGATGACAGAAGGGAACTTCCTTGGTCTCATACTTTCAACTTCTTCTCTGCATTCTTGATCGCCATCGAAGTTTCGGTGAAGAAGAAACATCCATCAGCCTTGACTGAAATGTCTTCACTGGCGAATGCCGGCTTGGCTCGTTATGCTGTAAGCATCATTCACCATGTACCAAAGCTGATACTAACCAAGTTTGAGTGCGACTACTGCAAGCAAAAGAAGTTCAGGTATATAAATTACACAAAAAGATTACATAAAGTAGGTTTCTGACCGCTCGCTAGATGCTCCAAGGAATTTCCCAAGTGCAGCGCGTGCAAGCCTTGGCCGGGGCCTTGCAGCTACTCCCGAGATAAGCCGGCTCTCAAGGTCAGGGTCAATGAGCAAACAACCCGCCCATCTCTGGGCTTAACAGACCAGCGGAACATAGAGGGCCTACATGAGAGATTGCGGAAAGTTGAGGAAGCGGTACAAGCTCTGACCAATGCCGTAACTCAGGCTGTTGATGCGATAAATCATCCGTCGACTAACTGCCAACGGGGGTCTGAAAACGACCGTGAACCTCATGAAGCAATAGATCTACCTTCTAACCTGAGTGTCGGAGATGTGGATTCCTTCTCTTTTATAAAAGACACATCTATCACTAACGCGACCGTCGGCTCATCACCTCTTTATCAGCATGCTGCAAAGGAGCTGCAATATCTGTCACACTCCTTAATAGCAGCAGTAGCGAGCAAAGAGCATCCTTCAACTGGCTTCTACATACCATCAAGAGCTGAGGGATACCAGATGATAGGCCGTAATTATTCCCCTCTGGAACTGGGCTCTATCCCAACTAACTGGCAACAGATTTCTTGGAAAATGCCAGCTTAGGCGACGCGTTCTTCATCACACCTTCAGAAGACCTCCTCATACAAACCATATTCAGACCTGAAACTGTCTCAAGAAAGGCATGGGTTGTGTATATCAACTACATGATCCTCACTATGCTAGTAGATAACGAAAACGCCAAAGCTCAAAAGTACAGGAACAACATGAAGTTGGCGCTCAATGATAGCAGAATCTTTCTCGAACCTCACGAAGTTAACCTTCAAGCCCTCGTCATGCTAGCCATCCATGGTGAGGATTATGCCTCGCCGAATTCATCGTGGATGCTCATTGGCCATGCATGTCGTCAAGCTGAGGCATTGGGATTTCCCATTGCCTCTACAGCAGATTATGTGACAACTCAGCGGAGGTTGAGCCTCTTTTGGCTTCTGTTCGCTGTAGATAAGTCATGTGTTCTTGCATTTGGCCGCCCATGTTTTCTTTCATCAACGACAAATTCTCACATCCCGCTCCCAGACTTAGGATATTTGACAAAGTTTCAACCACCCAGTGACTCCCCTCATGCACGTAAGAGGTCGGAAATTTCGTTGTTCTGAGGCCGCATGTTTCTTGCTCGTATTGAACTTGCAAAGATGATCGGGACGGTCGTAGACTCGAGGCATATCCCTGAGCCAGAAGAGGGCTTGAGAGAGCGTCTTGGAGAGTGGTATACTCGAACAAACAAGGTAACTTCAAAAGTGCGTTTAGAATTACAAACACTAATCCCTCAGCAGATACTGGAAGATACACTCCAGAATGAGAGAGCTTTCTCAGGGCCCAACGAACTACGCGAAATGGTATTGGGGATTAGCACTATTAAGTTTGAGTACTTGCATGTCTTGATGGTCCTCCTCAAATCTCATCCACCATCTGCTAGCTTGAGACTTGAGGCTGCAAGGGAGGCGATCTCTCTTCTTCCGTCCATGGTATCCAATTGGACTTCTGTATACAATAGCATGATCTGGTATGTCGCACCTGATTTGTTTCAGATGGGTATTTAACATTGAGCAGGCATCTTTTATACTTCCCTTTCACACCATATTTCATCATCTTCGAGAACTTAGTCCAAAGAAATGCGCTTTTAAGGAAGGTCATGATCCAACAAGACCTCGAGCTTTTGTCTACAACGGTTTCGTATTATTCAAGCATGACACGCCAAATGCAAATGCTAGCTCCGTTGTGCGCACGTCTTAAGAACATCGCGACAGTATTCCTCCACCTAGCCAAGCTGCATACAGACTGTTCAGATCCCCTATACTCAACTCAGCCACCAGCTCCAGAGCCCTTGCAGTCACGCTCAAGCCAAAATCAGAAGACCAGTATTTCAGCAAACAGCACGTCGACTGGCTCTTTGCAAACGGAGCTAGGTGGGGAATGTGATGTCGACTTGGAGCAATATCTCCAGTGGCTACCATCAGATGTCATTCCTCTTCAAGATACACAATCTACAGATATACCAGATGAAGATTCGAATCAAAGGGCTTTGGGTGCTGAGGTTGTAAAGCCGTTACAGGCAGAACCCCGGGGTACCAAACGGCCATTCGACGTTATGTTTGACTGGTTTGCTTGGGATGTCTACTACGGGGAGCAAAATATTGAGATTGGGTGAACTTTGACTAAAATGAAATTTCCTAATGGTTATGCAGAACTAGATGCTGTGTTGTCCGCTTTGTTGTGTGGGTAGCTAACCATCTCTAATACCTGCGGCTTGCCTGTCTTGTCTTTCTGCTTGATCTCTTTCCTGAGTCCAACTACAGAAGTCAGCAAATATTCAAGCCATCACGCGTCTTAGAACTTACAGATACTGAGGCAAATAAACTTGATCATCACCGGGAACCAGATAGCTATAGCGACAAGCTGTCCAAAGCCCCATGTCGACAGACCCCCATCGGCTGAGTGCATGTCAAGAAGTTCGACCATCTCACGCAAGCCAATGAAGATCATAATAATTGTGAGCAGTTCTATCGCAGCCCAGAAGACTCCCAGTGAGAGTCTGGCCCCTTTGGTCTCTGCGAATGAGAAGATTGTCCGAGACTCTCTGCCGATTTGCGTATACTTGACTTTATCTCCGGTCATTCTTGTCTTGGTAGAATGCAGAATCCAGTCGATGATAAGGCATGACACAATTATGTGAACCGTAAACCGACATGCAAGAGTAAGGTTAAAAAAGTCATAGCTGTTCTTTTCTTTGATGCCCTGACAAAAGCTCATCGGCCCGGGGTTACCTCCGCAAGCATCCACGGTCGAAACCTGCTTCAAGTGTTCCTCGAATGCATCGGCGTTGAAATCCTGAAACTCGGTGATGACAGTCATCAGTATCCAAGATAAGACAACAAAGAATAGGGTATAGAAGCGGCGCTCTCCAGCTCCATGCATGACGAGCTGCGCCATCAGTACTGGGTGCTGTGATCAGGCCCTGTAGTATGCGATGGTTGAACATCCACGAGAAGAGTGTAAGCATGTTTGCCAAACCTGCTCTATTTCCGCCATCGAATGTGATGATGGCTGTGATCGAGATGGTAGCGGCGAACAAGGCTTGTGATTCTTGAAAGTCGAGCATCGCGGAGGACGCAGCTTTTGCGAAGCGTGTTTCGGACAGTGTTGTCTGCCACCTTTGGCATGTCTCTCGGAATACAGAGTCCTTTTGGAATGAGCTACTCATGCGGCCAAAGGTTCGGATCCAGGACGTTGTGAGTTTGAAGCAGAGGCCGAGGAAAAGGACAAGGACGAGCTGGATGACATACGCCGTGACGATCTATAGGGGCTTGTTAGAGTCTCGTGTAATGGATAGAGAGATGATGCTTACACCTTGTCCAGCGATGTCCAAATCGATACCGGCACTTGCAGCATGACAATAGGGCTTTGCCATAACTCTCCCAAACTTGGCGATATTATTCGGTGAAACAGGGCCGCACTTGAACCCTTGAAGGATGCTCGTACAGCTGCCGTACGTAGAGTCCGAACAAGAAGCCCAAGCGCAGTCTCTGACCTTCCGAAAGACATTTAAGGAATTGAACTTCTCAACAGTTCCAAAATGAAACTTCTCATTCATCTTCTTCTCACTCTCGCGGTCAATCGTATCATTCCCAGGACCGACTAACATCCCCAACGTCGCGAGCGTCATACAGTTCCACAAGTTCTCGGGTGAATTGTACATAAGCGTTGCGTTCGAACATGTCTTCGTACAGTTGAGTGAGCTACCATCACCATTGTTACAGCCGTAGGAAATAAGCCGCGCGCCTACGGTCGGATTCTCAATAATGGACCTGACGCGGAAGAAGTGCGCCGTCTCCCAGGCTTGCCATTGTTCGGATATCGCGATGCCGTGGTATGTTCTGTTGAAGTCATATTTGTCTATGACCTGGAACTTTCGTTCAGCCATTTTACCAAAAGATGAAGAAGAGAGAGAGGATGAAAAGTTCAGGTAATCTCATTTGAGGCTGATAAATAGGACCCCTGAGGCCTACAGATCTAGCCCTATGAGCTGCGCCAGCAGGGTTCCACAGTAAGCACTGCCCCTCTACCTTGATTCCTCATTTGGTGAAATTCGATTGCCAAGACTCAGGCAGAGAAGTCATCTTGCGATAACATATGGGGGCCGTTGTGTAATTACTTTACCACCAACGAGAGCTAATTTCGTTGGGGGCAAAGACATCTATCTACCTACCTTTGGAGATCTGTGTCAACAATAACTCACTCTTATAGAGATCTATGGCAAATCCCAAGATCCATTCAAGTACAACGACCTTGCCAACAAACTTGTCCAGAGTAATTTACTTGCTGGATGGGACGGACGATAGAGCTCTAAATAGCTGAGGAATTCTGATGGCAGCAATGCCTGCGTGAATGCTATTGTTCTGAATACCCATGAGCAGTAAGGCTACCTTGAGAAGACAGCCATTATTAATTCCTGGCTCTTGAAAGCATATTTGTCACCCTTATGAGCGAAGACGAAGGCATAGCGATGACTTTGACTATGGCCTGGTCCACATCCTTGCGATTTAGAAGCCACAAGTGCCTGATTGGATGTCAAGCCTCTATTCTGGCAAATTCTCTGATATGTTACCTATAATCTGCTCTCATAAAGGAAGTTATGGAGAGTTGTCGCATCTTCAATATTAGTATGAAGATTGATGACTTTTTGACGTTGCGGATGTCTACTAAGGCAAGATGTGTCAGAGTTTTGATCAGCTTCTTTTTTCCTGAATTTTGGTCTGATTATGCTTGGATCTACAAACGAAGTCTTCAGGGTAGAGTGGTAGACTTTTATTCAGTTTTCGAAATATGCGATAAAATTATTTGAGATGCTCATATGAGCATTTCTGAATTAATCAAGAGAACTCATAGTCTATACTGGCCCTCGCATAAGAAATTATGACATATCGCAGTCCATCCTTGGATTTGTTCTGGTCATCAGGAGAGATGTACATATAGCCAATCCTGAAGGACTTACAAACAATATAGCAAGGTTCATTATACGAGACCATGAAACCTGCGCCACAGAGCTAAGCGGAAGGTAAAGCTTTTCTCGCTTCTGTTCTCGCTTATATCCCCTGCGATAAAGAGGGAACCAATGTTAGTCAGCGACCTGGTCAAAAGTGGCGGTAAGTCAACGTCCGTGTCAACTCCTTTTCACTCAAATTTTACAACTAAGTAATTATAAATTTAAGCCCACCAGGCCCTCACAAGATGGGCGATATATCATACGATGTAGGTGTATCACATTTCACTCGTAGTCTAAAGCTAACCCGGCATGTCTCTAGTACCGTTGGAAAGGTTTGATAGCACTCAATGCCCAGGCAGTTGATTTTTACTAATAGATATCAGTGATTCTCCTGGGTGACTCAACGGTTGGAAAGTCAAATATCGCAGGTCAATTCACCCAAAGCGAGTTTCAAGCTGATTCTAAACCAACGATTGGCGTAAAGCCCACCACCAAAATCGTCCAATGCAACTCCAAGGCCGTCAAAGTCAATATCTGGGACACAGCTGGCCTAGAGAAATATCGGGCCCCAGTACGATATTACGACGATGCCGTGGCTGTGATGTTGGTTTATGATATAACCAGGCGCCAGAGTTTTGAGAATGCGGCACGCTGGTTGGACGAGGTTCGAAAGCACGGTGAACCTGGGATTGTCATCATGCTCGTGGGAAATAAAGCAGACCTGGAGCGTAGAAGGTCTGTGACGACTGAAGAGGGGAAGAAGTTTGCGAGTAAGTTGACCTATCCTTGCTAATATGTTCAAGAGTACTGATGGGGTCCAGAACTTAACAAACTTCTGTTTATCGAAACATCCGCTTGCGAAAACAGTCAAGTCGAACTTGCTTTTCAGACTATTTTAAAGGGTACGGCTGATTCCCTCTCATATGCCTCATGAAGACGGCTGCTGATCACGTTGTTTGCACTAGGCGTCTACAAGCAACATTGTCAGGAGAAATGATAGTCTAAATGACATAATAGGTTTGAGTCTCGATTTCTCATCTTTCTGTATTATTTGCCATGGTAATATCGGATATCGGACAATATTAGCTGACATGGCGAGAACCTTTGCGCCATGCGAAAGTTCTATCAATGACGTGAAATCCACTTCCATACATCACGGCGATTTATCTCTCAGTTGCAAAGCGACAGTATCCCTCCCAACACGTACTTGCTACACGAGACGCTCTTACTCTGTGACAAACGAATCCACACTCCATCCATAAGCCCGATTCAAGCGTCTCGCTAAAATCAGGATCAAATACCCCTCAATCTGCGACTGATGAGGTCGGTGAATGCTAACAGGTCTCTTGATATCCATGTCCTCAGACGGTCTGAACGTGTAAACAGATCCAAATCGGGGCAGCACCGAGAATCCCAGCTCAGACATGGCCGCCTCGAACGATGACCAGTTAACCGATCCTCGTGATTGAGTCTTGTCGAAGAGGGTCGCAAAGACCCCGGCTGTCGATGAGCTGACCTTTACTGGCTGGGCCGGCTTTGTAGCTTCCTTGTCTCCAAGAGAGTCTGTGATTGGGGTGATCGCGTAGAGGGAGGAGTGTTCTGGGCGTGTCTTTTCCTTCTGTCTTCGGGTCTCGATTCTTTCTTTTGCGTCCACGGGAGTGGTGTCGATTGGAATAAAGCCCACCTTGCTATCCTTGTTTGCCTTATCCTTTGCATGCTGGTATTGTTCTTCGACGTTTCGGAACGCCTTCTCTAGTTCATCTTGGTACAGAGACCCCATTTTCGTGCCTGTCTTCTCCACGACAAACTCATCCAGAGCTTCTAGTGCTTTAGCAGACATGCCGGGTTCGAGAAGATTATCGATTGGGGCAGCATAGTCGCGCAGGTCAACTTCCTTCTTGATCTGATTGAGCTCGGTATCGACCTCTTGTAGGCCGGTGACTAGTAGGTTCCCTTTCTTACGCGATGCAGAGGGAAACGAGTGCACAGCTGACAAATCCAGGATGAATGCGATGATGGCAGCCACGTCATGAAGCGTACGGGACTCCCTCTCGTCAAGCTTCTCTCGCTCCAGAGGATGCGCCTTGTAGAGATCGCTGAGCTTCTCCATCCACTCAACTGCTTTTGTGACTGTAGTCTCTGGCTGACACAGTCGCAGCAAGTAGTGCAGCTGAGGGTCAGAGCGCGTGAGCTCTTCCGGCTTGCCTTTCATCGAGACCTTAGCATTTCCTGAGCTATCATATGCATTGGAAATCCTTTTAAACCATTTAGATCCAGTTCCTGTCGAGACTTGGCGCTTAAACAGCGCTTGCGTACGAGCGTACTCGAAATGGCACATGTTTGACAGCTCTTGGAGAATTGTGGACTTGTAGAGCTTGTCGGCAGACGGTTTCTCAAGAAGATCAAGGAGGCCTGTGATGGACTCCCAGATAGCGATGCCTTGGACTGCATGGTGGATTGTCTCGAAGACAGCGGGTCCGATGTACTTGTCGGTATGGACTGGCAGCGAGCGGCCCTTTTCGTCGGGTACAAGCTCTGGGCGGCTGAAGAACTGAACGTTGACACCAGGACATAGGACCGTAGGCTCGGTTCGGAGAAGAGATAGGTACTCTTCCAGAGAAGACCTTTGGTCAGAAGCAATGGCGGCTACTTCCTGGAGCGTAAGTTTGACTGTCGTCTGCTTGGAGGCTGACTCGGAAAGAGGTGCATTCTTAAATTGCTTCTTCGGCCCGCCTCGATTTCTTGTCTGCGATCCTTGATCCAGGATATCCTCTATCATAACGTTGAGGAGTTGCAGGATGGTGATTTGCCGCTGAAGAACGAGCTCTCCTAGTGATCGCGGGATGAGAACACCATGGTCAACAGCGATGCGCAGGCCTTTCATAACCTCATCAAGATGCTTGGGTTGAACTGTAAATGACTCGCCGTACTTCTCGTCATAGAAGTAGGTATAGGAATGCTTGAAAGGGTCGACGTGGCGGAGGTTCTTCTCCCTAACCATCTTCTCGATGAGATGGCGGTCTCCGAGCGTGCCACTGACGCCTTCGGCATATTGCTCAAACAGGGTTTTCGTGGCGCGATGCTTGAGAATATCGAGGAGGAAATCTGAGTTAGGCTCTGTGATGTCTGCGAGGTTCCATTCAGGAATGAACTTATAGGTGTTGCCTAGCGATATATCCGACGAGTGCTTGAGGACAACTCCATCTGCTGAGCCGGCTTTCATGCATTTCGCGCGTTGGGCTTTGTTGAACGATCGCCAGGCAGTTTCGACTTTGGGGCCATGAGCTTCCCATTTGCGCTGCAAGTCACCGTGGAGCTCGTGGATCATTTCTGAGGAGTTGGCTTCCATTTTGGCTGGTCTTGGCGATCACGATGTATTGCAGGGTGTAGAGGCAGATGCCATGAAGCCATGAAGCAGAGTTTGGAGTCAAATGGCGGGGGCTTTTCTCAGATGTCTACCAGACCGTTACACCACCTGGAAATCCGGGGCTGGAAAGCATTCAATGCGCATTTCAGCTGACCCCGCTTTTCCAACACGAATGCCTATCCAGAGACAGCCTAGCAAGTGTTGGTTACGTCTCGTCCAACCGTCGCCCTCCCTCTTATTGCAGCCCCAGTTTCCGTAAGATCTCTTGCATTCTGCCTAGTCATATCATCCTTGCGTAAACCAAATTGCATCCAATTGGCCGGTTGAGATGAAGAAGCTTGGTCTGCTCCATAGAACCGAGTGCGGGCTTGTCTGCGCAAGTCTGCCCAGCGTAAATCGGTCAATGCAGCTCTTATGCCAAGGGCTGCACTTCAGGGGGGCCCGGCGGCTATTGTTAAGACACAACCAATTGAATGTCTTTTGGGACATTGTGGCTTTGAAATTACCAGAAAACCTGTATAGATTTCTTGAGAGCAGCCCAACGATTTCGATTGCAGCCCAACAAGGCTGTGCCCGAGGCAGTTCACAGTGCATAAGTATCTGCCCCCAGCCCAAGCATCCCAATCAAACCCATTTGCTATTTATCAATACTTGGAAACCATAGGAATACACCTGTCAGAATCTTCGACATGTTGGATCCAAGTGATCCAGGTGCCTACACAGTCGGGTGGGTTTGTGCTCTGTCGACCGAGTTCACCGCAGCCCAGGAACAATTCGACGAGGAATATGAGCCACATGAATCACCTGAACACAGAGATGCAAATGACTTTAATGTGTACAGTTTCGGCAAGATCAAAGGTCACATGGTGGTTGTGGCTGTGCTGCCAAATGGTCAATACGGGATTGCATCTGCAGCCACTGTGGCCAAGGATATGATACGCAGCTTTCGCAACATTCGATTTGGTCTTATGGTCGGAATTGGTGGAGGTGCTCCTACTAAACAGCATGATATTCGCTTGGGGGATGTTGTGGTCAGCTCACCTACACCGGGCGGAAGTGGTGTCTTCCAATACGACTTCGGAAAAGCTACAAAAGAAGTATTTCAGCACACAGCATCGCACAATAAACCACCCCCGTTACTACTTGCTGCGGTAGCGGGGCTCAAGACCCAATACGAGCGAAAGGGTCTCCAGATCCATGACAAGGTCAGCACTATCGTCGCAAACAACAAGAGATTAAGTGTCAAGTATGGACGTCCAGAGGATCCAGATTCGCTTTTTTCCACTTCGATCAATCATAAGAGTGATCCATGTCATAAGTTTTGTGTAACGGCCCCGACTGATCTGGTAGATCGCAAACCACGACAAGAACCAATGGAGGTTGTCGAAGTCCACTATGGAGCCATTGCTTCGGGTAATACTCTCATGGAGGATGCTTTTAAGCGAGATGAACTTGCTTCCAAGGCAAATATCTTGTGTTTCGAAATGGAAGCCGCTGGACTGATGGATGGGTTTCGATGTCTTGTTATTCGAGGAATTTGTGACTATTCTGATTCTCACAAGAATGATATATGGCAGGGTTATGCAGCTATGACTGCGGCTGTATATGCTAAGCAGATTCTCGGCAGAATCCGCCCAGAGGCCGTTGCAAGGGAGGAAACTATGATCTCGAAGATTGATGAAGGTTAGTAGTTTTCTATGCTTTTGGGAAAACTGTATCTAAAGATTAGTATTCAATTCAGTCATTTCCGGCGTGGAGAATCTGAAACGATCTATTTCAGAACAGGAAGTGCTGAACTGGCTCTCAGATGAAGACTTCGGTACTTATCAGTTCGATGAACGCAGTAAGAAAGCTCCAGGGACGTGCCAGTGGTTTCTGGACTCGCCGGAATATCAGTCTTGGACCCAAGAGAAAGGCCAAGTCCTTTTCTGCCCGGGCATTGCCGGGGCTGGAAAGACCGTGCTTGCATCTGCCATCATCGAAAGCCTGCATTCTCGCTTTCAATCCGACTCAAGCACTGCCATCGTCCATATTTACTGCCGATATAATCGTGTCGATCGGCAAACATTCAACAAATTGCGGGCTAGTTTGCTGAGACAGCTTTGTGAACGATTATCCCCACTCCCTGAGGGTATAATGCAGCTTTACAACCAATGTAAGCCTCGACGGGTGGAAGCCCCTCCAGAGAGGATTCTTTCAGAGCTGGAATCCGTGTCAGGTCTGTTTTCAAAAGTATTTATGGTTGTTGATGCGTTGGATGAGTGGCGAGCGACAGAATACGCGGACCTCTACTCACTACCAGGCGAGCTTCTCCATCTTCAAAGGAAATTGGCCATGAATCTACTCGCCACCTCCCGACCAATCCCCCTCATTGCAAATAAGTTCAATGATTACCCTTCTGTTTCCATTACTGCTCAACAACAGGATATTTACGCTTACGTTGACAACTTTCGGTGGCCAGAGTCGAGCTGCATTGGTAAAATAGCAGGATTGCGAGGCTTGGTAAAAAAGGTCATGTCACAAATTGTTGGGGGAATGTAGGTCCATTGTACCATCATCAATTTCAAAAAATAAATCTTCTCTAACTAATCAGGTTTCTTTTAGCAAGGCTGTATCTCCATTCACTGGAAAACGAGACCTCTGAAAGAGATGTTAAAGATGCTCTGAAGCGGTTCGAAGACCGAGCGAAGAACAACGATAATGATCCAAGGTTCAATATTGTGGACCAAGCATATAATGATACGCTAAAACGTCTCAGAGAGCAACATCAAAATTCTAGTGACCTAGCATTTCGGGTCCTGGCCTGGATATGTTGTACCGGCTGGAAGCTACCGGCCGGTGCAATCCAACATGGCCTTGCCTTACGAGAAGGAGACACAACCTTTCATGAAGATGGCATAGTCGACGAATCATTACTACTCTCTGTATGCTGTGGCTTGGTTGAGATTCCAGAAGGAAGCAGGGAAATCCGGCTCGTCCACTATACCACCGAAAACTTTTTCCGGCATAATCGGCATTTGCTTGACGAATATTTCCTCGCCCGACATTCGATTAACTGCCACCTACCTTCGAATGCCGATGCCTATCTTGCAAGGCAGTGTGTCATCTGTTTATCTATCGGTTTGCCAAGACACCTTCCAGGAGGAATTGGCAACGATCCGCAGCATCAATCCAGATATTATGTTTATGATATGTTCGTACATTCCAAGGTTGAACAACTATATGACAGACGATGTGGTTCCTCTGGAGAGAATTACAGGGCTTTGGCAGACAAAATTCAGGATCCATTATATACATATAGCGCATTCAACTGGGGCGGCCATGTGCGACGGCTTTCGCCCTTAGACCAAACCTACAAGACATCCATCGACTTCCTCCAAACGCGTGGAATGGTCGACCAGGCTATCATGCTGATTCTCACTCTTGGAACCTGGATCGGAGACAGACAAGCACCCCAAGATATGAGTAATTTGCACCTAGCTGCGCTTTTCGGACTCGGTGATCTGGCAGAGTCACTGATGAAGAGTATTGACATCAATTCAAGAGACAGTTGCGGCCGGACTGCACTCGTTTGGGCACTGGAGTGTTTGGCATTCGAATTCAAATTCAACCCGGATTACATAATGTCAGTCACAAAGAATTTCGAGATATATGACGGCATTGACATTGCTCGTCGTCGTGTTGTCAAGGCTTTATTAAGATCGGGTGCTAACCCGCGCATACCTGGGTATAATGGGGATACTCCTCTATACTTGGCGGTTATCTTAGGCGACGTCGAGATCGTTGAAAGAATACTCGAATATGGAATAGACATTGATACACTGAACAGGACTGCTGATTTCCTTTATGGAGAAGCAAAGCGACATAGCACGGAGTTGGCCTCCATGAAGCTCTTGAAGAGCGATACGGTCCACATCTATATCACGGCTCTCATGGAGACTCCTTCTGTTAGGAACTTGGCCCAAATGGTGACACTTATTGAAAAGGGTGCTAAGATGGACTTTCCTAATATTAACGGCCAAACTGCCTTGATGAAAGCCAGCAAACTCGGCCACGCTCGAGTTGTTGAGCTCCTCCTCAAAAGCCAGTCTGATGTGGATCACCAAGATCACAACCTTGACACCGCTCTCATAAAAGCGTGCATTAGTGACCATGCCAACGCTCGACCAGACACCAGAGTTGTGAAACTTTTGACTGACCATGGAGCGAACCCTAATACTCCCCCCAAAGGAAGGCTACACTGGTCACTTCTAACAAGTCTTATCGATTGTGGTGACGATTCTGGTGACGATACTGTCGTCCTAACGTTACTCGATGCTGGCATCAACATTGAAGGCGATGACCGCGACGAGTCAAGGCCCATCCACGCGGCTGCAGCGAGAGGCACAAAAACAGTGGTCCAAAGTCTAATTGAAAGAGGTGTTTCTGTTAATCGTCGTTCGGCCACAGGACTATTCCCTCTGGACTACGCAATGAGGCGTCAAGACAAGGACACTTCTATCGCTGACTTGCTTCGAAATTACGGTGCAATTACTGAGGGGAAACGACTAGTTCAACTTATGCAAGAAAGAAGTAAGAGGCTTAATTGAGTCCTTGAAGGTTTTTATATACTCAATAGTCTGTATTGGCTTGATATAATAAGGCTAAACTTCTTTCTTACCGAAGAGTTGTTCATAATCGCATTGGCTGTTATATGCATTGTGCAGTGATCTCTGCCTTGCAGGGGCGCGGAAAATCCATATATACTCCCTATCTTGAAAGAATTTAAAATGATTGTTGAAGTCATCGGCGTGGCCCAAGTTTCGTGTTTGCGTCATCTTGTCATTGAGGTCGAGATCCCACTCGGGTAAAAGCTGGCAGACGTTGCCAACGAAGCATGTCCACAATGTTTGTATATCTTGAAACTTCCAAGTTTTATGCAAACTACCTCTTATTCACCCCTAGCAACGTGTCCAATTTGGGTCACAAGGATTATAATTTGAACTCGTGACTGATACCTAGCCCAACCGTGCACCAACTAAACATACTTGCATGAGCCAAACCAGTAGACCAAAGGTGGTACGACAATCTCGGTGATCGTAGCTCGTTGCACCCACGGAAATCCCCAGCCAAAGATCCCAGCTGAAATAGCTCTCCCAATACCGCCTAGTGCCAAGCCAGCCAGGAGAATATTCAAAGCCAACTGTCTTTCCCTGATATCGTATGATGTCCAGCATAGCGCAGCGCCGTAACCAATGTATGTTCCACCCAGGAAACGGATCTGTGAGTCCATGAGGGAGACGGTGGATGGGGGGAGTTTTGCGCCTTCAATTTGTGGGAGATATTCTGTTATCCCTCGGACGACATGCGATGCGCCATGATAGACGATCCAGGCGGAGAAGCCTTTGAGGAGGAGGGGAGTGTATTCCATTGGTGTGGACTGGGACATTCTGCTAGGAAGTTTGGTGGAGATTGGAGAATATCTAGAAGTGCACTTGAATTGGTAGAGCCGATGTCGCTCTGGCTACAAAAAAGTTTCAAAGGGCTACTTTATAGTTGTACAGTACAAAGTCCACTCTGGCCTAAACAGCGCGCGCTTAATTTGAACAGATGAATGTTGTTGCTCGAAACGGCACAATATCTTGCCGCTGACCTATCAGCGCTGTTAGCGATGAGGAAAAGTCGCCGGGCCGGGGTGATTCTCTCGTCAGCGATGCTGACAAAGAGCTCAGCTCCCCTGGCGTGAGTACGAATAAAACATTTATCGTCGGAAAACGAAAGGGATCTGAGGGCTGGGAGCGGATATAAGAGGGTTATGTCCGTAATTGTCAAGTCTGGGGCGGACATATGCACAACAGTCAAGTCGCCATGAAGCCGTGGTTATAATTCATAACCAATCGACACAGGATATCCTTCAAGAATCTTTAGCACATTCCTATTTTATTACCCCTTTGACTTTTCATTCTCACTAACCAAAGCATCTTGGCGCGTAAAATGTCTTTGAAGTTAGGTTCATCTTCTTTTACTAGCGCGTCTCCATCCTCCTCAAAAACACAGCGCCAACTCAACGAAATAGCACGTATTTACAAAACCTGCACTGTAAACCGCTCTCGCGCTTCTGGAGTTACAGGTCCTGGAGCGTTCAGTTATGAGGTCATCGTGACGAGAAATGGACCCTTGTAGACAGGAGCTCCTGCCTCGTCTATTTTATGGAGCAGTGACGATGCCCTTCGCGTTATGATATCATCTCTACAATCAATCTTGGTCTTAAACCAAACCTCACAACATCAAATGCCCGTTCTCATCTCCATCAACAAACGCCACAAATCATCAGTTCTCATTGCAAACCATCAAATTCATCCTCACAAGCCTACGATCCCCATTAACAAACTCCAACACAATCATCTTCACAATGGCAGGCCTTCCAACCAAAGACGACATCAAGGCCCAAGCCGTCGACGGCCGACCAATCACCCAAGCTGAAGCCTCAGCCATTGCCTCCGAAGAATCAGCCCTCACCGGCAGCGGCCCCATCAAAGGCGGTGCCGCAGCCACCGCTCAGAGTCTACACGACAAGCAGCAGAACTTCCTTGAGAAAGCGGGTGAAGTGGTACGAAAGCCTCCTACCGAGGTGACAAAGGAGGATGCTGCTGAGGTGCAACGTGCAGAGGTAATATATCGTGCTGGTTTAGTTGGTGATGATTTACTGACTGGTGTAGGCTCGTGCAAAGGGTGGTCCTCCTGGAAAGGGATCTACGGCTGCTGATGTGCAGTCTGTTGCGGACACGAATACACAAGCTTAGAACCAGATTATGCTCTTCCAGAGTGATACCGGGATGAAACAGTGGTGTTAATTGCTTCAGAAGGGTCCTCGAGAAGGAACTCAAAGAAAAAGACATGATTAGGCATGTAGAGTCGCAAGGAGAGGCCGGAGGCGAGGGCAGGCCCAAAATAAAGTTCTTCTAATCAACATTCAAGTTATCGTAACTTGACGCTAATCAATTGCGTCTTATTACGTATCTGTGCCTTAGATACATGCCCTGCAAAAACTCGATTAAACCTCAAATGTTATCCATAATACCCTCAGCTAAAATATTACTTGACGACTTTGATATAAATCTATATTATTACTTCACAGGACCTTTTACTCGCTACTGTAAGTCAGGCCTAAATCTATTTCGACTACGGAGCTCAAAGGTATGCAGATTATTCCAACCATATATATCCCATAGTTTCATCCGAGGCAATTTCATCAAGCAGGGACTTACCAAGACCTGCTTTTTTGTTTTTTCTTTTTTCTTTTTCAGCTTTCACCTACCCACCTCCCAGATCAGGCAATGTGCCCGTTCAAATGACTTCGGAGCTTGGCCTACTGATTCTGCTGATGCAACGCTCTGTTGGTTGTGTTTTGTCCCACTTCTACATGCAACTAGGCAAATCAGGAAGCGCTTTGACAGTTCAGACAGGCAGCCGAGATCAGATCAACATTCTCACAGATAATTCAAAGGTCAAGATTAAACTCGAAATGTCATTCATTTATAAGCCCGCCGCCAGTCTGGATCCTATTCGTCACCATTCCTACTCGTAGGAGACGTTTGAAGATATGTTGGCCGACACTTGTTGGCGGACCAAACCCCGGATCACGAGTTCACAACCCCAGCATGATCATTTGCAGCGTGGGCCGTAACTAGGCTTCATATGGACTGCTACTGCATCAAGACTGGGTATGCAGTCCTGATTCATTTGGTTATCTGTGACGAGGTTGGCTCGGATACCCGGATGATTGAATACATATATCGATAGCATCCACTCCTCATTCAGAAATGATAACCTCCCCTCTCAAATGTGTCCACCTTGAAATTCCGAGTGTATGATTATAACTTGAGCCAAGCCCGGAGAGTATGCGATCCGATATCGGCAGTCTTGCTTGGTCCAACTGGCGAATTATTCCCTCATACGATGTCTTTTCTCGTAAAACTTGGCCTAATTTTTTCTCTCTTCGCGAGCTGGGCATCATGCTTTACCAAATTTATACGGCCCCCAGAGAGGGACCCGGATCAAGCAGCCGATCTGGACATGACGAAGAACAACCATTATAACGATGGAGAAACGATCCCGATTTTATTTAATACCAACATTAAAAAGGTTGACCTTTATATTTGGCAATTTATTGACGCTGAAAAAAATGCGACCTCTCTCTTAGAAAGTAGTAGGACTTCGTCCCTTTTGTTTATTGTATTTCTAATTGAGCCGCCTAGGCGATGGTACATCGGATCCTACTGGCTGGAAGGCTCAGTACGATATTTCCAACGCGACCGAGAACAACGAGGATTGCATTTATTGGTTTTCGTTGATTGACAGCAAATATGGCGGGACACTAGCGAAATCCCAATACGTAAACGTCAGCGCGCCGAAAGCCGAGGAGACGAAAACAGTGACAACTCTCACCACGGAGACTACGACAGATTCGTCCACAAGCAGAGATACAAGTTCTACACTTGAGCCTAGTTCGAAATCTGGATTGTCTCGCGGTGAAATTGCTGGTGTAGCAGTCGGTGCCACGATTGGAGGTCTATTGATTCTTGGGGGTATTGGATGGATGGTTTGGAGAAAACGGGCGAGAAGGAAAAATGATGCGGCGCCGGCAGAGCTTCCTGGAAATTACAACCAAGACCAGCCTCACTCTGAGAGACCGAAGAGTGAGCTACCTGCCGAGCCTGTGATTTTTCCTTCAGAGCGTCCTAGGAGCCCTCCTAGAATCTATGAAGCACCATGATTAAAGAAACGAGAGGAAAGGTTAGCATAATAATATATCATAATTAATACACCCTTATTACCTAAACTTCTTATCTTATAATTCCAATCCACTCGTCTTACAAGTTTCATTCTGCTTGTTCTTTTCAATTTCCAAGTCACAGGTTCCAACACTTCAACCAATAAACAAAGGTCGTTTATCATCTACAGCACCTTGAAAGCTATCATCTTACTTGAGATCCTTATCAGTAACCTCAGAAATATTCCAATCAATCAAAGCATCACTGCCCAACACCCCCTCAATTAGAGTCGTGCTCAAATCCCACAAGTTGGACGCCAACTCAGGATTTGAAGCCTGACTCGTTTCCTTGCCCTCCTGGTCAGGGTCAGAGAAGTAGTACCCATTCAAATCCTCCTCCTCGATCTTGGGTGAAGTCAATGCCCAGAGTGCACTGTAGGATCCCTGCTCAACGTCACGTCCGATGGCTAGCATAGCCCAGGATAGAAGTTTTCCTGTCAGGCCGGGGTAGGCGTCTTTCCACTGCTGCTGCATCGCGGTATTAACCTACCATTTTGTCAGTATCATGCTTCGATTGAGGAATGGGTTCACTTACCGCTCCAGGATGGACAGAAAGGGCATAGATCCTATCCTTGTTCTCCTGAATAACCTTTCCAGCTAATCCATACTTTGCAAATAAGATCATCGCAAGCTTGGTTCTGTTGTATCGAGCCGTGGAGTCAAGATTCGGATCGTTGATCTCATCCTTGCTTCTGAACTGGATGTTCGAAAGCTGCGCGAGACGATGCATCTCACTAGCCTCAAACACAACTCTCGGGGGCGGCGTATTCTCCATTTTACCCGTCTTTCTCAGCAGCGGCCAAAGTTGATTGCACACATAAAAGTGGCCGAGAAAGTTTACACCGAAATGTCGCTCAATCCCATCAGAATCCAAGCCAAACTGATTCGTGTTGATACCTGCTGAAAGAACTAAAAAGTCAAGTCTGTCAAGAGATTCTCGCAGACCGCCAAAGACTTCACGGATTTGAGCGAGGTTTCCCATGTCGCATTCTTTCCAGTCAACCTCAGCGTCAGACTTTTCGTTTTGAATGGTTGAGATAGCATCCTGGCCCTGTTCTTCTTTTCGGTTGATCATTATGACCTTGCAGCCTGCGTGGGCGAGGGCGCGGGACACTTCATAGCCGATTCCGAGGGCGCCGCCTGTTACAATTGCGACGCGACCTTCGAGATGTTCGGGTTTGACGACTTGAGGGCCAATGCCTGTTGTTTTTTGGAGGATAGATTGCATGGTGATGTTGGTTGATTGTCAATTCAAGAGGATAGAGTATTGGTAACGAGTATGCAATTTCGGAATGTGGAAGACAGTTTTTGGTTATGAAGGAGATTCTCTGTATCAAGTGAGCTCTTGTCCTATATACTCGCCTAGAAGTCGTCGTTGAAGCCATCCATGTATCACTGTGACGTTGGCGAAGGAAGGGTTATTGACAGGGTAGGCAGTTATGAATGACATCATTATTTCTTCAACATCGCATTCTAGTGTTGCATTTTGCGCAAATCGATATCATCAAAATGACACAATACTAACTACATAATTGTATAATAGTGTCAAAGCACAAATTAAAGCAATAGTCCAAGACCTGAGGGCTTTCAACGCTTGATTGTGGTGGCTTATCAGATAAGAACGGCGACAATTTTGTAAAATCCCGACAATGGCGAAAATATCAAGGTTTCGATAAACGAGGAATAGTCTTCCCTAGATATGGATCAGATAACATTCAAATTATGTAAATATTCTCACAATTAGGGATTAAGGCACTGTACCCGCGCCCATGCATCTCTCGACTCCATCGTCGTCGGCGATTATTCGCGTTTAAAGTTCACCAGTCCAGGGTAACCCCTTCTAAGCGAAAGCCTGTTTTCAGCTGAACAACGTCAGGTAGCATCGTGAAAAATTGAGTTCGCGAGTAGCGGAAATTGGCAGGAAATTAAACATAAACAATCTTCGGCCGAACCTAACCACAATCTACCAACCTTCACCGTCTCCTCACAAGGCAGCAGCAGTACTCCACTGATCAACCGACCGAACATGTGCTAAAGAGTCTAAACGTGAAATACAAATGGTGATCTTCACTTATTTTGCAAATCTTTATAAGATAAAGCCGTTGTATTTCCCAGCCTGCAGATCTTTACACGTGGTGTGGCAGTCATTGCTGAGACCAGATGTCATGGCTGGCTGTGCGTTTTGGGGGTTGTTTGGGGGTCTTCTCTGTCGGCCGACACGACGTTACAACCTTGACGATGAAAAAAATCCTAAGGCTGAGTGGAAAAAACACCGACGGAGCCTCGGGCCGGGTTAAAGTGAAGAACGCCAAGTCTCCGAGATTGATTCAACTTCCGTAACGGGGTTAGCTATCTAAACACGATAATGACTGAGTCACTGCTTCGAAAACGGGTCATCAGTCAAACACCTCCAGCTCTCAGGGTCCTCAGTGCCCTTTGCTTCAGCGACAGGTGTCAACTGTCACGAGCTCCATCATTCTCGTGGTCCAACGTCAGTGGCTTACTTTCATCTAACCAAGCGCTCTTCTCCGCGATATCACAAAAGCCTCAAATTTAAAATTACCCATCAGCCCGGGCGCCTAAACGTGCATGTTGGTGCTTTCCGTCGGCGACCGGCAACTTCTGTATTCAATCTAGACCAGGGGTATTTTCACCAATCCCTGTAACAAATCGCGCGACAAAAGGGCCTTCTTGCCTTAGCGCTTATCCCTGACAGAATGTTTGTTAAGAAATAGGTGGAGAGATGGTGAGTTAACTAACGGCGCTTTTTGGTGGGGTTTAAGCGATAACAGCCTGATTTGAGATCTAGACCCAGCTACTTGGGCGAAAAAGGAAATCACCGGACTTAAGCAGGGGGAAGAGAAGTGCTGTTGGTTTGGAGATGTGACAAATTGTGAGGAAGCGAGAAGACAAGATTGACAGAGTTGTTTGTGAAGAGAAAGAAGACAGTAAATAAGATGCTGAAGGTAGTGCTATTGTCGCCAATCTATGAGTATGAATGCCATCCTGTCAATCGGAAACATTGATAGACTGTGAGGATCATATCGTCCGGGGATCAACGTTAACGCAAGGGTCAGCAGCCTTACAGCAAAAGACCACCATGTTCCTGCACTAGCACTAGCCAGGGGGGTTCGACCCTCACCCATCCACAACCGAGTCACCGTGGTCTTGGCAGTTCATCCCAAATTGTACGCCGTCCACATGCCAGTCCAGTCCACTACCTACTACGCCTCTTTTCAATAATGGCGCCTCCATCGTTAAAAACATGACGCTTAGCCTCTCTCTCTCCCTTCTTCCCCCCTCAACCCCCATCAGTCACTCTTTTGAACACTCTTGACCGTTTGAGTCAAGAAGTACTATGCCCATGATGGCTAATTCACTCTTTACTTTTTTCCTTCTCACATTCCTTTCATTCTTTGTCTCTGCTCAAGACGATGCTAACCCCGGTGATGTGAACCCCGTCCCTCCCGTCGGGGAGATCAAGACCGAAGATCCCATCTCGAGTCCTCTCACCGAGGGATGTCCTCAGCCTTGTAGCATCGCGGGCAACGACCCTGCCAACTGGACGCAGCTTCACAGCCTGGAGGAACTCGCGGGCTGTACTCTCCCTATGCTGTTTGCGCTCAACGTTGAGAACGATTACAGCGAGAGCGCGACTTTGTATACCTGCGTTACCGAGACGGAGTCGACTTCTACAAAGCGGGATGAGGTCACCAAGGTTCAGGCTAGAGCGGCGGAGAGCTCTGTTTCTCTGGCTAGTAACTGCGGTGCTGAGAAAGCTACCGTAAAGACGACCTCGTCTTTTGGAAAGGCTGTTCTTCGATCTGGTAACAACGTCGCTGCCGCCGCTGGTCTTCTTGCCGAGTATCTTGACAACGGTGCCACATGCGGCACTACCATTCTCTTCGCCAAGTCTGGCTCTTCCATCGCTGGTGTTTACGTTGGCGGTGAAGTCCAAAAGGGCAGTGCTTCCAACATTCTTCGTCAATCTACTGCTCGTCTTCAGAAGGGTGTTCAGGCATTCCAGGCCTGCAATGCTAATGACAAGACTGCTGAGACTATCGGCCTTTACGCAGCTGATAATGTGAACGGCCTTGAAGCTGTTCAGAACGCTGTGAGGACTTGGTCTCATGGTCAGTGTGTCAGCATCGCTCAAGCTACCAAGGAGTCTATCAACCTTGGTGTTCTCACTACCACCACCGTCAAGGCTCGAGATGTTGAGCTTCGCTCTCGTTTCGCGGGCGTTGAGTCCCTTCTTGCACCCCGGGCTGATTGTAAAGCTATTCAAGTCGTTTCGGGTGATTCTTGCGCTTCGCTCGCCAAGAAGTGCAAGGTTACCACCGCCAACTTCAACAAGTACAACCCCGCCAAGAACTTCTGCTCTACCCTTGCTCCTAAGCAGTGGGTTTGCTGCTCTGCTGGTACTCTTCCCGACAAGACACCCCAGCCTAGCAAGGATGGAACATGTTTCATTTACAAGATCAAGTCTGGCGATGGCTGCTACTCCCTCGGCCAGAACTTTGGTATCACTCAGAAGTTCATTGAGGATGTCAACAAGAACACCTGGGGTTTCGCTGGCTGCAACCGTCTCCAGCTCGGTCAGCCTATCTGTCTCAGCAAGGGCAAGAACCCCATGCCTCTAGCTATCGCCGGCGCTGTCTGCGGTCCTCAAAAGCCTGGATCGAAGAAGCCCTCCAGTGCCAAGACAGGCTGGGATCTCGCCAACATGAACCCCTGCCCCCTCAACGCTTGCTGTTCCGGCTATGGTTTCTGCGGCATCACCTCTGAGTTCTGCACCAACACTACCGCCAAGGGTGGTGCCCCCGGTACAAGCCAGCCCAACACTCCCGGCTGCATCGGAAACTGCGGTACCAAGATCGTCGGCAACACCAAGAAGCCCGCCAAGTTCCTCAACGTAGGTTACTTCCAGGGATACAACCTCGGCCGACCTTGCTTGAACATGGACGTCACCAAACTTTCCGAGGTCACTACTCCCTACACTCACATCCACTTTGCCTTTGCCGGTCTCAAGTCTGACTTCTCCGTCCTTCTTCAACCCGATGTTCGTGCGCAGTTCCTCAAGTTCAAGGAAGTCAAGGGCAGCTGGAAGAAGATCATCTCCTTTGGCGGCTGGGCTGGCTCAACTGATGCGTCGACATACCAGCTCTACCGTGATGCTATCAAGCCTGCGAACCGTGACAAGTTTGCTTACAACATCATGACTGTTCTGAACAACCATAAGCTCGATGGTGTTGATTTCGATTGGGAGTATCCTGGTTCTGCTGGTTCTGACGGTTCTTCTACCGATACTGCCAACTACGTTGCGTTCCTCCAGGTTATGAGGAACAAGATTGGAAAGAGTGGAAAGACTATGTCTGTTGCTCTTCCTGCTGCGTATTGGTATCTTAAGCCTTTCCCTGTTACGAAGATTGCGCCTCTTGTGGATTACATGGTCTACATGACCTACGATCTCCACGGTCAATGGGGTATGTCTCCTTCCTTGACTCTCAGTAATAATTCATACTAATGTCTTATAGATTATGGCAACAAGTTCATCAGCTCCGGCTGCCCCAACGGCAACTGTCTCCGCTCGCACGTCAACAAGACCGAAACCCTCGACTCCCTCGCAATGATCACCAAAGCCGGCGTCGACCCCGCCAAGATCGTCATCGGCATCTCCAGCTACGGCCGCAGCTTCCGAATGAAAGACCCCAAGTGCACTGGCCCAACATGTCAATTCACCGGCAGCTTCAGCGTCTCCGAAGCCGAGCCTGGTGTCTGCACCGGCGAGGCCGGATACCTCTCCGACGCGGAGATTCGCCTCATCGCGTACGATGCTAAGCAAGGCAAGAAGGGCGTTACGGCCAAGACGTGGTATGACAAGGACTCGGACTCGGATATCATGACGTTTGGAACGAAGGGCAAGGGTATGACTGATTGGGTTGCGTATATGGGGCCTACGACGAAGCAGAAGCGTACGGATTGGGCCAAGAGCTTGAACTTTGGCGGTGTTGTTGATTGGGCTATTGATCTGGAGACCTGGTTCTCTGCCAAGCCTTAGATAGTTCTTTTGTCATGTTCCCGTTGCCACGGATTATATATATACTAATAGCTCATGAATTTGATGAACTAAGACTATGGTGCTTTGGCGTCTTCCTCGTATTGCTTCCATCGATATTCCCTCTCAATTCCTTTCCGTCGCTGCGCCGTATCACACAGTTTTTCGTTCCCGCATTCACACTTTGCACCCTCACGAAGCCAGCGATATGTTAGACTCCATCGGACCTGTCGTAATCGCACTGTTCCATCGGGAAGAGTATCTGTTTTGCGAGATTTAATCCCGTGCGTCCAGTGTAATCGGGAATCACCGCTCATCTGCATCATACTCCTCGGTAACAAGTCAATTTCGATCTTCTCGCCTGTTTCTTTATTCGCGAATTGCATGAAGAGTGGCGAGCCGAGAGATAGTGAGTAGAGCTGATCGAAGGGGCCGTGGGTGTCGACGTGAGGGGGTATTCCTGTTCCTGGGGCGTATTGTTGGAGACAGACTTGATCTGGTGGACGGCCTTCCGTTGTTGGCAGTAAAGGGACTAGCCATTCTGGAAAAGGCTTGAAGGGTGTTTCTTCATCGATGCCGAATGTTTTGTAGCTGAATGTGTAGCCGTAGTGAAGTGATAGTCGCCCAGGACGAGTTGGCCATTCTAGCTCATTCTCAAAAATGTGAATGAGCTTTTGTTCGTGCTCTGGTGTGATAAAGTCTTGTTGCATGAAGATTCCTGAAGGTTTTATTGGTAATTCCTCCATTTTAAGTGCTATAACTTGGTGTATTTCATATTTTAGTTGCGATAACTGACATAATTCAAGGTCTGTAACCTCGTACGAGATGAGTCCACGCGACATTCTGAGTTTTCATATCACGTGATGCTCTCATGTAAAATCCTAATTGACCAACAGTTAAAAATACGCAAACCATCATAAGCGTCTACAAACTCAAATAGCTCAAAATTCTGGATTCATCCTACTTTAGTGTGTCCTGACTCCTCCATGCTCTTGCTCTCATTAAATCGTTGCACCGACTCCCGGGCCTTGATAAAAAGCTCCCCGCAACCAGTGATGCAGTGTCTTGGTACTATTGGTCAGCGTGGTGCCATGAATATCTGAAAGCTGACACTGCTTCTTTCATCTCTCGATGACGTCCAAAGCTAGCTGGGTGATAGTGCTTGTGAAGCCGCAGATCCTTAATGACGAGCTATATAACACTCTTCTCTATCCTAGTCTCCTTCAATCCGATCAATAAGCGAAAGAAGCCTGCTGGTTGTATGAACGATGGCTGATATTGACGAGGCTATCAAATATGTCAAGAAAGCGATCGGCACCAACCCAACAAACGTCGAAAATTTAGAACAGCTTGGCAACCTTCTCAACGACAGATATCTTAGCACTGGTATGCTTGTGGATCTAGATGCATCCGTTCTTGCGACGAAGCAGGCTATCGATGCGATAACAGATGACGGCGCCGAATTGGCAGACTGCTCGAACACCCTGTGTTACCGGCTTCAAGATAGATTCATGGTGACAGAGGACGACGCAGACCTTGAAGAGGCCATTCAATTCTCACAAAAAGCAGTCGAGTTAACGAGTGCATGCAACGCTAGATACCTGAGTAATCTCGCCGCATCATTGAAGATCAGGTTCTCTGTTACTGGAGAGCTCAAGGATCTGGAAGATGGGATTGTTCTGGCAAAACAGGCCGTTTCTGTGACGGAAAGCGATGACCCGGAACTGCCAAAGTGGTTGAATAACCTTGGAAACCATCTCAGTAACAAACACTTGATCACAGGTTCTTTGGAAGACCTAGAAGAGGCGATCAAGTTGAGCAGACGCGCAGCCGCTTCGACATCTGATGCAACAATGCGGGCTCTCTTTTTGAATAACTTGTCGGCGAAATTAGATCTCAAAGCTGAGGTCACTGGTAACTCGAACACGTACGAGGAAGCCATCGAACTGGCCAAGGAAGCCCTTACTCTGACGCCAGACGGACATCCGGATCAGGCAAAGTGGCTAAACAATCTCGCAACTCACCTAATAGAGAAGTTCGACAGGTCATGGGACTTGAACAACTTGCAAGATGCAATCAATGCTGCAAGTCAAGCTGCGGATCTGACACCGAATGGGCCTACGAAGGCTCTGTACCTCGACACGGTCGCAGATGCGTTGAATCGAAAATATGACAAGATGGGTCTGTTGACAGATCTTGAAGAAGCTATTCGCATGACTGAGATGGCTCTTGAGATGCTTCCGAGCCATCACTCAAAACGGCCACAAATTCTTTCTACGCTTTCAGATCTTTTTAGTAACAGATACCTGAGAAAAGAGATGATAGGAGACCTCGACAGAGCGATTGAACTATCCAGAGAGGCTGCTGATGCAAAGTCTGATAATCACCCATATAAAGCGATTTACATCGATAGACTTGCAATGCAACTAAATCTCAGATCGTCAATATCTTGGGTGGACCCTCATCTCTGGAAGGATTTGGAAGAGTCGATACAGCTGGAGAGAAAAGCGATTGCCATCACAGAGAACAACCGGCCGACCTGGTCCTTCAAGAATAATCTACAGGCTATGCTTGTTATAAAGTACGGCTTGACAAAAGACCAAGCAATACTCGATGACTGTACTCAACTGCAAAGAGAAGCGCTTGAAGAGATCCCAGAAGGCCACCAGTACCGTGCAGAAATGCTTACCAGCTTAGGTTATCGTCTCAGGGACGGAGCAAAGAACGACTCAGACCTCGAAAAAGCTTCCGAGTATTTTCTCGAGGCGCTGCAAAACACAAATGCTCCTGCAATAAGCCGTGTAAGAGCTGGCTCAGCTCTACTACAGTGCTGTCCCGATAAAAAGAAAGCCTACCGGGCTGCCCAAGTCATCATGGGTCTTCTGCCTCAGCTAATAACGAGGTCACATGAGACCTCGGATAAACAGCATGCTGCGGGCTCGAGAGCTGGTATGACGTGCAGTGCAGTAGCCGCAGCTTTGCAAGCGGACAGGTCGGTCTTTGAGGCGTTGCAGGTACTTGAACTTGGGCGCGGTGTGCTCGCAAAGTATAGTGAGGAGATGTTGTTGGGTCCTTTACAGTTGGGTCACCTTTCACCTCAACAAGCTAAGACTTACATTCACCTTCGCGACGAATTGAAGTTTCCAAATACCCCAAGCCAAGGAAATTCTCTCCTGGGCCATGTTACTCAGCTCAACAAGCGTTGCGACATGGCAACAGAGCTAGAGGAATTGATCGTTGAGATACGAAAGTTACCTGGGTTCGAAGACCTTTGGACCGCCCTGACGGAGGCAGAAACACTTGAGGCTGCTGAGCGCGGAACAATCGTCGTCATCAATGTCAGTCGTGCTCGATGCGACGCGCTCCTCATCGAGAAACACCAAATGCGATCTTTGGCCCTTCCCAATATTACAAATGACCTCTATGAATTTGCTCGTACGGGCGACTTTGGTAGCTTAAAGGTTCTAGAATGGATGTGGGATAATATCACTCAGCCAGTATTGGATACTCTTGGTTATTATCAAGTTCCTGAAGAGGATGCATGGCCTCATGTCTGGTGGATACCCACGGCCTTGTTGACTCTTTTCCCGCTCCACGCTGCAGGATATCACCGCAAGGAGTCTTATGAAACTGTCCTTGATAGGGTAGTCTCTTCCTACGCTTCTTCTATCAGGGCCATCATACGTGGTCGCCAGAAAGACCTTTCATCATCGTTCTCTAGCACGGCTGTACCGCGAGCGTTGCTTGTAGGCATGCAAAAAACTCCAGAAAGTGGAGCTTTGCCCTTTGCAAACAAGGAAATAGACATTGTACAGAAGTTATGTCAATCAGCCGGCCTAGAGACCGTCCGGCCGAGGCCACGAAAAGAAGAGGTATCCGAGCATCTATTAGACTGCAAAATGTTCCACTTTGCAGGCCATGGCTACACCGATGAAAACGACCCCTCCAACAGTCATCTACGCTTGGAAGACTGGAAAGAGGACCCGTTTCGCGTCGCCGACCTGCAGCGAATGAATCTTCGCGAACACGCGCCGTTCCTCGCATATCTCTCTGCCTGTGGTACTGGACAGATGAAACGGTATAACCTGGTCGACGAGAGCATCCATTTGATCAGCGCATACCAACTAGCTGGCTTTCGTCACGTCATCGGTACGCTGTGGAAGGTAAGTGATCAATGCTGTGTGGATGTAGCTAAAACTACGTATGAGAGCATGAGGGGGTCAGGCCTGAGTGATGAAGGTGTGAGTTGGGGGTTGCATCGGGCTTCCAGGGAGTTGCGTGATAAATGGGTCAAGGAGCAGAAACAGGGGAGAAGCTCGTTGACAAGAGGTGTTCCAGTCCTAGGAAATGGCAACGGTCATAGTGTGACGTTTAAGAAATATTGTCAGGATGAGAAGGGGAGGGATATCGTAAGTGTAGAAGAGGAACCTGAAGTTGGCGAACAGCTACAGTGGGCCCCTTATGTTCATTTTGGTGTATAAAGATAACAATACCAGTCTCGGATAATTCTAGGTCTTTTAATGGCACAATGCACTATGATAAGAACAGCCTCTTCTCTGAGGTTCCGTGATGTAATACTCATTGGCTCCATGTTGGAAAACGAGGCGTGCATCGTTGATCTTCGTTACCCCGCTTAGAAGTGCAGACACCGACATTATGAAAGGGCAACATGTAACGACTCAGCCCAATGAATTTTCAAGGATGTGCGAAAATGCTTGGAAAATTTGTGATTTGGTAGAACTAGTCATAGTACATAAAACCAGCCATGTCCCTTTTATCGTCCGTTGTCAAATTACTCTAACATTATCATCACATACCGCTCGTCATGATTACCCCATCATACCGAAACTTCGTCGAGTATCGTGCTCGAGCGAACCCATGCGTTTCTCGTCTTTCAAATTACCTTCAACATGAATGTGTTGGTGAAAGCAAGGTTACATATCTTGACTACACCAATCAGTCCTTGGAACCAAGACGCATTGATGTACCCGAGGACGAGATTTCTCAGCTTTTAATCATGTCACCGTCGGTTTCGACGCGATTTGTCTTTGTTGAGAATATTTCGCCCGGTCTCATAATGCTCCTTGGAGAGAAGCTAGATATCGACCCTTTGTTCTTTGCGGACTATATTCATCATGCTTTCGCGAATCTAGAGAAAACCTCATCGCCTCCGTCACTAGCCACCCTCCCGTCATCCATAGCAACAAGAGATCATATTCATCTTCACTGCCAGAAGGTTATTGATCTCGAGGGAACGGACGATGAGCTGAAGAAAGCTCGGTATGATTTGAAAACGAGGTCGAACGTTCCGCGTCATGTCCGACGTTTGGTCACTCTTCCCGGTAAACGGCTGGCCCTAGCGCAAACGTGCTGTTCTTTCTTCATCAGGCACATTGGAGATATGAGTATTTGTAGGCATTCACCTTAAAAGCAGTTTCAATTGTTTAACCATAATAGGTCTATTCCTCGTGGATCCTCCTGTCACGTCTGTTGTTCATTCGCTTGGTACAGATCTCACATCAATGTACAAAGCAAGTGTTTCGCATGGTAGCTTTGAAGACTTCCGAGCACTAGGATCCTATTCCACTTTCGAGAAATCTCCTTTTGGTGATACCTGGAATAAGTCATCAATGAGGAAAGCATCATACACTACCTCCAGGCTTGTCCACCGCCGGGATTAGACTTGACCTCTCCGAGCGTACTAAGTATTGGTTACTACCCCATCTATATTACTTTGTCCGAATGGAACATCTATAACTTCCTGATAAGTCGGTGTTCTAAGCACTATGAGTACTCAGATCAGCTGAGAGCAGGCTGTTTGCGCGATGAAGTCCTGCTAGATCTCCAACCCTGGAAAAGTCGCAGCAGGAGCAGCCACCGGAAACTCAACATCCTAAGGGATGTTATCAGCTCTCATATATTACCAAGCGATGATCCTGCAGTTTGGAATGCCGTCCTTAACGACATTAACTATCTTCGCGACCAACTCCACGACTATAGTCAATCTCTCGAGCAGATGGTTATGGTAGCGACGTCACTCATCCAGCTGCTTGACTCCCGACATTCAATCTTGGAAGCTATAAATACAAAGCGTCTGACGTTCTTGGCACTTGTATTCGTGCCGTTGGCATGGGTTTCTAGTCTTTTCAGTATGTCAGATGGGTATTCCCCTGGCCATGAACTGTTCTGGGTCTATTTTGCTACTGCTTTGCCGGTACTCGCTGTTGTCCTCTTGCTGTCAGCACTTCCCTATGGTAAGATTGCGATAGCAGCCAAGTCATATAAGGCACGAGTCAGAAACCATGAAATGAGATTTCTAGGGGAACCAGTCTAAGATACCTCATCCAAGCCATGTACAAGCAGGCGGCCACAAGGAAGCATTTCGTATTTTATAGTTCATGTTAAGGATGAATATATATCTGACGTTTCATGAGCTATTTGATGTTATTGTTCGCTCTGAGAAGCCTATTGCGGTGGTATGAACTCGTTATCAGCCCTCTCAACACAAGCCCTGACAACTTCATCCAAGTCCTCCTCTCATATAATATTCCATATCTGGTCGAGAACTAACGCTCTGTTCCCGGGCATGAGCTCAAGTTGCTTCGAGGTTCTGACCAGAAGTAGTGGTATCTGAATCGAAGTAGGTAAAGTCTAGCCGGCAATCCTTACCTAGGGTACTTTTCTTCGGTTTCGCAATATACGAATGAAACCTTATAGTACTGTTCTAGTTATTAAATACTGCGATCATAAACAGCTAACGGTATCAAAGGATTGCCCTTTACATGCACCGTCTTATCTCGGATCTAAGGATCAAACCCACCCGAGTTTACTTGCTCAGAATTTGTAAGGCCTCCCGACGCCATGTATCCCAGCTCGCCTGTGTTCGAAGGTGTTTAGAGTAATGGTCTGGGGACTCGGTGTATCTAGACATCAACTTCGAACGTGTGTCGGGCCGCCTTTTCCAGTCACCTTTAAAGGCATAGCCACATGGACATAAACAGTCAGAGAAGAAGCTATCGCGATACAAAAGGCGCTCCATACACCTCCAAGTCTCTTCATAGTCCGTCGTCTTATCAGTTGCACTGAAATTGTTCGTATTTCTTGAAGGCCAGTGCTTTCCTAGGGTGCCGACATGAATAAGTATATGGCAAAACATGAGTGTATCCATGTACTCCAGTCGAGCATCTAACACACTCGACAAGCTTGAAAGATGATGAATTATCCCTTGCGTCTCGCTTTTCTGATCTTGAGTGCCCCTGCGCTCTTGTTGCAATGATGCCCCATGTTGACACAGTACATGAGGGAATTCTGTATCGCAAACAAGCATAACAGCGCAGTAAAGAGGCCAATGTGGCATTGAAGAGGGGGGGTATTGAACTAGCTCCTTCAAGTCTTGCCGTGGTGGACACTTCGTCACCGTCCATGAGTTATACTCCACGATGAAAGGTTCCATATCTGCCACTACGACTTCTCGTTCCAGTAAAATGCGGAGAAATGATGGATCTGGAGAGAGCAGAGCCGGAAGAATAGCCCATTGAGAGGAGCCGGTCTTTTTATGGCCTGGAACACCATGAAAATCAATACCAAGTCTCTCAAAAGAACTGAGATAAAGGCCTAGAGTATTGGAACATTTGCTCTCCATCAAGTGACCACAACCGGCCACAAAAGTAGGATAGAAATCCGAGAAATCTACCTCTTCAGCTGTCTTACTGCTGAAAGAGCCGCCACGGTCTTCGATCAGTTGTAAGAAGCCTCCAAAACTCTGCTCATCGCTGGAGACCAGATACCAAGCGATGGCTGCCGCAATGTCTGCTGGGCGGGGAATGACGACTTGTATCATGGTATCAATGTGGCTGAGGCGTCTGCTGTTATAGACCAACTGGAGGATAGCAATCCGATGCCCAGAAATCACACTAGCAGCAACATGTTCCAAAATCCATAGAAGATATCCGGCATCGTCTGAGCTCAGAGCGGCCTCGACCATAACGAGGATATCATTAGGGCGCCATCTATCTCCATAGTTTCTGTAACACGCCAACTGGTTCAGGAAACTGCGGTCAAGTCGTAGGAATGCGGTCTGAATCAAGTAGCCGTGTAGATCTTTTCGAACATTGAATTCTTTAAATAACGGCTTGATGTCCGCGAACTTCTCACAGTGCCAACAGATAACCTTCCAAGCCGAGTAGCCTGGTGGTAATTCGACGCTCAGATCTTTGGCGAGAAACTTCGAGCCTGAGATCTTGTCCTGGCAGCCTTTCTCGGCCAGATCATTAATGATGGCCCTTAAGAGTAACGCAGGCGAATCTGATTGGGATGGGCAGCCAATGTCATAACCAGGAAGCAGCAGAGATTGCCAATTTCGACTCGGCCAATTAGCTAGCACAGAAATAGAATGAACCATAGATACGCTCAAGGATGCTGGGTGAAATGCTGAACCAAATAGTTGGAACCCCCAAAGAATCGCGTTCAGGACATCAGAGTCTAACAGAAGTCAATAACCAAGTAATAATGGCATTAGAACAACCTGCCTTGGTGTTTCAGGAGTGGGAGTGGGCTTCCCAGTTTCTCTAGGTAATATTGCAACGCTCGCCATTCAATGTCACTGCTGGCATCGTAGTCAATCCGGTCATCGCCTGGCTGAACTGAAAGAGGGGAAGCTTAACTTCGTTCTTGGTTCTCATGGCAGGCACAATACATACGTTTCAGCTTACAGATATCCTGACCGGCAAAGTTTTGAAGGATGAAGTTGAGATAGATGCCTTGTTGGGGCACTTCCAACATAAGGAAACATTCTTCGAGAGCTTTCTGAGGTTTCTCAAAGTTCTCAAAGGTCTGGGTGATTTGGACTTTCGCGAAACTATGAATGTAATCAGACAAGAGTAGATTAATCATAAAATCCTGTTATACCACTGAAATAGAATTTCTCCATTTGAAGTCTGCCAATTAACATTAGGTCTATCACGATTGATGGTAAATTGCCGGCGAGGCGTGATCGTGCTTGAAGACCGGGACTGGGGCCATATGGTTATGGTATAGTTCTCGACGTCGCGGAGTTGAAAGTCGAAAGCAGGAAAGCTTTTCAAGCTTGCTTTCGCGATCTGAGATATCAGTCTAAGTGCTAACGCTGGACAGGATCTACTTTACCTGACTGAGATTTCGGATGTCGTCGTTTCGTCTATCGTTAGACGCACCTAAATGGGTACGTTGTGGATGTATTGCGACGATCTCGGTCAGTATCCAGCATGCCTTGAGAAGGTTGATATAGGCATGAAACTTAATTTCAGTTCCGTCAGCTAGACGATCCATTTGGGGTCGAGCCTGTTGGACGTTAGTTCGCGTGGTGTTGGAATTATTGGTTCATCTGGCACCTTTAACAGCCACCATTTGCCTGCTTGCAGCCAGTCGTCGATCCCAATGGAGGCCCAAGGCTTATTATCAGTCTCTGCACTTCTTAAGAAAGCTGCGCTGAGTTCTGCAAGAGCCTCCTCATCCAATGGACCTTTCAGAAGAGGACTCTCGCGCGAACGGCGATCACCGATCATGACGTTCCGAAGCTCTTCCAACTTGATGTCCGTTTTTGTTTGTTGTTTCTCAATCCGTTCCAGGGACGAGCTTGTTCGTCAACAGGTAATTCAGAAAGCCCAATAATAGACTTACTTTTGGGCACCTTGCAAAAGAAGGGTTAAGTGCAAATTATGGGACATGAACTAGAGAACGTTAAGCTTGGTACCATTGGGCTATGCTAGGACCCAAACCTTCGCACGGAGCTCGTTGATACTAGACACCTCGAATGCATACTTGACTCGGTTCCATTGGATGCGAAAAGAACGTCTTGAACCTCGTGAATTAGCTCCCGGGTCGAGTTCCGCATATTTATCTGCAAGTCGATCCATTTTCTCAAGCGTCTCTCGGGCTTGACTCATGACTTTGCATGTGTATTCTAATCGTCTCACGCCTGCCCTTTTTATCCACTCTTCCTTATCTCGCACTTCCTCGTTTAGTAAGTTCACTGTATTAGAGAGATTGCCTAGCTCTTGGATCAAAGCGCGGAGCTCCTCCGGTGCGTCGCGCGAAACTTTGTATACTCGAGTGTAGATCTTCCAGCATAGCTCCCCGACGGCAATGAAATCGCCAACGCCGAAGCCGAAGGACATGGTGTCACAGAATCAAGGTACGATTTAGGTGGTAATGCACCAGGGGATGGTTGTGTAGAGTGTATCCGTTTGGAAGCAATATCAAGAGTTAGGTAGGAAGTTTGATGTAAGATCGAGTTTGTTTGTGCCTTTTGAAACTGGTACTGCCAATGCTACCTGAAGTAATGTGTCGCACCTGTTGTTTGCTGACCAAGTCGCTTCTTGAAAGTGATTCGTGGTCAGTTATCGTATCAGGCTGTGCAATCACAAATGCCAGCTGGCACTTGGCAATTGGTCTATGAGTGTCTTGCGCCTCATCGGAATTACAATGAGAAACTCCATAATTGTGCTTGCATTTCTATCCCGCGCCAACGGGCGCTTAATGGACTACAGAATTGGCCCATATTCTCCTCAGCAATATCCTGTTACAGTGGTCTAAATTTATTCTCAGCCTTCTCAACACAATCCTTGACCACTCCATCCAAGTCCTCCTCCGGTAGCCCAAGTAGCTCATTGTGACGGTTGTCTTGAGTTTTGAGCTTTTGCCCACCCGGTGAGAAAATGAACGAATAATAAGCCTGCACGAGTCCCATGATGTTACCGGATCTCCCCATCGTCTTGCCATTCTCAATCCGATCAGCGCTGCTCTCATGCTTGATCTCCCAGTCTGCGTCTGTCGTGTTCGTGACGCGCTGGACGCTTCTCAAGATATCCTTCTGGCTGACATAAAAGCTCGACAGATAGACAGGTTTGTTTCGAAACTGCGCGATTGTTGAGGATTTGTCGTCTTCATCGTTCGGAAGCTCTTTGAGACTTGCAATGGCAGCAGCGGCACGACCGAACTGAGCCAACGTGCTAGTGTTGATCTTTGCTTCACCGTCATCAAACAACGTAACCTTGCGGTTACCTATGTCAAATCCCATGAAAGACTCTCCGGAAGGAAGGCTGTAGTCAAACCAGACGCCTCCGACGAGAAGTATCCAAGAACTGACGCCAACCCGCTCGATCTCTTTGAGAAGATTGATTGGAGGCGCAGCCGGGAAGAAATCATTGACAGAACCTTGGTTTTCGATGACTACGTTTGCGGCGTAGATGTTGGGGATGATATAACGGATCCCTGCTTTTCCAGCTGCACGAACGATGCGATGATGGACTTCTGGGTCGACATTAACAGCGAGGGTAATGATGAGGAGTTGTTGACCCTTCAGAGCTAATGCGATAGATTCTTCATCTTCATAATCGATGGGGACAGTCTTTATGTTATCTGGAAGCTTGGAAGTACTGCCGATCCGAGTCAGGGCAGTGATGGTATGTTTTCCAGTCTTAAGGAGTTGCTCGGTTATCTGGGCGCCTTGTCGGCCACCGGCCTACTTAACGTCAGAGGAACAAGCAGATAAGTGATAAATGGAACATACTCCGACAATTGCAACTCTTTCGATGCGGTTAGAGAAGCCTTCAGGCTGATCTTTTGCAAATCGTTGCGTGGACATGGCTAGGTTTGGGGAATGAATGAAAGTTGTTCTGAGGCTTTGGTGTTGTAAAGGATGAATGTTCGTTAATTTGAGAGTGAGTCAAGAACTATTGTAGAGGTACAGGACATCTTATGTATAGCAACAGAGAACCCAGAATAAATGGATATTGGCGACGTTAAACCCGAACTTCGGCCGAATGTGGTTGGAGTTTAGGCTCTATGACCGTCTTTCGGTCGGGTTCACGGACGAATGGCATCAAAGGCAGCATAGATTACAAATAAGCGAATCCTTCCAATATCAATCTAGATAATGATCATGCAAACATAACAGTTATCCTACTAATCCTCGGAGCAAAAGCCCTACACTTCTGCCTCAATGATTCTTGCGGCACAGATGCTCAGCAAGCCTCAGCGAAAGAGCCGCCAAAGTCAACGAGGGATTGGCCTCAGGACTAACAGGCAGAACCGAAAGATCACAAACCCATAGATTATCCAATCCCTTTACCTTGAGGTTTGAGTCCACAACACCAGGCCCCTTCGGTCCATCCATTCTCATCGTTCCGCACTCATGAGAAAACACTCCGAAGCCCAGATGCTGCGGCCTCAGTCCTGGGTCAGGACACACTCCCGGATCCGCATACGTAGCTTGATTAGGCTTCATCCCAACAAAAGCATCTCGAACTCGGCGGATGATGTCTTCCATAGCGCACTGAACCTCATGCTTGATCGGTGGTCGACGAATATCCAAGACAGGATCCAAGCCCGGAAGACTGAGCACAGAGTTCTCATCATCGAGTCCCCCAACAAACTCAAATAGCACGCAGATAGTGTCGAAGTTCTCCTTCTCATCAGCCGCATCCTTAGTAGGGCTCATGAGGGTCCCATCACGACGATAGAAATGCGTCGTGTTGAGCGTCGCAGAACTTCCAGCGAGGAAGAAATTCGCATTGATCGTCACTGTGACCAGACATTCTTCACCGCCGACTTTGAGGTGCGTTTTCAGGTTGAGCGGCTTTTCGGTGACATTGTCGGACTTTTGCTTGGCGAAGCGCACGTAGCAGACGTTATGGTCGATGAGACCTTTGCCGACCAAGGGGTTGAGGTGGTCGAGACCGCTGTTGAGGGCGATGGAGGCGGTGCCGATTGTTCCGGCGGAGAGGATGACTTTGGCTCTGCCGACGTCGAGCTCTTTGATGGTGTTGGTGGCTTTGTCTCTGATCTTGAGAGCGTTGACGCTTTTGTTGCTACGCCTTCGTCATCAGATGGTAGCTTAAGTCTATGAGAGGATGTACTTACAATGTGTTGCTGGCAGCATGCTGAACAGCGATGACCTCTGTGTTGAGGAGAACAGAGAGATACTGATCATTCGCGTACATGCGATTGATGATGCTCAAGGTAGTGCTGTATGCACCTTGAGCGAACTTGTATGGTGCAGGGGCGTTGAATTGCGCTGCGATAGGCATGAGACTGAACTTTGAACCAGATAGGGCATTGTTCAACATCTCACTTGCGTCGCCAATCTCTGAAGCGCTAACTTCATGCTTGCCGTCACCCTCTGGGTAAATGATATCGCCAGGCTGCGAGTCAGTGAGGTATCTAAACGCTTTCTTATATCCTTGGATCTCATCACCCTTGAGGTAATCAACAAAATCAGTAGGGAAGAAAGCACCGAGAGTCTCGTCACCAATCTCTGGGATCCAAGTGCCCCAGAGATTAGATCGTCCCCCGACGCAATACACTGGACCGCCGACATAACTATCAGAGCGGTCGGTGCATTGGACCTTGGCTTTCACAGCGTCGTAGACACGCTCGTTACCTTCGGGCGAGTTACTTGCGCCGCGGTTGAAGTAAGGGCGAGAAGTATTGAGAACGTGGGTTGAGAAAATGACGCTGCCGCGCTCGATCAACAAGACTTTGTATTGTTGGGATACAAGCTGTTCAGCTAAAGGGCCTCCCCCAAAACCACTTCCTACGATAATGTAATCATAGGAGTTAAGTTTCGCAAGAAGGCATACGACGTCTGTATCAAGATGGAGGAGATGATCCATTGTGAAAGGTTGACCAATGGCAATGACTTGAAAGGAAAACTTTTGGAGATTGGATGAGAGAAAGAGATGAGAGAGAACCGGGGGGTATTATAGATGCACACCATGTAAGACAGAATTGAGGAGGATATGCCGATCTGGAGCTGACGAATGTGATATTGAGGTGATGAGTACCTAGCATCAATCACATCCTTAATGGGAGGTGTCAGCAAGCCACTTTCGGCCCAATTCAGCTGAAGTAGATCAACAATGGAACCTCAATATGCATGCAGAGACAGCTGAAGTCAGATCAATAGTTTGTTCAGTGGTGAGAAGTAATTGGATTGGCGCAGATGCAGTATTCAGGGAATGCAACCAATGCCTTGTACAGAAACTCAATCATACGAGGTTGAACTCTTGATTGGACTCGGCAGATGTGTTTGAGGCCACCTACAGTTGTTCTAGATATGTTTTATTGCATTTGATACAGCGGCACGGCATGGGCCGAGTCCGAGAAATAAATTTGATACGGCGGAGCGGTATCGAAGCATGTCGTGGACATGACGACTGGAACCTGGTCGTTGTAATGGACCTTATCAGAGCACAAATGTTGAGAAACATGTAGAGCAAAGGTCTTACTACCATAGGGACATCGAGATACAGGACTCGACCAGATCTATCTAATGCAGAATGCAAAAACACAAGGTATACAGTGATAACGACTAAGAAAATAACAATGATACACTTTTCAACGCCTCTTCCAAAAGAATGCCAGGATCAAAACATTGTAGGACAGTTTCAGTGCACCAGCGAGAATAAACGCAAGCCAGAACTTATCCAAGCCCGCGAACAACCCCGTGATGTACAAGCCAAGACAACTTCCAATCGTCTTTGTAATATTAACAACACCCATAGCCGAAGTCCTCTCATGATCCAAAACCCCCGCTGAGATGAACGCCTGTCGAGGCGCATTATCAATCTCGCGCGTAACAATTCTAAAGATGAAAATCACAAGAGCGATGTACTTATTCCCAGGCACAGACACCATGAGCAGCGAAATGGAGTTGACCGTGTGACAGAGGACCATGGTTTGCACCTGTCCGATGGCGCGTGACAGCGGTGACGACGCGAGGTTCAGCACGGAGGAGATTATGCCGGCGGTGAAGGTCGCGGAGCCCAGCGCGCCCTCGGGCATGTCGTACTCGCGCTTGAAGAAGTATGTCATCCATGAGATCTGTGCGAGACCAGAGCCCACAAAGTCGAGGATCAGTGCAAGGGAGAGCTTCCACATGAAGGTGAAAGACGACGGAGTGAAGAGGCGCTTTTCTTGGGCTGTGGCGAGTACCTGGGCTTGTGTTTGGGTAACGGCTCCGTAGCCGGAGCTATTATCATCAAGAAGGGGAGCAGTCTCATCATCAGATGCTTCTTCTTCGGGGGTCAAGATGCCGGATTGGGGTGTTGAGCAGGATTCTTTCTGGAGGGGCATTTGCTCGACTTCGGAGCTGAGGAAGAGTGAGCATAGGAGTTTGAGGAGGCCGATACCGGCGTAGCTGAGGAAGATTATTCGGTGGCAATCTACTTTTTTCATGCCGTTGTCTTCGAGGGCGTTGATGAGCCAGCCTGTTAGGAGGTTGCTTGCTGCTGTGCCGAACATGCCTAGCATAGACCACCAAGCAAACATGTCATTGCATGTATGCGCTGTGCTAAGGCGAGCAATCGCTGATTCTTCAATTGCCTTGAAGGGATCAATCTCATTCGCACTACATCGTCAGTCCTCTCCCCAATATCGCACACAAATAGTGAACGTACCTTGGATTAATAACAGCAACGATACTCGCAAGAAGCAACAGCCAGAAATTCTCAAAGTACGCAAATGCAACGCCTCCAGCACTCATCAACAGGGCTCCAACAACAGCTGTTAATCTCACGCCAACACGATCACCGACCCAAGTGAGGATAAAGCTGATAGCAAGATCACCCACGAGCGTCAGCGTCATGAATAGCCCGATCTGCGTATCATGGAATCCCAACGCGTTGAGATACAGCGCCAGAACAAGCGTCGTTCCTCCATAGCCGAGGAGGCGGATGAAGCGGAGAAGGATCAGGATCTTTAGGTCCCGGCTTGACCGCCACAGAACATCGGCGCCAATGCTAGAGAGGAAACGACCAGCTACCGCCATGATGATACTGAATAAAAGGGATATGTACAAAGCAAAACCCTGAGGAGAGGTTGAGATGGTAGTTCTAGTCTTTGCCTCATTTAAACAGAAATTTTCCGATATCTCTCTTCTCCCCCCGTCAATTTGACACCGTCGATCTTCTCTCGCACGGCCCATGCATGTTCTAGATCATGCGATCGGACTAAGCTTGGCTTTTTCGTCAGCTCCCCAAGCAGAAGAAAAAAAAGAAGAGAAAAAAAGCGCCCCCTTCTCAAAGGGGACTGCTACGTAGACGAATCATGACCCAGCCCGTGCTGCTGTGCGCGTGCCAGAGACTCCCTTTGGCCAAAACGAGTCATACGTTGCACAGCGTGTGACCAATCAAGTTTAGGTAGGTGTCTGACTTTTTTCTTGTGTCGTCTACTTGTAGTACGTATTCTGGCTAAGGTATTGAATGTCTGTCTCGCCCGCTGATGCCTTACCGTGGGGGTGTTTACTCTACGGCATTGACCAGACTTTCTCCCTCAGGGGCAGAGACGTACTATTTCCCTCCCGCACACTACGCCAGTCCTCGTATTCTGCAAAGCGCTTCGCCGCATACCCCGCGTAGTCAAAGTCGATAGTTCCGGTCGCTGTCTCAGCCTGGATGAGAGCGCAGAGACCCCTGTCCAGCGGTGTATCAGCCATTGTACCACCACACACTTATCTGTCTGTGAGACAAAATGGCGACTTACCAGTAGAACCCAGGAAAGCCCCTGTGATCGTCGACCTGACGCATTAGATGATCCACAGAAGCATCATTGACAGTCGGTACGTCTGTGTTGTACTCCCGACAGAGTTCGGCGTGGGCCGTGAGATACTCTGCGATAAAGGCGCGTCGGGTTGATGTCTTGGGGAGCAGAGTGTAGTCGCAGTCGAAACCGGTCCATTCAGCGAAATGATTTGCTAGTTCGAAAGCCCGAGGACAGTATGTGGCGTGTCTTGGGGTCGTTCAGTGTCTCTGTTTCGGGGACATTTGTAGAGCAGGGTATGACTTACTCGTAATCAATGAACCGAACTGATGCGACATCAATGCCATCACCCGACTCTTGTACAATTATGTTTGCGCACAAGAGGTCTCCGTGAGCGAGAACCTGTGCGGGTTAGTAACAGACAAGCAAAAAAAATGCAACGACGTACCAAGGGTTCCGACATGTCAGTTGACAACAGGTTATCGGCTAGATATTTGAACTTTTCATGCAAATCATCAATTTCGGCCTTTGATCGGTGAGGATGTTTGGAGATAGCATCTAGCCATTTCTTCGCGGTGGACCAAACGCCTGGTTTGTAGGTCAAGACTTCCTTTGCATCTGCTGTAGGAAGCGTCGCGTGCCACCGAGCCAGCTCTCTCGCAACGCCGCGGAAAATTCTTGTCTCAGACATGTCGCCTTCAGAGCAGACTCGCCCAGAGATGAACTGATACGCATGTCCATTATTGAAGCGAACCAGTGGAGATGAAGAGAGTTGACGCTCAGCCAGGAGCTTGTGCACCCTGAGCTCCTCTGTCGCAACATGTCACGTTAGACACGAATCCAAGACGGAAGTTCCAGACGAGATTAACAGACTCTCGAGGGACAAAGTATTGGGGAAATAGGTACGTACTCTCGCGATCAATGGTGATATCCGTGCCATCTCCGTAGACCTTGATTAGCACCGCATCTGCAGTGGATGCATCGATCGTAACCTTGAAGAGCTGCCAAAGTTGTTTTAGCGCGCATGCCCGTGTACCTGGGTAGAGGGGAGGTCAGTATGAGGGAATACTCACGCCATTCGTCGTGCCCTGAGTCAAAGCGGAAATACGCATATCGTCGATCTTCCGATCGGGGAACAGGAGCGGAAGAAGCGACAGGGCTGATCCGTGAGGATCTGACGTATCAAAGACAACATCCTTGAACGGGATATCCATTCTCCACTCTCGGCAGTTCAAAAAAAAAAAAAAAAAAAAAAAACTAAAGATACTGAGGTAATCAAAAAATATCCAATAAGAGATGAAGGTGAAAAAGGTTGGGAGGAGTAAAGATGGGAAAGGCCTTAAAGTAGCTGTGCCTCTGGGTGCAGCCGCCCGTGCCGCTTTTCCAAGGGCGGACTGTAAGCAGCAAAGATCGACGCTGAGACTGCGGCTGAGATGAGACAGAAGCAAATAGTGTCTTGGCCCGTGTCTCACGCTAGATGCAGATCAAGAGATGCTGTAGAATGAGAAGAGAGGGAGTGATTGGAGGTTGGTTATAAGACACCGCCTTGTTTCTTGCTGTGGCCCTAGCACATGCGGCCCACCAGAAAGGATCATTACACTACATACCTGGAAATATTGGTCAGCTACATCGGAGACTAAGGCTTATCGAAACATTTTCGCGTCTGTCTATCAATGATTGTCAAGAGCTAGCCAGAGCGATATACGCATCTCTGATATCATCCGGGGTATATAAGGAGAAAGGCACACGACACAATGGAACTTCAAATCATCAACATTTCGGTATTACATCATGGCGCCCACAAACAGTCTTCTCTACAAAAACTTTCAGAAACATCCCGCGGCTCTTATTGAGTCGACGGAGGGGATTTATCTCAACACCAGCGATGGGCGCAAGATTCTAGACGCTACGAGTGGAGCGGCTGTTGCGTGTCTGGGCTATGATAACAAGGACGTTCAGAAAGCTGTTGTAGAGCAGCTGGTGAGTGTTCCGTATTGTCATCCTGGTTTCTACAAGACGCAGGCGGCAGAAGATCTTGCGGATTTTCTTGTTGAGTCCACGAATGGGCTCATGTCCAAGGCTGTTCTTTGCGGATCAGGTAAGCTTATGCAGTGTTTTCGAGTGGATAATGGAGTGCTAACTGATGTTTAGGATCTGAAGCTGTCGAAGTCGCACTCAAGCTTGCGAAAACGCACTTTTCGCATCTCGCTATTCCTCAGACTGAACGAAGCCACTTCATTGCCCGTGTTGGGGCATGGCACGGCGCTACGCTCGGTGCGCTGACACTGGGCGACTTTAAAGTACGAAAAGACCCCTTTGTACAATTGATCTCGCAGAATTCTTCGCGCGTATCAGCATGCAGTTCGTACAGAGGACAGCGAGACGGTGAAGATGACGAGGCGTATGTTGCACGTCTCGCGCAAGAACTCGATGATGAGTTTTTGAGAATTGGGTCTGATAAGGTCTGCGCTTTTGTGGCTGAGACTGTCGGAGGGAGTGTAAGTCATCTCCTATCTTTGTAAGATTTATCTGATCAACTGATTCGGTACAGGCAAGTGGTTGTGCTATGCCGTTGAAGGGATATTTCCCTGCTATGAAGGCCGTTTGCGAGAAGTACAACGCTCTTCTCATTCTTGACGAAGTCATGTGTGGAATGGGTCGTACGGGTACTCTTCACGCTTGGGAGCAGGAAGATGTCGTCCCTGATATCCTTGTCGTCGGAAAGGGTCTTGGTGCTGGATACGCTCCTGTCTCAGCAGTCATGATCAACTCCAAGCTCGTTGAGTCGTTCCAGAAGAGCGGTAAAGGCTTTGCCCACGGTCAGACATATATGGCTCATCCCCAAGCCGCCGCCGCCGCCCTCAAAGTCCAACAGATCATCCGCGATGAAAACATGCTATCGCACGTCCGCTCAATGGGCGCATATCTCGGCTCCAAGCTCAAAGAGCGCTTACTCCCCATGCCATATGTCGGCGACATCCGAGGCCGCGGCCTCTTCTGGGCCGTTGAATTCGTGACCAACATGAAAACCAAAACCCCCTTCCCCTACGATCTCGGGCTCAACAGCTTGTTGCACTCACGCGGAATGAGCGCTGGGTACGAAATCGCACTGTTCAACGCCAATGGAGGGTATGATGGGTACAGTGGAGATCACTTCTTGATCTGTCCCCCTTTTATTGTGACGAAGGAGGATGTTGATGAGATTGTGGAGAGAACGGCGAGGGTGGTGGAGGATACGTTTGAGGAGTTGGGTAATTCGGCAGTTTGGGAGAAGATTACCCTGCAGATGGAGATTGATAAGGTTGAGGTTAAGCCTGTCGGAGCGATGGTTGCTGCGCAGTGAGGAGAAAAGTTCATAGATGGGATTTCGTATTTATTTGGTAGACTTTTAATGATTTTGTGTTGATTGTAAAATTCTTGAGACTGATGTGTTTTATACTAACGTTGGTGGTCATTCTTCGTAAAGCCGCGGTTGCAACGATGCGGCTCAAACGGGCCACCAAGGTTTCCAAACCATAAAATTTCAAATGCCAATCATCAATCCGGTGAAGAACCTAATCGGCGGACAAAGTCCAGACAATCCGATGGCATCGCCAAGCTTGAATGGTTACGTTTCAGATAACAGGAGGGCGATTCGCAATATCTGATGGAAATTCACTGCGGCTCTATCGCGCCAGCAACCTAAACACAAATTCGGCACAGTTGTTTAACAATTCCGGGCGAATGGTTTAGTGGTATAATACTCCCTTAGCAAGTTTCGTCCATCGGATGCTCGCATCTGGGAGTGGTCCAGGGTTCGATTCCCTGTTCGTCCAGCGTAGGTGGTTAGATTCCACTAACATTCCTTTTTTGACTGACTTACGTAACATCAGCTGTCTTTCTGAGCTATGTATTGTTACGTAGTTTTACAACGAGTGAGCAGTTGAATGATAACCTTTTACACGGCGTGACGTGTGTACTGATTGAATCGAGCCTGTCTCTTGTCTATTGCGTTTGGTAGCTGCACAAAAGTTCACGCTCTGAAGCCAGGTCAACTCTTGCCTTTTGAAGGCTGATGGATTGATCAGCGGTGAGAAAGAACTCGAGCCAGCACTTTCTAAAAACACCAGATTTATTCTCGAACTCGAAATGGAAAGCACGACACGTCTTACGCGCCTCCAATGGAATACTCAAACTTGCTTTCTCCAGGCACTCTCGCAATGTTTTTCCCTCTCTCATCATCTCATCTTCCCCATCATCAATAACGCCCCAGAACAAAACCCAACAAAGCACTTTTTATTCTCCTCACACTTAAAAACATCTTCTACATCGCGGTGATGGACGTACCAACAACTAGCCTCAACGTGCTCAACGTGGGCTTGCATGGGGGCCAACTCCTCGAAAAGATATCTCCTGTTGACTCTAGAAAAAGTGATGGCGTCTTCAAAATTAACTTCCACCGCCACGCTTTCCAGACCGTGGCCTCTCAGAACGGATTCATCTGGGCTGCGGCAGAAATCTACGACAGGAACACTGGACTCAACATTCGGGTGGATAATATCTGGCTTGCTATTCTTGCACAGCTGAAACCCTATATCTACCGAGCCGTTCGCCCTCAGGCAAAACAAGATATCCTGACCTTTACTCGAGCAGAGCTCAATAACCCAGACCTGGTGGCGAAGCGCTTGTCCGATATGGTCGAAGCAAGAATTGGACCTCAAGTCACGAATGTTCTTATGCCCCACTTCAGCACCACCACGCATACGGATTCCGGGGCGGCCGCTCTCATACTACTCGGCACACATTGCAAAGCTCAGCACCATCGGATATTCATGAAACCTAAGGAAACTTACGATCGCAAGACTATGGTGGTCGTAGGAGATACGGCGGACTGGGAAAAACTGCGTCAAAGCTTCGCGACAATTAGAACCTGGTCCCCGGATTTGGAGGCCATGGTATCCCGTCATTCAAGCTTACTGGACAAAATGCTAGGAGCTGGTTATCAATTCGACCATCCGGTCCCTCAAATTGCAGCTCATCATCGGGACTCTAGACCATAGAGTGAATTCTGGGACGATATGCTCAAAGTGGACCACGACGGACGGTTGAGGGGTGGTTGGATTCTCGACTTCTTCGATCCGCGCAAAATCAACCAAACGGGAGGGTTCACATTCAATGATGATATGACTTCTGCTGTTACAACGATACCTATTAGGGTCGGCGATAGCCAGGACCTCAGGAATTGTACAATCGTTGGAGGTTTACTCGGGCATTCGCGTGAGAGGTCAGGTGTTCTTGACCAAGAGACTCGAGGTGAACTAGGTATTGTTCAGCCGATGTCCGGCTGGCTTGTGTACTTCAACAAAAACCTCTAGACGGCGAGAAAGGAGCAAGTTAGGGAGGTGCAGAAATAGAGGACAGAGTTGATTGAGCATCCAGGGCCTAAGAGTCCCATACAGCTCTCGACTCTAGAGAGGAGATGCAAGCGAGAAAAGAGAAGCGCAATCACGTACATAAAAAGCGTTATTGATTCTTGAATTATATACAGAGAATGAGAATTAATTCTGACGCAAGACGTCCCAGCTGATAAACTGTCTTTGTTCCCTCATACAACGCACCAGCTCCCATGTGTTCCTCAACACATCACTGATTGCCAGGCGAGCTTTCAACCTAGGTAGCTCTTTAGCCCGCTCTATTGAAACCTGAACTGAGCAGTAGTGACATCAGTGAGTACGTTCTCATTGCCATAGAAAATGTTATTGCTCTCGATATGCCAATAAATAGGCGTCGAACCACTCTCAGACGCGCACGACAGAAAGCCCGCGACGACGTCGCATTTGACGAAGTACCGGTACTGATTGTTCACAATATTTTGATAGGTATCAAACTGAAATGAAAGTTGAGGGCCAAGCGGGATGACGGTTTGGAGGTAGTATTTCGTGCCACCAACGGTCGTGGTGAGGCGACCGGTTGACGGCTCAAGGATAAAGGTTGCGGGGGTGTCTCCTTGATCGCTGAGGAAAAGACCGTTGAGGTAGGTATTTACCACGCTTCCATCAGAGAGGACGGCGACGATGGGCGTTCCTTCAGGGACGGAGGAGGTGGTGGCACTCGCGGCGGCTGTTGTAGTCGTCGACGGTCTGCAGAGTCCCGCGAGGGCCAAACCGGCCTGGGACGAGAGCAAGAAAATCGACAGAGTCTGCAGTGAGAAATGCATGGCGGAAACGAGTGGATGAAGTTGGCGAGTAAACGAGCGTGGAGGACTGCAATGCCAAGACTGGGGAACAGATCTCAGTTTTATACATCGTCAGCAAGGGGCTTGTAATTTCGCAAATCTCCAACAATCGGATGCTAGTGAGAGACTATAAGCGGTTGGTGTGCCGATCTACTGGTACACTAGCTATAAATGCCATCAGGTTGAGCTATAAGGCTGGAAGGTTCAGCTATCGACGCCACGCTCATGATTTAGCGGCTGTTTTACAAAATAATTGGACACGATACGAGATTTTGCGAAAATATCCAAGTATAGCTAAGAGCCATTGATTGCAATGTAATTTGAGGAGAACTAGAGTGAAGTCTCCTCTGTGGTTACACATGATAAGATTGCTTTCTTCATGTTTACTGAACTAGAAAACGGAAAGCTGGAGGAAATCGAGGTTGGTATTTCTCTATGATGAATTGACGACTGGATCTGATCGTGCATAAACAATGGGGATCACAAGGACGTCGAACTTGACGTTGATTACACTGATACCTTCATAGTAGAGGAGTAAGACAATCGTTGTTCTCAGAGAGACGCTGACCATCTAGACAGCACACCGCCCGCCTCTCTCTGGTTACAAACATAAGAATAACAAACACCCCCCCCGGAACAGTCGTGCTAACCCCCAGTAATACCACAGGCCTTTCCAGCATCCCCGGCATTCTAGTAACGAGTCCCAATGACCTTTCCATCACTACCATCCTTGTACATCAGAAACGTGCTACCGCTCTTGTAGAAGTTGAGCTTTCCTATGCCGCAGAAACCAAAAGTGATGGAGAAGACGCTGTCGCCGAGAGTGCCGTCGTCTTTGCCGGTGCGGTCGCCGTTGGTGAGACATTTGCAGTTCCAGTAGTTGGAGGGACAGGCGGCGACAAGATTCCAACTTTGTTTGGCCGCCAAGACTGTTGACGACAGCGTTGCGGAGGTTGTCGATGTGGAAATCTCGGAGGGCGAGGGCTGGGAATAATAAAGTTATTCCAATATAGTACTAGGCATTTCTACCTTCAGCTCATCTTCATGTTACGCATTCTAATTTCCAACTATTATTTACTCGAATATAGGCAACGTTGACCAAGCTATAGAGGCCAATCTTTCCCCATAGCCATTCAACTAGAGCAGGCTCAATGTTCCTCATGGTTTCTAAATAGACCACGTCTGTGCAGCGCCTTTTGCCAGAGCATCATTCGAGCCATCCTCAACGACATCATAGGTAGGCTCATCAGTCCAAAACTCATAGTCATTTGCCTTGTTGCCAGGCTTGCTGATTTGCCAGGGCATCCACGGTACACCAAGACCATTGAATACGTCTATATGCTGACCGACTGTGGTAGACTTACTGCTCCCAGTAGCACCAAACTCCTCAAAAAGTATGAGCTTGTTGGCGCTCTTTGCGTGCTGCAGTGCGACTGGGCCCTTGTTCTTGAATTCGTTGACGCCCATGTAGGAGTGGATGGTGACAAGGTCCAGGGCCTTGCAAGCCCAGTTCTCTGCAACATCTGAGTTGGGAAACTCGTTGCCGCCACCTACGATCTTGTGTTAGCGATAGAAAAGGTAAATCCCGGGTGCATAACAACTCACCAGTGGAGATCAGAACCTTACTGCTACCCATAATGCCCCGCATGAAGCCAGCTCGATCGCACCACCACGACGGATGTGGTGGAATATTGTTGTTCAAATGGCCCTGACCTTCGTTCTGGATATTGAACGCGAAGATATGGCTGCTCAGATCTTTCCAGGCTGGACTTCCGCTGACAAGCGTGTTCTTGTGTTCAAGAACGTGACGGATCCGATTCTGAAAATCGGAAATGCAATTCTTGTCCGAGTACCAGAACTCGACGTTGTTGGCACTAGCTGGCTGAGTGTTGCAGTCTACTGCAGGCAGCTTGTACTTTGATACGTAGGCATCGCTTCCCCAGCAGCCGAGCTGGTAGCGATCATGGATTGCGATGGTGAGCCTAATGCCTCTGGCTTGAGCTTCTACCATGAGTTGATCTATGGCTTTGAGCTGGGTATCGTCCCAGACTCCAACGGTTTGGGGCTCAATGTCAGGCATTGCAATTGAGCCAGTATTCTTGAAGTTCTGGCCAGTTGCTGAAATGAAGATTCGTAGGACCTTGAGATTTGCATCCTGGATGGCGTCCAGGACGTCCAACCTATCTTGCCTTCATCCTCTGTGAGCTATATCATCATTGGTACGTGGAAAGAGCTAATTCTTACTGCTTGAAAGCATGGAGGAAGAAGGAGTTTACGCCTGCGAAGCTATTGCCTTGTTGGCGAACGGGGAGCTGGGGGCCATGAGGAGTGGCTACTGCAAGCAAAGCTTGACCCAATGCGAGAAGGCTGAAGCTCTTCATTGATTTCAAGTATGGGGGATAGTTCAGGATGATTCGAGTCTTCTGAAGGTGCTGATCTTGAAACCTTGAAGGGTCGTAATCTCATCTTATATAGAAATACTTAACTATGGCCGCCTCCAGCTCCTGAAGGTTGCATTGGCCCAAGTTTCCAAGAAACACTGTGAGCTTGGTCCCAGCGTCCAGGCCTACCTGTCACGAGCTTCCGCTTTAGGTGATATCCATAGGTGCTGAGCCGGAAATACTAAGGTGGACTGTGGCAGGGGGTTGTGGTATTCTCTATTAGATCCTAAACACGCACAGAACAGATGAAGATCCTTGCTATTTCAGTCAATAAATGAATCAACTTGACATCGTGATCTCATGTTACCGATTCATCTACCCCGCATTTTGACTCCCTTTTCGCAGTGCACGGGCTGTTGTAGAACAATACGCAATCTTGGCTTTGACATGGCCTTGAACGGAATTACAAAATACCACTCTAGCGTGTAACACAATCTCGGAGTTCAAATCTGGTCTGCCGGGACAAGGATCCATCGGCTCTTGAAATCAGCTTGCACGCGAATATAAAAGTCCGGCTTAGCGCTCGAGGGCCACTAGGCTTGTTTCATAGCACTATACCTACCTGTAAAATAATACATATTCCCTGTCATCTCCTTATACACCTTAATCCTTGATAAATTCAGATATGGTTAAAGATACACTTTAATCATTAGGTTTCACCACGTTGTAGTTTCTACTTCCTTATACAGTAAGAGTAAGCATAGCTCGTTGTATTCTAATAGCCAGAACTATAAAGATAATAATCTACAATACCTGCATTTATCTATTAAATCATAAGGTTCACTATAGGAACCAGAGTATTGAGCTCATTAGTAGTAGTGAGAGCTACCATTTAATACATTATACTAGATCCGCTATTCGCTTCCTTGCCCACAGAAGCCTCATCGCTAATTTTCATCCACTCATGTACTAATGTTCCTACACAATTGCAGTTAATGGCAGGTATGTTAGATACGTTAATACTATAGCTATTAGGCTCATGATTCAATCTCTAGGATAACCAATCATTGTGCATTACTTAACAGTGAGGCTCTGAGATCCGCCGGGTACTCGCTTTGCGTGGATTCTTAGCTGCAAAAACAGCGCCCAGTTCCTCCAAGCTCCGCCCCTTGGTCTCGACAAAGAAAAAGTAGATAAAGGCGAACTCAAACAGATCCCAAAACACAAAAAACACGTAGCTGTAACAGAAAGTATTGGTTAGGGGCATAGGTTATAGTATGGCTTCCAAGGTGTACTTACAACCAGTACCGAATGTTCTTCATAGCAACTGGAGCTGCGAAAGTGTTGACAAACCCTGCGCAGCCGGAGGTTATCTGAAATATCATCATGCCATTGGCTCGCATGTCATCTGTCTGTGTCAGTGATAGATCATGTCAGACAGTAGGACACTCACTAGCTAAAACCTCTGCTGGATAAATGGGCTGCATTGGAGTGAATCCGACTGCAAAGACAACCCCAAAAATAAAGATAAACGCAATGCTTGCTGAGCTTGAAGGTGTGCTGCCAGAGCGCTCATACTCGGCTGCCGTGGCGGCAACAATAGCAAGCGCAATAGACATACTCAGACACGAGCCCATCAGCATCTTGCGTCTTCCAACAACATCGTGGAGACGAGCTTCATCCATCATTGTAAGCGAAAGAAGTTGCCGACTTTTTTGAATTTTACATACCTCCAATTGTAGCAGCCACCCATCCCGAGAGTGCATAGAATGCATTCAACAAAAGAACCATGTTCGTAGAGGTTATCCCGACATTCTCGACCATTAATGGGAGATAGTAACTCGAAACGTTGTTGCCAGAAAATTGCCCAAACCAAGACATGGCAATGACTAGCATAATTCTATAACGGCGGTCGCGAGATTTGTAAAGGCTTCGTAGGTCGAAGCAAGCCCATTGGGAGCGGCCTTGAACTTCAACGAGTGAATCCTGGATCTCTTGCATTTCAATGGCAACAATTGGGTGCTCTGCGTCGCCATTTGCGTGATGCTTGATAATGAATTCGCGAGCTGCTTTCATTCTTCCCTGAGCCACCTGCCATCTCGGACTCTCGGGCAACATCCAGCTACCTAGGCAGACGAGTCCGGGGCAGAGCATCTGCAGCCAGAGGGGAAGACGCCACTTGATGTTGCCGCTCAAATGGTTGTTGGCACCGTACATAGCTAGTGCCTAGTAAGCGAGATTGATCAACTTGAGTTAAAGACTGGGAAAACAAACTGAATGTTGCAACGATGCTTCCAATATAGTACAAAGTGTTGTATATTCCTGCCACTGTTGCTCGGTGTAGAGGAGGAGCAATCTCGACGAGAAGCATCGGCGCAGCGACGGTGTTGATGGTCGAGAAGAAGCTGAGGAGGAATCTTGCGCCGATAAACGAAGACAAAGTCGGGGCTACTGCAGTGAAGATAGCAGATGCACAGACGAAAAATGAACTGACACCGAGAGTCATCTTACGGCCTCTCCAGTCGCATATCCAAGTGAACAAGGCGCCGGCCATCTGTCCGATCTGGAATATGGAGAATACCAATCCTGTCGAGGTCGACCCAGTATCACCCAGCCCGTAGTATTTCTGATACTCTGGGAGCACATTAAGCGAACCCATGAGCGAGCCGTCGTAGCCATTCATGGTCGAACACAGGTAGATGATCGCACAAGCCATGTACAGCTGGAGATGGCCTTTGCCCCATGGGGACGGAGCTCCTACATTGTTAAGCGCGGTCGCTATGGCTTCTGGGGTCTGCACTGCTTCTTTCTTTCCGGTTGTGACATCTTGAACATGCTCACTGTGAGACTGATCAAGCTCTTTAGGCATGGTTCTTGAGTGGGGGACAAGGCGAACGTTGAGTGATTGAATGTAAAGACACGACTGTGGATACTACAGGTCGATCTCTCATAGATCCGGAAGATCCATATGTAAATACATTGCAACTGTACTTCTTATTTTAACATAAAAGGACCGGCATGCGGGGATGCCTGGAAGAGGTAGGGATCTCACGACAGTGTGGATCCGCACTAGGACGGGGTTACAGATTTCCGAACTACCGTGTTAGCTCATGACCCTAAAGAGCAGGAAGATGCCCAGTAGTGTGTTACATTCTTCAGCATGGCTTGTTGGTGGACTGATATGGTCGTCACTGATGTGTGAGAAACAAATGTAACGTGACATATTGATGCAGCTTGTACGCGATTAGGGCTCTTAACCGATGATCATAAGAGACAAAATGGTGTTGGAGAATATTTTAACACTCCAATGTCACCCAAAACACACCATGCGTGAGCCCGGCTGCTACCCGCTTTCCTTACTGCCAATTGTCCTTTTCGTTGATCTAACCACTGGCTGGCAACTGAAACGTTAAAATAAGGGCGAGGGCGCCTGGCTACCTATGGAGAGGGTCTCGACTGTTATTCACCTGGACCTAGTATAAAATAACAGGTAATACAATTTCCTACATATGCTTCCTGGTAGCCACATTCTCGTGGGTGGTTTCTAGGATACTAGACCTATTATTGGCAGAAACGAGCTTGATGTCGAACAGGTCGGTGGGTGAGCACTCTTGGACATACGAGACCAGTCTCCACGGTTCTACCATCCCAAACAATGCCCAGGCTTACTTGTTGTTAGACGGTCCGGAAATTCTCGCTCACGTGCAATTAAACGACACAACCATCTTGAGAGCAACAACACGTTTCTCAGCCATCGGGTAGACATAACCGCTCTGCTTAAGCCACGCCACGCGAGAGCAACATTCTTTCGATCGAGTTCGACAGCGCGTTTTTGTGCGGCAGAGCACTTCAAAAGAAGCATCCAGAAGTGAGACTCGAGATATCCCGTACGCACACAAGCAACGTCCGCGTTGATTACCTCTGACGACCTGAGTACCATAACGGGAAAGATAGCACCCGGCATCGAGGGTCTAGTAGATAAAATCATCTATGCTATAGGTTCTGAAAACGAGCACATCTTTCGCGTCTCTTAGTAAGCAGAGAATGACATGAATACATCGGAGGTCAAGCTTCGTTAGTACATCCATTCCAATCCAGCTTGTCAATGGCTAACAGAACTAGTAAATCTAAACCTTTGGTATGCCGCTGGTTACGGTGAGCAGTGGCTTTACGCCGTTGCAGTCCAAGCATTGTACCGGGACACTGCTCTCAACATCTTGGAGACAAAGACAGGCCTCAGGGGGAGCCAGCTTGTGCAAGAGAAAGGCGATTACGGATATTCGCTGAACTTCTGCATAAACCATATCGATATTTTCTACGCTGTGTCTTGCTGGATCCCAGCTTATAGTCTTCTTTCTAGTCTGGATCTAGATGGATATCACGCTTAGCTCCAGGTTGTAATTAACAGCAATTAAGTTATAAGAGGCTAGCAACTCTTATATTATTGGCACATTTAGTTCTTCTAAAGATAATAAAAATATATTTAAAAAAAACTAAAAAAAAAAAAAAAAGAAAAACTATTATTATATATTATAAATAGCTTTAATATTACTTTTCTTTTAGATTTATTAATTATATAAATATTTTATTTTATAATATATAAAATTACTTACCTATAATATTATTTAAGAGTCTTTATTATATATATATTTATTATTAGTCTTTATCTTATTATTTAATAATTCCTTTATATAGTATTCTGCCAAAGAAATAGTATAAAAATAAGGCCCTTTAAGGTAGCTTCGGACATGCCGTGAGCTAGGACGGAAATCTGTATTTCCTCACTAGTGACCTAATGCCGGCTGCCATCACTTTCCATCTTCGGCATAGCTTATACTTGGCGAGACACTGCCGAGGTTTCTGTTTCACGCCATGTGGCTGGAGCTTTCTTGATCATTAAACTCTATTTAGAAGGATCTATGAGTTGATTCAGTACTTTCTCTTCGTCAAGTGGGACATGATTATCACCAACTGCTCGAGAGTGTCTGCGAAATTCGGGTCCGAATAGTGGATGCTCCCTCTATGCCAGTAACGCTGTTGTCCTGGACTCTGAAACGGGCCCTTCAGAACAGAACGCCTCCTTGTTACTGTGGGCCACTAAGCCCCGACTTAAACTGTTGCCTAAGCTTGGTGCCCGCGCTGCTCACTCAGTAGCCAGTTTTCAGCCCAAGCCTTATGTTCTAAACTGGTGACAAAAGGTTTCTCCATTGCCTTCTGTCTTGTCATACCACCTGTAACTCTTCTCCTTAGATTCGGGGTCGAAATTCCAACCATGGAACTCCCTTTTGTCTCCGAAACCGGTCGACAGCCCCGGGCCACTTCATCATGCGCCGAATGCAGACGTCGTCGTGTCAAATGTGAAGGCCAGACCTTTCCCTGTCGGCAATGCGTCTACTACCTCGTCCCACATCTTTGCCATTATCCTGCAAGGAAAAAGAGGCACAATGTATCTATAAAGTAGACGCGCATTTGAACAAGCGGGCCTGCTCTAACGCTGAACTAACACAATATGCAGATCTCACGCCGAACTTACCGATAGTTACGCCAAGGCCCGGAAGGTCATCGAAACATTGTTCCCCTCAAGCTCACTTGATGAACTATCCTCCATGACCCGTGAGCAGCTATTGATACGGCTGGAAGCTTCCAAGGCACCTCCACGTCCACGTGCTACTGAGACCGAGCCGCAGGAGCATCTGCAAGTGTTGGAACCATCAGTAGAACAAAATTTCACTTGGGACGAAGTATCCGAGACCGAAAGCGAGACGTCGCGCGTGGCAGACGACGTCAACGGACTAGCCTTCTCACGACAATCGCTCAACGCCTCATACTTGGGCATATCCTCGGTTCCTACCATTTTGAAAGTCATCGCACATCTCTCTCCTCATGTCCAGCAACGAGTTCCCAAGGGCCCTGAAGCTTGGCGGAGTCCATCAACCCTGGCTGCTAGTCCGGGCGACATGGCCTGCCTGCAAGTTGATGAGATACCACTTATAAATGCATACTTCAGCCACGTGCATCCTGTCATTCCAATGGTGGACGAAGCCGACTTTCGTCAGAGGTATCTTCAATCCAACATGGAAGAGGATGAAGCTGGTCCGTGGGTGGCTCTAATGAACATGGTGCTCGCCATGGGCTCAATGGCATCAGACTCAATCCACTTCAACGCGCACAACCCTTTTTACAAGCGAGCTCTACCTCATCTAAACATCAACTCTTTTGGTTCCGGCCACCTCTACATGGTCCAAGCATTGGCTCTGTATAGTGGCATGGTTCTTCACTTTCTCAACAAACCGAACATGGCAGTTGCTGTTATGGGAGCGACCCTGCAGATGGCCGTCGCAATGGGTTTGCATAGAGTTCAGGCTTCGCAGTCCTCTACGAATACAGCTTGCCATCCTGCTAGTGGCTCAATAGCCACACGAATACGTACTTGGTGGTCTATCCTGTGTCTGGATACGTGGGCTTCGTCCACTTTGGGACGTCCTAGTGAGGGATATTGGGACCCAGCTATAACGTTGACTTCGCCCATGTCAGTCCTCCAAGATCTGGTAAGCCACACTGGCCGCTGTTATTTGGATGCCTTTGCTAAGACGCATTGTTGCATCCTAGGATTACGGAACGATATCCCTTGCCGCCAGTGAAAGGTTCTGTAGGATTGCCACACGTGTACAACAGCGACTCACCCAGTTGCCTCTAATCAGCCCAGAAGAAGTTGACGAATTCGACCGCGAACTTATTGCCTGGAAAGACTCGTTACATATGTTCCTGGCTCATCGTGAGCAATGTCCGCCAAGTGTCAATACTGCGCGAGCGATTCTTTGGTGGCGATGGATCACAACTCGGCTCACACTTTACCGTCCAGGCTTATTAATCACAGCGCTGCGTCAGAAGCCATGGGGGCAAGAAGCTACCCGTGAAGCGATCGATGCACGAAAATGTATCCAGGTTGCAAAGGAAGGAGTTGATCTGATGACCCTGGATTGGGTTTCGAACCAGTTCCTTTGCTGGAACAGCGCTTGGAACCTCTTTCAGGTGTCATTAGTCCTCGTTCTGGGTCTGATGTCAGACAAACAAGAAGCAGATAAATTAGAGTGCTATGGATCCCTTTGTCAGGCGATTGAGCTATTCGCTCAGATGGAGCCTCTTGACCCTGGTTGCACTCGCACTCGAAAGCTTCTTCAAGGTCTGTTGGATAACACGGAGGGTGTTGAGGAAAACACTGCCTCCCCAATACCTGAAGGGTTAGATTCTTTTATACTTGACTATTTCGGTACAGATCTAGTTTGGGAAGATAACGATTGGCTAGGATACTTTTAGGCTGAGTTGAGTCGGACCATATTTCTGATATCAATTCAGAGAATGAGGGTATATAGAAAAGGATGTACCATTCTCGAATACTCTCTAGTATGCAGAAGTTTTACTCATAATCCGTGAACCCTTTAAAAGAGCTAGAAGGAAGTTTCCAAGATCTGGCATATAAATTAATACAAAACAGGCAAGCGAATAAAGCATAACTTAGTCATCTCGATGTTGCAACAGACTGCAACGTCATGAACAAGCTTAGCCGTATAGTGGATCTTTAAATAAATAAAGAATTTGAACAATCAGATCAGAGCGGCATTTGAGGAGAACGAAGTAATCATGTTGCCGAAGTTCCGACTTGGAGCTCGGCTGCCAGAATCGTGTTAGCTGATGCGGAGGAACATGATGATCATATTTAGCCGTGCTGGCCCGGACCGAGCAAACGAACTTTGTCGAAGCAGTGCTAGCTCAAGCCCGGGTGCAGGTATAAGGTTCTTTGCAAAGAGATTCATCCCGATGTATTTTCGCACGGTGCATAGTCTTATGGATGCATCTTCAGCATAGGTAGATTGAGTGATGAAAATATTTGCACGACACGGGCATTCAGGCCTCATATTGCCATTCAGTATTTACTGCTCTACAGTGTAAACTCTATATACACGAACAAAACACTCTTCAAGAGCTTAGGCCTTGACAGTAGCACCAGTAATGCTAATAGTATAATCAAGACCCTTGGAAACCTCAGCACCCAAATCAAAGCCATCGTACAGGATAGGCTTAGCAGGAGCATTGGCAACAACAACACTAACATCGTCACCAGCCTGAACAGGAACTGTACCAGCACCATCCGTAAGCGTAACGTAAGAAGACTCGCCGCCCTTGCGGTAGATAGCAACAGTAGCGACGAACTCGGCGTCGGCAGAAACCTTGACCTCGAGTGAAGTACCGGTGACTTCGAGAGGAATGATGTTGGCACCCATGTAACGGGGCTGGCGGTCAGCTTTGGGCTTGTAGGAGCCGCTTCCGGCAGCTTCCATGTTGGCGAAGGGTATATCAGCGCGTTGCTGGAAGAAAACCTCTTGAGCGGTAGGATGGCCGATGTCAACGTAGGCCATGCGAGCCCAGTATCGACCGACGATATCACCAACAGTAGCGTTCTGCGAAACGCGAGAAAGAGTGTGAAGAGGAGTCTCGTTGCTATCCTTCTCGTACTGCAACTGAAGTTGTCGAATGGTATCTTGACCCAGACCAGCAAAGTCATCAGGGTTGTAGGTCAAGTAAGCCAGGAAGGGCCAAGCCTGGTAGTAATTCCCAGTATCGACGGATCCATCAACAATGACCTGGTGAGAGTCACCAAGAACCTTCTTAAGCTCGATTTCGGTGGGTGACGTCTCCTGGTTATGGTTCTTTCGCGCAGGTGCGCAGATGTCGGAGGTCTTGTATGTATCGGCGACCCAGTTGGCAAGAGTCTCCCACCAAGCACCAGTTCGGCCCTGGTTAACCCAAGCTTTCTGATGATAATGCATTCCATGACCGTACTCATGAACAGTAACACCTGGAACGGCAAGGTACTGATCAACAACCTCCAGGTACGCCATGCCCGTTGCCTGATCACTATGCATCACACCCGCCGCACTGTCCAAGTCACCAACAGTGTAGACATTAGTCTTGTACTTAGGTCCAGAATCAGTCTCATCGTTGAACGAAAGACCAGGGGATCGCCACTTTAGCGTTCCGATGAAGCACTCGTATGCTGCTTCGAGCATGTCGATTGCTTGGGCGGTTGCATCGGCGGAACCGGCGTAGATGCGGAAGTGCGCTGAGTCCTTGAAGTTGGAGCCGCCAGGGCCGATGTTGGGGTTCGCGGCGTATGTCTCTGCTGCCGCCGGGGCATCAGCTGTTTGGGTCACGGCCTGGGGAAGGGCGTGAGCTCCAACGGCGAGGAGGGTTACAGTCGCAGACTTGAAGAGACCCATTGTAACGAGTGAAGAAAACGAAAGTGATTTTTTGAAACAAGAGAAACGAACGAAAGGAACAATGACAGCTGAATCAACAGGAAAATAAAGACACGGGCGACCATCTTGCTTTTATGCTTGGTTCAAGCTTAACTGGGACGTGCGAGACGAAGTTCCTCCATTGGTGGATTTTTGATGTTTCGGTTCATAGCGGTTTCAATATGGAGTTTCAGAACAAGGGATTTACTATGTTTAATTGTCTACACGAGAGAATTCGTTCAGGATCATCGACGTGCCAAGAGAAACGGGGGCTGTTTAATTGCTAAGTGGCATTGACGTTGTTTCATCTCGGGGTATTTCGCACCGAATGTTCCGTCAAGCTTCTAGAGCCAAACTGATAACAGTTTGAACGGTATCTCGAACTTTATATACGACGGAAGTAATAGTATAGGTTTAGCTTAAAGCAGCTCTAGATTTTGAGCTTGTTTGAGCTGCATTGGTGATCTGGTGACAAGATACTATCATCGCGTCATAGCCGATGATTACCCGCCGCATCACGCAATGACCCACGGGTCATCTAGTCATGACTCCATCTCATTACGCATCAAACTCATCCTTGTTTCAACATCTTCAACACAACCCTCTTGTATAACCCAAACTCATAATGTCTTCAGAACGCGCTGAAGACCCGAGTCAACAGCCTCTTTTGGCTGAGCATCGTCAAGCAGATCACGATGCAGCTGCGTCGCGCGGTACTTTTACGCGTAACCTCGGCGCAGTCGAAGCATTCGGTATAGTCGTGAGCATCGTCATCGGAAGCGGAGTCTTTACTTCTCCTGGCTCGATTGATACGAATGTTCCATCGCCAGGATTGGCGTTGGTTATCTGGTTGATTGGCGGTGTTTTGGCTTGGACTGGTGCTACGACTTTTGCTGAGCTCGGGACTGCTATTCCTGGCGAGGGTAGGATTCGTCCTGGTTGTTTTCGTGGACATTGTCTGACGAGATACAGGTGGTGTTCAACCATATCTTCAGCATATATATGGTGATATCTGGGGCTTCCTCGCAGCATGGACATGGATCGTCACCGTCATGCCAGCAACGCTAGCAATCCTCTCCATCGTCTTCGTCGAGAGCGCCTACTCAGCCGCAGGCGTAATAAACGAAGACCACCGCATATCACACAAACTCCTCTCAATCCTAGTTCTCATCGTAATGAGCGTCGCGAACTCTATCAGCACGAAAGCCAGTACTCGGCTTAACGGCTTCTTCGTGGTTCTCAAGTTTGTGAGTATTCTTGTCGTGGTCATGGCTGCGTTGGCTGTTGTCGGCGTTCATGCTACGCATCCTGATAAGGAAGCTGGGGGCGGTGATTGGTTTAAGAGGAATTGGTTTGAATATCGTGATACGTATAATCCGAATGGGCCGGACACAGATTGGAGCAAGTTGAGTCAGTGGGAGATTTTTGGACATTACTCCGCTGCGCTTTATGCAGCTCTTTGGGCTTACTCGGGTTGGGACAAGGTGAGTTACTGATTGTTCACTACATGGTCTTGCGCTGACGTGGCCAGGCTATCTATGTTTCTGCGGAGCTTTCACAACCCGCTAAGCAACTTCCCCTCGCTATCAACACTTCGATTCCTACAGCGATTATCTGCTTCCTCGCCGCCAACGCTGGATACTACGTTCTTCTGCCGTGGAACGTCGTTAGCACTACTGATAGCGTCGCAGTCACTGCTCTTACGCGCCTCTTGGGTAGAAGCTTCGGTATCGTCACGGCTGTTCTCATCTGTTTGGTTGTTGCAGGTTCTTTACTTGGCAACTCATTCGTCGCCAGCCGTATGTGCGTCGCTGCAGCAAGAAAGGCTTGGATCCCCAGTCTCTTCACCATCGTAGGCCGAATTGGTGTCAAGCCTGATGCCGAAGAAACCGAGGAGTCTGAAGATGAAGGTGCCAAAGAAGCTGGAGACGCACCCATCAACGCCGTCATTCTTTCAGTTGTCCTTGCGTCTTTCTACATCCTCTTTGGGAGCTTCCGAGCTCTTTTGACCTTGAACGGTCTGGGAGAGTACTCTTTCTTCTTCCTCACGGTTCTCGGTGCCATCATCCTACGATATCGCGAACCTGATCTGGAACGACCTTACAAGACCTTTTCAATCAACCCGGTAGTGTTTGTGCTGGTCAGCGGATTTGTCGTTGTCCGAGGCGCCATCTTTGCACCTGTTCAGGCAATTGTCATCCTTGTCATCTGGGCTCTGGGCATTTCCTTTTACAAGGCGCGACATTATCTCGCCACGAGGTAGAGTCGACCATAAGTAACGCGTGGGAAGGATTCTGATTTGTGAGGCAACAGCTAGGACTGCCTCTGCCATGATGTTCTGATAGAATGGGCTTTGGCGACATGAGATGCGCTTAGAATTTATGGGTTATACTCACCAAATGATAGCTAATTCTTGATACGAATAATAATTCAACGATTACTGACCGTTACATCTAATCGTCTCCGCTAGCGGAGATTGTGCGGTTATTAATGCCGAGTATGGTGGTCCTCGCCGCACGCAATGCTTGTGGAGATGGCATCATCGTAACTAGTATCTGCTAAACCACAAAACCGATTAGATCCAGCCATAGTATTGGATGTCAAGATGAAACCCCATCGGAAGCATGTAGCCTATCGTTATTTGTAAGAAAGATCGATAGTCTACCCCACGGACTTAACGTTGATGTGCTTGCTGGATATCTGACGACTTTACAGGGATGAAACCCAGCAATCTGGTAGAGGCATTGCCGTGCTTTAGTCTCTGAAGGCCCAGCATAAATAGAACCTCCCCCAACACTCAGCAGTGATGGGCGTGGCAATGCTGTCTTGGAATAAACATGCCTGAACTATCTGCGAGGAAGTGGTACCATTGGTACTCACCAACCGACACGCCAGAAGAAAAGAAGCTCATCTTGAAGCTTGACCTTCTACTAGTACCTTATGCATTTGTTCTCTACTGGGTCAAATATGTCGACCAGACTAATATCAGTGAGATCAACCTTTTACTCACGGTGGTCTTGCACTAACCACGGCAGATAATGCCTACGTCTCTGGCATGGCAGAAGATCTCGGTTTTCACGGCAACGAGTTAGTCCAGTTCCAAACGATATTCGTCGTTGGAAACGTCGTCGGTCTTTTGCCGTTCATCTATCTCTTCCCTCGTGTTCCGATGCACATACTAGTTCCAAGTCTTGACCTTGGTATGTCACCTCCTATAGCCAGTTCAACTATCCGCTGACCTGTTACCAGGATGGGGCATCTTCACACTTCTTCAGTACCGTGCCACGAGCTACGCAGAGATAATGGCCTATCGTTTCTTGGTATCCATCTTTGAAGCATCGTACTTCCCTGGCGTTCACTTCGTCCTAGGGAGCTGGTACCGATCAGATGAGATTGGCAGAAGAGGCGGCTTGTTCTATATCGGCCTGACTCTTGGAACGATGACCGCTGGTCTTCTCCAAGGTGCTGCGACACAGTATCTCGATGGCCATAATGGTCTTGCTGGGTGGCGGTGGAACTTCATCATCAACGCAATCATCACGCTTCCGTTGGCTTTTGTTGGATACTTCCTCTGGCCTGGGACACCTGATAAGCCCAATCGATTGGTCATGAACAAGTCCGAGATCGTCCTTGCAAAAGAGCGCTTGGAGCGCAATGGGTCCAAGGTTCGAAGTACACCCTTTTCGTGGACTTTGCTCCGCCGCATCTTTACGAGTTGGCAGTTCTACATCCTGGTATTCTGGGACATTCTGTTCTTCAACACCAGTGCCAACACAGCTGCTTTCCTTCTTTGGATCAAGAGCTTGGATCGTTACAATACTACCAAGGTGAATCAACTAGGATCTATCAGTCCCGCTTTGGGCATCTTTTTCGTCCTGTTCATCAACTTCAGCGCCGATTTATGGATCGGAAGACCTGCGGCTATCACGTTAGCTTCTGTGATTAACTTCACTGGCCTTGTCATTCTAGCAGTCTGGAACGTCCCTGAAGCGGCAAAGTGGTATGCTTACAGCGTCGGCTATTCCGCTGTTGCAGTTTCATCTGTGCTTTACGGCTGGGCGAATACCATTCTTCGACATAACAACGAGGAGCGAGCGTTGACGCTTATTCTTATGACGGCTATAGCTACGTCAACTCAAGCTTGGATACCACTCCTTGTGTATCCTACTGTCGAGGCACCTCGCTTCCCGAAGGGTTACGTTTACTCGGCCGTCATGGTTGTTCTTCTCGTGGCTATGACTCAGGTCATTCGTATTGTTTATGGTAGTCACGGGTAAGTTTGGATGAAGAACGTTTACGGGAATGAACTAACAATTCTACAGGGAAAAGGTGCGCGCCCGACGGGGTAGTCTCAGTGACGAGAGTGAGGATGGTGAAATCCAGACACCTCATGGACTGAGCATTGACAAAGATGCTGGCAAGCATATACAACCTTCCACGGTGGCTGTTTAAAAACGATGTTCAAGATCGGTAGGTATGAACAAGGCAGCAGCAGCAGAGAGTGCAATATCTGGGAGAGCTACAGGAGAAACAATTGCGCATATGTTATGAAACGGAGAGTCGTTGGAACTAGGATCTCTTCAGGGTACATTAAATTTGCTGCTACTAAGATTATTCATGCTAAAATGGCATCAAAGTATACCATAACAACAATACTATTCTGACGCGTTAAAATCAAATCAACGAACTTTGCAAACCACTCCTTCTGCTCAAACAGCCGCCTAGGGAAACCCGCCGCCAAAAATGCCACCGCCACCGAAAGGGTTCCAGTTGGAAGGGTCGAGAATCTTTTTACCCAAGTCTTCGAAGTCTCCCCCGAGTGATTGGAAGGCCTGGCCAATCTGATCGGCGCTGAAACCAATCTGGCCCAGCAGGCCGTTGATCTGGTCGGCACTCCAGCCGTACGCCGTCTGCAGGGCCGAAGCTATCGTCGCAGCATCGTTTCCAAACACACTCTGAAGTGCCGAGGCCACTTCCTGAGCGGCAAATCCGACCTGCTGCATGGTTTGTGCGACAGCGGTGGCCGACATACCATAGGCAGTTTGCAGACCGCTCGCTATAGTGTTGGCGGCGAAGCCTGCGTCCCTCATAGTAGCGGCTGCCTGATTGGCGTCTTGGTTGAAGGCATTTTGCAAGACGCTTGCGACATTCTCGACGCCTGTGATGACGTTCTGCTGGACCTTGTTGGCCCACGCGCCAGCCTCGTTCAACAGGTCGCCGAAGATCTGACTGGCATTGCTCTCGATATTGTCGACGATGGCCTTGAGTAGATCGCTTACGCTTGAAATGTTAACATCAGCTGTGAAGTCGCCAAAGTTCCGCGTCAGGCCTTCGAATTCGAAACTGCCCCCGACTGATAGCACAATGTCTGAAGAGCTTGTGTTTAGTGCAAAGTGCGCACCGACCAGTGCCTCCAAGGGTATAGAACCAAGACTTATACCACCGATTGAGGGTAGCGAAATGGTGTCATTGAGACCATATTGGAACGAGGCAGCCAGGTTGTGGAAATCGGACAGTGTGCAGCTCATGTCGGAAGTCAGGATGCCTCCAAAGCCTACGTCGAACTTGATGCCGCTCGAGGTGACGTCTGCATCCAGGTGCCAACTTTCGACCTCGAATAAATTGATAGCACCATTGATGTGCAGGAAGGGCGAGGCCAGCGTCTGAATCTTCAACACTGCGCCACCCGGAGGCACCATCTGCTTCGTCGTGGCATTTTGGAGTGCCTGCTTCTGCGCAGCCTTGGTGATTATCTGGTTGTTCTTGATGGGATTTCCGTTGGCATCCACCTTCAACGTAACGCCGGCGCCATCTCCCTTTATCGAGAATATGTTGCCGAGCGACAAGGGAGACATCTCAATGTCGGCTTTCACCCCGTCGGTGAGGTTGAGTTCTACGTCGCCGTAGAAGTCGAAGCCGAAGATGTCGGCTGCTGCGCTGAAGCCGTAGCCCATGTCGGAAAGGGACCCGTCAGGCAACACGACAGGTTCCATGGGGTTCTCAGACCACTGGAAGGAGAGATCGGAAAACAACACGGGTACGTCCACAGGGCATTGGGCGTTGGTGAAGACTGTGTATACGTCCGTCAGGTGCATCTTGGGCACGTAGAAGGAGATGTAGAGAGGGTTTGGCACCTCCTCTATCAACTGGCAGACAACTACGAAAGAGGCATCGTCAAGAGGCACTATGGTATTGTTGGCAGCGTCACCGATGTGCAGTTGACCTGATAAGCCAATTGCCGCGCTCGGCGGCTCGAAGATGATTCCGATACCGACGCCAAACGAATCAAAGTGCACACCTTTCATCACTGGTGGCGCCGGCAGTGGAGCCTTGTCTCCCTTTATGACCACGCCGAAGGCGGCCTCGATGTTGTCGATGGTCATGGACAGATCAGCCTCGAATTTGTTGTCGAATATATCAAACGGCATATCACCGGTAACGGTGAAGACGACGAACTTGAACAGTGGATTGATGTCAATGGTAGCAGTGGGTTTGTTGATGTTCAAGGTCCCCGCGCCGCCAAATGGTACGTGCATAGCATCGAGGCTGATAGACAGGCGGGTGCCGAATATGTTCAAGCCCACGGCATAGTTGAACATGACCGAGACCTGGAGCTGCTGTACGTTGAACAGAGACCCGAAAAACTGCAGTGCCTCATCTGACTGGGCAGGCAGCTTCTTCAGATCTATCCCGGCTTGAAGCGCGAGGATATCATTATTGGTATTGCAAGTGAACTTGGTCACCACAATGTCCGGAAGAAATTCTGGCCAAGTTGCGCCTAGCAGTGTCGCGAAAGTTCTGAGCGAATACAAGGCTTGGTCCATAGGTTTGCCCTTTGACTCTGGTTGCTCTGCTGTGTATGTGATACCCATCATGTAGGTAGCAAATGTGCAGCTCTTGTATTGCTCATGCTGAGCAAAGAATCTGTTCACGGGCGTGACCTGTGGCTTTGAGGTGTCTTTCCAGATGGCATTGAAGGCCTGCGTGAGCGGGTCGTTCTTATTACTGGTGATGAAGGTGATGAAAGACATGGTTTGAGCCATGGCCTTGACATCGGCTTCGCCTACGAAGAATGGGCCGGTGCTGACATCTTGCAAGTAGATGATGCGCGCCAGGGGGGAGTTAGACTTTGCATCGCTGACGATGAGCACCGAGGTTGGGTGCTTGAGCTGCAGTGAAGCTGTGGCCTTGGCGGGTACAGTCGCGATGGAAGTCAAGGTGCCGAAATAGTTGGTCTTGTCTTGGTCACTGAATGAGTCGTAGACGGTGACGCCGACGTCTAAGTGATTGGCAAAAGATATTTTGGGGGCAGTAATGGGAGGAGCCATGGCGACGAGGTTAAGCAGTCAGTGTTGAAAGAAAGAAGAGGGAAAAGGAAGAGGAAAAGGCAGTGATAGAATGGTTGGGAGTTGTGACTATTGCGGTGGTGGTGGTTGTTAATTAACTTGATCCAGGAATGTTACAGTGACTTACACCAATGCCACTCAGGCTTGCTTGTTAGCCATTTGAGGCTATTAGCTTGTGCGGGTATATCCGAACCCGCCATAGACCGATACCCCGGGCCGTTCCCTCCGTCATAGGGCGGAGCATCAGCTCTCCTCGTTGCGGGCGCTATTTGTTCTAGACTGCATGTTTCTGCAAATTGAGTTTAGTATCAGATGCCTGTGTGATACAAGATTATTCCAAGCAGCCACATACGAATCAATTACGAGGCATGTTACTGAACCTTTTGCCATAGACTGGTCATGCAGGAAGGGAATGCCCCGCTCATTGACCGGTTGTGCGGCTCATCAGTCAGTCCGGAGCTGACTGATTTAAACCAATAGCGATAAGTGGTGGCTGGCTGGTTCGAACGGCTGAATATGACTATTAATGTGATCGAGGGGTGATAGGCGGCCCAAGCTCCTTACGTGGCGCTAGATACAGCAGCTAGTAACAATACCGGCAATAGCGAGTTTAGGGCTGCATGTTTTCGTGTCAATACCGAGAAATGGTGGCTCATTCATTCGCAGCGATACGGTAGTTGGACTAGTGACGAGCTGAATTGGACGAAAGTTCCGTTTTTGACTCCGAATGGGGGCAGCCTCAACCATCCCAGCTACGAGATTGATACTGAGAGTAGTAAGGCCCAGGGCTGTGTAATATCAATAGTGAACTGAGGATGACCGATTTGGATCAATGTCTAGAGGGGCGGTCAGCAGTTAGAATCGATAGGTAGGATGGTGGCTGGCTGAATACAGCTAGAAATCCAGCCCTCGGCATGTTCCTGGGAGTTACCCCTCATGGTGAGCGATCCGGACTGTTCCAGCTATGAGTTCGATACCGAACATAGTGAGTCTTTTTCTCATCACTAGTGTATCTTGGGCTTACCGATTTGAATGAATGCCGGAAATGTAGACTAGCTTACTTGAATTGGTGGTCAGAATGGTGGCTGGCGGAATTTCCCATCCTTACAACGACTATAATATAGATACATAGGCTTGTGATTGTATGCTAAGGCTGAGTATATCTAACGTCATCTGACAACACATGATTGGATAAGGATCGAGGAGAACGGGTAACGAGCATCCGAGATAGTTTGAGCGAGACATGCTGGGTCTCCCCGTGCGGGACAACTTCAACGGTTCTAGCCAGCACAGCAATAACAACATTATTCCGTCTCACCGTCTGCGTCTATGCCTACTACTGTGGCAGAGGTTTACGTATATATAGCTCCAAAGTCTGCACTATTCACATCTACAGCCACTCATCCTTACAGTCATTCAATACATCAAACCACTTCCTTCTCACTTAGCCATTCGTGCTTTTAACTTTTCACCCCGAACAATCATGAGTTCCACAAGCAATCCCGTTGCCTCAATCACCAACAACTCTGGTTCTTCTGTGGACATATACGATGTCTTCAATCCTAGCACCGACCCCAAGATGCAGGGGCCGTTGACATATACCAAACTGGCCACTGTGTCAAGCGGTAGCACCCAGCAGGTACAGACTATTCATTTTGCCAGCCAGCTGCAGGCCATGTTCACGGGCAACGTCACAGCACTGAGCGGCACATACTACCAGCAGTTTCCTGTGGCCGTCCTGGCGGTTTCCCCTTTTGCTGATTCAAACGCCTTCACTGTTACTAGTGACAATCAGCAGAGCATGGTGGACTCATTCAAGTTCATCAAGTACACCCAGGCGAACCCGTCCTCGCAGCTGGCCACGCAGTTCCGCACAGCCCTGGGCGACACGACTAACCAGAAAAATGCGGTCAACAAGTTCTTCCAGAGTACTGGCAGCTTCAAGCTGTGCACGCTTACTACCTGGACTGCGGTCTTTACTTGGCAAGCCCAGTTCACGAACCCCTGGCAGGGAACCTACTACCTCTACAGCCTTGATAAAGTCCCGGCTCTGGTAGCAACGCTGGCCATCACAGCTAGCGCTGAAAACAGCTCGGCTGTGCTGACCATGGCTGGCACAAACAACGAGAACACGGCGGTAGTCATGGCAGGTGATGGCACCATGTCGGAGCAGAACCAAGGCACCGGCAACCTGTCTATTGCGCTGGCCCCCACCTGGCTGAATGTCGCCCAGACCAGCCAGCAGGACGGCAAGACCGTGTCCAACTATGTAATTGGAGCTGCGTTCACAGGCACCATCAACGGGCAGAAGGTGGCTGGCAACCTCAACCAGCTGGCCATCCCAGACCCTTCTGATAACTCCAAGAACGCCAACAACAAGAACGCGGCCAACGGATTCTCTCTTAGCACCCTTGAGGGCTTGATCGGAATGTTGACCAGCATCGGTATGCTGTACTACATGGCGAAGGGCCACAAGCAGGCCGAGACCCAGAAGAAGAATGATGTCGAGAAGGACGCCACCAGCAAGAAGGATGCGGAAGACAAGGTTGAGAAGGTTGATAAGGACTATCAGGCAGAATCAGTACCGGAGGTAGCAGCACAGGCGGAAAAAGTCGAGGCCACTGTGCCTGAGGTGCAACAGGGCTACAAGGAGGTCGTCCAAGCCCAAGACGTCCAAAGCAAGCAAGACACTATACGTCAGCAAGAGAAGTCCATGGAGGAGGTCTTGGAGGGCGGTGCTCCATCCGAGGCCACTGAGAATACGGCCATGAACCTCGCCAAAGCCGACAAGGAAGTTTCCAAGGCGGCGGACCCTAACACGAGCCCGGCCGAGCGAGACTCAGCTTTAAGTGACGCCTCGACCACTCTGACCAAAACGAGTGAAGATATCCAAACATCGTTGAAGGACCAGGCTGAGGAGCTTCCAAAGGAAGAGGCGGATAAGCTGAAGGACGCTCAGGATGCAATTGACCAAGTGCAGGAGGAGACCCAGGCTGAAAAAGAGAACCAGGAGGAGCAGGAGGCGCGGGATGAGGAGAGCCCGGAGAATGAGGTGGAGGATAGTACCTTTGATCCACCTGAGGGAAGAGAGGCACCTCCCTTCGAGGGGGCGATCTAATGGGCCAAGCTTGTTGAGTTCGACTCACCAGCGTTGCTCAAGTGCTTGCCGCGAGGTCAGGGCATGAGACACTATCATTTAGTTGAAGAACTTAGGTACTATTTATGGAATTTTTTATTTTAAAGACTGTTCTACACTTGCTGGCTATTGCGTGATAGACTCCAGTTTCAGCCATAGTCGAGGCCTACGATTTTCCTGAAATATTGACAATAGTCCATGTTGACAAGGCGCTAAGCCCACGGCTTGCTTCTGACAAGTCATCTTGACTTTAAAAAGCGAGGATATCAGGCCAGAGCTGATTGTGGCTGAAGGATTGGTTAATACTTGATCTTGTGAAGTATCCCTATGCACAATGGTCATAGCTCTCCAGCTGGAACTGCTGGAGTCGTGGCTATCCTTCAACGGTCCATAATCTGATATATTCAATGCTACAGAGGGTGTGACATTATACTCGTCTGATATGGAGTTCATGCTAAGAAAGGAGCAGTTTAGTTCCAGAACACCGTGATCGGGAAGTGGGAGAACTCTATCTGGCCAGATCATATCACTTCAGCATCCTTATCAAAGTGTTCCTGAATATCATAATTTACAACGTGACATTCGGCAGTTAGACCTCCTCAAAATCGCGTCCCCTTTCCTCAGGATCCAGCCCCATCGAATAAAAAAGCTCCAAACCCATGTCCATCTAAATTGCAAGCGAGCGCCGATCACTCCAACGGTTCTGGATCCCCATGGATATAAACCCTACCAACGTAGTTTTTGACCTAAGCATAGCCTATCAAAAGATTCGCAACGGTCTCGATGTTGCATCGAGAGGTTGAGTCGTAGCCGGGGAAGCCGTATAGCTCTTCCTGGCCGTTGGTTCTGAGAGAGGGGTACTGGAAATCTTCGTACAAAACTAGCATCAGTCCACTTCAATTGTTTCGTTTTGTTTCGTTTCTCTATATCTTAAAAAAATGTCTGGTTTCAAGGTCCTCATTATCGGCGCTGGACCGACGGGTCTTCTTGCGGCTCTTGCGCTGCAGCGAGCAAGCATTGACTTTACGATTTTGGAGAGGAGAAAGGAAGCTGATTTGAATTGGGGAGCTTCGGTGTGCCTTTGGCCGCAGAGTGCAAGAGTTCTGGATCAGCTTGGCTTGCTTGACGAAGCGCATGCGCTACATCTGCCGATGAAGAAGAAGTGCAATCTTAGGCGAGATGGAAGTGTTATGAGTTGGAGTAACATGATTGAGAACATTGGCCACTAGTAACTTCGCTTCCTCTCTTCTTGGATGTCTGATGAAAGCTGACTTTTACAGCCATGGTCATGAATGGATGCTCTTCCAGCGCGGCGATCTAGTCAATCTTCTCATGGGCGATCTCTCCAATATTACCAGTCAGCTCCTCGTCGACAAACAAGTCACCTCAATTGCCTCAGGTCCCGATGGTGTCGAAGTCAAGTGTGCAGATGGCCATACCTACAGCGGCGATCTCATAATCGGCGCGGACGGTATCAACAGCACAACACGAACTTTTGTCGACGACATCACTCCCGATGCTACAAGCGGCGACTTTACAACAACCTTCTACGGCTTCTATGGTCATGGAACCACCGTGTCCAAAGATCTCGAACCTGGCGTCGATTACGAATGTCACTCCGAGGGTTTCAGCTCGCAGCTCATCATGCCGTCGCACGAGAAATACTTCTTCACCATCTACCTCAAACTCGATAAACCGACAAAGGATCGCCATTACATTACCGCCGAAGAAGCCGATGCACTTGCAAAGAAATATGGCGACATATACCTTGCCCCAGGCGTTACGTTCAAGGAGGTCTGGGACGCAAAGAATTGGACTCACACCGCACCATTCGAAGAAGGCGTCGCAAAGAAGTGGTTCAGAGATCGCGTCGTCCTCGTCGGCGATTCCGTCCACAAAATGACACCAAACATCGGCTTCGGTCTAAACACAGGATGGCAATCCACCGTCGTACTGATCAACCTTCTCCGCGACCTTCTTCGCGATAACCCAAACCCCGATATCAAAGAGCTAACAAAGACGTTTGAGGAGTACAAAAAGACACGCTTCAACCATGTGACAAAGGATGTTGAACTAGCGGGTACGTCCACGCGGGCAGTCATGTGGGATAATTTCCTTTGGAAGTTTTTGGATCAATATGTTTTACCGTATATCAATGGCGATACTATTTTGGCGAAGCTTATGTGTTCGCCGACGGTTCAGAAGGCTGTTACGTTGAACTTTTTGCCGGAGCCGAATTTTAAGGAGGGAGAGTTGAAGTGGCATAATAAGCCGGTTATTGTCAAAGAATAAGGATAGTGGTTGGCTGTTGGAGGGTTGTTTGCATAGAATCACATAGCATAGCATGCTTTTCATTGAGTTAAATACATAATGTCTCTTTCTGGTCTTCACGTATACAATCTTGACTTCTTTCTCGTGACTTGTACCGAAGCAGTTTATCCTACTTCCTCAATTCAGCTGTCGCTTCACTCAAAGCCTCAGTCAAAGTTGTCTTCCCGTGAATAACATCAACATCACTCGGCTTCGAAAGATCCTTCTCCGCAATACCACCCGGCAAAAAGCATGTACTCATTTCAACCCACTCATTCACAATCTGCGGCGCAAATATCTTGCCATAAAATTCCGAAAGGTCCTCTTTCTCAACTGCCTTGATCTCAACATCCTTACCCAGCGCCTGCGAAAATGCCTTCTGCGCGTCCAGTGGAGAATATGGCTCTGGTCCGTGGAGTTCCATGACGTATGGCTTGGTTGGTGGTGTCCAATCGCGAGTGAGTTGTGTAGCCATTGCTTCCCCAATGTCTTTGATGGCGACCATGGCGATTTTGAAGTCTAGTGGTGTGATGGTTGAGAAGAAGAAGGGGTTTGGGCCTTTGAGTGTTTCAACGGACATGGTCCAGTTTTCCATAAAGTAGGAGCACCTGATGATAATGATCTCAGGGATATCCGTGGTTTTTAAAACTTCTTCCGAGATGTGATTTGTTTTAAGCTCACCCTACGTACCAATTCAGTGAGATTCAGTACTCGTAACCGGCGGACTCACCACGCCCTCTGAGAATTCAGCACCAACACTCGAGAGCAAAACAAGTCTTCTCACGCTACCAGCTCTCTCAATCGCTGTTTTGACATTATTTGAGATTCTTTGCGCATGTTCAATGATGTCGCGGCCGTCGTAGGCAGGAGGTAGGACCATCAAAACGGCATCAGAGCCGGAGAAGTCTAGGGTATTCCTGTCTCCGACATCACCTTGAACCGCCTCGAAGTTGTCCGCAGAACTAAACTCGTTGGGGACTTTCTTCAGATCACGGTACAGGCCTTTGACCTGGATCTCGCGGTTTTGCGATAGCAGCGAAGAAATACCTGCTGTGCTCGTTTTATTACTTGCCGGGGCGATTGCAACGTGCATCGTGATTTAGTTTTGATGGCGGTGGTAGAGATTGGACAGAATGGAAACAGTCGGATAATAAACTTATGATGAACTCGTAACTCATACGACCTCATGAGTTTAATGACTACATTAGAGGTGTTTAGTCAGCAAAGTTAATATTCACGGTCGTCCAGCTGATGCTCCGCGTTGTCGGTGAATTCTCACGCCAGACCTCATGTCAGTGGCTGAAGAATGACGTCACGCTAGTTAACCCTTTTTGCGCTTAGCTCTCCATGCCTCGTTAGAGGATAAAGCCAATATATCCCATTTGAAACTTAAAAAGGTGCGCATTAGCAGGATGAGGTTTGTTGGAGCCAGACGGTCCTCACTGTAATTAGTTGCTGGCGAGTCAATGCTTCCGATCGTTTTTATCAAGAACCCTGAGTAGCTTCCGCCGAGCAAATCATTCATATAGGTCGACTATAAGATCATCCTGGCCCTTATTCTCATGTGCTCGACTTATAAAGATAGTTAGGATAATACTATATCTACTAAGGAACGCGGACTCTCAAGATGCTTTGCGAATGGTTCACGCGCGAGCAAACCGGAGCAACCAAGGCTATTGAATACATCAAGACGCATAAAACGCAAAGCGGAGTGGACAACATATTTGGGGCGAAGTCATCCACGGTGCCTCCTGTGGACTCCCAGAAACGGAAGATCATTGGGCATTTCAATGGTTTCCCGAGAATATCGGAGGATATGCACTCTCCGTTTCAGGTTGAGCGGGAACCGCTATTGAGATGTGCTCTTGTCGCTGCTGTGACAGGCTGCAAGCTTTACATTGGCTACTTCAAGAACAAGCACCGTGAGCTGAAAGAGGCACTAGAGGTTAATCGAACGAGGAACTCGACGATATATATGTGAGCAGCTACTAAAGAAAGACTTCGCTATGTGGGGATTGGTCTGTCGTATTTCTATTTGTTCGCCAATTGAGAGCTTGAAGCCAAGTTGGATTAATCAAATAGTACTGTGTGATTCAACATACGTCGAGATTTTTAGTGCAGACCCTTTAATTCTGCAAGTTGAAAAGAAAGAAGATACTATCCTGCCTGTAGTGCGCTATTAATCATCAAGGGTTCACTTAAAACAACAGTTTTTGTACTATCGAAAATCCAGGTTAGGCTGCTCACCCTAAAGCTGAAGATTCAAACAATTGGATCCAAGCAGCTGTGAAATGAGAAAGGCGATCACATTCCTCCCTGGTACCATATTGACTTACCAAGTTTTCCGAAAACGGTAATCCGCTTTGGCGGAGGTTCTGCGATCGGCACTCTTCGGTAGTTATCGCCAAGCAAAAAAAGCCTCAACACCAAACGTGAATCTCGTGATATTGAATCAGAAGATTTTTCACGACATTTTAGGTAAAAAGGCCCACTAAAATAGGCAGCGAAATAAAAGTTGTTACCCCGTGTCACTGAATCCACAGAGTCTCCGCTTGAAAGAAATCCCCATGGAGTAGAAGGCCGAGAATTAGGCCGATGGGAACTGGAGAACCATAGTGATCAGATGAAGACAATGTCGACTGAAGCTGTAGAAAATCTTTTACCTCGAGACGCAGAAACAGCTTCACAATCGATAGGTCTGATCAAAACCAACTGGCGAAAGTGCAGAAGATAAGTGCCCCATGAGGCTCAATTGACGCGACAGGCAAACATGTAGCAAATGCAACGACCATCGTGCAGATGAAACGTTTCGTCGCCAAGAATTAATTCAGTCTCCATAACCATCGCAACATCTCTTCCTCCTTCTAGAAAACAAACCGGTAATAAGAAACTGTTGTTTCAAAAATCGCGCCACAAACTCCCGGAATTAATATCGTGATGGAGGCTCTGCGGTCCGTCATGCACCGTGCCCTTGGCTCCGAAGCGAAAAAAATTGCTGGTGGAGAATCACGAGTCGTCCCCAGCGGAGCCCCAAATTGGGTCTGTCGCGTGCCAAGGCGACCCGGTCCAGTTCCAGTTTGGGGGTTGCTTATTCACCAACTCAACTAAGTGATGACATTATTCCAGTCAGTTAATCCCGAACCCGCCAAGAAAAGCCGAGAATTCAGGTCAGCCCGCCCTGCCCAGACACCAAATGATCGATCGCCCAGGACGGCTTCTTCGGGATCTTTGCTTGGCCAATCTTGGCCTCAGCAAGTGCTGACAAGCTAAACCCTCCGAACTATGAAAATTACAGGGATGAATTGAAGATGGTGCACTGTGACGCAATCAACGCGGGAAATAAGCAGGACCTAAACTAAAAAATTCGAGCCTCCTTCGATGAAGTCATGTCATTGTGGGGACACAAAGTTTATCAAGAATTGTGCTGCCTGGTTGTGGACTCTAACGGTAAAACCGATTGGAAGAGCGTAAACGCTTGAACCTATTAGTTGGTTGGTTGAATCCTTTTGCTTGTCACGTTTAGCACGACGTCATTGCTGAACCTGACTCGGCCGAGTTCAAACAGCACTACATTACAGCCAGCAGTGGCTTTTTGCTGTTAGACGAGTCTCAATGATGCACCCCAGCTCAGCGATCAGCAAATTAGCTGCGTGATGAAATAACCACATCACTAAGCTTGTCTCCTCTTGGCCATCTGAACACCCCGTAATACATGCAAATCTCACCCTTGACTGCTGATCTCTTTCTTTGTGTCGGCTACAACGGCACACATCCCAAACTCCACATGCTCTCTTCCCCACGTAGACTACACCACCATCTGGGGACCATCGGTGATGTCAAGAGTGGATTCTCTCAGGTTTTACTCTGTCAAACTGGTGATCCCCCAGCTTTTAAATATGCACCGTTATCCCCAGTTTGCCAACAAGCTTAAACTACAGGCAGTGTCATAACTCGGGTAGTTTGTTCAATATGCCAACTCACTTCTCAGACGATCCTCCGCAGGTCATCAACCCAGAGGACCTGCACGTCGCTAATTCGCGGCTTCAGCAGAACTTGGATGGTTCTACGGACCATAGCGGCGATGAGAGAACGCACAATGCTAATGGTGCTGGGCTAGAGAAGCTGGGTACTTATGACAAGTACGAAATCACTGAGGATGATTGCTACGATGAGCTGGGCTATTCGTTCCCCAAGTGGAAGAAGTGGTACATTCTCACCGTCATCTTCTGGGTAAGTTGCTCAAGTCTTGGTGTTTTAACTGCTGGCTGATGATTCATAGGTCCAAGTATCCATGAACTTCAACACCTCCCTCTACTCAAACGCCATCCCAGGCATCTCCGAAGAATTCAACGTCAGCGCCCAAGCCGCCCGCTGCGGCGCCATGATCTTCCTCGTCCTCTACGCCTTTGGCTGTGAGCTCTGGGCCCCTTGGTCAGAGGAATTCGGTCGATGGCCCATCATGCAGGCCTCGCTCTTCCTCGTAAACATCTGGCAACTCCCCGTCGCGCTGGCTCCCAACTTCGCTACCATCATGGTTGGTCGTGCCCTCGGTGGTCTTTCTTCCGCTGGTGGTTCTGTCACGCTCGGTATGATTGCTGATATGTGGGAGTCCGATCACCAACAATACGCTGTTGCTTATGTTGTATTTTCTTCGGTTGGAGGTTCGGTTCTTGGACCTATTGTTGGAGGTTTCTGTGAACAATACCTCCATTGGCGCTGGTCTATCTGGATCCAGCTCATTCTTGGTGGTTTCGTTCAGATTGTTCACTTCCTTACTGTTCCCGAGACACGAAGCACAATCCTTATGAACCGCATCGCCAAGAAGCGCAGAAAGGAGACAAACGCCAACTTCTGGGGTCCCGATGAACTCGTCCCCTTCCGCGAACGTTTCTCCGCCAAGGAAATCCTCATCACATGGACCCGTCCCTTCAAGATGTTCCTCACAGAGCCCATCGTCCTTGTCCTCTCTCTTCTCTCCGGTTTCTCTGATGCTCTTATCTTCATGTTTATCCAGTCGTTCGCTCTGGTTTATAAACAGTGGGACTTTGATGCTGTCCAGATTGGTCTTACATTCCTCGCCATCGGTGTTGGTTATGTCATTGCTTGGTTGGCATTCATTCCTGCTATCAAGAAGAACATCAAAGAGCGACGGGAGAAGCCAAATGACGAGCGTGCGCAATATGAATCGCGCCTGTGGTTTTTGCTCTACACTGCGCCTTGCTTGCCAATTGGTCTGATTGGCTTCGCTTGGACGATTCAGGGTCCTCCTATCCACTGGATTGGCTCTTTGATCTTTGCTGCCATTGTTGGTATCGCCAACTATGCCATCTACATGGCTACCATTGACTACATGATCTGTGCCTGTAAGTACACTCGCACTCAACCAAGGTGTGCTCAACTGACAACAATTAGACGGCCCCTACTCTGCTTCAGCTACCGGAGGTAACGGCTGGGCTCGAGATTTCCTCGCTGGTGTCCTCACCGTCCCGGCTACACCATTCTTCAGCAACATCGGAGCTTCATCCGGCAAGAATCTCGAATACGCTTCGACTATCCTCTTCTGTATCTCATTCGTTCTCGTCGTCGCTGTGTACGTCATTTACTGGAAGGGTCCGACCCTGCGAGCTCGATCACCTTTCGCTCAGCGTCTCGCTGGTGAGCGCCAAGAGAACGCCGAGCAGGGCCGTCGCGGAAGCGTTGCCTACGATGCTCGACGAAGGAGTAAGTCTGTTGAACGTTACTGCGCAGAATGCTATACTAACGACTTATCAGGCTCAACTGCAACTGGAACTTCTGACGTTGAGCGTCCTCCCGTTGCTGCGCGACCAAGCTACGGTCGCCAATACAGTAACTCCAACCGTTTCTTCGGTGAGAGCCGTGTGACGCCTCGTGGAACCCCTCGAGGTACTCCATCAGCAAGCCGCCGTAACAGCAAGCACTATTAAGAGTGGAACTCTATCGTCGCGGAGTTGTGAAGAGACAAATGTTGAAATGATACCCTGTTTAAAACAAGTTTCATGAATTGTATACTATTTTCTATAGCATGCGCATGGCCAATGAATGATTGATGAATGATCATAATTTCAATAACCCGTGGTGATCCGAATTCCTTCAGTTCGTTGCCTGAAAGACGAACATAGCTCTACAACCATGTGCTGTTGGTCCAGTAAACAAACCCACGTCATTATGGCCGCGCGAAATGTCAGCCCAATTGACGCATCAGGTGATTCTGAGCTCCGAGCTTTACTTGCAGGGGGTTACGTCAATATGATGTTTCCTTGACGTGAAGCCTTTTGAAGGATTAAAAGCGGACGCTTTAGTGATGTACAAGCAGAATTTCACAACAAGCAGCTTTCCATATCATAAATGACGTGGTCGGCACGATCTCTGGCAGATCTCTCATTGCATTGACCAGTGCCCAACCATCGCCTCGCTAAGCCTTTGAGAAAGAAATGTCACAAAACCTGAGACAGAACGAAGTGGACGAGTAGTAAGGTTCCAGTGTCAGCTCCAGGAATCCAGTTTGTGCGGACGGTTCAGGGAATAGACATACAAATGGAACGTGGCAGTAACACCCAATTTCTGTGTTCGACCACGGAGTTGAATGTTGTAGTAAGGGATTCGAAATCGAAAAAGGTGGATAGTCGGCATCATTTTAGGCTTGATACTGACATATCATCATGTCTGTTCGATGGAATAAGGACTAAGCTACTGAAGTAAGAATAGGCAGTATTCTCTGGATGTAAAGCGCATAATCAAGATCTTGGCAGGCTTGTCATAGTATCACTTCCGTCTGGGGCTAGGTGCATAAGGATAGGTAAGTATCTCGATATTAAACCATTAATGTTTAATCTCTCTTCCCTATATCCGTCCTTTTGTCAAGATCAACATTCATGATAAAATATAACGTTGAAGACAGAGATCATCTCCATGTTTCATTGACTTAAAGGTTATATAAATTAATACAGTCTAGAATTGAAAAGAATCACACAGCATACTCATAGAATCCCGTTGCCTCGCCATTTACCATAGTCCAAGTACCTCTTACAGAGCACCACTCAGGGTGAGGGCGGTTCCACTGCTTGTATCAATCTCAACAAAGAACTGATCAGGGATAGAGTTGTCTTGGTTGTAAGAATATTGGGAGTACTGCTGCCCATTCTGCAGACCAACAGTTGCGCTCGAACCATGCCTGGCAGTCTGATAGTACTCAAACCTGACCAAGCCGGGAAAATCTTCGTAGAAACTGGCCGAGAAGTGCTCACCAGCCGCATCCCCAAGACCAATACTGCTAAGCTGCCACTCGACAGTGAACGTGTTACCGCGGTCAGTTTCGTAGACATCGTAGTAAATGCCCGTGTTGCAGGTACCCCCCCTGATGATGAGATCGTCCCAGTAGGGCATGATGCTAATGCTCGGGAGACTCTGGGCGGGCAATGGGCCATTGTTGAAACTGCTTGAGCCACCGGACAGTGTCACAAAGCCGTTCGAACCAACGTAGACATCTGTTGAGCCAACGCCATAGACCTCGATGGAGAAAGGTGGAACGACACTTCTGGAGTCATCGTCAACAGTGTTTCCCGAGCCAAAGATCGGAGTGGGATTGGCTAGGAGTAGAGTTTGGGCACAGACGGGCTCTGCGGCGGTTGTAGTCGCGGCCTCTGTAGTAGTCTCGGCCTCTGCAGTGGTTGTTGTCTGAGCCTCTGTGGTGGTTGCCTCCCCGGTCGTAGTTCCAGTCTCAGTGGTAGCGGTAGTCTCCGCTGCTGTGGTGGTTGTATCACCAACGGCAGTGGTAGTCTCGCCGACCGTGGTTGTTCCCTCTTCAGTAGTGGTAGTATCAACTGCAGATGTAGCGGTGGTGCTGGTCAAAAGCGTAGTAGTAGTCTCAGTCTCAGTCTCAGTCTCGCTGGTTTCCGCGGCAGTGCTGGTCTCAATAGTTGCCAGGGTAGTTTCCGTAGTGGAGGACACAGGGAGGATCGTGGTCGTGGATTCAGATAGCGTGTTTGAGGTCACAGAAGCTAGAATGAGTCAATGAAGGTTCTTAAATCAGACATTATGCTCTGGATGTTGAGGGACCTACTGGCGTCAGTGGTAGTTTTCGGTTTGCAAGGACTTGCTACTACCGACTCCGCTATAAAAAGGCTCAAGGCCAAAGACAAAAGCTTCTTTGAATGCATATTTTTTAATGAGTGTCTTATTCGGTAAAGAGTGACGAGGATGTAACGAGCGACAGTCTCTCAAACAAGAGACAAGGGAGAAGGAAGGATACCAAGAGTCGGGCTGATGGACATAACGGTTGTCTCCGGGCAGGTATAAGTACCAAACGAGCTAGTCCCTGTTAATTTACTTGAATCCTGAAGAGATCGATAGTCTGTTACTACTATGGCTAGCGTTCTACTACTGCCCGTTAGCTTGGCCACGCATAAAGATAAGCTTAACTTAAGTTATGGCGACAGTGATAAAACTTGGTGAGGAGGAATTAAAGACACTATTTATAATCTCCATAATTATAAAAATGCAAAGCTTAGAAAAAGTCCTATAACCAATAATAAAGCAGTAAGAGAGCAAACCTTTGATCCGCTCATAAAATACTTATGCAAGTCCAGCTGAAAGGAAAATGCCGCTATTTTGAACCGATTACCAGAACTAGTTGCGTTAGCACAGCCACATGCAGCCACCATATTGCGATTGGCAAAATCTGAGCAGCAGAACCCCTTTCCATTCATGACATTAAAATATTCATCGCAACTCTGGGCCCGTGCCGCAAGACTTCTGGCGGCTGGGTGTGCGAGCCGGTAACGTTGTTGACGGGGTTCTCCACCTAGCCATAGCATAAACCCACAGAAAGCTGCTTCTATATTACCCCCCTGCTTCTCTTTACATCCAGTCATAAATCTTTGCAGTAATAAGCGGAGGGATGGGTGGAGAGATTAGTTGTTGATTGGAGTTTACACGTTTAAAGCTTGGAGAGACAGATGTGAGCTCTGCGACTTGAGTGAGATGTATATTGTCATACTGAGATTCGTCCCTCAATTATCTGCTTTCACGTCTCTCATCTCTCACCCTAACCAATAATGATATCAAGCTCAAGGTTTTCTCCCTCCTTGACACGATACTTGGCAGAAATGTTTCTACGATCGATGTTCAGAACCGACTGCTCAGTGATCTGACTCTCGCGCCTCTTAGTCTTATCAGTAGTCTCGCCATAGTACTCAGGCAGGGACTGAGCACCGGTGATGTTATCGGCAAGGCCAGTGATGATGTCAAGCCAAGGCTTGTACAGGTGCACGCCAAGAGCAACGGAGAAGGCTTCCTTGCCTTCCTCATTCTTGAAGCGCAGCAGGCCTGCGGTGCCGCTGTCACCCATGTAGAGGGACAGCGCGCCATTTTGCTCATTCCACTCGCAGCCGTCGGTGTAGTGCCAGCAGGCCTTCTCGACAACGTGGAAGTAGGCGTTTTGGTTGGTCTGGTAGACACGGACTTTGACGGTGTAGGGCATTCTGGGGGCGTTAGGCGGGGCGATTGAGAAGAGAAGAGGGGACGGACCTGGATGGTTTTCTTGGGGGGAAGTATAGTAAAGTTTTGGTGCTCGAGTGTTAAGTTGTTTCGTTGATGGCGAAGACAGATAGTACTGATGGTAGTAGTCAGGACTCTTATACTCTGTCTTGACTCATCTTCACTCTTGGCTCTTGTCGAGAAACATTTTGTCTTCTCATCGGTACTGCGATCTCATTCTTCCTCGCGTCAACTTGAGACGTTGGCGTCTTGCGGTGAAGGCATATACATGGATACCTGACGGATGTGCCGTGTCTCAGTCCTGGATCTTGCATCACTGGTCAGTAAATGCGTTCAGTTGCAGTCTGTGTACGACATCCTGCGCTGTACAAACTTGCTCAGCTGTGCCTGTAAGGGATGGTTGATTTGCGGCCTAGGGTTTGATGATACTTCCGCAGATTTGACTTTTTGAGGCCCGAAACACTGACATGGATTTTCAACAAGAGCTGAAACATTGCAGTTAATTGATAGAATCTGAGCCCTATCAGGGCACCCTACACAGGCATCTTGGATCGTTCTACATTTACGCGCACACCGTTTGATCGCATTCTAGCTTGGAAACTTGATTTCACCGGTATAGCATACTTCAATAGCGAGCCACAAGACGGCAGAGGAATCAGACATCAACTGACGGCTCATCATAATCATCACGCTGTCTTACAATGGAAGCTTTCAGCTGTGAAAGTTCGTATGATCGACGTTTTATTTTCCTAACGGTGTGAGACAGCTTTCTTAACCCCCTCTTTACCTCTCCGCTAGATGCTCACATATATGCATGTAGTCTAAAGCAGACTGATGCTGGAATGCGGCCCGTTCCTACCCGGGGCTTGAGTTCTATAACTTTCTATTGTGACGAGGGGGCATGTGCCTGTTTCTAGCTATTGGCCTTGGTTGAAAGCTTGATCTTGGTCGGTCAATGCGGTTTGAGTCAATTGATATCATGACTGCATATTTTGTCTCAGACATTATTGACGGGTGAGCCCGGTGCCAGTCTGGATATCCCGATATCGGATGAATTGTCCCTGAGATATCCCAGAAAGGTGCCTCACAACTTTCTCTCAAGTAATGCGATAGATTTAATCGCGACGTAATGAATGCTTAAATGGAATTCTTTTTGAAAGATACGCTAAATGTCTATGATTAAAAAACTAATACAAAATATACTCCTCAATAATCTTCAAGAATATCATCTCCAAAGTCCCCACACTTACAGTATAATGCGCCACGCCCATACTCCTCTTATGCTGCTCCAAAGTCTCAATCACCTCGACAACCTGACCCTTTCTATTCTGTGACGCAGCAAAAGCTTCATCGGCAGTGCTATTCGCCGGAGTACTGAAGCGAAACTGTCCACCTAGGCTCAGCCCTCTAAAGTTGGCGCCTGGGAATGTTTGGCAAATCCATGCTTCCACCTTTTGCATTTCCAGCTGGTCAGAGGATGGTGCTGATTCTAGTACCAAGTGTACTTCGTAGGAGTTGCTGTGCCTGTTGCGAAGCTCTTGGATTGTGCCAGCGGCGAGGATGCGTTTGGAGAGGATAGCGACCCGGGTTGCTAACATATCTGCTTCTTCCATCGAATGTGTCTAACGATTATCAGCAAGATACTATATCGAGAAGCGATAGATACTTACCGTCAAAAGAACCGAGCGACTTGAGGAGATGGATGAGAGCATAGCCCACATGTCGCGCTTGGCTATAGGATCCATCGCTGAACTTGGTTCGTCCAGGATGAGAATCGGTGGGTTGCCTGTACTAGTCAGTCTTGTTCTGTGGTATTTAGCGATGTAACATACCTAGCAGCGCGATAGCCAAGCTCAGCTTCCTCTTGTTTCCGCCAGATAACCGAGATGTCAGCTTATCGGCGTGAGGTCTCAGTCCAACCTTTGACATGACCAGGTTGACGTTCCTCTGTACATCTGCGATACCCTTCACGCGAGCGTAGAAAGCAAGCTGTTGGCGCACGGTGATTTGATCCAATGCGTCAAACTGTGGGCAATCTATAACGTCATCAGTAGGTGAAAGGGTCCAGTAAATGTCGATGCTTACAGCCGATGCTCTGTCGCCCAGCTCGGGTATCCTTCTGCATATCCACGCCTTTGATGTAGATGTTGCCGTAGTCTGGGCGAACCTCGCCTCGCATCATGTTGATGGTAGTCGTCTTACCAGCGCCGTTGGGTCCTAGAAGTGCTACTCAAGCGTCAGTCGGGGGAATAGAAAAGGCAGGGAACAGACTCACCAAGTAGCTCTCCCTTTGCCATCGTGAGAGAGACACCATCAACAGCAACATTACCACCAAAAGACTTATGAATCTGATCAACGTCGACCAAGTTCCCGCTCATGCCGCGAGACTTTGTCACCGGCGCCATCTCAATATGAGCATCTTTCCCGTCGATCCTCTTCCGTCCATACAGCGGCACGATATGCTCTGCCCACAAACTCCGAAGAGTCCATGTTCTTCCGTCAAGTAACAATAGAATAGCATATAGATACGCCACCTGAACACAGAGGAGAAGAATCGGGCCGCCGTAGCCGTGGATGTTGCCTGGATAACTTATCACTGCATCACCGCGACATCCCGCGGCCCAGACGTTGAGGCCGACGACCATGGCGCGGAAGAGGTTGGCGACTGGGAAGATGAGGCCAAGGATAAAAACCGCTGTGTCCATGGAGGAAGACCTATTGCCTGGGCTTTGGTTGACAGAGGCAATCTGATAAGTCAGCATGCGTTTGGTTGGGATGGGTGAAGTGACATACCATAAGTCCTGCGACGGAGATACCAAACATCAAAAGCGAGATGCAAAAGGATATACCGAAGGAAGAGAGTTCTGATCGAGCAAAAAGAGAAATGATGTAACACCAGAGCATCATCGCAAAGCCATATAGAAGCATGACAGGGAAGAGATGCCAGGCTCCATACCACTTGAGAATGATTAAAGAGATAAATAAAGTAGAGAGACAAGATATAATAATGACAAAGACTATGTCGACGATGATGTGAGATGTCCATAGTGCAAGAGGTTTGATCGAGTTGGAGTATTGTAGGGTTCGAATCTTTCGAAGTCGTTCGTACGCGGGGTATAGAGCGAAGAAGGCTGGGTAGAGGACATGCAAGACGGTGAGTAGCTAGTAAACGTTAGTACTTTTCATCGAATGAGGTCAAGAGTGACTTACGATAGCGAGAAACATGCCAGGGCCAGGGTCAGACTGCTCATATGGTCAGTTGAGGCCAGGAAGACAAAATACATGGTTGCGTACTGGTATTGAAGAGCTGAAGTATGCAAAAGAAAGTGAAATTGGAGTTTCAATCTTCAGCTGACTCCACATATTCAACATCAACATCGATCCATCAGGCCCATGCTCAGCGTTGTACGCAAGCGTATCTTTATCCTTCCCATTCATGTACAGCGCTCCGGGTACAAGCTGTCTCGGCTTATCACGAACTTGTTTCAAGAAAGCATCATAGTCATCTTGAAACTTGAACTGATCTTGGTAGGCCTTCATGTCATATTCCTTCCCAACAGGAAACTTTGACAACGAGCGAAAGAGAGTCTTGTTGAGAGAGCTTGGACCAACGAGCATGGAGATATTATCGGAACCTGCGAGGTCATAGTAGCTATCTGGACGAAGAGCAATGGGCCATGGTTCGTCGAGGATGGATGAGTCGGTTGATACACAGGGTGTCGGTTGGAAGGGAGTGGGATCGTTGGCCATGGCGCTGAAGACCGGTGTGAAGATTAGTGGGATTGCGAGAGCGAGGATGTACCACCAGAATCCTCTCTTAAGAACGAGAAGGCGCTTGAACAGGAGAGCTGAGAGTTGTTGGAAGAATGAGGCCTGGGTTCCTGAACTAAGTTGACTGTCTGGTGCTTCGTTACCTTCAAGAAAAGGACTCCGGTCAGAAGTTCCAACCTCATCGTCATCACCTTCATCTGCGACCTTGAGGAAGACATCTTCCATAGTAGGTCCATTCAATGACGTATCAGAGTATCCCGCTGCTTGTAGAGACGTCAAAAGCTGTGCAGCAGATGTCGAATCGGGAGCATTGAAAACAGTCTGCCCTTGATGTACAGTCGTAGCATATGGTGTTTCTGGTGGATTCTGAACTCCGGGTAAATGGACGCGATAACCTCCTCCGTGGAGATTCTTTAATGCTGCTGTTGAACCCTGACACTTGACGTGGCCGTGTGATACGATGACAACTTTATCGGCTAAAACTTCGCATTCGTCAAGGAAATGGGTCGTAAGGATGAGGCTTCGTTTTTGACGTTCGGCGAGGATGATGTTCCACATTGCTCTTCGAGAGACAGGGTCCTATACCTTTTAGTGAGTGCAGTATGGGTTGATGGGTTTACTTACCATGCCGGTGGTTACTTCGTCCATGAGACAGATTGAACTGCCGCCTGCTAACATACATAGCATCTGGACCTTTCTCATCTGACCTCCGCTCAGTGTACCGACAGGACTGTGCTTCTTTAGGGATAGATCGCAGGATTCGACGAGAGTGTCTAGGGACTGAGGGTCTGTTGCTCCGCCTTTCATCATGGCCCATAGTCTGCCGTGTTCGAGGACTGAGAGCTCGGGCCAGTGGATGTTGCGTTGAGGGCAGATACCTAGACAGTTAGTAGAGGGCCCAAGTAACGGAGTTATACTTACCGAGGTTCGAACGAGGGGCATTGACATTTATCGAGCCACTTGTGAGCTTTTGTGTACCAGCGATCAAACCCAGTGTGGTTGTCTTGCCAGATCCATTGATGCCGAGGAGACATAAGACTTGCTTCCTCTGCATGGAAAAGCTGAGTGAGTTAACAGCTATCGTTGGACGAGCTCTTCGGCAGCACCGTCTCCAGAGGGAAGGGTTGTAAGTTTTCGTGAGGTCGACAATCTCAAGGGCTGTTGAAGACTCGGTCGTTCCGTTGGTGCTTGTGAACTTTCTGCCCTTGTTGCTAACCCCATGAGAGCACTTCTCAATAAGTATAGCTAGCAAGGGATAGAAGACTATGGTGAGAAGTAACAGCCCCCAAAGCATGGATACTGTGACTTCATAGATTCGAGGCTCATGGGGAGCTGGTTTCGAGATATTTGTTGCGAGACCTTGCGCTTCGTTTCGGCAGAGTTGGTTCAGGAAGAAGATGTAGCTCGAGCTCGGGAAGATGGCAGATAGGATTAAAACGATAAGCGCAGGAACGTTTTCGGGTTTCGAGTCGAGGATTTCGCAGAGGGTGGCGAGGAGCATTAGGACGATGACCATGGAGATGGCGGTGTATCGGATGTTGATGGTGGCTGCGAAGACACTCATGCTTGTGAGGGATAGGCCGGAGAGGATCTGCCAGAGGATAATTATGCCAGCGTTCGAGGTCGGGACGAGAAGGGATGCGTACACTGATATCATTAGCAGATAAGACAACGCATTTGCATGTTGGACTTACAGGCGCCGAAGATGATCCAACTCGGCAAGTAGATGATATCAAAAGCAATAAGATAACTCAACACCCTCGCCGACGCAGCACCACCTGTCATCACATCAATCAACTGTGCCATCCCCGCCTCCCTCTCAGTCGATATCATGCCAATAATATGAAACACCGACGAAATCATACTCAGAAAACACACGATTCCGAAACCACCAACGATGGTCGCCGCAAAGTTACGACGCTTCAACTCGGCAGCTTCATCTTGTGTTATCCGTGTAAACATGTAGTTATTCGGGGTCGTGGTAGTGTTTGTGATGGCATTCTCGACGGCGAGTTGTAGCGGTGCGTAGTGGTTCTTCGAAGGCGTAGTGATGTCAAATTTGGTTGATGCTCGTGCTGAACTAACCCTGATGGTGTAACTCCACGTCTTATTCCCTGCCTTGGTCAACGGCGAATCGTTGAAGATAATGGCAGCGTAACAGTTTGTTACACCGCTCAGACTCGTCGGGCATCGCTTTCGTAAATCGGCTTCAGTTTCAGCAACTTCAACACTCCCCTTCAGACCACTTCTAATCTTGTCAATAACCCCAGCAACATCAGATCCCGCGTTCGAGCCCTGTACAAAAACAAGTTTTTCCCCGGGTGGTAGAGTCTCAGCAAGGCTTGGGATGGGAGATGGCTCTCCAACGCCATACCTGCTTCCATCGCCTGTGAAGTTCTGGATTTGAAGGACTAGAACGAGAATCAGGACGGGGATGAGGAGAGCTCGGAGGAGTGTTGAGAGCCAGTGCCTGACGAGTGTAATCAGGAAGATTTTCCTTATCAGGGCGTGTAGTTGCCGGAACCATAGTCTTGTGGATGAGAACATGATTCGATGATGTGTGAAGGATGAAGATATTCATGATATGATTATGTTAGGTACTATATACAGATTCACGATTGCCTGGGCTGCCTCTGGACGAATTGGAAGTCATTGTGTGCCGCGGAGCTAAGGGGGTGAAAGAAAACATGACTGCTGAATAGGTATGTGACCAACCAATCTTGTCCCAAGGGCGTCTCGTGAATTTTTTTCACAATGAGGCCAGATGCATTATCACAGTAACTGCCTTCTTAAACGAGTTAGCAGAATTGCGTGCGTTCAGTTTCAGAGAGGTTTGTTTACATAATGTCACCAGAGAGTCTATAATAAGAAGGTTAAAGGGAAATTAAATTAAGTTGTGGAGACAAGGCTGATTCTGAGTTATTCAGTAGGCATATTTCACTCAAGCTCTGGCACCAAGAAATCAGTTCCTGCAGCCCTAAGGGAGTAGTCTAGATCGTGACGACGACTTCATCCCCCCTGTATCGTGAAGGGAAAAATGATTCTCGTATTGAAAGATGTGAAACGCGGTGGGTACGTGCACTTTTGCTGCTCAGCCACCACCTTGACGTTGCCCTGATGGTTCCACTATCACAAGCTAAAACAAATAGGAGCACTAAAACAAACTATTGAGGATTTGTTTTAGTTTCATCAGATCATTGTTCGGGTTATTGGTTGGAGGAAGTTCGGTGATTTACTGTATGGGCTTAGCTTGCGGTTCTCGGTAGGTGAACGTTGCATTCAGGTACACCAAGCGGAATTGCTGCCGTTGGGGGGTAGTAGGACATGGTTTCCACGTTGCATTTCATGACTTAGAGACTTGATTGGTCGCCCTTTTACGATGTAGGATTGACGGTAGGGAGGACTCTCGGCAGTGGGATTTTGGTCGTGCTTGGGAGATGCCGATAGGGGCCAGTGACATTGATGAAGGGGGAGGCTGTGAAGGAATTAGGAACTGACTAAATCCATCACGGCTAGCATGCAAAATAGTTATCATAGGTTATGTGACTTAGACAATGAGTTATAATTAGCCAAATAGACCTAACTGGGGAAAAGAAACTCCGGAACGCCTCGTAAAGATCTGACCCTGATAGGGGATAATTACTTGCCGTAATGGTGTTTCCTGACTCTGCAGTTCATAGTCAGAAAGTTCACCAAGACTGTGTCGATGCTGCGGTGTTTGTAGTCGACGTTGGTCGGTTCTAATTGGCTGGCTGTCAATTAAAGCGAACTTAGCCTCCCAAACAGAATGCACCATAATAGACTTTATAACTGTCAGACGTTATCTTTCCTTCCAGATTCATATTTTATAGGTAAGCTCTAGCCAATTGCATTGTACATACAGTTGCGTCTTGGCGGATCAATCTCACCAATAACCTCGCCTTACAAATCAACGATTAGAAATCATAATGACACCATCTCCAACATCAACAACATCATCTCAACATATAAATCCCCCCAAAATCAACCCCAAAGCCACGACCTGAAACGATAAACGAACTCTAATCTTAAATATCCTAAAATAACCCACCATGGCCCCAATCCGCACAGCCATCATCGGCCTCTCATCCTCCGCTAAAACTTCATGGGCGTCAAACACCCATCTCCAGTACCTGAACTCCCCTCTCGGTCGATCGAAATACCAAATAGTCGCCCTTCAGAACTCTTCCCTCCAAGCTGCTAAGAACGCCATAGCGCATTACAACCTTCCCCCTGAGACTAAAGCCTACGGTACTCCGGAAGACCTAGCCGCTGATAAGGATGTTGAGTTAGTCGTTGTAGCTACGCGCGTCGATGTCCATCATTCAAGTGCTCTTCCGAGTGTAAGGGCTGGCAAGGACTTGTATGTAGAGTGGCCGCTTGCACAAGACGTGAAACATGCGAGGGAACTTGTTGATGCAGCGAGGGAGAAGGGGGTGAAGACGATTGTTGGACTACAGGGACGGTATGCGCCGCCGATTAAGAAGTTGAGGGAGATTGTCAACGAGGGGAGAGTTGGTAAGGTTGTTAGCGCAGAGTTGTATGCGTCTGGAGGGACGAATGATAGAGAGATCCTGCCGTCGAGTTTGGAATATTTCACTCAACGAGCTGTTGGGGGTAACATCTTTACTATTGGTCTCGGTCACAGTAAGTCACCACTTTCACAGAGACTAAGTCGCAGCTAACAAGTCAGTCTTTGATCAGTTCCAGTACATCATCGGAGACATCACCAACTTCAAAAGCACTCTCCACAACCAACGTCCCAACATACGCATCCGCGACCCCAAAACCAACGAAGTAATCCATACAACAACCTCCAACGTCCCAGATCTCATTCTCGCAACAGGCCGTCTCTCCGAATCCCCCACCGCCCAAAGAGACGCCGCTGTCCTCGTCCGCTTCCGCCGCGGCCAGCCCTTCCCCGGCTCCCCTCACCTGAGCATAACCATCACCGGCGAAAAGGGCGAGATCAGAGTGCGGGTCTTTACCGGCACAACACTCCACGGCGCTTCAGCGTATGAGAAGCCTGTTGTTATTGAAGTCCATGACTTTGGGAAGGATGTTGTGGAGCAGGTTGAGTGGAAGTGGGAGGAGTGGCAGCAGGATATTCCGCTGCTGGCGAGGGGTGTTGCGGCTGTTTATGAGGCTTTTGCGGGAGGGGAGGAGGATGGGTTGGTTAGTTTTGAGGAGGCGCTGAAGAGGCACGAGCAGCTTGAGGCGTTGCTTGGGCAGTGGGATGAGGATAGGGGCGTTTGAGTTGCAACTGCAAGATGTCATCATTTAGTGGCATATATGGCTTTCTTATTTAATCTTATCTAGTATGCCGTGGCTACTGGACAAGCTCAACATCACTTGGGTTTTTATGGGACAAACAAGGCCTAAATGGGATGTGGCTGGCTATATTAAAGCCAGTTCATGCTGAAATAGTCAAAAAAGGTACTCGGCGTCACCACCAGCACCCGGGGGATGGTCGCGGACGGGCCGTTACCTGGTATCCTTTACATTTGCATTTGCATTTGCATTTTTATCTTGATATGATTGCTTAGCTACATGTGTCATTTGCAGTTGAGATTTGTGGCTGAGAGCTTATGTCACCTCGAAGAACTTAGAGCCTCTTCACATCACGCATATCTAGGTATCATGGCCCCCACCAAAAGAAAAAAGAGAAGAAAAGAAAAGAGAAGAGAAGGAAATATTATCTCTCAAGGCTCACCCTCTGCATCACGACGATGCTGTTCTTCACCAGCCTTTTAGGGTTCCTGTCTCTTGTCAACGCCCTCGCTATCGCCCCTCCACAACCAGATTACGATGTCATTGTTATCGGCGGCGGCCCAGCTGGTCTCTCGGCCTTGAGCGGCCTCGCAAGAGTGCGTAGGCATGTTCTTCTCATCGACTCTGGAGAGTACAGAAATGGTCCTACGACACATATGCACGATGTCATCGGATGGGACGGTAAGCTGCCCAACTCATCTCATCTAGCCTGCCCGCCAATGTCCGGGTCCTGACCTTGTATAGGCGTTCAACCTGCCTATTTCCGCTACGAGTCCCGCCGTCTCCTCTCGCACTACAAGACCGTAAAGATGGAAAACGGAACGGTGACAGACATAAGACCCCTGCACGGAACCAACACGCGGTTCTCCGTCTCAGTAGACTATCCCGGCCAATCCAGGACCACCAAGCAAATCACAGCGCGCAGAATCGTTCTCGCAACTGGTCTGAAAGATGTTCTGCCCTCGACGCCCGGGATTGCGGAGAATTGGGGCAAGGGTATCTACTCGTGCCCCTGGTGCGACGGCCACGAGTACGCCGATCAGCCCCTCGGTCTTCTATGCCCTCTCGACAAAGTCGCGACCTACGTCAGAAAAGTCCTCACGCTCGGCACGGATATCGTAGCTTTTGTCAACGGGACTGACAACGACGAAATGAGGAGGGCCGCTGACGAGAAATTTCCCCAGTGGGGGGAGTACCTAAACCTTCACAACGTCACGATCGACAACCGCACCATTACCTCTCTACAACGCCTCAAGGACGGCGAAGACGTGGACAGGAAGCCCTGGCTGCCGTCGGTGCCCAAGGACGACCTCTTCAGCGTTCATTTCACCGAGGGAGAACCCGTGCAGCGCGTCGCCTTCCTCTCGAGCTTCCCCAGCAGACAGCGTTCCGATATTGGTGAAAGAGCCGGCGTTGTGTTGACTCACGGGAAGTTGGGAGTTACCAACAAGGCCATGTTTACGAACGTGCCGGGAATATACGCCGTGGGCGATGCGAATTCTGACAGTTCACCTAATGTCCCACACGCGATGTACACGGGGAAGAAAGCGGCTGTATCAATCCACGGTATGTATGTAGTAAATATTTTTCTTCTTCTTTTTTTTCCCTTTTTTTTTTTTTTTCTTAAAGTGAGGTCGCATATTAACTATATGCAGTGGCACTTGAGATCGAGAAACAGGCTGCTGAGCTTGCGGGCACAGCAAAGTACATCGGATAGTGGAAATAATTCACAGCTCTACCTGGTATTAATCCATTATTATCACCTTTTTTTTTTATTAATTTTATAAATAGTCACTAAAATAATCAAAGTCCTAAGTTTAGTGTACTTTTATACAAGTTCTTACGTAACTTGTATAAAAATGTGATGACTTTAGGGTGGCTGACACTGAGATAATATTCCGTTGGGAGATATACGGCCTAGATCACCCACCGTGCTTATCTTAGCATTAGATTATTTCTCATCTAAAGCGAATCACCAATATAGATTGGTTCCGCCTCAGCCCGCTCAACTTAGCCAATTCAAGGTCACTTAAAACCTCATTCTCAAGCTCATTTCGGTCCAATTGGCTGGTCGTCACATATCCGCTGCATGAACGTCGACTTGTCTGTCAATGGAGAAGATGGCGCATACAATCTACGGTAGATTCAACCTCGTTTCATCCAAAAATAAATAGAATATGCTTTATATGATTAGTATATCTCAATGCTACTCAAATCCCATGCTAAACACCAAACATAATGCTTCCTGAGTAATCTTGCTCTATGGCTGATCCTCCCTTCTACTGTCCTCACAGTACCTCATCTATTGATCTCCTAGTCCCAAAGAATCCAACCCGCCCTCGCAGCTGGCCCATTCGGTTCATCTACACTAACCGCCTTGTTAAGTGTACTCGACAATTGATGGACTTCAATCGTTTCAGGATCGCTGACATCTGTGTCTTCTCGGCCGTCGCTCGAGTGGAACATCTCACTTGGTTCTGCCTCTGTTGCGGAGGTGACATTGTCTGGCTCTGGTGTCGCTGGCTTGGATGTGTCGGATACAGCCTGTGACTCGCTGCCCTTTGGACTCTTTAATGGTGGAGTAATTGGCTTGGAAAAGTTAAATGTTGGGTTCACTTCTTCTGCATCGACGACAGCTGAGAGGGTAGCTCGGGTGTGAATATGGATCTGTGAGCGGGATGCACGGTTGAGGCGGGGTTTGCGCTGTGCGATGGGAGACCCAGCGCGTCGACGAGACTCCATCTCAATGCGCTCCTCTTGTTCCGTCTCGTCATCGGTGATAGTGCTCGTGTCAAGTAATAACCACTGTCGGGGTGCGACGTGTAGACTGCTTCCAGACTTGCGGCGATGTCGCTTCTGGTTCTTAATCTCCGCAGGTGGCTCAATAACTGCTTGGCCCTGCTTTACTCTAGCTGGCAGCTTGAGCGGAATGTTTCCAGCAGTGACGTTCAAATGCCTAAGATCGCGTTGACTTTGCGAAAAGACAACTCGAGCTCGAAGTCTGTGTACAGCCCGATCTAATGCCAGTTCAATTGCGCACCGATCACGCACTCGGCTCAATTTGGGCCATGTTGCTCGCTCGCCCATGAGACATGCTCGCATCATGAATTCTGGACTTGGGTTGCTTAACAACCGGGGCAAGTCGTTTATACTCATCTCGGGAAGAATGTTGATGTCGCCGGAATATTTCTGGCTGAGAACACTCTGGAACTTGGTCGCAAGGTTGGGCATGATACCGAGTTCGGCCAGAAAATGAAGTCGATGCAAGGCCTCGTCGCGCGCAAGAGATGTCATGGTGTGAATCCAATCGTAGTCTTCGCCGTTTGTTTGCTGGCCTTGTTCTGGCTTTCGAAATGGTGACAAGTGGTCATCTTTTGCGAGGAATGGCACGACGTGCGGATTGACTTGAGAAACAATAAAATGGTTGACGTTGAACATTTCCGCAAGGCGTGTCATCGGTAAATCGTTATCCACAGACCCGTCGATCCATCTTTGTGGTGTAGGGTTCCAAGGTTGATGCTCCCCAGTGATCGGATCCTTCACAAGCAACGGCGCGGCGTTGAAGACGAGAGGGACAGAACATGATGCAGCAACCGCCGACCAGATCATGACATTCGGCGCAGTGACGTAGTTGAGAAGGCGCGGTAATTCGTACATCGAAGCCGTGGAGACACAGATATTGAGAATACGCCGCGTCCGGTTGTAAGCCTCCTGAAACGTCATGTCGCCCATCAATCCTCTCATTACCCGGGTAAGATGCTTGATGTCAGACCAACTTCCCTCGGTCAACAGCCGACGCAAGTTACTCCAAACACCATCTTGACCGCTAGGATCCTCGAAAACCGCAAGATCCCCATACGGAAACTCTTCGATAAGCTTCGGGATCTCCTCGTCCGTCCTAGTACACATGGCAGCGCACACGATACTTCCAGCGCTTGCGCCTGAGATAATTCGCGGCAATAGCTGCGCTTCGAAAAGAGCCTTGAGAACACCAATATGCGACATGCCAAAGGTGCCTCCACCAGACAAAAGTAAAGCGCTTCGGCCATAACTCTGCCGAGCAAATAATATTCCTTCAAGTAGGTCTCTATTCTCAATACTCTGGTCAAGCCGACTTTGCGTGACAACAGCATCAATAGTTCTAATTGTAGATTCAACATATCGTTCGATAAGGTGTTTCGTTCCGGAGTACGAATGTCGGTAAAGATCAACGTTATCCATACCGCCAAGGTCGCGCGACAAAGCGGTGCGGATCAAGTGCATCATTGTATGTACGTCGCATTTCGTCCGCGCTTCGTCGAGATCGTGGAGTCGTTGCTGGATCAGTTCAGGGTTATAGTCGCCTGAGGAGGAGTCGCGCTTCCATTCGTCGTTGCCTTCGAGGCTGTCGAGTTCTTTCGCAGCACTCTCCCATTGTGCGTGGGACTCGGCCTGGCTGGTCAGTCGAGGGTTTCAGATGGACAGGCGGGATGACGCACATTCTGCATGGACAGACATAGCATGCGCTTCCTCTCCTCCAACTGCTTGATCTTCAGGCGCTGATCTTCAGTTAAGCCATCTTTACACCACTGCCATGTATCGTTTGCCGATTTGATCGCTTTTTGTAGCGTTCCGACAACAGGGACTGAAGATACCGGCGGTCGCTTCGCTTTTGTATTTGATTTGACCGGAGATTTTGTAGATTTGTTGTATAGACTTGGGACCGCGCGAGCAGGAAGAATAAGGTCGGCCATGGTGAGAGCCCGCGCCGCGGAAGCGCAGGTTCGGTCGTGTGCGAGGTGGGAGAACGAGGTTATAGCATGGCAGACGGTGTTTTGTACGTGTGAGATTCGAGTTGTAGTGTCGCAAGGCGCCGGGGATTAAGGATATTGTACTCGACTCGAACAGACAGGCGGACAAGGAATCGTGGTCACAAGTCGAGAAGCATTTGTAGGTGCGGTACGGTCAACGGAAGTGGTGGGGGGTTAATGGAGGGGGCGCTGAGACATGAAGAATTGGAGGTGGAATGTCAAAGGAACGAGAAGGATGATCTTGAGGTGGTGATTCTGAGTGATGAGATTATTGTATCGCTGGATTTAGGATTAAAAGTGAGGAATTTATTGGTTTAGTTTGGAGGGGAAAGACGACGAAATGACCCTTTCAATTTCGCTGCCATTCCCAAATTGAATCCACTTCCCGAGCTGAGGCCCCATTCCCCACCAATCTTGACGTGGAGAAGCAGGGACCACTAAAATGCCCTGTATTCATTTCTTCAGGGTTCTTGACAGCAGATTCTCCCCAGCTAGAATTACTTTTTTTTACCCAACAAGTTTATCAGGCTATCAACTGTGTCTCGGTTCTTCTGACAAAGGTTATCTCAGCAAAACATGAACATCTGACTCTTGTCCTCCAGCCGCACACCGCTTGGAAAAGGTTGGCTGTATGGAACAGTCCAATCATGGAGCGGGTGCTGGAGGTGCACGTGGTACAGGTGGCTGTCACTAAACCAGGATGCGTCATGAATCAGGGTTGGGGTCCCGTTCACATGTCAACAGAAGTAGAAGCGGATGTCGTTATTGGACTCTCCAGGTTTTGGAAAAGCCGATGTTCGGCAGGTGATTACTTTTTGAGTCTGGGGAATTTGCGGGGGAGAGATGATGATATGATGGCTTACGACGGCACGTAAATGGAGGCAACGTTAATGATCAGATGAGGTACCTTGGGTACTGGCTGGGAGACAAGAGGAGAGAATGAATGCAAGACGGCGAGTTGCATCATGGCTTACGATAGTCCTCACCGTGACCACTCTTCCTTATGCACTTTCCCGTCCCAAAATTCCCGACCTTTCTCACTGTGGACAGCTGAAATATGAGACACGGGCTGACGCGAGCTTCTTCGAGCTTCTTCGAGTCACCTGCCTCTTCCTCCCGAGGGTCGATCTTCAACGATCGAGATTCATCTCCTCAGATCTGCACTCGCAAAAGGAAGCTCAAACAAGGCAGCAGGGAACAACTATTCTTCCGTCTGAGCAAATCCTCCGGCTTCGGGTATTTGTGGTACCACAAAGTTCTAGCTTGACATGGAAAACGCGAGCCTAGACTTTTTGTTGATCTTTGAACTAACCTCGTTTGACATGCTTGTGACGTCTGTTTTCATTTTGGTACGCGCTGTGTCTGGGGAGCTCCACGTCTCGTATCACAGCCAAAGCTTCAATTCATTCCAGCTCCAACAGCTTCAGTAACAAGTCTACTAAAAATATAACAGAATTGTTACTGCTGTAGCATAAATATGCATAAGTTGTATCGTTAATGTTCCCATAATATGACAAAACGCATGCCCCTCTCATGATTCGCTACACAAATTACGTATTAGTGACGCCTCTCACACACGATAGCCTCGCGAAACCTGAACCGTTCATTCCCCCGCATCCGCAAATACCTGCTTTTACTGTGCAAACTCCCGCAATCTACATGTCATTGATGACGTTTTGTTTTCATCTACGATACGTCCAATCCAATCATTCACTCACGGCTTGAAACGCCTCAGGCAGATGCGGCGTAAGCTCTCGCCTCTGTTTTTATAAGCTCTCCGCCCCAGCCCCAAGCTTCTGCTTCTTAGCTTCTTCATCGCTTCGAACTTGAAGATCTTCAATTGAATAGCTTCACAGATTGTCAACATGGAGGCTTACAAGACTCATGGAGGGGTTGCTCCCATTCCCACCGTCGTTCGTACGTTCATCTTACCCTTTGGTGTAGAGCTTTACTGATGATGATGATGTGTTAGCTGACCCAACTCACTACCAAACAATCGGCCACAATGGCGTCCGCGCTCTATGGGTTCTCTTTGTTGCAATGACAGTCGTATCCGCCATCTTCGCCCTGCTATCATGGAACGTCGCCGTCCAGCGTCGCATCTTTTACTTCCTCACAACCCTCACCACCATCATCTCTGCGCTCGCCTACTTCGCCATGGCGTCTGGCCAGACATCGTACTTCAACTGTACCAGCGTGAGGGATCATCACAAGCATGTTCCTGACACGCACCATGATGTCTGTCGTCAGGTATTCTGGGCGCGATATGTTGACTGGACGCTCTCGACACCGCTGCTTGTCGTGGAGCTGTGCCTCCTCGCGGGTGTTGATGGTGCGCACACCATCTTTGCGGTCATTGCTAACGTGATCTTTGTTCTCGCGGGCGCTTTCTCGGCCGTTGGACATGCAAACACTGCGCAGAAGTGGGGATGGTATGCTATCAGCGTCATTGCTTTCGTCTTCACCATCTGGCACGTCGCTGTTCCCGGCTCCCGAACCTCTCGTGCTCGTGGTACCAAGATCGCCCGCCTCTTTGGCTCCATCTCCATCGCTTCCTTGATCCTCTGGCTCGTCTACCTTGCGTAAGTTCTCTCACCATTCTTCAATCGACAAAGCTAATGTCCACAGTGTGTGGGGTGCTGCCGGTGGCGCTTGGAAGGTCAAGGTCGGCACCGAGGTCGTCATCTACGCCGTCCTCGACGTCCTCACCAAGGCTGTTCTCGGCCTCTGGATCATCACTGCTACGCGACAGAACCGCGACACTACTCCCGAGATTGGAGGCTACTGGACCAACGGCGCTGGTGCTGAGGGCACCATTCGCGTTGGTGATGACGAGGATGGAGCTTAAATGCGTCTCAAAAAAAAAGCCAATCGAGTCCACGGAATAATTCCGCATTGGACGGAACCACTTTACAGACTCTCCGCTCACGATTTGATGAGTGGTTTTTAAGCCCGAGCCAGTCGGTATGGAATGATCAAGATTGTATGTTTTGGAATGAGCTGGGTAAAAATGCACGCAACGCACATGCTCGATTGAAGGGGAATTGGGCGTTTGGGGCGTCACTACGAGACATGTACCTTATGATTCAAGTAGCTTTAATGTGATGGGACACGAATACGACATACCCCTCTTGACTGTGACACCGTTCTGAGTTCCTGTATGTGTACTTTATGCATCTGCATCAATCATGCAATGTTGACGACAGAGATGATATGATCTGTTATGTCTTCCGAATGCATATGACAACATCCGCAAAAGTCTCCGAGATGTCCCGTGTCTCGGCTGCCGTCATCCTGCTTCTCTCAGCCATTTCACGGAGCCCGAACAAGGATACGGAGAACAACACGACTGCATCAATCGCTCCATCAAGGTCCTCAAACCATGGCATCTATTGGTTGAAGCACGATGCAAGCGCGTATCTATATACAGACTTTGACAGCAACCTTAACTCCCTCCTTCTGAGGTCTCACCACTAGCTTCATTCTACTTCTGTATGCACTTATCAACCATCCGCTGCTTTGTCTCATCTTTGCCTTTCCGATGTGCGACCCACTTCATCAATCAATGGAGTCATGCGGCCGGGTCACGTCAAGTAAGTTTAGTGATAGGTTACCAGAATAAACTTGATGGATGAGATATGGATCAGCCTCGCCCCTGTATTTCGAGTACTGCTTAACTTGATCTATTCACAAACCTGGTAGGCCGTCGCTTTATAATCCGATCCAGCAGCTTACACAAATACGGAATCTCATTCAGACTCAGTCTTATAATTCATCATATCCTAAACAAATACTATCTAATTCAATCTATTCAAGTCATCCGATTCCCAACTGGCCCTGCCACTTAACACGCTGATCCCTGAACGAAGTAACCATAGCAATAGGCAACATCTTCCTCTATATAGTTATATACACTGCCAGGCAAGCAAGAAACGCAGAAAGATCACTTTGCTCATAGGGACCTATATAAGGGGAACATCACGCACTTGTAGAGTGAATATCAATTCCTCACTAACTGAATTCTTGCACATCCTGCTAGACTGTACTAGTACTATCTCCCAGCCTACTACTAAGATCCACATCACTTGTTCGATGCCGCCTCACTACCAGTTCCATTTTGCTCCTCAGTCTGAGCACCAGCAAGAACAGCCCTTTCGGCGGCTGTGCCTTTGCGAGCAGTAATCTTACACAGCAGAGGCAAAACAGAGGCAAGAATTGCACCCGCTCCGAGGAAAGCGGCGGTGACACCAAAGCCAACGTGATACGCTGGCGAGTCCCTTGTAGGCCAGATTCGACTTCCATAGACGCTGGAGAAATTTCCGAAAGCATTGACGAGCGCAAGAACGATGGCGCGCTTCTCCGGAGGCAAGCTCACAGTTGCGCTGGCCCACGAGAGAATCAAAGGGAGTGCTGACCAGATTCCAGAGGCCACCAAGCAGATCATCACGTATCGCACGATGGGGTTCTGGACGGCGGCGCAGACGACGCTGCCCACGCAGCCGAGGACGAGTGCTGATGTAATGTGCCAGCGGCGTTCGATGTGGCGATCTGAGGACCAGGCGACAAAGATAAGCACTACAGTAGCCACAGCGTAGATGGGCACCGTCATGTACTGAGCCTTGACCGAGTTGTAGCCAAGCGTCTTTGTGATTGTCGGGATGAAGTAGGAGATTGTTCCTGCACCGACATCGAGCATAAAGAGGACAATGAAGATGTAGGTTCGGGGATCAGAAATGGCAGCAACGAAGGCTTGCCAATGGGTGAGTCGACCGCTAAGACTGCTTGTCGAGGCGAGGCCATCAGCCACGATGCGAATCTGAGCCAGTTGACGCTCCTGCGGGCTGAGTCGCTTTGAGTTATGAGGATAGTCAAGCAGCACAAAGCAAGCGATGATGCCAACACCGACAGTGGCTACTCCCTCAACGATAAAGAGCCAGCGCCATCCCGTGATACCATGAGCATCATGCAGGCCAGACGTGATGCCACCAGCAAGCAGACCACCAAAAGCACCCGAGAGAACCGCAGCAGCGTAGAAGATGGCAAACCGCTTGCCCAGCTCTGCACGCGTATACCACGAACTAAGAAGGTACAAGACACCCGGGAAGAAGCCAGACTCGATGCAACCAAGGATGAAGCGGAAGGCGAGGATGGTGCTGTAATTCTTGCTGACGGACATGACGGCGCACAGGGAGCCCCAGACAATCATGATGCCTGGGAGGAAGATGGAGGGCCGACTTCTTGAGAGAACCATGTTGGAGGGCACTTCGCAGATGAGGTAGCCGAAAAAGAAGATGGAGAGAACCCAGGCATACATCTCATCGGTGAGCTTCAGGTCGTCGCCCATACCGGCGATCTTTGCGTTACCCTATGAAAGCATACAGGTCAGTATGTGTGTTAAAGTTTCAAGTTAATGATACCTACAATGTTCGTGCGATCGACGTAGTTCAGGATGTACATAATCCATAAAATGGGCATCAGGAAGAGGTCGATCTTCTGGACGAGCTTCTTCTCCTCAGGGCTGCCGGGGGTGTAGCTGCTCAGGGCGTCGGACAGCTCTTGCGAGATGCCGACTTGCTCATGATGCTCCCCAGCCTTGGTCATTTCCTTCTCGACGCTCATTGTGCCGGTCTCGTGGTCGTTGAAAGACTTTCAGAAAGGGGGGGGGGCTGTTTCGTCAGGCACCCAAGGATCAAAAGCAGGGGTGGTGCGTGCTGGAGTAGTCCAAGAGTCTGGAGAAGAGGCTTCGAGCACAGGGAGGCAGATGTTGAGGAAAACGAGATAGGGCCAGGCGACGACCTTAAATAAATACGACAAACCACCTCCACGATGATCCCCAGCTAACGCTACGCTGCAAACCCTGGGGACTCGGGAGCCAACCCCGTAAACCATGAGTAAGCCTTAAAACTCAACATGGATAGCCCCATGGGGTAAGGTCCGCTGTAGTCCGGGGCACGAAGACAGCGGACGTACGCATTGCCATCTCCACAAGAGGGGGGAGAAAGATTCTAGACTGTTGCTCAATTGCGCGGCACGCAGGCCGCTCTTAGGCCGTGGCTCAGGGCGGTCTTCGCACCGAGTGGAAGATAGACTTCGGCAGCGTGAGGAGCTAGTCATGGGTAGATGGGGTTCTTGACCGAGATTGCTCTAGCGGCAATAAACAGACAATCGCCTGGGCGGGATCGGCGGAGTACCGACAGAATGTGGAGCAAGTTTGGCAGTAATTGGTCTTGTTTATTATTATGTATGCATGTAATTCAATGATTCCAGAACTCAAACAGGCAATTACTCTGCCATCTGCGATCCAATGATCCCGAGCAGGTCTCCTGGGTAGTATTCTAGCCCCATCCCAAGCTGATCCCCCATCATCCAGCTGTAGCTCAGATCCCAATCCTGTTGTTGGGCTGGTCGCGAGTCTTGAGGCACTTCCGACGTCCTGTTGTTGGGATCTTGCGGCATGAGTACACTTCTCGCCGACTCTCCTGACTTGAACCTGCCAAGCATGGTACTAAGACCTTGCCCAATGTAATGCGCTACATGCCTTGCGTAGGCCTGTGTCGCATTGAGCATGGAGATGATGGGGCCGACAAGGTTGACTACGTCGTCCACCGAGAGGTGTACGACAACAGCCCTCCACGACGAACAGACCTTGATCAGAAAGATGGACGAGTACGCGATCGTGGTGAGGAGGTACAAGGGGACTCCCACTACGGCGCGGCGCATATCGGAGTCTTCCAGGATTAAACGGAGTGCTGCGCATGCGCTGTCTACGGCAGTGTTGATGAAGTCTTGTCTCTCGAGAGAGATGAGAAAGTCATCAGTAGGTTGGAGACCCTGCAGACAGACGGAGAACAGAAGAAGTCGGGCGAAGTGGTAGTGTAACACAACCCCTTTCCTTGGGTAATCGCCAATCTGCGGATCGCACCCTGTTGCATCACGTCAGCTTCTGACTCACTTTGAGAGATTGATTCCCCAGTCATACGAGACAACATACCTAGCTCGCCTAGTCGTGACTCCCAAGTCTGCTTCCACTGCCCTAACTCGCCATTGTAACGGCGTATCGCATCAAACTCGTCGTTCGCAACGACCCGTGATCGATCCAGGCCAAACGTCCTGTAAGTACGGCTGAGGATGATGAATATGCTGACCTGACTATGCAGGCGCACATCGGCGCCGCTGGCCCCTGGAAGAGCAAGGAATCCCTCATGATTGATCAAAGTCACATCCTCAGCTATGACAGGCGGTCTCCCGTACGCAATGCTGAAGTGATGATCACAAACGTATAGGAGATACCACAGCCGAGCCTTCTCGCAATGCGAAGTCTCCCCACGTAGAGCCCTGGCGCAATGCTGGTGGATGTTGAGCTCCGTAGCGATGCGCACAGCAAGCCCAGAAAGCTTCCAGCTCAGGTCTGAAAGCCAGAAGGCACCGATGCAGAGGCCCCGGATGTCGTCTAGAGTATGGTACCGCTGGAACATGGCCTGGCTAGCGAGCTCGGCTAGCACGACGTAGCAGCGGTCGAAGCTCTGCCCATCGTCTTGGGTATGGAGGGCGGCAACGGCCAAGATGGCTGCGACGAGGAGTGAGGACGACTCCCTGGCTGACGACAGGGTATCGTGGACGAGAGCGACACCGCCCCAGAGGTAAGCGTTGAGCGTGCCCTGGAATGCAGCAAAGAGATGTTCTGCCTCAGCAAGACTGATCCGTCCCTGAGAGATGAAGTCTGGCTGGCGATGGCGGTCCAGGGCTGCTCTGCCGTCGCTACTGGGATCGCTTCTGATGTTGCGTAGCTTTGTCGCTCGAAAGAGACTCACCATAGGAGCATCGACGATGGCACCGTCGTCTTTAGAGGCGCTATGAGTCTCGGGCGAGTTCTCTCTCGTCATGGCAGTCAAATGAGGCGTTGGAGCTGTGAGACGGGAGACCGTATCTGGGGAGGTGGTGGCGAGCGTCATTTGCTGCTGAGTTGATTGCAGGTTGTCGAGTTTCGCCTTCATGTCTACCATGGACGCGCGCATGGACTCCATCTGTTGCTCCATGGTCTTTTTCCAGTCATATTCCCCCTCTAACAGGTCTTGCAGATTCTTGTTCACGACGCATTCTAAGCCATTCTTGGTGCAACGTATGCACTTGGGGGCCCCGTCGTCTGTAACGCATCGAATCTTGCGCGTGTGACATTGCTGGCCTATTGTGTTTCACTCAGTTAAGCTCACTATTCCTATCTATGCCTGTACAATGACAGCACCCATGCCGGAGGAAGCCAACTTACAGGCTCGTATCTTTCTCGACACTTTGGATCGGCGAATAGCAGAGTCGGAAGCGTCCCCCGGCCCATGCTCATCCGCTTCGAGGCCAGTGCGGGCTCTCTTCATAGTAGCCGTGTTCTCCACGGGGAACTTGCAAGTGTCTGGGGCGGCTGACAATCCGGGGAAAGAAGATGGCTCGGTATGATGACCGCGGTGCTGGGGCAGTATGTATATCACGGGGCCAGGCGAATCGAGGACGGCTGGATGACCGCGCTGGATCTGAGAGCGGTTAGCGGTACTCTCCGCATGGACCAATGAGTTGTTCGAGGTGGTGCGGACTTCGCGCCGCTTTCGCCGCCCGAGGAGAGTGTCTCTAACCTTATTGGGACAGAATTGCCTGCGCAGTGGATATTTCGTTGTAAGTTACTTGTGAATGTACTTACGTATTGTGAATGCAGGACTTGATTGTGCTGGGAGGGCTAGGACGGTTGCTGGGAATAGGCGCCAAGGTGACTCGACGATTTATAAGAGCGATGCCGCGACCCTGCCTTCGCTGATGTTGGTGTGATTCGAAGTATCGTCTATACCACAGCGCAGCCAGCAACCATGCCGTCTCATTCTTCTATTGGGTTTGTTGGGTTCAGCCCAGAAAAAGCTAAAATTGCAGAGGCTTTGCAATCAAATCTCTACGACACAATCAGGGTTTGCAATACCTCTTTGGAAAGTGTTGAGTTCATTGGAGCCGGGCAAGTACAGCGATCAGACTCGGTCCATCATGTTGCCCAGCACAGCCAGATTGTCTGGATTGAGGAGAAAGACGCGGAAGCTTTGAGTGAGATGCTTCTAGGATCGTCATCCGGTCTTATACACTGTATGCAAAGACAAAGATAACCCAAGATTACAAGGCACGTCTCGCTGACCAACTTCAAGCATTGCCCAAGGATGCGTCACTCATGCTCGAATGTCTCGCTTTGCCAGATCACTACCAAGACCTAGCCTCTCGTTTCACTGAAGCTGGCCGAGCTGACATCAAGATCCTTGACTGCTCTGTTGTCGCACCAAGCACCGGAAGCAGTAGGACCAAGAGCTCCATCTGGATCTCGGGTTCAGGAGCCGCAGTCGAAAGCGTCGCTTTCCTGTCAAAGGCTCATGACAACGTCCATGTCATTTCCGGTGGTCTTGGAGCAGCAAATAAACTGCGATTGACGAGCTATTTGATGGAGGCGACGCATGCTGTCACGGCTGCCGAGGCTACTGGTCTTGCGTCGAAAGCAGGGATTGACGCCAATGAGATATACAGCATCATCATCAACGCCGCAGGCAATTCTTCTGCGTATGAGGAGCTCGTACCTCACATGCTGCAGGGAAATTCACAGGTGAAGCCGTCGATTGAGTCGCTGTTACATAACATTGTAAGTTGTTCCCATCAATTCCATGGTGAGAGATTCTACAGAGACGCCATCACTTGTTCAAACGGGATGTGCAGCTCGCTTACACAGAGATCTAGAATATTGTCACGTCTTCATCCAAGAGTCTCAACTTCCCTTTGCCACTGTGCTCTGCCAGTGAACAAGTTTGCCTGCTCGCTTCCACCCAAGGATATGGCCTCGAACATGTCTCCAGCCTGGTCAAACTGTTCGAATCGCAGCACCAGAAGCCTACGCCTACTGATGCAAGTGGCAACTATGCAAGCAAAACTTCCATAGACGTTACTCCGCCAAAGACACCGCCATCAGTGGCAACGATTGGCATGGTGGGTTTAGGGGCAATGGGTCAAGGGATGGCGCAGTCCCTCGTACGAGCCGGTTTCTCCGTGCAAGGCTATGATGTTTGGGCTCCCTCAGTCGAGAAGTTCGCAGCCAGTGGCCCGAGTGGGATGTCTATCGCAGCCTCTTCACCAGCTGAAGCCGCCAAGGGCACAGATGCGCTGATCCTCATGGTTCAGAACGCTGTGCAGGCGTGGGATGTACTGTTTGGTGCTGGCAAGGCTGCCGAAGAGCTCTCTGATGGAGCGACAGTCATACTCAGCTCAACTGTCCCACCATCTGAGGCACGCCGCATCGGCGACAAGTTGGAGTCTCTGGGTAGGGGTCTCAGCCTCGTGGATGCACCTGTCAGTGGAGGTGTTGCTCGTGCAGCAAAGGGTGATCTCACGGTGCGCAGCGCCCGTTCTCCCTTAACTCAATACTAAGCGATCGATACTAACGGATTATAGATGATCTGCTCGGGAACAGGGTCGGCACTCGGATCCGTTCGCGGTATCATTCTAGCCATGGCCGGCAAGGAGTCCAACATCTACAACGTCAAGGGCGGAGTTGGTGCAGCATCTTCAGCGAAGCTCATCAACCAGCTTCTAGCAGGAGTCCACATCGCAACGGCAGCAGAGTCACTGGCATTCGCGTCCCGTCTTGGCCTCGACACGCGGCAAGTGTACGATATCTTCAATGAGTCTACCGCCTGGAGCTGGATGTTTCAGAACCGGGCTACGCAGATGCTCGATGCCGATTGGACTCCCCACTCAGCTTTGGCAATCTTTGTCAAGGATCTTGGTATTGTTCTGAATGAAGCGAAGAGGCTGGCTAGTTATACGCCCATGTCTGCGGTGGCTCATACCCTCTATATCGATGGAGCCGCTCGCGGATGGGCTAAAGAGTCAGATGCAGGCGTGGTGCGACTCTGGGAGGCAGCTGGATCAGACGTGAGCGGGAGTGCATCTGTCAAGGTATCATCTCCTGCTGCGTACCAAGAATCCGTCAAGTCATTGCCAGCAAAAGCTACATTGGATGCCCTCCCTGCTGAATACACCACTGACCTGATTGAGTCAACAAAAGCTCGCGTTGACAGCGGTGTCATGCCTGTCCTCGTCGCTCTCGACGATGACCCCACCGGAACTCAGACCTGCAACAACATCGACGTTCTAGCCGTCTGGGATGTTGGCACTCTCAAGGAGCAATTCGCAACGGACTGCCGCGGTTTCTTCATCTTGACCAACAGCAGAGCTCTCCCACCTGCCGAAGCAAGGGAGCTTATTGTCGAGATCACAACAAACGTGAATAAGGCCGCTGAGGAAAGTGGCAAGGCCTTCGAGATAGTCTTGCGTGGCGACTCAACGCTCCGCGGTCACTTGCCGGAGGAGCCCGAGGCAGTCGAGGAGGTGCTCGGTAAATCCGACGGTTGGGTCTTTGCACCTTTCTTCCGCCAAGGGGGCAGGTTCACCATTGACGATGTTCATTATGTGCAAGAAGATGACCAGTTAGTCCCTGCTGCGCAGACTCCATTCGCACAGGATGCTACGTTTGGCTACAAGAACTCCAACCTTCGGCAGTATATCCTCGAGAAATGCGGATCGCGATTCACAGCATCATCTTTCACGTCGATCACCTTGGAAGATCTGCGTTGCGGAGGTCCAGCCAAGGTCGAAGAGAAGCTACTGAGCGGAGAGCGCGGTGCTGACCGTGTCATCATTGTCAATGCTGTGGCGGATTCCGATATGAACGTCTTCGTTGCTGGGCTCTTGGCTGCTGAGGAAAAGGGGTACCGTTTCATCTACCGCACTGCAGCTGCCTTCGTATCGTCGAGGCTCGGAATCAAAGAAATCCCACCTAAATCTTGGGCTGAAGTCTCGCTCAAGGCTGACGTTGATGCTCCAAGGACTGGTGGTCTCATTCTGGCTGGATCATACGTACCCAAAACGACAGCGCAGCTCAAGGCGTTGCGTGAGCGCAGGGGTGCTGATCTTGAAGTGATTGAGCTAGATGTGGCTCAACTAATCGAATCTGCGGAACAGGAGCAGAAGATAGTAGATTGTGCTATCTCCGAGACTACCAGGCTCATCAGCGCTGGCAGAGACGTCTTGGTCATGACTTCCCGGACGTTGATCAAGACCGATGAAGCCATCTCCTCGCTGGAGATCGGTTCCAAGGTGGCTGCTGCACTTGTCCGCCTACTCGTTAACATCCAGGTGCGGCCACGATATATAATTGCTAAGGGAGGGATCACCTCCTCGGACGCAGCCACCAAAGGTCTCAAGATGAGGAGAGCTCTTATCGTAGGCCAGGCTGCTCCAGGCGTGCCACTCTGGAGATGCGATGAGGAGACAAGCCGGCATCGGTCTGTGCCTTTTGTTGTCTTCCCAGGTAATGTTGGCAGCGAGACGACTCTGGCCGAGATTGTTGAACAGTGGGCACTTTGAGAGATAGATACCTGGATTGAGATTGGTGAGGAATAGAAGCACAAAATGGCGCTAGTAGTCAAGAGTCTATACTGAAGAAGAGCCCGTAATTTGTATGGTAACATGGAAAGTCGGAAAGCACATTATTCCAAGATTTGAGTTTCCTCAAGTAACAATCCAGATTCCCCTTTTGAAGAGTTGCCTGGATTCAATACATCCTGGGTCATGGATCAGATGATACAATCAACCATCCGCCTGTCACTTCTAACAAGCCTCGAGCCCAACTCCTCGTATACATCTTGCAAGCGCCAGAGTGGATAAAAGCTGGGATGCTGAAGCCAGACCGAAAGCCTGTGTTGGTGATTGGTGAAGCAGTAGTGACAAAGGCAGCAGAGAGATTTGCTAACCCCGGTGACTTTTCCAACAGTTAAAAGACTCTCCATTTCAAATATTCCGCACGATTATTCATACTGCATCGGACTAAGGCTTTGATTCCAGCCGCACAGATGTGTCTGTCAACTACAATAAGCAGGCCAATCTTTCCATATCATAAAATTGAGATTGAATTCTGGTGAACATTCCCGCGACCATCAACTGAATCCCTGTTATTCATTATATCTTAAATAAACAGTATCCAATGCATCCTTCAGAGCTTAATCCAAACTAACCCTGCCACTTAACACGCTTATCCCTAAACAAACTAACCATAGCAATAGGCAATAACTCCGTATTCACAATATTCAACCTCCCAAACCTCTCAACAATCTCATGTCCGTAAAACGTAGCAACCCAAGTCCAATACGCATCCATGTTATTCCACCACCCAGTAATACCCTGTAGATTCGACTCCCCGCGCAACTGCTCCATCGCAGCGGATATCTTTCCGTCATCGGTCTCAACCTTGCTTTCAGTAGGTCTCTTCATCAGTGTGCGGAAGATGCGGTGCAGTCTGTTGGTAGCTGTGAAGTGACCGAAGAAGAAGGCTTCGCGGTAGCGGGTGAATTCCTCGAAAGACATGAATGTGTCTTTCTCGTGTTGAGATTCAGGTTCCCAGTCTGGTTCGTCAAGGGCGTATCGTTCATGTCTGGTTTTGCCGCTCAGGAATGTTTCTTTGTAACCTTCGTATGCGTGACGCTCATCTTCTTGGAAGTCGATCATAGGCTGAGATGGGTTCTTGAAAACTTCATCATGAATCTGCATGAGAGAAATGAATGGGGACTGTAGGTCAAGACCACCGAGTTCCATAGGGAAATACAAATAGCCATCGGGAATATCCTTGATACCAAATCTCTGACTGATTTCTCGTTTCAGGAACTCAACCACGCTCGTGACCTGACCAGCTGAGAGCTTGGCGAAAACCTGCTTCTCAATCTTTTTGTGAGTCGACAGCATGTTGTCAACGTGCTCACGACCAAAGCAGTTGGCTGCTTTACCGAAGTTAGACGTAAAGAAGGTCGCAGCATATGTATTCCATGCTTGGATGAAGCCAAGAATGCTCTTGCGCTTGTCAAGTAGCTGTTTTTGAAGTTCTTCGATGTGAGAGTCGACCATTTTCTGATCAATCTCAAACCGGCCCGTCTTGGGTGACAAGCGAAGGAAGCCCCAGCGAATCTCACCTTCAGGGAGGGAGTCATCAATGGGGAGAGTCACATTACTATCCTTCGCGATGCGGACCGTGCCTGTCTTGGTAGGGTTGACACTGACGCCGGTGACAATGGTAAACTCATCAACAGTGTCCCAAGCCTTCACAGCGACCTTGTGGTCAGGCGACCAGAACCAAAAGTTATCATGCATCCTCCACAAGTTGTTCGAGGTAGCCTGGTTGACCGCAAAGTCAAGGCAAAATAGGGTTGTCTCGCCGAACACGTCACTCAACACGTGGGCTGCTGGTGTACCACGACGCCTCTTGCGCGCCGACGAGTCGTCATCGTCGACAAACTTGAGAGGTGCCTCGAGGAACTTCTTGAAGAACTCAAGCCACATATCGGAGACACCAAGAAATTTAAGGATCGTAAACACGGTGCCATGAGGAATCTTAGGGTTCCAGTCGTCAAAAACAGAGTGGAATGCCGTCATCTCACCATAGAGATGAGTGTTGATGGTGATCTCTGTAGACAACAGATGAAGCAAGGTCTGCTTGAGTGCCATCGGACTGCGAGACTTGTCGTCTTCATCATCCTCGTCTTCTTCCTCCTCGTCAGAGTAATCAATCTCAGCAGAAAACTCCATATCAAAGTTGTTTGTAGCGATCTTACGGTGTCTCATCGCACCGCCAGTTCCCAGGCCTCTGGCCGTTGGTGCCGACTTTCGCGCTGCTTTGCTGGCAAGCTGTCTACGCGGTGCTTGCATCGGTGCCTGAACTGCAAGCTTCCGCTTCTTACTGTCAGCGGCGAAACGTTCGTACTCGGCCTCCTCCTCGCCATCGGCAGCGCCTGTGATTTCGTGCTCATAGTTCATGAGTTGAGCCATGAAGTATCTCTCCTCATTGACCTTGACACGTTCGCGCTGCAAGCAGGGCGAGTCTGAAAGTGGGCCCAGGTAGTAGCCAAGTCTTCGTTGATCGTTTCGAGGAATATCTTGTCTCTCCGATTTCCAGGCTCCGGAATCACGGAAGCCTTTGAAGGCTCTTTTGAAGAAAACACTCCACTTGACACCAATGTACTGTAGGAAGATCGCTTGGAGAAGATCTTCATGCATATGGATGTTGAAGACTCCGCTAATCTTCTTCTCCATCGATACGGGGACAGGAGTCTCAGAGTTCCATGTCCATGATTCGAGAGCATTGATGCGCATGTTGAGAACGTCTGCGATCTCCTTCAGGATCATATCATTACTTTCAAAGTCCCTGAGCACTTCTCGTTTCTCATTGGAGAGGAGATCTGATGAGTGAAGACCGGGAATGATCCACTTGAGGGAGCCAACAGTGAACTGATTGGGTGTCGAGATGGATGCTTCGTGGTCAGAGACAGATCGTCGAAGAATATTCAGACTATTAGCCATGGTCTTCTTGTCCTTGTTATTAGAGCGGAAAAGATGGTCGAGGTAACTGTTGAGGGCCTTGGTATCAATATCGGCGGCTTGGAAGACGGTGTCCTCCCAGTCCATCCTGGACTGGAGCTTGGCCTGGTCACCAACGTCCTCGAACGCCTCGCCCATCTCAACATCTGCCCCTGGATCTTTCTCCTTGTCACCGGACAGCCATTCGGTTACAAGCTCACCATAGAGCCAGGCATACTGATACTGAAGGGCTTGCATATTAAGCTGACGAGTGAGTGACTCCTCCCAGGCAGTCAACATCTTCTGCGACACTGATGGATCTGTCTTGGCCTGGCCAAGAAAGCGGTCGAGGTTCTTGAGGTCGATCTCGAGGCGCTTGTGACTGGTGCGACCTAAGATGACTTTGTTCTCCTTGGTGAGCTTGATAGAGAAGCACTTCTTGACACCATCGCTCAAGATGAAAAGACGCTTAACAGCATCCTTCTCTGCTTCGACGGAGGAAAGAATCGCCGCCTTGGCTTCTTCAAAGCGGGAGCGTCTCTTGGACAGCTCCTGAAGTTTGGTGTTGGTGATCTCTTGGAGAGTCTCGGAGAAGACACTACCGGAGGAAGCCATGGTGTAAGTGGGTTGAGGCTTAGGGGTATTATTCTGCTGTATGTGTGTTGATGGTCTTACTATCTATCTGATTCTGGCCATTAGTGATGAAGGGCTAGGTTTGGAGGATAACGTGATGATGGAATGGATGTGAAAGAAAGGAGGGGAGAGTGTCGAAGGAGGAGGGTGGTGTGTTATATATATACCAGCTAGGAGGAGGATTTGGTGTCCTCAGGCCAAAAGTTGCAGGGAGCTGTGCCGTCTCGGCCGTGTAAGCCAATAGCTTTGGCTAATGATGTGGTGTCAAGAATGAGCTCATATAATACAAAACGGGATCTAAAAGTCAGGTACGTCTTACTGGATCAGTCATAGGCCAGTAAAGCGCTGTCGCACGTGTATCGCCGGCCACAGTAGTATGAGTCGTAAGTTGTTGATGAGATGAAGTGAAGTGAAAGCTGAAGCGAAAGCCAGGGAGAAGCTAATGTGCTGACTATCCCTGTCGACAGAGTTAATTGGTCAATAACGGGAATATAGTGGGCCACTGCTGCTAGGCTGCAGTCTCTCGTGTTACATCATTTTCAACTCCATAACTCTCTTGTTATAAAGGGTCAACTCAACCGACAGTCCAACTCATTTAAAAGTTGATCCAAAGAACTAATTCATAGGGCCGCGGAACATGTATATCTTCAGCTGTACTCACAGAAACACGTTTGTCCTAAACTGGCGTCTGACACTGACTTTGTTCCTTTTCCTTCGCTACCTAGGTAGCTGCTCTCGTTTGCGAGATATCGTCTCCTTCCCCAGTTCCCGTTAAAAGTGAAATTAAAGATTGATTGATGCATCGCCTAATTAAATCCCGTAACATCATAAATATTTAGTACTGAGATGTTGAAGCCTTGGGTCCACATGTGAACGCCCATTCATGGTCTATTTGATCATTTCAAGCTTCTCCATCATTTCACGAAACGAGTGTCTGGAATCCTCCTCTGTCGGTACCCTATATCTATTCATCTGTTCTTCATCTTCCATCCAAAGGGAGACTCCTAGGTCTCGCAAGACCTCTCGATCCGGCATCCACGAGGATTCCAATTTTTTCTCAATGTCGTGCACTCTCGATGGCCAAATAAAATCCCAGAACAACATAGCACGCGAATGCCTTCTGGTGCTCAATTTGAGAGTAAAATCTTCGCAGCACTCTCCATTTTCGTAAGATGACTCGTCGGCGTCACGGAGTAAAAACGCCTGATATTCCATGACCAGTTCGTTAAGGAACGTTTCCAACTCTAAATCCGTTGCCGAAGGATCAAAGTCGCTTTCTAACGACCCATCTTCTAAGTGGCCTAGTCTGTCGACACATGTGTGTTCCATATGAAGCTCCTGAAAGGTCGCTTGCCTTAAAACAGCCATATGTTGACTCAGACTCAGCATCTGTCCATATTCGCTGACAAAGAATCGAAGCGAATCGTTGTCCAAGAACATGGTATCCAAGAATTTGATTCCATGAGCAAAAGGTGTACATCCTTGGGGTGAGCATTGACACACACAATCGTCGGTGTCTTCAATGGTTAAAGGAGAATTAACGAGATACTGTACCATCTCGTCATATCCAATATTATGAGCACGGTGGCGACTGAGAATGATTTTCGCCAGAACAAAGATAGGTGACTCAGGTTTCTGGTGCTCACAAACTAAACTCCAGAGGTTAGGGCAGTGTTCATACAGCCACATTGCATAAGTCGGTGTAACTGTTCCCAGAAACTCTCGAAAGCTCCCGCCAAAACCAGGGCCAGTCCCATCTGTCAACGCCCAGTCTGTCCAATGATCATCGATATCGGAAAACCCTAGATCCCAGAAGATAAATGCATCTTCAGGATCGATAATATCCAGGTATATGGATCTCGAATGGTGTTTCCCAGTTGGTAGCCTTTTCAGGTCGTGAGATAATGCTGTCGACAGACGACCAAAACCTAATAGACCCCTGTCGCGGAGTATTCGATCCAACTCGATAGCATGCACACTTGTCTCTGACACCAAAGAGTAATACACACTGTGTACTGATCTCGGCAGCTTCCTTTGAGCTACCTGTCCCAGTTCCCGCCGATACGATTGCAACTTCTTAGCAAGAAGAACTTTGCAGTGATTTGAAGCGTAGATTAACAGACTGGTAGAACAATCCTGGTCAAGAATCATGGGCTTCGAGAAATCACGATAGGGTATAATTGGGCAACCAGCTGCTAGAAGAAGTTCGACTGCCGTGGTGCAAGGGCAAAAAGTCCCATCTTTGTTTTCCTGGTTGTGGCAAATGTCTGCACTGACCTGGATTGCTCTGCCGAGAAGGGTTATTTCCATTGAGAATACTCTGCTTGATCGGACTAATTGTTCTGGGTTGGCTTTTTTTACCAAAGGTTCTAGAATCTCTGGATTCTCTATTGCGAAGTGAAAGGGAGTCTGGCCATAGAAACTAATTTCATCCAGACATTCTGGGCAGTTGTTGATCAGCTGCTTCGCCTCCTCTATATCATTACGCAGAATAGCGAGCGTTAGTGGTCCGAATAAACCTATCAGAGATTTGATTTAGTATCTCAGTCATGCTTTACCAATTTTTTCGGTGTCCTACCTTCAACAAACTTCTGGTTCAAAGTCTCATCCTTGATAAAGTCTTCCTGGGTGAAATGACTGTACCTGGGCACATTCGATACTATTGGAGCTACTTCAATATCCTCAACATGTAACCGACTGATGATGGTCATTGGAAGTACCAAATCATTAGCAGCTATATGCCACGCCATCCTAGGCCGCATTAGCGGTGTATGCATTGCCTGATCAATACACGTACCAGTACTCAGAGTTAACAGCTGATAGTGGTGTTCCTGCAGTGATCAGGAAATTGAGTAATTGCTCAAGACCGGCATGTGTAGATTGCTGCTGTTCGAAGTTAAAGTCTTCCATGCCACAACAGTTCATCTGTAGTTGTTAAAATTTAAATCAACTTTTTTCGCTGAAGGCGGACTGACAACAAGAGTCAAGCGGTGTAGCAAAGAGCAACCTCGTGGGCCGAGATCAGTAGGCATCGCCGTTCCTGTATTGAATATAGCTTGTAGTTTGACTATGATCGACTTGAAGAAGAATTCTGGGCAGTTTCTCATAGCCCACTGGGTTGAGGAGATGCTACGCATCAGTATATCAAAAACCCTAAATGCCGGGGATCTATTTTCGTTAACCTCAGCAAAGTAAGTGAAAGACGGGCTGATGCTAAAGCCACCTGCTCCTCCAGTCGTACGCAGAGTCAATTCAACAGCTTTGTTTATTAGTCGAACAAAGCTAGAAATTCTGATTGTACGACTTCGTGAGTACTTGGGGTCGACAAAACCAAATTCACAGTCCTTGTAGTGAGTAATATCGGTGGTCGTCTCATCAACCAAGTAGAGTGGCCCAAAACGAAGTGTCTTCCTAGTGCGGAGCCTCCTTGCGCGACAAGGACATGCCAGAACTGAAGAAGCAATTGTAGAGAGCGCACTTGGCTTTGCAGCAAGCTTATAAATAACAGGGACAGGATTTCGATGATCAATTTGCAGCTGTGATAGTATTTCATTTGTTTGAGCATTACGTTGGCGTGCTGTAGACTCGGCTTGTTGGAACGAGTGTCTGATCTCGTCCATTTGAGATTTGAACTGTGCTTGGATCATCAAGCTGATGTGTGGAGCAATGCCGTCGACGGAAGTTTGAAGTGATGGAAGTTTCGTCTCGATACTTGAAATGGGGTCACGAAGACCAGATACATCAGAAGTAAGGGTCGAGACGTCATCTGATGTTTGTTGAAGTCTTGTAGTGTTCAAGATCAGAGCATCAGACGTCGCAGCTTGTATCTCTCTGGGCAAGAATTAGTCAAAGTACTGAAGACTTTGGTAAGTCACGTACAGCTGCAAGCTCTGGACAGCCAAGTTGAGTGGTGTACAAAGACTTTCTAATGTATTTTCCAACTGCGTAAGCTGATCTTGCCGCAGCGGGTAGGCGAGTTTGCGATAACTACCCTTGACTCTGTCTTTCACCGAAGGGTCAGGCATTTTCGACGCGGAAAGCTTATCTCCAAACTCCTTGAGGTTGCTTAAGGCGTTCTCGCAATTGGTCAAGCATTGTAGAGCTTGAGCCACAGCCTGCGAGGTCGAGGAATTCAGCTGGCCGCTCTTTAGAAAACCTTCAAGTAAGCGGAAACTGCCTTCGAGAGACTCCGTGAGGCGTTTGAGTCGAGCGATAGCATCATCGTGATCTTTGAGCCCGCTTAGGTAACTCACAAGCCCAGAACATGTCTTGAGGCCGAGCGGAATGATTGCGAGCGCTAGATCTGCCATGGTCTCGACACTTATGCTGAGGTGAGAGTTGAGCGAGGAGGAGGGTTTTGTGATAACAGACAAGCAAAGGTGTAAGGGGGGCGCAGACGTCAATCAGGCTACCAGTAATATCTCACCACGTTCAAGCGGCACCTGCTGCAGAACATTCACAATTACAAACGCCGTAAGAGCCAATCAAATCACAGTTTTATTGGCTCTTGGTCCCTGCGGCTGGAATAATATAGAACAGTGTTGGGCAGCTCAACATCATACCGCGATAGTAATGTATTTAGACGTTAGATGTGCCTTCAAATGACTACTGTTGATCTCGTTACGTCGCAAAAATGTCGACCCAGCTTCTTAGAAGCGTTTGTAATGATTTTGGTTGTCCCGGCTGACGCAATGAGTTTCTTGCTACACGGCGCAACCAACATGTTGTTGGCCCATGATCAGCCAGTGGCTCCACGCCAAAGCACAGGTCATGTTTCAAGTCAAATAGTGCTCGAATCACTTATTTCAGGCCACCGAGCACTAGAACCAAACACTCCAGTGCCCTCGTTCTTCTCAATTCCATCGCCAACTTGAATCAACACAATGCAATTTTCCGATGGTTCTCCATATCCTCCAAGCGAATCTGATATTTCAGAGATCCCACGCGATCTTGAGAAAGAAGATGCCATCGAAAAACTTTCATTTCTTCCCAATCCTCCCTTTCGCCCTCGATGTCTGACTCCACCTGGCTTTCGAGATGTCGCTACAGAACATCCTGGACTACCGAACCCTACTTTTCAGCATTGCTCATACTATAAGCTGCCACCCGATATCAGACGGTTCATTTTGATCCTGGCTTTTGGCAATTGTCGCCTCCATATGGACTTCTCTTACGATTATCCGGACATGTCTTCGGATTTTATTCAACCATTAGATGAGAACCATTGTGGCATCGTCATCGAGAATATGTATGGCGACAGACAACGAGTCGTCGATGATACCAAGCCAAGGTCGTGGCTTTGGTGGGGATCTGTTTGCCATCGACTCCCGCCAGATCTTGATGTATCGCGAACAGGCCCGATGACCCATGGAGGACCCGATGGTCCTTAGGCTGATACCTATCGCGTCGGTGAAGCTCGTCACTGCGACTCGTGGCCTGGTTCAGTCCCCTCAAAGTGCCATATCGGTACGATGGGATGGCTCTTGTCTTGTCGACAGAAGTAAGGCCACCAGCCTTTCCTTCAATGAAAGTAATTAACAACTCCTGTAGTTATGCCGAAGCTATCGACATCCTTTACTCGACAAACATCATCATTATGGTCAACGAAGCAATGATGACGCATCTTACTCAACTCCTATTACCGCAGCGCCTCGCATTCATTACCTCGCTTGAGATCAGCTGGAACTTGAAGTCTCGATACGAAAGCGGGCTTTGGAGTATTACGGACGATGAATATTTCATTGACGAGGAAGATTTGAAGCGCATATCTCAAATAATATCCACCCAGTTCCCGCAGCTACGCCGTCTTTATTTATCTTTGGAGCTCTCAAGGCAGCTTGGGCCATGCTGGGGCTCTGATGCTTGGCCAGCTATTAGCCGTCATCTGGACAACCTTGCACGAATCATGCCGTCCCTGACAGAACACGCCATTTCGCTGCCTGATACTCCATTCGATTCTATCTTGTATGACGCAAAAGAAACTGACTTCAGATCGTATTCAGAAATATGCCATTCGTATAATCAGATCTGGCGATCTACTGACGGGCATATAGATGTCATTCGTCTTCCATATGTCGATAGTTATCCTAGAGCACCGTGTCACATCGATACCTCAACCTCCAAGGGCAAAGGCTACTGCATACTCAATGGAAGTAACTGGCCAGAAAAAGAGAAAGTTGTCATCGGCCCTCCCCCGATGGGAGAAATTATGGGCCTTGGTCCTCATGATTTCGATGACTTTGAGTTTGTTCACCCTTTAGAAGATATTTAATGGTTCAGATTGCATTCTGAAATGTATTTTAGCATCGGTAGAGCGACTTCTAACGGGAAATTCGTTACAATTATGCGCCATGAATACCTTGCTCTCTATCACTCATATTAGTTAGTACAAAAAGTTCAAGTTGGCATCAGGGGTAAAGCACCCAAACTTATATCTCCTTCATGAATTTAAAAAGATCTCCCCAATACCATCATCTAATGCTACGTCTCTCTTGTATACCAAAACATATTTGTTGCTTTCCCCGATGTCAAGCATCCATCGTTCGCCATGTCTATCTGACACAAAAGAAGATATGGATAAGAGCGCTTTCATGCTGTACACGACGTGATACATACATGTTTTGTTCTACCATCACCTAGGGCCTTCGGCTTGATCAGGGGGGGCTTTCAAGAGCCTTTTCTGTCGCTCTTCCATTATTCGACCAATTCCAAGCATCTAGATATCTATTCGGGGGCATCATTAGCTATTGATATTAAGGCGCCCTACCATCAAGGGCGGAACTTACACCATCAATGCGAAATATGCCAACGAATCGGCATTTGCAACCGACTTAATGCCTTTGTCGCCGTGAAGTAACTTTGCCAGGTTCCAAACATGCATTTGCCCATCTGTATATTGTCATCTGTCAGTATAGCTCAAACTTTACAATAATGATCCTTGAGTCGCACTCACATGCCACTGCAATCCTGAGTTTTTCTTCCCTCATTTCCTCACTTGTTAAAAGGACTTTGGAGGGCTTCAGTTCGACTTGATTGGACTCGGTACGTTTGTATAGATATCTACCATATTTGTCCACTGCATGCACGTCGTCAATGTCTGTGTTTGTTAGTATTAGCTTGGTCCCTCTCTTTTTTTTTTTTTTTTGACAGAGTAAAATGACTGTGTTTTTGGCATGCTTACTGTATGTAAGGGGGAACATTGTACCGTCTGGGTGTACTTCCGGGAGGTTGGAAGTGGAAACCTATTGGCGATAAAATGCCAGCGACTCTCCCAAGTCCCCCTAAGTCAAATCCCAGCCCCGTGCCAGACCCAGGAGATGAGGACTCTAATGATGACGATGCGTCTACAAAGGAAGCCAAGTCAACTGTAACAACTACAGGCCCAGTGTCAAGGGAAGAGTCAACCACTATTACCAGCGCCAAATCAACATCGGAGATAACGACTTCGGAAACAACTGCAGAGTGCACCGTCACTGAAATTCCCCAATGTACAAAGACCATCTCGTATACCACCATGTCCCAATCAGTCACGATGTAAGTTTGACTTTGGAACGGTTACCACACTAGGTAGACGCTAATATAAGCCCAATACGGAGATAGGAGAGTGCCCATCGACTCCAAGCTGCGCGACCGGTGAGCAAAGTACAGTAACCACGACATTGGAACCTGAATCCCATTGGGTGGGATATGTTGCAGATTCCCAACAAGGCCCCTCTAAAGCCGAACTGGACGATCCTGTCGATGAAGAGACGGAGGAGTATCTTGAGGACTTTTTCAAGGAACACGATCTTCTCGTGGACTATGAAGCCGAAGATGCTTCGCCCGAGTGCAGCACTGCCTCCTCAGTTCTTGACCTTACATGTTTCTCTGAGACCTTGCCATCGTTTTGCACTCACATCGTCACTAGTGATAACGAAACGCTGGTTGAGAATATTACGGTGAAGGCACTGGAGTCTAGCGACAAAACAAAGCGACATGGGCATGCGAGATTTCTGGGAATGAACTCGAAGGTGATGAGACGTGGAAGCAAATGTGACGGTTACTCGATAGAATTCAGTTGGGAACTCGGTTCCATCGACGGATGCGTACAAGATTGTCTTGGAGCCATGTCGAAGCTGGCTCTATCATGTGGCTTGACCGGTTCTCGCTCAGACGGCATCAGTGACAGTGGAAGTCTTGTCGTTGGCTGTGGCATATATAGCTACAGAGTCGTCGAGGACTACCAGCATACGATTACTGAAACTACAAGTGATGTAGCAACAGCTACCGCGACAACAGAGTCAACTTCTTCGGAGGCAACAGCAACCTCTTCTTCTAGCGGCACAACGTTCACCACCGACGAGGCTACTACCACAAAAGCGGCGACTACTTCGGAAGAAGCAACCTCAAGCACAGAAGATGCCGATGCGACCCCCACAATTGATCCCAACTACCAGCCCCTGGTACAGCAAGACCCTGAATGTCTCGAACCGGCAGATGGAGATCACGGCGCCATTGATCCAGGTACTCAAGATGACTATGCTGAGGACTTTAGCAGCCAGGAACCAGATGGAGGATGGGAGGCTGGAGCAGATATCCAGCATTCTTATAAGGAAACATCCCATGGTGTTGTCTACGAGTACAAGGTCAACTGGGCCCAAGACTGTATTACTGATGGAGATACCCAAGATATCAGATGGCCTTTGGGTCAAGCTGGTGATATTACTGCATACTCGCTCATGAGGGATGCTTTTGAGAAATGTAAGCTTACTAGCCCGAACAAGAAGTGCCACACTAACAGTGAGCCAGGCAACAACGGCGGCATTGGTGGATCGATTCAAGCAGGGTGTTTGGTCTACACTTTTAATGGTTATGATGAGTAGATAGCCAGAATTAGGAGAAGTGAGTTTAAGTTTTAGCCAGCGTTTGGAGGAGCCGATGGTTTCTGTAAGCAAAAGGGCTGGGAACGAGATTACCTGTATGTTGTCATTTTGTGGTGAGATTTCGGAACGGACGAGGCAGCAAAATAAAACAGGCATCAACAAATGGCGACAATCTTCTAGGCAGTAAGACTGAGACCATGTAAAAAGGAAGCCGAAATCACTCTGACTGCCATAGACCACTAAACTTCCCTAAAGTCGGCCTTGCTCTCTACATTATGACTGTAATTGAAGTCGGCTGCATGGGCGTCAAGCCCAACATGAACATCATGGACCATACCACTCCAGAGGGCAAAATCCTGACTGACGCTTGGAATACCGTCATCAGCAAGCCTGGTGGCCCTCAAAGAGTTTACTGGGGCCTGGAATCGGTTGAACCATCAATGGTCTGGTGCTTTTTCGACTTTGGTTCGATCGAGCAACATCGGCGATTTGCTGAGGAGTAAGTTCTATACTAGGACTCAACGTGAAATGACTAATTGGTATAGATACGGCGCAGATGCAGTTAAGGATATTCCCAAGATCTGCACGTATGGAGAGTTCTCGAAGCATATCAAGATGGTTCCGTCTTCTGACGTTCTTGAGTCACCTCTCACAGAGATCATACTGGCATATTTCCCCCAAGACATCTCAGAGGAAAAGAAAGAAGCTCTCTCGTCCAAGATTCAGGAGATTCTCAGACAAGCGTTTCCTGGTGAGGCTAGAGTCGCTCACGCCTGGGGCGTGGAGAACGACTTTCCAGCAAGAGGTGAAGATGGACAGCCGAGATCAGTTCTCATGGGTTTCGTTGGATTGTCTCATTCCGAAGCTTGGGGAACTTATCGTCAGACCGATGCTTGGAAAGAGGCACTCTCGAGTATTGAACGGTTGGAGGGTTGTACGAGTATTTATAGCTTTGCGATAAGGTCCCAGCATCTGGAGAGGTTGGAGGGATTTTGATAGTTAATTGGTCAGAATATGCAGTCGTCATTACAACTCTTGACTTTTCTTCGATTACGAACTGATCGTTCCCAAATTCCAATACGAGAAATTAACAATTTCTGTAAAGCCACGTTTCGGACTTTCGGTCATTTCTTCTTATCATTTGATAATCAACCCTCTAACTCTTCTCTTCCAACCATTCCAACATGTGGAGCCGTAAGACTCACAACTCCATCTCTTCCAACCGAGATTTTCTTTCATTCTGCGAAGATCTCCACTTCTGCCCGTCTTATCTCCACGACACTACTCTCAACAAGGCAATCCACGCCTCTAGGTTTAAGCTTATTCGCTGGATCGTGGTGAACTACCTCTTTGAGATTAGCAGAGTCCGAAAGTCCGAAGATCCATGTGGCTTCTGGTAATTCCTATTCTGGATCATCGAGGGGTTGGATTTGGATTTTTAAGCATTTTTATGATCCAAGATAGATCTCGCTTGTCGGGGGCATAGATTTAAAGGTATAGATTTGAGTGTTTAAATCTATCCCTTGGTTTAGATTCGATAGGTTTCGTTATAAATTCATCATATGCTCTTGAGATATCGCCTTCTAACAATAGCGGACCCGAAATCCACAATCCCACACCCAAAACGGTATAACTTGACGAAACACTTCCCAAATATTTCATCACCGCCATCAGAACCTACCCTAATCTTCATCTTTATCAAGTTATGACTGAGAAAGTCAACACTCCAACTGGTGTTCTCGACCAAGAACGCAATGCCTCTCGCGAACCTTCACTCTTTGACCAAAAAGAACTCGATCGTCTAGGTCGAGAGCGTCCAGCATGTTTCTCAAACCTCTTATCGGAGCTGGGCTTTATCTTTGCGGTCGTGGGTTCGATGATGGTTAGCGAGTATTTTGTTTCTGGTTTCAACATTATCCTACCTTCGTTGGCTGTTACACTCGAGATTCCGGATGAGGTAAGGACTTGGCCTGCTGCTGTCATTAATCTTACCACGGCTGTTTTACTTCTTCCGTTCGCGAGACTTTCTGAGATTCATGGTGGAAGGTTCATCTTCCTCGGCGGACATGTTTGGTTGATTATTTGGTCGATTATCGGAGGTTTCAGTCAGAACCCTACCATGCTTATTGCTTGTCGAGCTATGCAGGGCCTAGGGCCTTCAGCTTTCTTGCCGTCAAGTGTGGCGATCATGTCACGCATTTATCGCCCAGGTCCAAGGAAGAATCTCGTTTTCAGCATGCTTGGCGCCTTTTCTTGCATCGGCTTCTACTCTGGAATCTTCTTCGGTGCATTGTCGGCCCAGGTCCTTGGTTGGAAGTGGTATTTCTTTATTGGTGCTTTCTTTTGCGCAAGTATCTTCATCACTGGTCTTTTGACTATTCCAAAGAGCCATGGAGATCCACTTCCTGATTTGAAGATGGACTGGTTGGGCACTGCTACGGTTGTACCGGGTCTTGCATTGGTGGTGTATGCATTGACTGATGGCGGAAATGCGCCCCAGGGCTGGAGAACTCCTTATGTCTATGTTACCTTGATCTTGGGTATCATCTGTCTCGCACTGTTTGTGTACATCGAGGGATGGCGAGCCAGCCAACCTCTTATGCCTGCAGAAGTTTTCAAGACGAAGTACATGAGTCGATTGGTCTTTGCGCTATTCATGTCCTACGGATCTTTTGGTCTGTTTCTTTTCTACGCTAGCTTCTAGTAAGTACCAGCTCATCAGCCATCTGTCATTCTCAACTAACATATCATCAGCATTGAATCGGTTTTACACATTGGACCCTTGCTCACAGCAGCTTGGTTCATCCCTCTCGCGGCTGGCGGTTTCATTTTGGCTATCGTTGGCGGCTTCGTTCTTCATATCCTTAGCGGGCGATTACTCCTAATCATCTCCGGCCTTGGTTTCCTCGGCTCAACGGTCTTATTTGCACTTATTCCCGACAGTGGACGATCCAACTCATTCCTCTACTGGGCATTTGTCTTCCCCGCCATGATTCTCGCCACAGTTGGGGTAGACATTGCCTTTAACGTTACCAACGTCTTCATCACAACATCCCTCCCTAATCATCTTCAAGCAGTTGCCGGTGCTTTGATCACCAGCTTGCTCTACCTCGGTATGGCATTTTGGCTAGGTGTTGGAGAGATGGCAGTATCTGCGCAAAAGGATATCAAAGGTGCTGAGAATGTTGATGCGCGAAGCCAGTATCAAATTGGATTCTGGACTGGTGCTGGACTGGCTGTGGCGTCTTTGTTGATCTTTATCACGGTCAGGATGGAATCGGCTAAAGCTGATTTGACAGCGGATGAGAAGGCTCAGAGAGAACGAGAGAGGGCTGTAGAGCAGAGCACGGAGTAATGAGCTTGTGGTTCGGCTTCCTGATATTTATGCCTGAATTTAGAGTTCCAAAAGTTGGTTTACGGACATTTAACGGAAATAGAATACACTAGAGTAATAGCTACAGAGATTGTCGAATTTTGATTATATTCACTTGATGAGATAGAGAAAGTCAAGGAGTTGCATGTCTTCTGAGTACGAGTAGAGCTTATAATTTGGTAAGATTACTCTACAGGAGTTCTTCTGAATACAGAAGCATGAGCACAGTCTTGCAGTCTCCGTTTTCATAACACCACGAAATTGAGAAGAAGGTGTCCTGCAGCTCCGAGTTCCATAACATGGATTCATATAAGCGTTTGTCGATGGCTCATGTTGCGCCGCAGCTGGACATGGTTTAATTAACTCTATCTTCAGTCGAACTCTAGACCAGTCTTCTGCAGTCTCGCATGATGTCCGTCCGTAGATAAGTCGGCCCTACCAGGGTTACATCTAAAAGTTCTTTATCCTTAAGTTTAATTACAACTCTGAAACCCACGACAGGGAAAACCCAGCCGCACGCACATCCAGACCGCTCAACACCGCAAAATCGCGAACCCTTCAACAAAGCCCTGATCCCTGAATTAGAGAAGAAAAAAATGTCACCGCTTCTCAAACAGTCGATCCGGCACGCGTTACCCCCTCAAATTTTAACGTTGGGGTTTGCGGGGGAATTACCTTCGTCCCAGCGTCGATGGGGGCGGGGTGATCTACCGCTAAGAATGGGGAAATACAGCTCCACGGGAACTCTGAGCCGCGGATAATTTACTGTCCACGAATGAGAAGCTGCCCGCTGGGAACAAGCTTATTCGGAGAACCACTGTAGACGACGCTTTGTTAGCGAAAACGACACTTCCAATCTGGGGTTTGTTAATTTTTTTGACATGAGACGAGGACCATTAAACTAGCTATGCGGTTTAGACCCGCTTGAGAAACTGGGGGGTCATGTATTCGGGAGTACCTCCGGAATGATCATCCACTCTTTGTATATAAAACCTCTAAACATCCCTATGTGTCTTTTCTTCTGATCCTCAAGCCAACTCATCTTCTGCACTGTCAATCTATTCACAATGAAGGTCTCGAGCTTCTTCTCAACCCTCTCCCTCTTCGCAGGCGTTCTCGCCGAGGCCATCGACCTCCCTGCCGGTGTTCCTCGCAGCATTGAAGAGTTCCGTGCCAAGCATCCCTATGAACTTCCCGTCAAGAGAAGTCATCGCAAGGTCTTTACTATCAGACATAGTAAGAACGACAACGATGATGTCTCGTCAGAGTTCTACAAGGGTCTGAAGAAGGCGAACAAGGGCGGTACTCTGTATCTCCCCAAGGGTCAGACTTTTGTCATTGGAAAGCCCCTTGATCTCACCTTTTTGAATGATATTCATGTTCATCTTGAGGGTGAGATTAAGTTTACCAATGATACGGAGTATTGGCAGAAGAATGCTTATAAGCATCCTTTCCAGGTATGTCACTGAAACCTTCATGATGAGTTGAGACTAATGGTTGTAGAACTCGATCATGTTCTGGAAGTGGGGTGGCAAGAACATTAAGCTTTACGGAAAGGGTGTTCTGAACGGTAACGGTCAGCGATGGTGGAACGGTATGACTCCTCTTATCATATTTTAGGTCATATTCTAACAACATGCAGAGTTTGCCGGCAAGGAGATTCTTGACACTAACAACGCCTACCTCCGACCTATTCTGTTCTATGCTCAGAACGCCACCAACCTGGACATCCAGGGAGTTCACTTCAAGGACTCCCCCTGCTGGACCAACTTTGTCGTCACCTGTAAGGAACCCTAGCCAAGTCCTGATGATCATGTACTGATATTCTTCTAGCCAAGGACATCTCGTTCAAGGACGTCATCTGCACTGCTCGCTCCACCAACGCCACTGCTCTTCCCAAGAACACTGACTTCTTTGACTCCCTGAACGTTGAGAACCTCAATGTTGAGCGTGCCTGGGTTGACATTGGTGATGATTGCTTCTCCCCCAAGAGCAACGCCACCAACGTCCACGTCGACACCATGTACTGTAACGGTAAGCTCACTCCACTCCTCGCATCACATAGCTTTTACTAATAACCTCAGGCACCCACGGTCAGTCCATTGGCTCTCTCGGCCAGTACAAGGGCGAGATGTCCTTCGTCAAGGACGTCGTCATCGAGAACGTCTGGATGCTCAACGGCCAACACGGCGCCCGTCTCAAGACCTGGGCCGGCCCCGACATCGGCTACGGCTTCATCGACAACGTGACCTTCCGCAACTTTTGGGGCGGCAACAACGAGTACACCGCCTTCATCGACTCGTGCTACTTCAACATCAACGCTACTACCTGCGCCCAGTACCCCTCTCGCATGAACATCACCAACATTCTCTTCGACAACTTCACCGGCTACAGCTCCGGCAAGTACGGTAACGCTGTTGCCAAGTTGACTTGTTCGACCAGCAAGGATGCTGTCTGTGAGAACATCAAGTTCAAGGACTTTAACATCAAGACTCCTTGTGGTGGAGACCCTGTGTTCTTGTGTGATGGTGTTAAGGATATCGGTGTGGATTGTGTTAGTGCTACTAGTGCGGCGGGTAAGGCTGCTTTGGCGAATAAGTGTGTTGCGCCTCAGGCTTCTGCGAGCCCTTTCAAGGTTAGAAAGTTCAACGGTTAAGAGATGAGGGGGTTTGGGGTAATTAGTGTTGTACGATGAATGAGATATCGATGGCTTTTGGCCATTGACTTTGACTTTGGAATTTTGATAACCAACTGTGATATCTTCTGTGGCTCAAGCTTGTAGAGAGCCAGAAACATTTCTTTGCGAGAAGTAGAGAATCATGCAAGAACAAGGTCAAGGTTGAAGGGATAGGTTCGAGAAACGAAGTTGCCATTATGATGGATCTGGAATGCTGGATAGATACCTTGAGCAAGTCGATCTTACCAACGGACCCACGATGTTACAGAACTCGGCGGGCACAACTAATTGTTTAATTCTTCTATAGCACGAAGCGATTTAAGTTTTGATCGCGTAATGCTATTAAAGAATCAAAGATTGTTTTGCATGTTACCCAGCTGATAGGAAACATCGCTATCTTGAACAGGGTAATAATTTGGGTCTTTAGATTTTACATGGCAAAGAACTGAGGTGCTTGAACAACAATGAAACACTGTTAAGAAGCTGAGCTTACAGTCGCTCAGTGAAAGAAATAAACCCAGAATATCAGGAATTCTTTCACTGCATCGACTAGTCTTTAACTCGGTGATGTCCGCCGCCATCATTGTTCACGGCACGGGTTGTGCAGATGATCCAGGGGAAGCCGGCAGTTTTGCGTCTGATCACAATGAGAATGCTGATTGGGTCGCGATAAGAACTGCCGGGAAGTGGGGCCTCTCAACGCTCCTCGCGTACCGAGCGTGCTTGCCCAGTGCGAAAGACTCGCTAGACCCGGTTGCTGGGCTGTCACTTTCCAATTAACGCGTGAGGACGCGTGCACCCTGTCCCCAACTAAATTACCTGACGCGACTACAGCTCAATCTAAGAAAGACATGGCCCTCCCAATCTGAAGTTCCCATCCACCATCCTCACCTTCATTCAATCACCTACTTATTCTTTTTCGTCCAGACTTTTGTTGTTTTGTCAATTGTTACTGATTGTTTGCCTACCGACACATACTCGTCATCGAATACTGTCCACTGTCTCTTTTTACCTGATTCACGCCTGTCGATTGCCCTGCCTAGCACATTCAGTCGCTGCGCACTGCTGAGGCCATTCACCATCATGGCGAGCCAACGATCAACTGCGGCCCGAACGCCCGCTAAAGCGACCAAACCGGCTGCCACTACTTCTTCAGCCAAGCAGCGTTCAATCGTTTCTTTCTTCCAAAAAGCCCCCCCCTCTTCCCCCGCCGCTGCCGCATCATCGCCTCTTGCAAAAGCGTCTCCCACGACCAAGCAATCCTCGTGCTTGAAAGAAACAACGAAGGCAAATTCTTTGCCAAAGACAACTCCACTCTCCAAGTCCAAGCCCAAGCCAACTGTCGCCATCAAGCAAACAACCCCCATGCCTGATAGTGACGCTATTGAGCCCCCTAGCTCTCAGGAGAATCTCGATTCGACCATGAAGGTAAAGAATGCCTCGAAAAGCGCAGCGACACGAGCTGACACGGACCGACAGAAGTCGTCCAAGATGAACCACGACGCTCTCCCCAGCAGTCCGACTCGAAAGGTGAGAAACTCGCAATGCAAGATACTAGCCAGATCAGCCACTGATGCTCCCGAAGGTCAAAAAGGTTGTTAGTTACGCCGAATCCTCAGAGGAAGACGAGCCTTTCCAGTTTGGCGGGCCCGCAAGCTCGCGTCGAAGAGCGAGAGTACGACAGGTTGTTAGGGATGAGGATGATTACGAAGAACAAGAGGAGGAAGAGGCAGAGGAGAACGATAGTGGTATATCTCCCCGTGTCTGATTCACTGTTCAACTCTAACGATTGCAGATACTATGGATGACTTTATCGCATCAGACTCAGACGAAGATACCTCTCGTTCCAAGAAGCGAAAGCGACCCTCAAAGCCCGCTGCTCCCCGAAAACGATCGAACAAGTCATCGCCCATACCTGAACCCCATATAGATATCAAGGATAGCATCTTCGAAGAAGATGAGCTGATGGATGATGTGGGAGGCTCTACGGCCTCGCAATGGAGCTACGATGCCACCTCTACCGATAAACAGCCGGTTGTCAAGCCCGCTGAGAGGGTGGCTATGAGGGACCCTAAGTACAAGGAGAAGGCACACACCAAAGATCCCGACCAAAGGTATCCTTGGCTTGCCAATATTATGGATAAAGACAAGCGAAAGCCCGATCATCCCGAGTACGACAAGCGAACAATTTACATTCCTCCTGCTGCTTGGCAGAAGTTCTCTCCTTTCGAGACTCAATACTGGAAGATCAAGCAGAACCTTTGGGATACAATTGTCTTCTTCAAGAAGGGCAAGTTTTACGAATTATACGAGAACGATGCCACCGTAGGACATCAGGAGTTCGACTTCAAGATGACAGACCGGGTCAACATGCGCATGGTTGGAGTGCCTGAGAGTTCGCTCGATCACTGGGTGAACCAGTTTATCGCCAAACAATACAAGGTTGCTCGTGTTGATCAGATGGAGACAAACTTGGGTAAAGAGATGCGCGAGCGACAGGATAAGAGCAAGAAGGCCGACAAGGTCATCACCCGTGAGCTTGCTTGTATCCTTACAGCCGGAACACTTGTCGACGGTAGCATGTTGCAAGATGACATGGCCTCCTACTGTGTCGCTATCAAGGAATCTGTCGTTGACGATCTCCCTGCTTTTGGTATCGCCTTTGCCGACACTGCTACTGGACGTTTCTACCTTTCTACCTTTGTGGATGATGTGGATTTGACCAAGTTTGAGACCCTCATCGCTCAAACCGGCCCCCGAGAACTACTCCTTGAGAAGTCTCGCTTGTCTACCAAGGCACTGCGCATCCTCAAGAACAATACTAGCCCAACCACCATCTGGACACACCTCAAGCCAGGTGACGAGTTCTGGGAGGCGGATAAGACACGTCGCGAACTCGACTGTGGAGGCTACTTCAAGGCAGAAGATGCTGACGAGGAGGTCTGGCCTGAAATTCTTCAATCGCTACGCGATGATGATTTGGCCATGTCGGCAACTGGAGCGTTGATCTCATACTTGCGCTTCCTCAAGCTTGAGAGACCTTTACTGTCGCAGGGCAACTTCGAGCTCTACAACCCTATTCAAAAGAATGGAACACTGATCCTAGATGGGCAGACGCTCATCAACCTCGAAGTCTTCTCCAACTCGGTCAACGGCGGTTCCGAGGGTACGTTGTTCAGCCTACTTAACAAGTGCGTCACGCCCTTTGGAAAACGTCTCTTCCGATCATGGGTCGCGCACCCGCTTTGCAACATCGACCGCATCAACGAGCGTCTCGATGCTGTCGAGATGCTCAATGCCGATCAGACGGTACGTGAGCAATTCGCCTCACAGCTTGTCAAGATGCCCGACTTGGAGCGACTCATCTCCCGAATTCACGCTGGGGCTTGCAAACCCGAAGATTTTGTCAAGGTCCTGGAAGGCTTTGAGCAGATAGAGTACACGATGAGCCTTCTGGGAGCTTACAAGGGTGGTAACGGCCTCGTCGACCGCTTGATTTCATCGATGCCAAACCTCGATGAGCCTTTGAGCTATTGGAGATCAGCTTTCGATCGCAGCAAGGCACGCGATGAGAAGCTACTTATTCCTGAGCGCGGTATTGAAGAGGATTTCGACCAGAGTTCTGATCGCATTGAGGAGATTAAGCAGCAACTCGAAGATCTCTTGGCCGAGAAGAAGAAGGAGTTCAAGTGCAAGCTTCTCAAGTTCACAGACGTTGGTAAAGAGATCTACCAGCTGGAAGCTCCCAAAAGCGTTAAGGTTCCTTCAACCTTTCGCCAAATGTCAGCGACAAAGGATGTCAAGCGCTGGTACTTCCCCGAACTATCCCAACTTGTGCGAGAGCTTCAAGAAGCGGAAGAAACCCACTCACAGCTCGTACGCGAAGTTGCGTCGCGATTCTTCCAAAAGTTTGATGTTGACTATGAAACATGGCTGCAAGCCATCAAGATTATCTCGCAGCTGGATTGTCTTGTCAGCTTAGCCAAGGCATCCGCGTCTCTTGGCCAGCCAAGTTGCCGCCCAGAGTTTGTGGATGAGGAGCGAAGCACTGTTGACTTCCAAGAACTGCGACATCCTTGTATGATGAACACAGTCGACGACTTCATTCCCAATGACATTAAGCTTGGTGGTGACCAGGCTAAGATCAACTTATTGACTGGAGCCAACGCTGCCGGTAAATCTACCGTCCTTCGCATGGTGAGCTCTTTCTTCCCAACATACTATTGTACAATGCTAACAACCACAGTCTTGCGTCGCCGTCATCATGGCTCAGATTGGCTGCTATGTCCCTGCCACTTTCGCACGCCTCACTCCCGTCGATCGCATCATGTCTCGTCTCGGCGCCAACGACAACATCTTCGCCGCTCAATCGACCTTCTTTGTTGAGCTTTCCGAGACTAAGAAGATCCTTTCCGAAGCCACACCCCGATCACTGGTCATTCTGGATGAACTTGGTCGTGGAACCAGCTCTTACGATGGTGTCGCCGTCGCCCAGGCTGTTCTGCATCACGTCGCTACTCACATTGGCTGTGTCGGTTACTTCGCCACTCACTACCACTCTCTCGCGACAGAGTTTGAGAACCATCCCGAGATCCGAGCACGAAGGATGCAGATCCACGTTGATGACGAGGAGCGTCGCGTTACCTTCTTGTACAAGCTGGAAGATGGTGTCGCCGAGGGTAGTTTCGGTATGCACTGCGCCGCTATGTGCGGTATCTCATCACGCGTGATCGACCGCGCAGAAGTCGCTGCCAAGGAATGGGAGCACACCAGCCGTCTCAAGGATAGTCTTGAGAAGGCAAAGACAGGGTGTTACATCCCGCTTGGTATTCTCAGCGACATCGGTGCACTGCTTGGCGATAAAGGCGAGATGGGAGATGCGGGTGTTGATGTTCTTCTTAATGCTATCGAGGCATTGTAATATGACACAAATAAGGCTTGGAACAAGGAGGAACGGACAGGCTTCTAGAGGAATTGGTGATATCTTGCAAGGCGTGTATGGCGTCGACTTTACATGTATTCGGACTGACGACCTCTGATAGAGTTGTCACAAGGGGATCGATAGGCGTTGCAATGGAGTTTTATTTGAGACAGGCATGCGAGATCAATGTGCTTTGGGGTGTTACAGACAGTATAATGAGAGGCAATTGCCATAGCGATAAAGAGATCTAGATAAATAGCAAAAGATACAAGATCCCGGTTGACCATTGCCCATACAACCCAGCGAACAAACTCAATTCAGCATGACCCAATCCCAAACCATGACAAACAACAAAGCTAATACTCAGTCCATCGTTCAACATGCAAATCGCTCATCATATCTCAACAGAACGAAGCCAGTTCAACTCGAATACCATACTGTCAAACAAATCACCTATCCGGATCACTGCTATCATAATCAGGCTCTGGAGCCGGAGTCGCAGTCTTTGAGCCAGCCGCCTTTTTAGGTGCAGGTTTTGGTGCAGGTTTTGGTGCAGGTTTTGGTACAGTTTTCGAGGCAGCCTTCGAAGCAGCCGTCGAAGGAGCCGGAGAAGCGGTAGCGGTTTTCTGCATACGAATTCGACTCGAGGCACGCGAGGGTTGCGTGCTGGCCTTCCTCCCACGTTTGGGAATCTTGGTGCCTGTGACAATGTTAGTCCTGTTCATACCAAGGCATTGGAGAGCGGTAGGGAAGAGGATGGAACGGGAGGATAGTGTTGGTACTTACCAGTCCTGGCCTTCTTCGCAGCGGGTTCCTCAGTCTCCTCCTCAATTGAAGTAATTGCACTCTCAGGCCTCTTCAATGCCGGAGTAGCATCAATGTTGAGATTACTAATGTCCTCCGGAACAGTCGCATGCATCGACCCATCAGTGTCAGTGTCGCTCTGATACGTATACAAGGTATCAGGAACTTCTACTCCGGTGTACATCTTGCGTCGCTTTCGTCCATCCGAGGTGTCATCCCATGGCAGACCGGGCGCTTCCCACGATCCAGGGAAAGGAGGGTCCCCTTCGTAGGGAGGCCAGGGAATGTCCCACCATTCATTGTTATCAGGGTTGTTGGGGTCGGAGCGCCAGACTGATGCGAACTGGTCGCTTGACTTGGTAGGATAGATCGTGCGTGCGTATGTTGGGTAGCGACGGCGGAATGATTTCTTGATCTTGCCGAGCGCCTTGGGTATGTCAGAGCCTTTGATCCAACCGCTGCGGTTGGGGAGACGTTCAATTGAGCCTGGAGCGTTGCGAATACCGCAGCATCGTCTCTTGTCGGTATGTGCCTGTGGTGCGTTAGCATGCCTTTCAGCATGGTAGGGATAGATACATACCTCGACTTCTGCATCGCGACCGATGGGCGAGTGGTTGGGACTCTTGCTTCGCTTCTTAGGCACCTTGCGGAGACACTTGGAGCAGTACATGTCCTCGTTGGGATCAAAGTCGGGATCTTCAGGACCAAGTTTCTTCACCCAGTCTGGAGACTTCGCTCGACGACGGAAGGGCTTTCCTCCTTGCTCATTTGGTTCCTCGTCGTAGTCATCAGTCTCATACCCATCATCTTCATACTCGCCATCCTTCTCTCCCGTACGGCGAGTCTTCCTGGCCTTCTTGCTCTGGGCTCGTCCTCGGGCGACACTGCTCTGAGCCTCGCTGCCTTGTGCTTCAGTGGAGGAAGCCGTTGTCTCAGGCGGTTCTTCCTGAGCCTTGGTATGTCGTCGCCGACCACGAGAAACTGTAGAAGCGGCTTCGCTGTGGCTTTCAACCGCCGATTCGATCTCCTGTGTTAGAGCCTTGCGTTTCTTGCCCGCTTTCTTCGTAGGGGGTTTCCTGGAGGTAGGCTTCTTGGTTACCACCACAGCACTAGTTGACTCGTTGGACTCATCCATAACCTCATCGTCTGAAAAGACCTCAGTCATCCGCGGAGTCGGGCTTAGAGATTTGCTCTTCGAGGCATTCCGAGCAGACTGACTTCGAGCACGTGAACGACCAGAAGGCTGTCGCTTGCTGGAACTGCCACGGTTCCCATTGTCGCTGTCACTGTCATTATTGCTCTCATCCTCGTCATCGTCATCATCATCGCCATCTCCATCTCCATCTTGATCGTCCTCATCATTTGATGGAAGCAATTCAATTTGCCGCGTTTTGTGGCATTCCTCAATATGACGAAGATACTCCGGGGCAGTCATATCCCCAATGACAATACCGCACTTCCCGAAGTATTGACACTTCTTAACAGGCGGACGGTGTGAGCGCTTTCGAGCTTCAAGATAAGCCTCAGCTCGAGCGGCGGCTTCCCGTTCGAGCTTCGCCCTGGCTTCCTTGTCAGCCTTCTTTCTAGCTGCATCTTGTGCTCTTGCTTCCATCTCTTCCGCCGCCGTTGGTCTGATCCTCCGAACGGTTCCCACCTCTCCCCTCAATGGGCTCCCGGTGTTCTGAGAATAGACCATATATGGACGCTCTAAAACCGGCTGCAGATCACGCCAGAGATCATAGACATGACAGTCCATGTGCTTCCTACAATCCTCTACCTTGCGTTTGCTTCTTATTTCTTTGCCTTCCTCATCTGTGCCCTCGACTACGAAGAACGGAAGATCGCAGAATGGACAGTTCGCAACCTCAGAACACCAATGCCCGGTCGTGATGTGGTACCATAAGCCCCAAGAGCCGAGCCCGCTGATATCAGGAAAAGCGCATTTTCGGATGGGACAAACGTCTGGAGGATCAAGGACAGCTACTGGTCCAGTCATGTCATACCAGGCAGGGGGGTTTGAGAGACTTCGCGGAGGCTCAGGAAGTTTATGTGTATCCATTGAATCCCGTGCCTTTTTCGCTCGTTGAATAGCCCTCTGGACATGACCAGGAAGCAGAAGCTTTTCTGTTGTTGGTGTCTCTACCGGCGGTGGCCTAGCCGTCAAACCACCGCCAGGGAGGTCTGGTGGCACTCGACGAGACCCAGAGAGATGGGATGGCAATGGACGAGCTGCCGGAGCCGGGTTCGACGCTGTACTAGGTCCCATATGAGCTACAGGAGCCGGGTGGCGAGGGGGAGCTGAATGAAGTGCAGTGAAAGGATTGGGAATTTGTCCTAGAGAGAACGGCTGAGCAGATTGGGTTTGAACTACCGGTGGCGGGTAGCCCGCATGTTGCTGAGGGGGTTTCGATGGGTGCGGTACTGCAGACGTCGTCCTAGGAATAGGCTCATCCACAAGACCCAAGACATTCTTCAGGTCCCTAGTATGCTTCTCCCGCATATGCTTCATCCTCTGAGACTTATCCCACCATTCAAACATTGGCTCATCGCACCAAGGACACATTCGCGACTTATGAGCTTCCAGAGTATGTTGCTTCCTGGCCTCATGATCGTCAGCCCGGCAGGTGAAGTCGCAGTCCTCAAAGATGCACTGCATGGTGCGCTTGAGAAGCAGGTTACGAGTGTTCCAGAGGGCGCGCTGCAGCTCAGCTTGCTCGGTGGGTGTAAGGATGGCTTTGGAGATCATCGGGACGTTGCCAAAATTGGTGGTGCGAAGCATCTTCTCTGCAGGCGCTGCAGTCACAGGGATGCCAATTGCAGCTGGCGAAGACCCAGCTCCGAGGTTACCAAAGATACTGGGTTGAGTGGCCCATGTGCGTTCTCGGGCCTCTCGTGGCGCGTACTCGTCAAAATCCCATGGTGACCTGTGGGGAGGACCAGGTCGGGAGGCAGCGACGTGTTCGGTCCCGTTACCGTCTTCATTGTCATCGCCTTCGTCACCACTCCCAGCGTCATCGTCCCCTCTGCTTGATTCGTCACTACTGTGATCACTAGGGATTGTTATCTCAAACCTTTGATTAGGGGCGTCTCCAGACGACGAATCACCTCCCGATGGCGAGTCATCTCCCTGCAACGAATAACCATAAAGATACGAATCTGAATCTGAATCTGCTGGTCTATAAACCTGGGGACGGTCTGCGGGATAAGGTCTGTTGGCCCAGTCAGGTCGACTGGTTGCCAAAACACCAACATCATACTCCTGCTCCTCCTCGGCTTCAAACTTGCCATAAAGCGTCGGTGCCTCAGGCAACGCGAGTTTCGAAGCCGGAGGCTCTCTGATTTCGACATGAGGCAGCGTAGGGCTCACGAACGCCCCAGCTCTGTAGGATGAGCGTGCTCGGTCAATTACCTCGTTGTCATTAGGACTCGGGGAGCCGAGTCTTTGAGGTGATGAGGGGTAATTGATGGCAGGGTCGACTATCACATCTTTTTCGACGTTCTCGATTTCAAGAGTATCTGCACCTAGCCGAGGGCGCGTGATATAAAGTTCGGGGTTAAAATCACGAATGCCCCAGATGTTGTCCTCCGATATGCATGCATCCCAGTCGACATCTGATTTCTTGACAAATGAAACTGTAATGTCTGGAGACGTAATGGATTCTCTCACACGATACCATTCAACGTCGGATGCGTCAGGGCGGATTAGGTAGGATGGTGTGTCTCGAGTTTGAAGACTGTTGGCACAACGAGTCTCCTTGAGCAATATGTGATCCTGGCGCATGTCTCTCTGGTACTTGGTCTTGGATACGAGTTGGTATACTGCTTCAAAGATCTGACTGGCTTGAGATGTCAGAGGTGGCATCTCGACCGAGATCTCTTGTCCATCGTGCCAAGCAGGGAACAGACGACACCGCCCAGGGCGAAAATGAGGGTGAATGGTCAAAAACCAACTTGACAGAGTTTCGATCTTCTCGCCAACAAGGCGTCCGTAGGCATCCTTGTTCCCACCACGATATCCACGTTTCGGAAGAATCTCCAAGCCCTTGATACCATCCCCATAGCTATTTGTGGGGTCTCCCTCAAGCACATACACGGTCGAAAGCTTTCTGCTCGACTCAGGGTCAAAAGCCTCCGTAGAAATCTCACAAATTGGGTGGAAGGCTGCGCGATACTCGTCTCCAGAATTACTGTCATTTACCAACAAGTGAGGGTTAGGGCTTGGGTAATAGTTGGGAAAGATCAGAGGTTTCACATCGGGGTCGAGCCAGGTGCATTCAATCATCCAGCAAGCGCCGGGGCTGTTCAGTGGGTGAAGAAGCTCCCAAGCCGATTGCGGCAGACCCATGGCACCGTAAACGACAGGTACGGTCAATGAAGCGTCTGGCTTGTTCTTGTCGTAGAGACGGAACAAGGCATGGTTGTACTCGGAGCATCCCGCATCATAGTAGCCCATAGGTCGACCAAAGAGGATATCAGTGGCGGCCCTGAAGTAAGCATTGTACTGCTGAGATGCATAGTTGCTAGCGACGAAGCTTTGGGTCTTGGTTTCGGGGAATGGGATATAAGCATAACTGATGGCATCCTTCTCAGGTCCATTGGGGAAAGACCCAAGAGAGCGCCCAATCCTGACGGTGTCTGTCTCCAGTTGCTTTTGGGAAGGCTCCCAGTGCTCGGGTGGGTTTTCTGAGTCCTTCCGAATGTAACCAATAAAGAGAGTACAGCAATCCTTGTGTGACTTGTCTTTGGGGCCCCAGGCAAAGTGTTCCTCAAGGAAGAGCATTGCTTTACTATCCCTTGATAAGGGCAATTTGTCACGAATGGTTTTCCTGTCGCCGGTCTTCTTATCAAAAACATGGAGGTCGAATCTGTACTCCCTCTCCCTAATATCGTCAGGATTATTATGTAACAGTTGTCGTAGGACGAGTGCAAATGATCGCCACTTGCGAGGGCGAAATGGTATGCGCCCATAGAGGTTATAAAGATAAGCCCATCCTTCCTCAGGGACAGCGGGAGTCTCAGTTGAGGGGACGTAGTCACAAGCGATGCGATCGTCGCATGCGGCTTGAGGTGAACTGGGTCCTTCGCCTCCACGAAGACTCAAAATCGGTTCGCTTGCCTGTGGAACCGGGACGGGCCGACTGAAGGCTTCCTTAGCTTGATGTTGTTAGTCGTGTATCTGAAGATTTGAAGAGGTATCGTAGTCAGCTTACCTTTCAGGCTATCCTTTCCCCAGTTGCGACGGTCGTGAGCTGTAAGAAAATGCATTGGTGGTTTGATGTTGTACAATGGGACTTCCTCCTCCATACCCACAGCCAGGGAGAGCTCTTTGAGAATGTCTTCCATTGGAGCAATTGGCAACCCAAAGTACATCATCGTGAGCTTTGTTTCCAAAGAATCCTCGACGCCCTTGAAGCGATCATTCAGAAGAGCCTCGTAGCGCTTTGTATTGGCAGTTTGCAATTCCTTCACGTCTGCACGATCAGATGGCATCAACATGCGACTCTCATAGTATGTGAAGTCTTCTCGAATGATGTCTTTGATGGGAGTATCCGACTTCAGTCTTCTAGAGAAAAACTTGTGCTTCTTCACCCATTGTGAATCGTTTGGGCCGATAAGAAGGTCGAGGCGCGTCGCGGCAATGTCAGAAGGTACGTAGTCGAGGGAGGACTCATCCTGGCCTGCAGATGAGAGTATATCGGCCATTTCCTCCATCTGCGTGAACAACCATACACTATCACAAGATGAGATGCTCGTCAAAGGCGGATTGCGAGGGTTACGCTCTATGTGTATAATGAAAGGCCAAGTAAAGATACAGAGATAAAGGGTATCAACAAATGAGTGTACGTGAGAGTATTCTGGGAGCTCAGTTGGTGTGGAAAGAACAAGGGAAAGGGCATAAAGAGAAAGAGGTCATACTGGTCAAAAGTTCTGGAGGGTCACAGAGGGTGTTAAATCGCACACCTGATGCAAGACCCTTTGAGGCGAACCTCGCCCGGTGGCCGCAATGGCCTGGGTGCAGTACCATTGTTCTCAGGCTAGCATCACCGCACGTACCAGAAGTGGTTTGCCGTGGTGTTGGCAACAAAGAGAGATGTCTTCCTTTTGACAAGTTGATGGGTGGTCTGTGACGAGGATCGCCCTTCCTCGGCGTTACCGTTCATCCTTTGAGCTTAGCTGATCTTGTTTTCGAGGGTTGGCTCAAAGGTCAACATCTTGCGCTGCATTCCGACTGCTGTATTAAGAATAATTCAGCATTTTTATGAACGTTTTCTTAGAGTCTGTCGCAACCCGTGCAAATGCATTGAGACAGAGGAAGAGACCGTTGGAAACAAAAACGGTTGGTGACCTGACGGCCAATCGCCCAGCCACACAAAACATCAACCCCAAAAAGGTCGACAATAACAACCATTGACACAAAATTAGCAACAGGCAGGCCAAAGCTCCAAGCACCTCTCAATCGAGGTGCAATCAAGCCTCCCTCGATCAGTGAGGTGTGCCTGTTCTTTGTCTCCAGCCGGACTTAGTAGATCCGAAAAGAGGGGAAGCTCAGTCAATGTAACAAAGAAGCCGGAAACACACGGTTGCGTGGAAATAGCAACTGGCAATCTGTTGTTTGAGCTTCTTTGTTCAATCGCAAATAACGAGTAATCACGAGAGGGCAATGGGGGCTATGAATGAAGTCGTTCATTATGATATTGTAAGATGCTTCTTTTGTCCAATTTCGGTCTGGGTATTGGATGTTGCAATACCAACTTGACGGACTGATGCGTCCAGAATCACCCAGCATGCTGCTTCACAAGTCCCTCGAGCTTGTCTTGGAAGTCGGCGAAGTAGTTGATGGCCTGGATAATCTTACCTTCACTCGTACCAAAGCCACTTCTGGTGAAAGCCATTCTCCATGAGCTTTCATCCCTAACCAGGGCATTGTAGTCTTTCGTTTCCCAGCTCTTCTTTGCAGGGCCTTGCGCGAAGTATTCGCCCAGTGTGCCATTCCAGGTCGACAAGTCAGCAGCAGCGAGTCCATTGAGTAAGTTCGGTGAAATCGTGACATGTTGTATCCCGGCAAGCTGCATCACTTCATCCACAGATGTGAGTGATGCTGCCAACACTTGTGTGCGGAATGAATGGCCAATGTAGTAGGCTTGTGCTTCGCGACAAAACTCAAAGGCTTTGTTTTCGTCAACGTATCTGTGATCGTTAGAATGGCGAGGGCCCGTAGCAAGTCAAACTCACCCAGCTTCAAAATGAACTTTGAGCTCATTGACATATGGTGCGATGTATGTACACTGGGCCTCGGCAGCCAACGCCGCTTGCTCCATGCAAAACATGGTAGTCGCAAGGGTCGCGATTCCTTTCATCTCAAGTGTTCGACATGCCTGAAGACCTTCCCAAGTTGCGGGGATCTTGATGCACACCCTCTTCTCGTCGAAGTCCGGCGCCAGGTGTTTAAAGATATTCACGATACCTATATAGCTAGTGAGCGTGAGCAACAGAGATACGAAACGGAAGACTTACGGTAGGCGTCACTAATGGTGCCGTTGGTTGAGTAGGACAGCTTTGGGTTGGTCTGAATATGCACGTAGCCTGTAACATTAGGTACGATCAATAGTTGAAGTTTTACCATCTTGTCAGGTCAGTAAAGCTCCATTGCGTGGGTTTTCTGCTGCCATACCAAGATCTGTACAACAAACTCCTCAAACGTCGCGGACCCTTGCAAGTCCTTCAGTGCCCCACGGGCACTTTGAATGGCCTCTCTGATCAGCGCATCGTGATGCAAAAGGGGTTCTCCAGCAAGCGGTCTCGAGATCTCCGAGAATGCGATTGCCTGAAGAAGGTCAGCACTGCTGGGAGACAGGGGCATGGAGAGCACGCTTACCTGGTTAGATGTGCAATCCACAAAGGGACCTAACTCATGAGCGACTATTATTGAGTTAGTAATCGAGGCCTGTGACATGTTTGTGGCTCATACCGTTCGAATCAAGAGTATCGCAGTCAACTCGACTGGTCTGGCGAAGAGCGTCCAACAATGTCGTCATGTCAGCGATATATCAATGCGGATGAGCTGCTTTCTTTGAAGAAATTCGCAGAGAATAAGGAGTCAATTGTTGTTTAAATAATATTCTTGTCAATTTCGACAATATTGGGCTTTATCATCAAACCCGTCGATGGAGTCGTTCTTCTCAAGTCAAGTCACCAAGCCGAGCTGACCCCCACCAGAGTTAGAGCATGACGGAAACTTTGGCGGCCATTCGCTCGGCTTGGCTACCCGAAACGCTTGTTTCTCTCCTGTCATTCGGCTGCAATTACCACGACGAGAATGACGAGGCAAGAGGGGTTTCCCTTCTCCAGGCAGCACCATTTCCAGATCCCAATTCACTTGAATTGATGGGGTAAAAACTTTCTACGCCAATGTAGAGACGATGCTGTGATCATGTGGTGGAAACGCGTGGGTCGAAGTGGTTCTCCGATTGTGAACTTGCTGCGGAGGGGAGGGGAGGCGATTGAGTTGCTACCGGCACTTGTCGGTTATTCCACTCAAAATGATCGCAAGAATTCCGTGAGACTTGCGATTGATCTTCATAAAATCAAACTTTGATGAAATAATGAGGATCTTGGTGACTTTGATTGGGTTTAGCGGCGCTCAATAAGAATTCATGGATTTCGAATAATAACAAGCAAGAGGTCGCGGGGTCCTTCTCCAACTGTCTCTGCACGTGATAAATCACGTTTCCTTCCCCAGGATTCCCCAATCGGGTTATCCACCATTGCATCAAGAATCTGCTGCAGCATCACCAGTCGAACCACTCCCAGTCAGCTCCCTGCTCCCCGTCACCGTTCAACCCGGCGTGTCCAGCACCGCCATGAACCCAATCGCAATCTCCACGCCATAATGCGACCACCACGATGTCTCCTCCCCGCCGCGGAGAAGATCCTCCTCAAAGCAGCTGCACCCGCCAGCCGACGGTGCATGTCCTCGTCCGCAGCCTTCCAGCCGCCTAGAATAGTCGCTGCCACTCCATGGAAGGGGTCTTCGTTTTTCCTCTCGAATAGATTGTTTGATAGATCGACATGTCTCGATTTTGTAATATTACGGCGTGCCAATGGCATTAGATCCACGTCGGCTTCGGCGGCTACGATATCTTCTACGAATACTGCGCAGACGGAGCCGGAACAGGAACTAGCACCTCATCGAAGACGACAGGCTCAACGGAGAGAGAAAGCTGCGGCTGAAGCTGCGGCCGCTGCAGCTCGCGGCGAAAAACCACTACCTCCAGATGCTTCATCCCTCCTCGCTTCACACGCCGCTTCGCAAACGAGTTCTTTCCGCCGCTACCTCTCCGCATGTCTCTCCCTCTCAAAACCCCGATTAACAATGCTCGTCGCCCTTACTGCTATGGCTACATACGCTTTATACCCCGTTCCCGAAATGCTGTCGCCGAGTACTACCGAGACGCCGAGTTTGAGTCCCTTAACATTATTATTCCTCACGATTGGCACGACGCTATGTTCTTCTAGCGCCAATGCCCTAAACATGCTTTATGAGCCTTCGACGGATGCTAAGATGACTCGAACTCGAAACCGACCGCTTGTGCGAAAACTCATCTCTCAAAGGGCTGCGGTTCTGTTCGCAGTCTTGTCTGGAGTTTTGGGTACAGGCGCCTTGTACTTTGGTGTCAACCCCACTGTTTCCGGACTTGGGTTCGCCAATATTGTTATCTACGCTGGAATGTACACACCTCTCAAGGCCGTAACGGCTTTCAATACCTGGATCGGAGCGGTGGTAGGTGGCATTCCTCCTCTGATGGGCTGGGCTGCGGCTGCTGGCGAGACTGCCACAAAAGACGGCTCATGGCGTGAGCTTTTGTTCTCCCCCGACGGTTCATCCATTGGCGGCTGGGTCATGGCTGGTCTGTTATTCGCATGGCAATTCCCCCACTTCATGGCGCTCAGCTGGCCCATTCGCGAAGAGTACAAAAAGGCCGGTCTTCGAATGCTAGCATGGACAAATCCCGCACGAAACGGCCGAGTCGCTCTGCGTTACAGCTTCGTCTTCATTCCCCTCTGTGTATCTCTCTGCGCCGCAGGAGTAACCGAGTGGTCCTTCGCAGTAACGAGTTTACCAATAAATGCCTGGCTTATCAAAGAAGCCGTGCGCTTCTGGCGGTACGAGGGTCACCAGGGCAGCGCGAGAAGCCTTTTCTGGGCCAGTGTATGGCATCTCCCTGGCATTATGATCCTGGCTTTGTTACACAAGAAGGGAATGTGGAGTAGAGTCTGGAGGAGTGTTTTTGGCGAAGAGGAGGGAGAGTGGGAGGAGGAGGAACTGGATGAGATGATGGGCATGGCTGCGGAGAGTGCAAATAGCCAGTTGCAGCACGATAAGCCTGTGCGGTGACGTGTAGGATAACGAATGAATATGTAACAACAATTGTATCTGTGACGGGAAATAGATTTGTCGCATTTGGCTTTGTCAACTGTAAGAAACTCACTCATACATCACAACTGTAGATTCTGTGAATAGAAGAAGGACATGAAAGACGAAACACTTCTTCATAGCGAATGCGTAAATAGATTGCAAAAGACAATGCGCTGCTAGATCCTCATGCACCTCATGTCGTGGTATCTCTATCTCTAGTTATACAAAGGAAATGTGCCATGATCATTCCCACTCCTCCTGACCACCATTTTAAACAAACAGACAAAGAAAGAATACTAATAAAAAACATTAAGCAAGTAACGCCCCTAGAGCAAAATATCCTGCGTTATCGTCGTTATAACTGCCCAGAAAGCGCCAAACACCGCGTAAACCCTGCTGCTCGCCATGCAGTATGCTGGATTATAAGGAGTGACAAAAAGAATGGAAGACGAGGATGGGTAGTGCCTCCGATGAGGCTTTGTTGAAAAGTCGTGCAACAAGCGTATAAAAGAGAGAATGGATCAAGGTTAAACACCTCTTCCTGGACGGTTAATAAGATTCCCAATGCCCATATCTGAACTTTGCGGTCGCTGCGTCATGTACTGCGGACTGTTCCCCTGACTATGACCATGATGGCCGTAGGGATGGCCCGCACTCGCTTGGGAGCTCACGCTCGAGGAGTAACCGTGGCCGCCGTAGCCTGGCGCATAGGCTCCGAGGCTGTACTGGACGGCAGCGGCCATGTGGTGAGGCTGGAGCTGCTGGAAGGACGTGCTGGCCGAGGCCACGACGGACGAGGCGGTGGTCTCGGGGCTGCTATAGGATGCGTCTAGTTCGTCAACCGGTGTCAGGCCCATGCCGGAGATGCCGCTGTCGTCGTCATACCCTGAGAGAGCGCCGGACTCGAGACGGTCGCGGCGGGCTGCGGCGCGGGCTGCGCTTTGCAGATTCTTGAGGCCATTTGACATGCACTGCAGAGTATGTTAGTAGATGCTCTCACCATAGTGGTAAAGATGACAACGTACCTTGGCTTCGACTACGTTCCACTTCTCGCCTGTTCGGGCTGCGAGACCACTCCAGATCTCCTTTCTCATAGCCATGTACTCCTTAGCCAGACGCTGAAGCTTGAGGTTGTCCCAATCATCAGCACCCTTGCGTTCCAGCAATCGCTCGTGACGCTTGCGGCATGCATTGGGAGTCTTGGAGGGAAAGTAATTCGATTGGATCTGTTGCCAGTTCAGGCCTTGCATCCTCGCAGTGAGAAGTTGCTGGTCATCTGCAGCTCCCCAGGCACCCGAACTGGGTCTGTGTTGGACAGGCGCAGGGACGGAAACAGGTGGTGCGGAGGTTGTAGCGTAGGATTCATATGTAGGTTGTTGAGCTTGTGATTGAAGGGGCATAGAAGAAGAAGCAGTTGTACTCATGCCGTAGTAGTTGGGCATGGTCATGCGCTGCTGGTTGTATAGAGGAGTGGGGGCGAGAGAGACTGGGATACCCGCATTGTAGCGGTTCTGAGATGAGCTTGTAGCTCGAGAGTGTTTCGGCATCATGGAGAAAGAGTAGTGGGGGTGTAAAAACGAGAAGTGAGGGGATTCACAAGGTGAATCCTGTAACAAGATTACGGATTAAGCGTAAAAAGAGGAATAGGTCCGGGTCAACCGGCCTGGTAATGCTTGATCGGTCTTGAAGATGACGGCCCAAAAAGAAAACGGATACTCGTCCAAGCGAGAAGTCCAAGTGTAGTAGTAGCGAGAGGGTCAAGGAAAAGCTAAAGCACGACGGGTCAAGAAGCGACAGGTGGGATAGCGCCAAGATAGAACCACAACGAGAGAAGAAAAGGAAAAATGAACCTAGGAAAGATGGAAAAGTGATGTTTTGTCTGAAGAATGGAGAACAGGTCCTTAGAAGGTCGGATATGAAGCAGCTTTAAGGCCTCGAGGGGAGGACAAAGACCAATCTCGAGGTGGGCGGCTCTGGGACTGAAACAAGATCCAGAGACAATGAAACAGCACACTCGTGTCTGAAAGAAGCAGTTTCCCATGAATGGGTTGCTGATATTGGCTCAGCAAAGCGGCTGTTTGGAAGAGGCATGGGCGGTTAAGAGAGTGGGCGGTTACAGTCGATATGGAGATATCTTGGTGGAGAGAGGTTCATCCGTACTACCAAGTTTGAGCAAGCGCCGTATGTCCAGGGCGTGTATGTGCACAAGCAAGAAATTTGTTTAAACTAGAAAGCTAAAAGCAGGAACACAGATCTCGAGAACCACCCGATTTGCATATGTGGATGATCCATGAGGGCGCCTGGGGAAATTACGACGGGGTTTTTGCATGGTGTGAGCGCAACACAAGCGCGGGAAGGAACAAGACTAAGAGCGGAAATAAGGATGCGCATCATAGTTGCACCGGCAGATGAAACAAAGACACAAGCCGAGCGAAAGCAGAGAGAGAAAGGGACGATACAAAGGGCTTGGTGTTGAGAAGACTCCAGAAATAAGGTAGTGTGGATATGGAGGGGCCGTGTAATTGGCCACGGGTGTTGGAGGCGCGCGTTTAAAGTATTAGGCGACGCCTGGAGTGGTTTAGTGTGTCTATTTTGGGAGGTCTGGGGATGTCTGATTGGGAGATGTACTGCCGCTTGGAGATTGGGAGAGGAAGTACAAGATGGAAGAAGAGCGCTTGGAAGGGCCTTGGAAGAGGTCGCTGGGTGTGGAGAGAGTCAGATGGCATGTTTCAGGTTGTTCTACAACAGATGACATTGTTGTTTTCTGCGTGTTTCCCAAGTGCTGAAGGATGATAAGATAAGATGTTATTCTGATCCCGGTAAAAGATTTGTCCCATTTCACTTCATCCGTGTTAGTCGTTACCCATGATCATTAGCACGGCAGATTCCACTAAGGCAAACGACGCTAGCTCCAGACTGCACGCCTAACACGGTTCAAAGCATTCAACTGATAGCGAAGTGAATTCACAAACCGATATAGATCCTCAAACCATGATCTGATGGTTTTCTTTACCTGTTTCAACTTGATTGGAAGTATTCGATACTGTCGGGTTGCTGGGGAAATAAAATTGGTGGCTGATTTATAAGGGCAGAATGCTGGAAGTTCTCTGACTCAGTTGGTACCGTTAGGCAGGTCTCATAAGAGAACTGACATCTATTAACTTAACTCTTCTCCAAAAAGATTGTCAGCACAATCGCGAGCGCGCAATGACTTTCGCGACGCGCCGGAGTCTCCGCCGCTCGCAGACCATCGACCATGATGAACTCGCCGATACAAAAATTGGGTTTATCGAGATGCTTCCCTCCACTCAGCCAAAGCGTCGGGGAAGACCGCCAAAGTCTTCAACATTATGCGGAAAGCTTCCTGGCTCCAAGCCTCGTGGACGGCCTCGCAGTACTGCCCCTCGCATAATGTCTGACAAACGCATCGCATTAACGCTGGGCTGGCGAATGCGAAAATTCACAATGGGAAAGCGAGTAGGCGATGCCGCTCGATCAGTATACCGTCTGTCGCGCCAGTGGCCATGGGACTTGGTCGCAGGCTTCGTCCCGAAGAAATGGGGCGTCGAGATTCTGGAGAGTTTGAGGAGGCTCTTTAGAATTATCCATCAAAACTTCACAGTACATGATCATCGGAACGACTTTCAGTTTGTCAAAGATTATCTGCGCGAATGTGCAATGAAGCATAGTCGACGGCGCCCACATTTGAAGAATAGCGATATCCGGGACGCGTGCGATTATTTCGCTGATGATAATCCTGCTAGACGCAATGTTATACGCACAAAAATGACACGATTGAAGTGCTCAATCAGCACGGTCGTGCCAGAAGACGAAGATGGATGGCAAGACTATAGAGGCTATGACTATTTTGACGACGACGATGATGATGAACATGTCGACATTGCTACTCCTACAAAGGGATCAAGAACACCCTCCTCACCTTCACTGAGCCCGAAGCGAGCACGAACGGCCGAGTCTACTGAACCACGCCCACAAAGCATCACAGACATCACCAATTCCTTACAATCATTGCACGCCCAAAAGCAAAAGGAGCTCGAAGCGGTAACCAATTCACTGGACGAGATTACAGCTTCAATCCAAGCAAAAGAAGCATCTCAAACAAATCACGTCAACGCAAAAATTGACAGACTATCCTCCGACGTGAAGGCCTACGAATCAGAACGGAAGAAGATCCTCAAAATTCGAAGATTCGTGGAACAGCAACACAAAGGCATGATGATGAAAGCAGATCATCTCCTACAGCAGTACACGTCGCGACTTGAAGAATACGACAAGTTAATTGCGCAGGCAAACGTTGATGTTTCGGAAGAGCTGGATCAGGTTGCGCGGAGGGATTTTGACTTGGAGGATGAGAAGAAGAGGCTGGAAGGACGTGTGAAGGAAGTTCTGGAGGAGGTTAGACATTGCAGTGTTATCGGGACGCTGATGAGGTTGGGTCCTGGCGGTATGGCGAAGTTATTGGGGAGACTGGAGGGGAATGGTGTTGAGTTGGTTGGGATGGCGGAGAGTATAATGAATGAGACTGAGGAATAGCATAACTGAATTTATGCTACTATGCTAATAATGCTGCGCATCTATTTATACGGTTGGTGAAGTTAATAAGGTAAGTTGTCTGTATTCGTCAAGGGATTAACGATTTGACTGACTGAGATCATAGAACTCTCTGAGTGCCGTGCTGGATCACGCCATGACAACCGGAGAGTGTATTATAGTCAGATGATCTGACAATCATGAAAAGCGTGCATTGGTGTACTGGAGCGAGTATTGTGTTCATATACTGGGACTTTCTCTTCTATATGGTTATGGTCAAGGGTTTATGTCTGTCTGTGTTTTGTTATGGAATGGAGCGAGCGTTGCAAGACCTCATGGCTGAAAAGCCAGCCGATACCACATGTGTTTTGGAAAATACCATTCTTAATTTCTCTGTCTTCTTATACTACTGAGCGTCTGCGTGTTGAGCTGTGAAGTAAAAATTGCTGCTGTTGTCAAGATCTGGGATAAGGTTCAGGCTCGGAACGTCTTATGAGGTTGACGATGTTTCATGGTGGTTGTGAAAGGAATGACGTAGCGACATTTGAGAAACTCGGAGGTTGAAACGTGTTTCAGATAGCCCGGAGAATTGCAGGTCAACTGTGATCATTTCTTGGCGGCCCTGTGGCTCAAAGGATTAAAGTGAAAGAGCAGAATACTTGAAAGCACACAGAACATCATGGAGCTTTGTGATTAGGTACCTAGGTATTGATAGATCCGGATTTTATACGAGCAATATTCCACTTCTTATGACTCCATCTCTAAAGGGCCCACCATTAGCTGCTTTGTTAAAGAGCTAGTTAGGTCTGGTTCGCCAGCTGCCCTAGGGTAGGCATCAACTCCACTGACTCCGCCAAGACAATAAAACATCATCTCCAAAAAGCAGACCAATTAATCGTCTCACATCCCAGTTCTTCTTCAACTGCGATGATAAGGCTGACCAAATACGTCAACACCCCTCATCTGCCTAAACTCCACTTATAGGCAGCTTATGATGCTCTGGAGTGGGGTAACCATAGCAAAATACCCCGTTCTGCTGCAATCAGCAAGGACCCAATGCAAGTTACTGGAATGGCTTTGACGGTACGAAGAGGCAAACCGTGGGCCACTGTTCTTGCTGTTGTAGGGACAGTCAGTGGTAGGGCACAGTGGCTGTTGATGCAGGTCCGTTGGTCAGCTGCATTAACGGTTGCCTCTTTGGATGGAACGGCAAATGGTGACAGAAACCTAAGTCTAGAGGATTATTAAAATACTTATATCAATTTAGAAAAGATTGATAAATCAAGTAGGCTTAGGCAAAACTTGATAAAATAAAGAGAACATATTCTAAATATTTACTTTTTTATTAATAAATTTTAATAAATTATCCTAAACTTGTAAGAGCTTTGACAAGCCTTAGGGTAGATCGGCGGTTTCTTTTGTCCCTCAGGGGACAGGCAGTTCACTTGTGATGCATTGCCTTATGCAGGTGAGACTGTTGGTCAAACGCCTACTTCAAAAGAGGCAGTGAATAAATGCGCCGAGCATGGAGTGAGTGCGTAAATGACGAAAAAGGCAGCCAGAGGAGATATATAGTCGCCCTCTTTTCCTCTCTTGACCTCAACCCCTTCTTTAGCATCATCCATCATGGCCGCCAACACCACGTCCACTAGCACAAAGAGCATCCTCGCCCTAGGCTCAGTGAGCAGCTTGGTGGAATCCCTCTTCCCTGGCGGCACAAGCCTTCCGTCCGTCGCATTCCTTCTTTACCTCACACCCTATCTCTTCCAAGCTGTTGGCAGCGCCGCAAAGTCACAGTTTATCTCGAGTGTTGAGATTAAAGCGCACGATGAGATTTTTAATTATGTCATGAGCTGGGTTGCGAGGCATAAGCTCTCGCGCAATAACCATCGCCTTCTTGCGTCGAGCACCCTGGATCATGAGCCCTTTTCGCTGATCCCGTCACCGAGTAATCAGGGTGATGGAGACGGGGACGATGTTGACGATGTTGACCCCACTGCTAGTCTTGATGAATTGAGGTCCAAGATTTCCCTGTATAATGCAAGGCCTTTGCATTGGACTCCCTCTGTGGGCACGCATTTCTTCATGTACGAGAATCGCCTCATCTCCTTCACAAGATCTGTTGAAAGCCAGGAATCGTCCCCGTTTTCGCGGCGCCCGGAGAAGATTGAGCTTTCATGCCTCGGTCGGAACGCTGATGTGCTTAAGCGCATTATCTACAACGCGCGCATCGAATACCTCGAGAAACAACGAGGCCGCACAAGCATCTATCGAGCCGTCAAGACATATGGGGATGAGCTCTCTTGGACAAAGTGTATGTCCAAGCCAACCCGGCCTATGTCGACTATTGCGCTCGACGAGACGATCAAGCAGAGCCTCATTAAAGATCTTTCGCGATACTTGAACCCTCGCACTAAGAATTGGTACGCCACGAGGGGTATTCCCTACCGACGAGGCTACCTCTTCTCAGGCCCGCCCGGCACAGGAAAGACTAGTTTGACACTTGCCGCTGCTGGTCTCATGGGTCTCAACATCTATATGATCAGTCTCAGCTCGCCTAACCTCTCGGAAGACAGTCTCGCAACGCTCTTCCGCGATTTGCCTCGGACCTGCCTCGTTTTGTTGGAGGATATAGATGCAGCGGGCCTGACCAACAAGCGCAAGAAGCAGGAGACCCAAGCGAACAACGGGCCGCCGAAGCCTATGCGTGAACCTATCTCTTTATCAGGCTTACTCAATGTTATTGACGGTGTAGGCGCACAGGAGGGTCGCGTCCTCGTCATGACATCTAATCACACCGAAAACATCGACCCGGCCCTGTTGCGCCCTGGAAGGGTCGATTTCTCTGTTGAATTCGGCCTCGCTTCTTCCGACACGATCACCCAGCTGTTTAGACTAATGTACGGAACCTCCCACGACGAGGTTGGGTCAATTGAACATGCTGTGACGACGGAAGCTTCGGAGAAGTCTGTGGATACAACAAAGTCCGTAGCTGCGTTGGCCGAGGAGTTCACAAGGCTAGTTCCCTCCCTGGTATTTAGTCCTGCGGCTATCCAGGGGTATTTACTTATGCACGAGGACCCGATTGGGGCTGTTGATGCCGCCGGGAAGTGGGTTGAGGAGCAACAGAGGTTGATGGAGAAGGCTAAGGATGATGTGATCGAGGTAGAGGAAGAGACTAAGCCGGGGACGCCTGATAGTACGGATGAAAAGACAAATGCGGAGGGCAAAGAGCCAGTGGTGACCAACGGGGCTTGAATCTTGAGATGTAGATATCGTCAGAATGGCTTCCCATTGACACTTGCCTATAATGCAAAGGTTGAGTCATAATATGATGATTCTTTTATAAACTTATAAGAACTTTACTCTAAACTTAGGATGTCTTTTAGTATCTTAGGTTAAAATTGTAAATTCTATTCTGACTTTATAAACTTCAGGTAAGCTTAGATCAAGACACACTATAAGCGTTGCCAGACTTTCGGCACCTGCTTGTAAGTCTTTTATTCTTGGTGCTCAAGCTCCTGCGTCTGCTCAGCCTTTTCAACGCGGCGCTCCAGATCCTGACCGGCGGCAAACTTTGCCTGATCCATAAGAGGAACGAACAAAGGCGCCTCCGTGAAGAGATATCGCATCTCCTCGAGAGGTCGGTTAGCGGTCTCGGGGAGAATGGCCCAGAAGTAGAGGGCGTTGGTAAAGTTGCAGACCTAATTCATCAGTATGTGTTACAGGTGAAATTGAGAAAGGGAACTTACAATGAAGAGGATGTACCATCTCCAGCCAATGCCGTGCTTGTCATCAAGAGCAACAGAGGTAGTCTGGCCGATCATGGTGTTGAAAGCGAAGGACATCATAGTAGCCAACGACACACCCTTAGCACGAGTCTTCATATCGAAGATCTCAGCGGGAATGATCCAAGACAAAGGACCACATGTAGCGCTGAAAGAGAAGTTGTAGATCCATGTGACGACGATGAAGCCCCATCCAGCTGCACCACCACCAGTGCTCTCGGATCCAGGAGGGAAACTAGCCAGAAGAACAGTTGCGATGATGAAGGTGATGCAGTTGAGAATGTTACCGCCGATCAGAGGCCAGCGACGTCCGGTTCTGTCAATGACGAGCATACAGATGAATTGAGCGACAAGGGCGATGACGGAGGAGATCATCTGGTATCGAAGGGTCTCGTCGCCCTTGATCCCGATCTTGGCGTAGATTTCCACAGAGTAGTACTGAATAGCGCTAACACCGGTCATTTGCGCAGCGACTTGCACAGAGATAGCAAGCCACAGACGTCGAAAGCACGACTTGTCGGTGAAGAGCTCACTGTAGCTCTTGGCAGAAGCCTCGTGCTCCATCGCAAGACGTTCCTGGATCTGATCAAACTCAGCGCGCACCCAGGTATCGTTAATATCTCCATGCGCGTGAAGTTTAGCGAGTGTTTGAAGCCCCTCGTCGGCACGGCCGTGGTCAATCAACCAACGAGGAGACTCGGGGAAGAAGAGGATCAAAGCGGCGAGAATTACGGCTGGGAGGTTCTGGATACCAAGGGGGATACGCCATTGGCCTGAGTTGTCGTCGCCGATGCCAGTGTATGTTCCGTAGCCGATGGCTGTGGCGACGAGGGCGCCGATGCCGAGCATGAATTGCTGGAGGGCTGTTACACGGCCTCGGATGTCAGGATGGCAGAGTTCTCCTTGGTAGACTGGGACGATCATGACGAGAAAACCGACACTGAGAGCGTTAGCTACAAGTGAATTTGTGGAATTGGGGAGAGACATACCCAAGACCAGCGAGACAGCGGCCCGCGTAGAGGTAGTTGATGTGATCAGCAGCAGTCTGAAGACTACCGCCCAGAATAAAGATCAAAGCACCGATCATGATTGTCCATTTTCGACCGAGGCGATCACCAGCATAACCAGCGAACATGGCACCAAAGAAAGCACCGCCCGTGAAGACAGACACAACCGCACCACTGCACTCATTAGCTTTGACTCTCACACAGCGACGAGTTAACGTACGTGGCATTAGGGTCATCGCCAAACTTGCTCTTGAAGTTCCCAGAGGCAATGACCTCGGCAATCACACCGAGATCATAACCATAGAGAAGCGAGCCAAGAGAGGCGAAGACTGAGACGAGGAACTGATACCACTTTGGTGGAAGAGCCATGATGCCGATGATGGTTTATTTACTGAACTGAGAGAGGATCTGGTGGTCTAGTGGTGTATTTATACATGTTATGTTGTAGCGCAAGGCATCATTGCAAGGGGTCGTTCCGAGTACCCGAGCGTCAAGAGGAACTTTAGAAAAGGATCATCGAGGCCCCAAAGCAAGTTTGAGTTGGGGACATCGAACGTGTTTTTTCCCATGGGGTGAGATAACTTTAGTTGGAAATATGGGGTCTGGAGGTGGAATACAGCGGGTCATTGCGGGAGAAATTGCCCATGGGGATTTGACGAGGAGCGAAGTTCCCAGTGGAGTTTACGACTTTCACCTGTCAACACCGGAGATTATAAACCTTGCGAACCCTTCCGATTGGAGCGCACAAGAAGTGCGGCTCTGTACCGCTACGCGTACCAGTTGATTCTATGACTGGTGCGCAAAGTTTTTGGTTCACTTACACGGGTTAGGCGAAGACTCTACAGTGGAGACCCTTCCGGACTTGGATCTCCCGGCCGAGAATAAAGTCCACGCTGCTGAGGTCTCGTGTTGCGGAGAAGACAAGCGCGCCAATTAGAGGGGGGGAAAGGTGGGTTAAGAAACGGTTTATACAGGGTTTAAACAAGCGCAGTGACATGTTGCGCCTGATGGTATTGTCCAAGATGAGGGGTTCGCCGTACTTGACCGTTAGTATGGAGATGGAAGAATCAGGCATAAATTGGTGACTTCTCTCTTCTCTAGTAACTCAAGTTTCGTAAATATTGTTGAGTTTATTTTGTAAAAAGTTCAGCAGAGATGGCTACGTTTACTCGCATTGCTGACGATGAGCGCCCCTCCATCTCGGTAGATCCCAGTGCCATCATCTCCAAGATCGAGGATAACATCTATGGAGGTTTCACAGAGTAAGTCCAGCCTCACCATCAGCTTACCTTATAAACCACACCCTGACGTATTACAGGCACATGGGTCGCTGCATCTACGGCGGCATCTACGACCCCGGAAATCCCCTGTCCGATGAGAATGGTTTCCGAAAGGATGTCATTGAGGCCTTCAAGGAGCTCAACTGCCCTGTTGTGAGATATCCAGGCGGTAACTTTGTTGCTACGTATCATTGGCTTGACGGTGTTGGTCCCAGGGAGAAGAGACCTGCTAGGTGAGTGCCTCTTTTTATGAGGAATTGAGTGAGTGAGAGAACTGACGGAATAGACCTGAACTTGCGTGGATCGGTACAGAGACGAATGAGTTTGGCACAGATGAGTTTCTCAAGTGGTGTGAGGTTGTAGGCACTGAGCCTTACTTTGCTCTCAACTTTGGAACTGGTAAGTCTCATATCCCCCACAAAGAAACACAAACTAACTGAGTTTAGGTACTCTTGATGAAGGTCAGTCTAGCCATCACCTCTCAACATCAAATACTGACTTTCTTAGCCCTCGCATGGGTCGAGTACTGCAACTCCGACAGACCAACATACTACGCCAACCTCCGCCGTCAAAACGGCCGCGAGAAACCCTATAACGTACCCCATCCACTCTCCCCTATTTCTCCCCCATCACTAACACTCTCAGGTCAAATACTGGGCCCTCGGAAACGAAATGTACGGACCCTGGCAAGTCGGCCAAATGACAAAGGAAGACTACGCCAAGAAAGCCTACCAATGGGCCAAAGCCATCAAGCTCCTCGATCCCAACGTCGAGCTCATTCTCTGCGGCGAAACAGGCCACAGCTCTTGGGACGCGTATGTCATCAAGGAGTGTATCAAGTTTGACATTCACGGCTTGGGCGGAAGTACGACTGCCAGTCTTATTGATCAGCACAGTATTCACATTTACACTGCTAGTGAGGATCACTACAAGAACGCTACTGGTAAGTTCTCCTCCTCAGGGTTGAGATGGCAGGGGTACTGATGAATGCGTAGCCCCCCGTTCTGCTGAGCGTGCCATCGAGATCACAGCCGGTCTCATCGACCTCGCTCGCATCGAGAACAAAGTGCCCCCCAGCGTCCGCCGTCAAAAGATCTGCTTCGACGAGTGGAACGTATGGGATCCCGTCCGCGCCCCCGGCGAAGAAGGCGCCGAAGAGAAATACAACCTCTCCGATGCCCTCGCCGTAGCAATCTGGCTCAACGTCTTTGTCCGCCAATCCAAGCACATGGGCATGGCCAACATCGCTCAAAGCGTAAACGTTATCTCTCCCCTTATGACCACAAAGGACGGTCTTCTCAAGCAACCAACATGGTGGTCTTTACTGCTGTACAGCAAGTACATGCGCGGATCTACCATCGCTGTTAATGTTCGCGCTGGTGAATACCAGGGCCCTACGCATCCGGAGTGGATTCGCGGTGCCATTGAGACGCCGTGGTTGGATGTTAGTGCTGCGCTTGATAAGGATGGTGTTGTCAACCTTGCTGTTGTGAATATCCATGAGGAGAAGGACTTTGAGACGGAGCTAAGGGGCTTGACGGGTGGTAAGGAGGTTGAGGTTCATACTGTCAGTGGAAAGGACGTCAAGGTTGTCAACACTGCTGAGAAGGAGGAGGTTGGTATCAAGGAGTCCAAGTGGAATGGCGAGGGCTTGTTCACGTTCCCCAAGCACTCGTTTACTCTGCTGCGCTGGAAGCTGTAGACCTGGATAGATCAAACGACTTGGTTATAGAACAATAGAAATGGAAATATCTGATCAAGGTTCAACATTCTCCTGATTCATTACTCGTTTCTGGTTCTGTCCCTTGCCATATACCAGCTATCAATCCAACCTGTGCTTGAAACCCAGTAACCCGTTACTCCATCATCCCAAGAAAACGCTCATAAACCTCCTATCCCGCAAGTAATTCATCAGCAAACTCCCCAACCCTCTCCCCCAACTGATCCAAAACCCCTTCCTCCACCCAAAAATGTCCCGCTGTCTCAATCTCCGTCCCTTTAAACTGCGACCCCATCTTCCCTTCCATCTTCGCCTTCCAACTTCTAAACTTCCCCACAGGTGCAAACCCATCCTCATCTCCAAAGATCACAAGTGACGGATTTCGCACCAGTTTTTCTTCAGCCGCTACATCCTGCGGATCTTTGTTCTTTACCAATGCCGAAGGGAGTAGCGACATGGTCGCCAGATGTGTGACCACGCCTTGGGGAGGTGAGATCATGAGGTAAGCAGGTCGCGGCATGGTGAGATCCGTAATACGAGGGAGATGCTCTCCCGGCTCAGGCGGTACGACAGCCGTAGGTGGGTTCTGCGAAACGTTTCTCGAATGTCTTCCAGCTCTCGCCTTGGCGATAAAATCGTGAACACCCTTTCTAAACCTCTCATCATCCAGCGAAAAACTCCTCCTTGCACTAGAATGACTTCGTCGTGGGCTCCCGCCCTCATCGCCCCCAATTCTTACACCACGCTTACTCCTCCCCCGCGCTGACCCCTCCATCATTGCGGCACGGGCACTCGCAAGCACAATATTCTGCTGCTCAGCAAGATGCGCAGCTCGAAGTCGAACTTCTGCGGCGTCGGAGCCTGCGATGGGTGATATGAACGGTTGGAGAATTGCGTCGAGGGGTGGTATTTGCGTTACGATCATCCCGCCGTAGGAGTAACCCCCCATGAGCAAGATGGGCCGTGGTCGAGGCGCTGAAGTGACAGCTGCGTCTAGACTAATCGGTGCTTCTAACCTTGTCGGTGTCGAGGGTTCGCTGTGGAGGGTATTATCGATATGCGGTCGGAAGGGATCGAGGTCGTGAACGTAGTGTAGAACAAAAGCGACAACGGTGGCATAATCGTCTCGTTCGGGTTTCGCAGTCCATGAAGTCCGTCCCGCAGATCCATGTGCACCTCTACACAATCAGCTCAAGTCCCCCATCCCTATAAATCACCTACCGAAAGTTAAAGGTCCCTACCAAGAACCCCTTTCGTAGTAACTGCGCAGCTGCCCCTCCAACCACAGGATCATCATAGCATCCTCCCATGGGCGCATAAGGATGAGCCACGACAGCGGCATGTTTCAGCCATGTTGGAGCTTTTGGGTTCGCAGACAGCGAGAGCGGGTGGTAGATTCGGCAGTCGAGGGTTAGACCGTCGTGGATACTGGGGAGGGTTAGTGTGAGTGTTGGTTCTGGAAGCATTTTGGTCGTGTCATGACATGGTGAGAGGGTTCAATTGGGTTTGGAGAAGCAAGAACTGGGAAAGATTGGGATGACATGGGATTGTGTAAGATAAGCCGTCGTTACGTCAAGAGCTGGCGCACAGACGGGGAAAACAGCCGAGATCCGGGATAATCACAAGTAAAAATAGCACGCCTCAACCACGTGGCTTACATTTCAATATCATAACGACAGTCAACTGGGAATACAAAACAGAAAACATACTATTAATGCTCATATATAGGCATCTTCTATATCGAATCTAATCTCATTGGGCCTTCTTCTCTCCCGAATCCTTTGCCCTCTGTCTCCTCCTCTTGACCCACCCTCTAAGCTCATTAATAAGTCCCATAACCAATGGAACACCCACTGGTCCCAGCAACGGTAGATACACCGCAATCTTATGCTCGTCAGGGAAATACAACTGCCCAACCATACTCTTCTCAAAGAACGCCCGCTCTGCCTCTTCCTCTGCGATTCTAGCGTGCAAGAGTCCAGAAGGGGCGCCTAAGCTAGCGCATGCTTGCTGAAGATGCTCCATTGTTGATGCGACTCCATCGGCGACGCTATGAGGAATTGAGATTGAGGGGAGCGCGAGGGACAGACGAGCGAGAGAGCCGAGGGTTGATGAGGCACGGAGGAGGAGATCTGCTGAGCGGATGCGGGAGAGCGTGGATAGTCGCAATGGGAGGGAGCCCGATTGAGGTGTACCCAAGAGTGACAACAAATGTCCAGTGAATGTGAGCATTGGCTGCTTGAGTGTTTCACTAGATACATGTGTCGTTGTCTCGGGGAGCGAAAGAAGGTATACACTGCCCCATTGAGGAAACATCCACGACTGTGACGTTTCTGTCTCCGAATCAAGGCCAATTTTCTGGTCGCCGATGTAGATAACAAAGTTGACGGTCGGAGCGCCTGCAATTGAAGGAGACAGAGGCCATTCAGCAGCATTGATGAAAGACGCAAGGTCCTCCTTACTCAACACCTGCGATTGAGCACCGGGTGTCGCATACAGCTGCACCTGAGTATCAATCGTAAAGTTATGGATTGGTCCCAGCACATCAAGCATTGGCTTCATGTACTCCTCAATCGCCTTCTCAATGTCCCATGTGCTCGGTGCTGCGCCGGCTGTGAATAGGGAGAAGGTAAGATGGTATGTTGGCGAGTATCGTAGGGATCGTGTAGTTCGCTTTGACAACCTATCGATGACCTCGGGGGTCAAGCCCTGAGGTTTAGCATCGGGGGCTGAGGAAGTCGATAGGAGGTATGAAATGATGGATTGTTCTTCGGAGAATGTCGATTGTAGCTCGTTTGCGATGTATGTAGCGAGTGCGGAAGACGACGACGATGCGGAGGGGATCGCGTTGGAGGGATATGCGATATTGAGAACAGCCGAGTCGGGATCTAATGTAGCAGAATTGCTCTCGCCAGGCGCAAGTTGGATCGTAAGGGCGACATGGGAATCATCATCGGCGGCGGGTGATGGTGAGGCGCCCCCCTTAGGGGCAAGTTGAAGACGTAGATGATGTCCAGAGAAGTCGTTATGGTCGTCAAGAGCATGCTGCGTCAATCGCACAAGATTCTGCGCCTCATTCTCCTGCAGCGCATCCGCTTTCACTGAGATCTGAAGAGGAAACACAGGACGACAAGCCTACCCCTTCATCAGCACCACGTACCAACACCATATCACCATCCCAGGTTTCTGCTCACCTTTCCCTCAGCCCATTGCATCATCCCATCAAGCGGAAGATTCGCTCGGTAAATTGTAGTCGTCTTCCACCATATCGGTACACCCAAGCACAGCACTATCAACCAAAAGGAGACGACGATGCGGGTTCTCCTGTAAATGTCGGATGGTTTCTCGGGAGGCGGTGCGGACGGCGCCGCGGAAGTGTCTTTGACGTCGCCGGGCGCCATTATGCCGTTCTGATTGAAAGGTTGAGGCGGGGATAGTGAAGAGGCTCTTATCAGAGCTCCCTGTCAATTTGGATCGATGCGTGGAGGGATGGGGAGCTTAGCTACACGACATCACGATATCACGTGAGGTCGGGGAGTCTAAGGCCCGATGCCGATGATCTGCTCCGTCTAGCTCATCCAAGCTTGTAGTTGGACGTCTTGCTCTTGAATTGATTATTCATTTCACGTCTTCACGACTCTCCTGAAGATTAGTTTCTATTCTATAAGTAATTGAAAGTTCGAAAAGCCAGCTGGATTTGTTACGTTCAGCGTTGGAGCCAAATATTTTACCTCGAGATTCAACCTTTACAAGGCTGTAAGCCCCTAACGCTGTCTATGTAAAGTGTAACCTTACCTACCAAATCGAACGAAGTTTAGCTTAAACAGAAGAACGAACTCTATTCTTCTACCAACCGCTCTAGCCGTTCTGTTCACTGTGATCGATCAACTGCCCTCCAGCGCCGATCCAACACATCAATCCCTGCAAAGGCCGTGCTGACTGCATCTAACAACGGGCGCTATCGTCAACAGATCGCCAGGAACCATTAACGATCCATAATCCCAATTCCATCTTTTACTACATCCTCCGATATCTCAACTTCCCCAGATCCTCCCCGCATCAACTTGCTACGCCTCATTTTCAGCCGAGGCATCACAATCACCTGTTTGAAGCATACAACATCACTTACAACAAGGTTGCAGAGATCTAGTTCAAATGGGGCAATTGTCTCGTCGTGGAGTGCCAGCTGAGCTGCTTGGTACCCTTGGCGAAAACCATAGCAATTATGAACCAACAGACACAATGCCAAGCAGTTTATAGCGTTTATAACGTTTATATAAACTCTCGGTCGTCGGGGCTTTAGTGGAGTTGCGCTGTCGTCACCGTCTTATCGCTATCAGACCATCGACCCACGTCAACGACTTTGACCCTTTCTTCAACACCAACTCTTTCTTTTGCATAAACAACAATGCCTCGTAAGTAGCCTTGACACTTTGCAATTTGGAGCGCAAACTAACTGTTTAGTCCCTCTTTCAATAACCGCCCCCGCAATCGCGGCATCGCTAGCATACTTCAACGCCCGGTCCTCAACATGGTACGACCTCTTCCTCCTGCGCTGCGTAACCATCGCCGCATCACGAATGTACTATCGCGAATGGACCGACCGCCTCAACCTATACTACCTCCTCGAAAACATAGCCACTAATTCCTCAACCTCTGATCGCGCATTACTTATATTCGAGGGAAAACGGCTTTCGTATAAAGATGTTTACGAACAGGTGCTGAAGTATGGACAGTGGCTTAAGAACGAGGGTGTCAAGAAAGGTGATATTGTTGCGCTCGACTTTCAAAACTCGGATTCTTATATCTTTGTATGGCTTGGTCTTTGGAGTATTGGTGCGAAGCCGGCGTTTTTGAACTATAACCTCTCTGGAGCTTCGCTGGTTCATTGCTTAAAGGCTGCTACGACGAAGTTGTGCATCGTGGATCCTAATGTCGAGGAGAATGTTGGACAAGATGTTCGTGATCAGCTGAAGGACATTCGCTTCATTGTTCATACTCCTGAAGTTGAAGCGCAAATCGCTGCGACAGAGGGTGTTCGCGCGCCGGACTCCGATCGATCCGAGAAGAGTCTTTCAAGCATGGCTATTCTCATTTATACCTCTGGAACGACTGGTATGCCCAAAGCAGCCATTGTATCCTGGGGAAAGTTGATCGTTGCTGGTTCAATGTCCGAACAACTCCTTGACCGATCAAAAGGCGACACCATGTACTCCGTAAGCCCTCCCCTCTTCTTCTCAAACCAAGCTAACCGTCCAGTCAATGCCCCTATATCACTCCTCCGCGACAATCTTCTCCTTCAGCGCAACTCTCCTCTCAGGAAGCACCCAAGCCCTAGGCCGCAAATTCTCAACCAAGACTTTCTGGAATGAAGTTCGCGACTCAGGCGCAACATCAATCCTCTACGTCGGCGAGACTCTGCGGTACTTGCTTGCTGCACCACCACAGCACGATCCTGAAACAGGCGAATGTCTCGACAAGAAGCACAATGTCAAAGTAGCTTTTGGAAACGGGTTAAGACCAGACATCTGGAACGAATTCAAAGAACGTTTCGGCGTCGAAGGAATCTGCGAGTTCTACGCTGCCACAGAAGGAACATTTGCGACCTTCAACCTCAGCAAAAATGACTACGCCGCCGGCGCAATCGGTCGTAATGGCTGGGTATACAATCTAATCATGAGCTTCTCCGTCGCTTTGGTAGAGGTGGATTGGGAAACCGATCTCCCCAAGCGCAATCCCAGTACAGGGCGCTGCTATAAAGCTCGTACCGGCGAACCAGGCGAAATGCTCTTCCGTCTACCGTCAGGAAACCCATTTGGTCGCTTCCAAGGCTACTACAACAATCGCGCAGCTACAGAAGCAAAAGTTCTTCGCGATGTGTTTAGTAAAGGCGATACGTGGTTTCGAACAGGCGATGTAGTCAGATGGGATAGCGATGGACGGATATACTTCCACGATCGTATAGGCGATACATTCCGCTGGAAGGGCGAGAACGTTTCCACCGCCGAAGTAAGCGATGCACTGTGTAAACATCCCTCCGTCAAAGAAGCAAACGTCTACGGTGTTTCACTTCCCCATCACGACGGAAGAGCAGGTTGTGCAGCAGTCCATTTATCTTCTGATCCTACCGCAGAGGTAATGCTGGATATAGCTGCTCATGTGCGCGCTGAGTTGCCCAAGTACGCGAGACCGCTGTTCTTGAGAACTATGAGCGAACTTGGCGGTGGACAGATCACGGGGACTATGAAGCAGCAGAAACATGCGCTGCGGGAGGCAGGTGTCGATCCAACTGGTGATAAGAGTCTTGGGGAGATTTATTGGCTTAAGGGTGAGAGTTATGTGCCCTTTACGGAGAAAGATTGGGGAGAGATTCAGGGTGGAAAGGTGAAGCTGTAAGTTGCATATAGATCGGATACCCATTGCATAGTTCATTAGCATGATTTAAAGTATCTTTGTACAGAACGAATCATATGAGTGAGAATCGAAGTTTGGTGAAATGTTTAACAAATGAACTCATGAGACGTGATGATAATGCTATTTACTATGAAGTGCTATGTCCATCAATGCTTCATATACGCTCCTACAAAATCCACCTCTTCTACAGATCGTGACTGGGTTCATTACATGTCACAATATTTTCGCCGAGTCCATCCCTAACCCGCTTCATAAATCGCCGTGATCAGCTCATGATCCTGCTATTCCTAGACCAACACGCTGTTGGCCTTGTCCACCTGTGTAGCTTGGTCCCATGCCGTTTCCACCAGCTGCTGTGCCTGTTCGTTCTCTCATCCTCCTACCCTCCATCAAGCCTCGAAGACCTCGCTTCTGTAGGCCAATTACACTGCTTAGTTCACCGTTCCACACAAAGTTGTCGCGTTCACTGCCACCAATCTCCGAGGAACTCCACTCTGATCCGCTCTGGCTTGTTGTAGCAGATAGCTCATCGCTGGAGGGTCGGCTCAGTTGTTGCACATTGGTGTTGAGCGTCAGGCCCTCAGTACGAGTCTGAAGATCCGATGAGAAGCTGTCGCCAGGCGTATGTCCCAGAGAAAAGTCAGAAGTGGCAGTAGGCGAGCCCACAGGATCAAGAGTTCCAACAAAGAAATTAGGGTTGAGTGATCCATCAATGCCTCGGCCACCACCAGCCGCCATGGCAGTCGCATTGAAAACAGCTGCAGCATTGCGGCTGTCGAGCAAAGCGTGAAGTCGCTCAACTACAGCCTCCAATAGTCCATCAATACGGTATGGACGGGCGATCTGGAGTAGCGAGCAAAGAATCTGTGGGGTGCAAAGAGGAGATGTCGGTGGTGGTAGAGAGCTCGTGTAGAGGAAGTGAAGCAGCGCCTGGATCGTGAGGTATGTGTGTGGAAGGTAAAGACATCTCGGTCGTGAGTTTGGTGGTAGTGAGTGAGGTGTAGGCGCCGCGTTAATGTTCGTCGGGTTAGCCTCATGGCCCATCGCGCCTGTGGTAAAACTTGAAGCTGCAGTGCTTGAAGGGGCACCAGAAGAGCTCAGTGATGAGCCAACAGTGCTAATCATGGAGGATGAGCTGTCTGCCACCCTCGAGTTTGGTGTGATTGTGATAGCCGACGCGCGTAAGGGGTTGCTTGAGAGACCAGATCTAAGGGTGATGGCATCGCTCCCATCTTGTGTCGCCGTTCCCTCTCGCAGAAGCTGCACGAAATAAGGTCCCCAGCGTCGTCCGACGATTCTCGAGTTGACTGGAATGCGCTCGCCACCAATGCACAGAATATCCATATCGGCAAGTTCGCGCATGGCGAATGACTTCTCGCCGAGCTCCTCGCTCGCCCTTGAGTGATATCGTCCGCCCGCCGTATATCCAGCTTTGCGCGCCAAACTCAGACCAGGCCCAGCATAAGGGCTGCTGGCTGAGATGAAACCTGAAAGCGGACTTGTCTTGCGGGGATTGTCGTAAAAGCCAAATGCTTCCAGCTCGACCATGCACACATTGGAAAAGTTGATACGTCGATGATTATAGTCATCAACGAGACTCCTTTTCCTGTTGCCTAAGATCACAAACGTGTTTCGGCGGTTCCATAAAACTCCACGATTCCAACTGCCCTGGCTGAATACGCTTCCTCCAGCATCAATCCGGCTCCATGTCAGGGTGCGTAGATCCAGAGCCCAGAGCGCATACTCTTGTCGAGATGAGGTAAGGTACGTGCCGCTGACGACGAAATGGGTATCGATAACTCCGCCATTTGGGAATCGCAGTCCTGGTGGTGAGTAGTTGCCTGACATTGGTCTCTCGGTGAGAGTACCGTCCGGTGCCCGGATTTGCAGCTCGAGCTTTACGTCCAAGAAGTTGTAATTACAGTAAATCAACATCGAAGCCCCTGGTTCCCGAGCTTCTTGGCTGATACCTCCATCATGGCGTTGCATACCGTTCGATTGTCGTCGGCCGAGTTTGGAAGCCACTGCAGGCGGAAGAGGGGCGGTCACACTCCTATATGCGCCCCAGCTTCTGTCCAAAGGCTGCGTTGAGGTCCATTTCAGGCTTCGCAAATTGAAGACGCTGATCTGCTCAATGTAGTTGTTCCTGCCATCCTGTCCACCAACAATGACCATTTCTGCACCACCTGAACCATCAATATTAATGCCGATTCGGCCCTCGTTAGGGTTGCCGGTTGAAGGATTATGTTGTAGAGCAGAAAGAGGAGCGCGGTGCGAAGAAAAGGTGGCAGACGAAGGAAGAATACAGGCGCAATGGGCGTAGCGGCCCTGAGGAGGGTCTTGTGTCGGAATAAAGGTCCAGGCTCTGGTATTGACGTCGTAGATGTAGATATCAGACATGACAGTGATTTCGGGTTGCTGTTGGTCACCACCAGGAGGTTGGTTAGGGGCAGGTGACATGCCACCGTAACAAACCATTTTGGTGTCACCCAAGGCGCACATGGAGTGAAAGTATCGAGGTGGTGGAACGTCGCCTGTTGTTTCCAGCTTCGTCCAGTGTCGACGAATCAGATCCAACTCGTACATATCCGATGTTAGAGGAGCAGGTCGACTTCTAGACAGGATCCGGCCTCCAAACACATAGAGCTTGTCGCCCAGAATGGTAGTTGTAGCTCCGACTAGGGCATGGGGCTCACGTCCAGTCGTTCGGTGAACATTGCACATGAGGCCAGACAGATGTGTTGAAGGGCCATTGGAAGGCCCGCCTACAGGGGTTGCCCGCTGAGCGACATTCGGCGATGGACCAGCAGAAGCTGATCCAGTACCTCTAGCTTTCAGGCCATCGCTTTGCTCTTGCGAGTCATATCTGGAGGCACTCGACACACTGCTCATGCTATTATTGGCTTCGTGGGCGCCATATGGGTGCTGGGGTGGCGCAGAGGTAGACTCCATGGTGTTTGATCGGCTCTCAAAGAAGCTCTCTGTCTTTGGGGGCGGTGTCGGTAGTGGTGAAGTCGAAGGTGACGGATCGAAGAATTTCGGTGAAGGAATCTCCCCCTCTGGCACACTAGGTAGATTGGGGGAGGTCGAATCTTGGGGATGTATAGATTCTTGGTACGGCGGCGACCGTGGTAGAGGCTTCGACAGACTATACTGGAGGGTCAAGTTTCGAGCATGCTGAGGAGGTGCTTCGCTTGCGGGGGGTGCACTCGAGGTGGAGGAATGAGCGGAGTGTAGACTACCAGATGAGCTCTTTAAGTGCAACCGTGAAGGACTTCTCGAGAGCTTGACTGAAGGTAGCTTTCGAATTCCTCGATAAACGCCAGCAAGAAGATCGGGGGTATATCGGCCGGTCGGCTTTTCGTCGTTAACGAGATCGGGGAAACGAGAAGGAGGTTCGTCGCCTGCTGAATCCTGACGGATTGTTAGTTCTGGAGAATCAACCATGATGCTTTGCTTGAGGATCGTGAATAGCGAAACATGAGGCGGTTGAACTGCAACAGTTTGCGACGGCGGGGAGGAGTAAAGGAGCTTGAACAAAGGGCTGACCAAATAGGAAGTAGAAGCAGCAGCAGTCGAGGACCCAGGCCGCAGAAGACGGGAGCCAAGGCAATGGAAACGCCCGAGACGTTGCGCTGGAGATCGTGAGTTCGATCCGGTGAGAAGAGAACAGGGGCGTCACCGCCAAAGACTGGGTCCCGAGGTCACTTCACGACAGGGCCAGGCCAGAAGGACAGGGCCAGGGAGGGGATTGCGAGGAGCCGGACGCTGATCAGAAAACGTGGAAGGACTGAAGCGTTCGTCAAGGTCACGTCAATGAGATACAAGGAGCACTAAACGAGGAGAGTAGCGGGCGGGCGGATAGAGTCGTGGCGGTTGTTGGTCGCGGGGGAAGAGGCTCCGTCTGGAGACAGGACCGAGATGGTCAACCAAACGAGGACAAGAACGACAGGGACGGGGCGGGACGGACAAGACAAGACAAGGGCAGGGCCACGCGGTGGAGGCAGGGAAGACGAAAAGGCCAAAGGATATCCGTAGAGGAGGAGACGATGGAGACGGAAGATGGCGTACGTACTGTAGATGCTGGAAAGCCAAGGCTAGGTCGTTAATTTCGTGTGAGTCGCAAGGAGAGAGAGAAATCTGGTGATGTACGGATAGGGAAGCGGTAGGGTTCAGGAGGTTGGAGAAACAGAACGGTCCAGTCCAGAATCAGAAGCCGTAAACGTAACCGTAACCGTAACCAAGTCACCTGCAGATATGCAATGCAAGGCGAGCAGTGAGTGGCACGCACCACACACGGCACAGTATCTATGGTCTCTCTTTTTTTCTCCTTGGTGACTGGGCCGACATATGCCAGGGACAAAGGCCCTGAAGTCGTGATGAAGGGATTGAACCAATGCAGTGTCAAGGTCAAGGTGGAAAAGACTGGAGGTGACCAGGGGACATTTGGCAGCTGAGTGCACGGACACCAAAAGTTAAGGAGAGGGGTTCAAAAAAGATAGTGAGTAGCCTATAGAGTGATTGATATAACGCTGCGAATAGAGCACAGCATATAATACTTGGCAGACACACATATTCTGTTTCGTATCTTTGAACTGTATACACGTAGTGTTTCTATGTTTGTTTGATGCTCAATTTCTGTGTCTGCAGCCTTTGCAATGTCTCCTCATCTCGGAATGGTCCCCTACAAAATGGATGCGGATCCATGGGATGGGCTGTCGACAGTTGTCAACTTGGGCCAAAGTTTATTAGCTCCTGGCACAGGCTTGGTTTCGGATACAGGGGACACGACAAAGCTTCTGGAACCGAATCCTTGAGAACGAGATCGACTATGACGACAAAGGGGTTTCGATGGAGATGTTTCAGATAGACCACGTTAAAAACTTCCGCGGAGATATTTCATTTTTTACCTTTCGGGAGAATTTGTCTCTTTTCTTTCTGTTGATGGATATTCAGGAGTCGAGGTAACATGACATTCTGCTCAAGCGCTTCGAGTTGGGACGAACCAACCAATGACACCCTGCGCACACGCGACTGCATAATCGACCCAACTGCGGCACATTTACAAGCGAATCGCCCAACACAACCCTCCTCCACTGTCCTGGGCCTTTGCTGACTGAGCACTAATGGAGACACAAACACGAACACGCGGCTCGGGGGAAGAACTAGGATCGACATAATGAATGCCTGGTAATAATAACAGGCACATGTTATTACTATAGGCCCGGGTCTTATAGAAACGGCTTGTCATCGCTTCATCCTTAATGTTACAAATCATCGTAAAGGAGAATTATGGTCAAGGGTCATTCTGAACCATCACCTCGGTCCCTTCTAACCACGTTAGTTGACGGGGCCCCCTAAAAAAATAACTGACAGCGCCTAGAAGGCTAGTGGAAGGAGCTGGGCTTTTTAGCGACATGGGGTCCCCTGTTTTGAACCCAGATAGCTGGGTTCGTGGAATGTCATCACCAACCAACATGAGCAAGGAGACAACTTGTCTAGCTTGTTCATAAATTTTCAATTGCGCATAAAACCAAGGGATGAATCATTATGATTTGGCTAGTCCCAAAGTCCAAACGACAGGGAGATTTTCTGCCTAAGATCCATCCAGGATTGAGTTTCCTCTAACGTTAGATGGGGCGAAGCAAAAACCACAAAGTTTCCTTCAAAGCTGAGTTTATTATTGTCGACATGTATCCGAAGCTTTCCCAATCTTTATGCCTTGCTGTATTTCTTTGCCGGTACCATAGTTGGCGATGTGAGGGATTTTTACTCCCTCACTGAACTTCGAGAAGGATCTCTCGTGCCTTGCATTGGTGCTCAATCCAATCGTGTGAGGCAACATACCCATATACCAAAAGCCGGTGAATGACAACATGAGGAGTCATAATTGGTACAGTTGAAATTAACCAACGTTCTCGGGCCGTAGATTCAGATAGAGTTGAATGCGGGGACACAAGAGTGCGGCATTCCAACGGCGTCCGCTGAGGATATTCTGGGCTGGTGATTAGTGATCCACCAGCTGTGAAGTCGTTGACAATCATCGCGAAACCCGCCTCTCCTTACTAACATATCACTAAGGCCCGTGCCTTCGTCCACCGTCTTCTCGCAATATTACCCCTTCAGACGACTCGGCTCTTTTCTTCAGTGGTTATAGCAACCACATGGCTTTTAATGATGGATATGGTGATACCAATGCTAGATGCAGACGGAACGGCATGTCACCAGCGGGACCTTGACTCGAAGACTTTGAGTCTCCCCATAGATCATCATAACGCTGCCGCCATGACGGATCTTCCCATGTCCGAAGGTTAATTTTCCAGGTCTAACCCAAGGCACCAGATCCGAATGTGTGGAGATATTCGTCGGGTCAGTGGCTGGTCCACAATGTACCAGACACATTCGACAAGAGGAAACGAACTAACTATTGTTTGCTACAATAGTTAGTTTCAGTATCCAATATCCTAGATCCATAATGTGTGTTATGTGACTCGAGTGAGGTAGTTGTGGCTGCTTATGCCACGCTATTATGATCAAGCAAGATGACAAGGATACAACACGAACTGACTCTCACATATTTCTATACATACGATACAGAATCTTTGTAGAAACTTGAAGCACTGCATATTGTGGACCAACGTAGAAGCGGAGGTTTTCGCCCGCTAATGATTTGTCCTTCAAAGCTCTGAGCTGTCTCTTGGAGGTGGCCATCAAGAGTTTCACCTTGCCGTCTTCAACAAATGGGCTTGTTCATCATAGCAGAACAGTTCTCCTACTCTTAAGGTAACTTCCTGGAAGCCAATAGACCTATTACGGAGCAGTTCAGCCAACATCGATATACCAAGACGTTATAGCCACGAATAATAACTAAGAGCATCGACTAGGTTGGGTCTTATCGGGTGTTGATCACAAGCTCGTCGAAGTAAGCCTGCTATATAGCATGAATTTGATATCCCTTCATACAATCGAATGCTTCTTCCCTTTGCATGGTCATCAATGTATAAGTTACTGTTACTTGGATGATTGAAGATCTTCATTCTCGTGAGTGATGCTCATCAGCGGCACAACGAAGCTCCGAGTCAGCTGTGGCTTTCTCAGCTCTGGATCCAAGTCTCATTCTTGTAGATCAATCTCTGGCTATAACTCATACAAATATTGGTGCCCCACGCCAGGATGCGATATGAAATAGTAAACAAAACTTGCTAAGTTGTCGCAGCAAACATGATATCTGACAGCTCAGGCAGCTCCAGGTTAGCTCGGGCCATACCTAGCAATTGAGCAAACAAGTTCACGAGGCAACTGCATTGAAATCTTATGCTCTCGTCAACAAGAAGCTGGTGATATTCCGATATTTAGTGGTCGCGATGCTATCCAAGGTACCTACCATGATGAGCTTCGTAGTTGCTGTGTTATCAAAGTGCATGTTGTCCCACCTTCCAATTACGACACTGGCTCCCGTATAATGTGGTCTCACTCAGTTCTCCAACCCCGCACTCATAACCAACACCACCGTCATCACAAAATGCCCGTATCAAAGGAAATAGTCCAAGATATCCTAAAGGCGATCCCAGCCCGCATCCGCGGTCCAGGCGGCGCCGTTGCCGTTCTCTCAGATGGAGCCCTCGTTGATCAGCGCGTCTGGGGTTACGCCGACTTCAACCGCAGAATTCCCATGACGGATGATACCCTAATTCCTATATGCTCGATCTCAAAGCAGATGCTCTGTGGACTAGTTGCAGATCTGGAAAAGAATCCCACGCCGAAGTTGGCGGAGAAGGGAGATGTGAAGACGCAGTTCGAGGAGAAGTTGAAAGAGATTCTTCCAGAGCTTGCCAAGACTGGGGAGTTGAAGATTGATCATTTGTGCAACAATCGATCTGGCATTCGCGACTATTGGGCTATTACTTTACTCTGGGGTGCGAAGCCTGAGGATCCTTACTCGATTGCTGAGCATAATGAGAAGGTGTTGAAGACGATCAAGTCGACGCATTTCACACCCGGAACGGAGTACTCTTACTGCAACACCAACTTCAACATCGTAGCGCGAGTCGTCGAAGCTACTACTGGAGAATCACTCTCAGATCTCCTCAATGCACGCATCTTTGGGCCGGCTGGTATGAAGACTGCTCAGCTTGGTGCAGACACGGCGAAACTTCCACCGCCTTGCGTTGGATATGAAGGTGATGAGGACCGAGGTTATATTCCTGCTGAGAACCGCATCGAGTGGGCTGGCGATGCAGGTATCATCGCTTCGCTCGGCGATATGATCGCTTACGAGTCGTTCCTGGATCGTAGCCTGTTCGATCCTAACAGCTGGTACCGCGCAATCTTCAAGCCTACGTCTTTCACAGACGGAGTTCCTTCGATATACTCCCAAGGCCTTGGTCATAGTCAATACGGCAGTGTTTCTGGAATCGGTCACGGTGGTGCTCTTCGTGGTTTCAGGCTTTATCGGGCTCATGTACCAGAAGAGCGTCTTTCAGTTGTGGCCATGTTCAACCATGAAGCTGATGCAGCAACACTTGTCGAACATATCATCCAGACTACTTTGGCTCTTCAAAAGCCTCCGCCGCCTACGCTTGTTGATGCATCGCCTGCTTGGCCGGGTATCTATCTTGACGATGGCACTCAATTGGCTGTCACGATCAAGAATGGTAAAAAGGGACAGATCGTGGTTAATTATGCCAACTACGCTGAGCCCGTCAATCTGACGGACCCTGAACGCGGTGAATCTCGTGCAATGGTAGCCGTCGTCGACGGCGACAACCTTCGCATTCACCGTCTGAAGGAGAACAGAACCCTGAACGCAAAGCGCCTCAAGATTGGCGATACACCCGTCGACAACTCAGCTTTCACAGGAGACTTTTACTCTGAAGAAATTGGCTCCATATTCCACTGTGTTGACCAGGGTGGACTCATGTTTGGCACGTTTGAGGGATTCTTGGGTCATAGTCCAGCTCAGTTCATGAGATATCTTGGAGGGGATGTCTGGGCCCTTGCGAACCCAAGAGGTATGGATGCAAAGCCGCCTGGGGATTGGACGCTCGTCTTCCATAGGGATGAGAAGGGTGCTGTTGTTGGTGTGACGATCGGATGTTGGCTGGCAAGGAAGATTGAGTTTGTGAAGAAGTGAGCTTGAAGCGCTGGGGCGGAAAGATGGAATAGAGCCTGGTTCGAGTTGGTGATCCTAGCATAGTACAACGAGACAGCGCTTCCGTTTGCGGCAGATACACGAGTTCATATACCTTTAAACTAAGAATAAACCGACAGATCTGTAAGCATACCAGCATTTCTTGTGCATTGGCTTGTTGAGCTATAGTTCATGCGTATGGTAATCTTGTGTACGCAGGGTAATTAGGACCGTGGTTTCAAAGCTGAAGATACGAAGCCTAGACACCACTTCGAAAGATACATGCTAGATGAACAATCGCTTTCTTGAAGTCATGATCCTCAGCCCGGCTTTCTTGCTCCGCCGAGGTTATAATGGATTCACACAAGCTTGTGTGGACCCTGAAAGCTTAACGCCGGTATCGGTGACCGATGGCCCGAAACCCCGCGATCAGAAATAACCTAGTCGCATGAGGGACGTGTCAACAATAAACAGAGGTTCTCATGACTTCTCGGGCACTTATTCATATAGTTTGATCATTTCTTCATTTATTTCATCTCAGAGCTATCACAAATGGCTCAAATCTAGACTAATCTATTCCGGACCAGTCGTTCCATCACAAGACCTCAATCTCATGGTGTACTAATCCCCGTCCTTTTTGCGCCCATCTGCAAAGGTATCATAATATTAAACCGCTTTTTTCGCAACTAATTTACTGAGGGGGAAGAACCTTCTCCTTGGCGAGAGGAGTGAATCGGAGGTAAGGCTTGACGATGCGGAACTCGGGGAAGAGGGTCTTGGCCTCCTCGTTCTTGACCGAGGGGTGGACGATGACGTCCTCACCGGGGACCCAGTTGATAGGGGTGGTGATGCGGTACTTGTCGCCGGTCTGGAGGGAGTCGATGACGCGGAGAACCTCGGCGGCGTTGCGGCCGGTGGAGGCGGGGTAGGAGAAGATGGTGCGGATGGTCTTCTTGGGGTCGATGATGAAGACGGATCGGATGGTGAAGGCGATGCCCTTCTCATCTACGTTGGTAGCATCCTGCTGGTCGATCCTGAACACCATTAGCTTATAAACCCAACCATGATATGTATAAAGAAGACTCACATGTCGTAGAGGAGAGAAACCTGGCGCTGCTTGTCGCCAATGATGGGGAACTCGACGTTGCCGCCGGTAACCTCACCAATATCCTTGATCCATCCCTCGTGGGACTCAATAGTGTTGGCAGAGAGACCAATCAGCTTGACACCACGCTTGGTGAACTCAGGCTGAAGCTTGGCAAAGGCACCGAGCTCAGTGGTGCAGACGGGAGTGTAGTCCTCAGGGTGAGAGAAGAGAATGACCCAGTTGTCGCCGATGAACTCGTGGAAGTCAATCTTGCCCTTTGTGGTCTCGGCCTGGAAGTTGGGGGCGGTAGAGCCCAGACGAAGGGGAGCGGGAGCAGACATTTTTGAGTAGATTTGTTGTGAGTGATGAGAAGAAAAATGAAGAGGAGAAGGTGTTTTGAGGGAGGGAGGGGTGGAGAGGGGGATTATATAGGGCGATGTGGTTTCTTGGGGAGAGCTTGGCTTGCACCTTGTTGGAGCGGAGGTGTTAGGTTAGTGGCAGATTGGAAGAGGCTTGCGTTATTAAGCTAAGATGACGATCTGGATTTTTGGCCCGGGCAATTTGAATACGCCACGAGGGTAGTGATATTGGTGATTGGAAAGCCAAGCTTGGGGGGGTTCGGATGTTGGTGTTGGCGTTGCAACGGTAACCCCTCAGACCCTGAACATTCCATTCCTCATGCGTACGAATGCATCCTCTTTTCGAGTAACTAACACATATTTACCTCTTTTGACTGTATCATTATTTAGTTACTCAAGCTACAGTATCCCAGTCACAATATCTCTAACCCTCTTAATGAAGTTCTAAAGGCCCATCATGACAACCCCGCCAAAAAAAGGAAGCATCGCGATACAGATACAGCACCCCTCACTAAAAAGGGTGTCCCCCCACCATAATCAGCCCCTCACTTGACCCCAGAGGGGCAAGGCTCGCAATTGCGTGCTGTGTGTGTGTGGTGATTGGTTGGGACTGGCGCATTGTGCCATCGGGCGCGGCAATGCTGCCATCGAGCTGTTCCTGACGCAATTGCTCGTCATGAAGAGGCGATGGGCCGGGGGGGATTGCGGAGGAAGAGGTTCGGAAGTCGGGGTTTGCTTTGAAGGATCAGTTAAGCTTTGTTGTTGACTGTGGAGCATGGATTCATTGAGTTGCGTAAGTTGAGGCATTACGAAAGAGATGAGGTTTACATATTATATAGTATCTTGAGGTGAAGTTACTTCATTGATTGAGCAATGAAATGGCGGTGTTGCGGTTCATCGCTGAATGGAACAAACCCCGCCTGTCAACCCATCTTCACAAGACGCCATGACAGCCAAGTCTTATCACACAACCATCTCATCACATCGCGTTACGACTCGAGTTGAAGATGCAATTGCAATCACAGATACCTACCGATATCCAAGACAATCCATACCGCCCGAGCCGACCGGTGCTGCTGTAGCGCTGACGTTTTTGAGTTCAGTTCAGGGTAATCGGCGACTAGAGTGTGAAGGGTGTGCGAAGATGAGGCTGGAAGCATATGAAGGATCAGAATGTTTTATATGAAAATATTCTGTTTCTAGTGCTTCTTTATGAATGAAACGATACAGCAGTATTAATTCCCGATGAGCTCAAGTACCAGCATTGTCCAAGTTCATTGAGTCGTGGCCTGTGAAACAAGCAACGTATCCAAGAAACTCAGTTCACAGCCACATCAACACAAACTCAACGCGTGAAAGGCCTTAGATCCAGCCTCACGATAGCCTTGAAAGTCTGTAACGCATCAACAGCCCAACCATGATCCAAGCGCACTGCTGAGCGAGGCGGATCTCAATCAAGAACCTGCTGCCAATTCCATTCATGGATACCGCTGACACCCTAGTCCTTCAACAAACAAGATCGGGCCGCGTGGCCTAATGGCTAAGGCGCTAGATTTCGGCTTTCGAGCAAATCGAGAAATCTCTAGAGATTCCAGGTTCGACTCCTGGCGTGGTCGATTTTTTTGCACTTTTCCACAAGTTTTCCCGTCATGTCATCTCACGTTTCAATACACCCTTCTATTCCAATGTTTCAATCAATTTGGAAATGGCACCCTGCAAGGAATGCTATTTTCAGCTGCTCTTGTTACCAAATGTCTGGCTTCACTGTTTGGCACACAGTTTAGAGTTGCCAAGCTCATCTTGGCAGTGGCGTTGCTTTTATGCATGATTCTAGAACCGAGGGCGTTTTAAAGATCGGTAAGCTTAAATTAGCATCTCAACTCAACCACTCTTTCAATAACGCATCATTCAATAATCTCAATAATCTCAAACCCATGAACTTCATCTCGTAGAATAAATCTCGCATGACTTATCATCATAGATCGACCGTCACTTTAAATGAATCATCCTCAGCCGCAGTGACATCTTTCATCATCCAGTGGAACCGCACTCATTGCGATCGCCTCAGGCTTATTCGCATCTGATACGTGCAAACCCACACTCTGAAACCAAGGGACCCATGTGCCCAGTGTCAGAAGTTAAATAATCCCGTGCAACAACTGCCGCTTCTGTTACGCGTCGGACCTTATTCCTTGTTTCTTATACACTCCGACATCAAATCATGTAACAGGTTATTAAGGGGTAGTGGAGAATGATCAACACTCTCTTCTTGGTTTTTTCTGGAGCGATGGAATCGCAGGACGGAGTGTTTGGGATAAGGAGCGTGAGTTTTATAGAGTACGACCCCAGGTTGTTCAATTGATGTTACTTCTTCCCTTTTTCTTGTTTGTCCTGGGTTGTCTTAGCCACTCTTTTTGTATTTTTCCTTAAAAACGTCGTCTTGATGATGATGTCTACAATGTCGCGTTCTCCATTGATGACGGGCGTTACCATCGCAGCCATTCTCTCTTTTTTTATCCTTGTTTTCACATTTTTCCAAGAATCATTAGAAGTTCCGTGGGTTTACGCACATAACAAAGCAGAAGAGTATTGGGATAGTGCTTTCTCGTATCCGTACGTCAAAATTCCTTAGTCTCCTCGACCGTTGGGCTCCCCCGGAATTGATGACAGCGCGCGAAAAAACTTGGCATTGCTCTTGGCTTGCGCTAACGATTGTTTAACTTTACTACAGATCACCACAGAACAACACCGCCTCCAACACTTCTACGCCTGAAGTTCAACAGTTAGACTGCGAGGATCCGTATCGAAGACCGGGATATCTTTATATTCCCGCTGATATAAACGGTACCGATCAGTATAAGAAGACACAATGGATCCCCTTTACAGATGATCTGCTTGAGGCGGATGCGCCCGATTATGCTGTGTATCCTGCGGCTGGCAATGTTATCTTTAATGCGACGGAACCTGAAGATGAATTCGTCGAACTTGCTTCTACACCGCGACAATGGCTTGCTGAGGCAATTGCCGAGAGTACCCGACGAAAGAAGGCGATAAACGCCAATGGAGAGACGAGCGTTCAGGCGTTTGCTGAGATGAAGGATGACGGCGGCTTCGGCTGGCTCTGGGGTCGTCGCATCATTCTTTTCAGCGATTCCGTCGATCGATTCATGATGCAATTCTTCTGCGGCGAGTTCAAGCGCGGCATGAAGCAACCTAAACCACACACAATCGCCTCCTGCGATATTCCCGAGTTCAACCTGACATTCCACCACTGGCACTTTGCCGGCAGTATGACATACCGTCCCGATTGGTGGTGGATGGACGACATGGAGGAGATCTCCCTCGAGGAACGATGGGATAAATACTGGACTCCTCTCCACGACCAAGTCCGCGGTCCGAATGGTCACCCCGATCTGATCCTCTGGCAAAACGGCCTCTGGGACCAACGCGCATTCTGGGAAGCTGGTGAAGCCAACCACGAGAAAGACGTGTATCCCATGGGAACACGCGTTCGCCAATTAGTCTGGCAAGAAATCCGCTTCGTCGCTGCTCGAATCCGCACGTTTGTTGAGAGGATACACACTGAATTTGGAGACGCGCCTGTTATGTTCCGCGCGATGACTATGCACCGAGAGAGCGATGCTAGAGATGCGAGCATTTATGATCTCGAGAGACTTGCTCGCGCGACGGCGGAGAAGGCAGGCCATGAAGTGTTTGAGTGGGGACGCTTGATCTCGTCGTTGTCGATGCTGTATAAGGATCAGACGCATCCGGGCAAGGGACCTGCGAGTTGGCTTTGGGGAAACATGGTGCTTGAGTATCTTGCGAGAGCTGGGGGTGCAGGTGACGAGAGGAGAAAGCCGTACTTTGAGGGCTGGGATAAGTGCCATGATAAGCTGGTGCATTGGGGTGGACGATAGACTGCATATATACACACATACTTTATGACAATAGACTAATGCAATATCTAAGAATACGCTCTGTTACGATGCTTGTGAAGCTGCGCGATGTCTGTTGAACGTTAAAAGGTGCTGACGCTGAGGCTAGTCTTGAGTGGATGGTCTCAACAAGACTTCAGATAGACAAGACACATGCTCTTAACCAGAAGCGAATTTGGGCGCTCTTTGGAGAGATGCCACACATCAGGAATGCAGATATTTCTTCAATCAACCAGAATATAGTAACAAAACAGTTGAATTGCTCGCGTGAGTTGAGTAACGCCTTTCAATGCAACCAGTCCATTTCACCACGCCAATCCGTACCATTAACTCGTTGAAAGCTCATTTCTTTTGCCTTATCCATGACTAGAATAGGGTCATTTCAACCCAAAATTTCATCCTTGGCGCGACGTAGTTTCCACCAAAGTCTTTGAGAGTTCCTTCACCCTCGAGACCGCAACTTCGGCCCTCTCAGCATCAGGCGCTTCCGATGTGAACACCAGCGCCAGCACAAGAGCAGCATCAAGCCTTAGTAGACATTCCTCTTGCGAAGTGACATCAGGCCAGGTAGTTATCTCGGCGTAACCTTTGACGAAACTCTCGTCGAGTTGACTGAACTCTAGCGTGCGAAAGATGTCAATGGCTGCTGGACCGACGAGGGCGTTGGTCCAATCAATCACAGCGCTTATTTGTCCATTCTTGTGACGAAGATTGACGTCGCGAAAGTCCATGTGAAGTAGACTTGAAGGGAAGCGCTTGAGGCCTTCGAGGATGGTGTGAATATGATCCCAGTTTGTTATCGAGCTTGACGCCTCTGGGACTGTTTGCGACAGCACCGAGAAGCGTCTTTTGAGTCTTTGTTCGATTGTTGAGAACACGTCTTCTGTTTCCAACGCAACCGTCTTCATCGATGGATCTGATAACGATGTTGAGTGTATCATCGCCGCTACACGTCCCATCTCCTCAAACGTGATCTCTGTTCCATCGTCGTCCACGTACTCGCACAACATCGCTGGATAACCATCTTCTTCAAGGTACTTATATGCCTTGGGTACAGGTACTGAATCATTTTGAAGAAGCTTGTAGATCTTCATCTCTTGTTGGATGAGATCACTTGCATTGGTGTTTGGGTCATTAGCGTTCTGGTAGATCTTGACTCTAGGCACTCTGAGAACGACTGGGCCATATAATGGCGAGCTTGCTTTATAAACGAGACATTCGAGACCTTCGCCGGCGGGTTTGACGTTGGTCAGGCTCTCTGCCTTGATGAAGTGCTGAGCTACCTCCATCGTGGTTCGCGAATGGTGATTTGCTGGGCTACCCAGAAAAATCTTGGGATTCTGTCTTCTTTCAACATACGCTATCAGAAATATGTAGGTTTCTTGGCAGGAGATTCTAGATGAGGCTCGTATATGCGCGTATAGCTTAGCGTCGAAGGATCGTGAGTGAGTCACACAAGAGGTAAGATCTAATTGAGTTAGAATCCACTCACCGATTCGCCAACCTTCAATTGCACAACGCTATGTCGGAATACTGTAAGTGAGAGCGATAAAAAGCTACGAAATTATGAATAAGATGCTGTAGCGCATGGATTGTATTGCTATCATAGAATGTGGTAACATTGATACTGAGTTACATGACCCTGTTGTGCTCTTTCATACCGGCGCTTAAATCATCCCACCTTCACAGACTGTCCTCAAAGCAACTGGACGAAAAGTCTACGGTGCATGTGGATGCAGTGCCGCCGGGCGCCTTCGCATCCTGCCCGGCCGAATAACGGCCCTTCGAGGACAGGCCACAGGCGGTAGGAATATAGGCCCAGTCTCTTGTTGGAACGAGATCCCGTATCTCTCAGATAGTTCGCTGAGGTCTCTCAAGGTGTAAGGAACTACGGAAACATCGAAGTTACTCTGCAAGAAGGACCGAAGTTCTGGAAACGATCCAGCTTGTTTTGCCTGGCCCAGTGCTACCATAGGTTTGTACATACCACCGTGGAGGTGTTTCGAGTCGATCCGAACCTCAACAATAGAGGCGGGCAGAAGCTCGACCAGACTTGCCGGGTCAAGGGTCTTTACTGTGAAGGTATGGGTGGCCTCATCCTCGCAGGATATTCCAATAAAAAGGGAATCCCCACCAAGAACCAACGTCCGTAGTCTTTCAAACGTCTCGAGCGAACGGAGGAGTAAGGATAGCATAGGCGCACTATTTATTGAGTGCCAGCAGCATTCTAGGTAACGCAAGGTCGAAGAGGATTTGTCGAGTGCGAACAGGAGGTTTGAGGGCGTTACAGACCATGCTGGCTGGCATATGTATATGAATGACTCAAGAGGGCCGCATTTCTCGAGGATCCCTTCTATAATGCTCGGGTCGACACTTACGTTGAAGAGCTTCAGACAAGTGAGGTTTGCGAGCGGCATCATAGGAGGGTCCTCTGGGTCCGTCTTCCACTCAAGATGATGGGACTCGATGACAAGTGTCTTGATGTTTGGTGCCATTTCGAACAAGTTCTCCAGTGTGCTTAGGTCACGGACGGCCTTGATATGTGTGTTTTTGAGGTGCAGATATCGCAGATCATGCAGCTTTTTCTGGGCTTTGCTTGCGAGTGTCTGACCGAAGGAGTTACCACGGTCTACCAAGGAGAGTAGCTGGAGACCAGGCATCCTGCATAGTAGAGTGTACAAGGGGAACGGGTCGACCTCATACGTGAGACGTCGGACGAAAGATCTCTCCTGCAGCTGGCGGCGATCCCTAAGGAATTCAGTGATCTTCTCCTCTGGCCATCCTCTTGCGTCGATGTTGTGGTAGATATATGGCGTCGCAGCCTTGTTCAGGACCCGACAAGTGCAAGCAAGGCTAAGAAGGCCGGTGGTGTCCTCAGCAAATGGCTTTCCCCATAGTTTTCCGGGCTTAGGAGTTGTGAGTGAGTTTGGCTGGGGATAGTGACTCAGATGATCATTTGTGCAGTGACTGCAGAGATACCAACATATGTCGGCCAGAATCTCTGGAGGCATGTGATCGAGAGCAGGCTTGATCATGATGAGTTGGATGCGAGGTGCATGAGGGAAATAGAAAAAAGAGAAAAGAGTTGGTGGGCTTTAAAGGATTTATATGAGTGAGTGTCACACAAGCAAAGAAACAGTGGCGCGATGATTAGTCTTGACGCGTGAGGGAAACGCGTGAATGCTGAGATAGCCTATGCAACTGAAATATCCTGCATACTAGGCTGCACTACCCTGAGGTAGCACAATAGGCCACAAGGAAGCAAATAGCAAAATTGTTTCAGATTCAGATAAAAGCATGGCTACTGAGGTCAAAGTCGGCGGCTGTTGATGACAAGCTGTGAAACTATATGTATATCTCTGGGAAGATGCAGAGAATGGTAACAGATACTTGGCAAAACATTCGTTCTTAGTCACCGAAGTAGCTCAGAAGCACTAAGATATAATCAGGCTGCCAGTAGGTAACTCGGGAACGCGGTTGAGTTCTAAATGCTTGCTGCCCTTCAGCTCGCACAGCCAGGCATCCCATCTCTACCGCTATCCACAAACTCCTACGAAGTAGTGCAGCACCCTCACGCTAAAGGGTCACGTACAAAGAGTTTCTCCTCGTGGACACAAAACGACACATTGCATCCTCTGCTCAGCTCCAATAGCATATCATGAAAGAAGATCTTTTCCTCATCGAAGTTGTTTCGCCGCCCAAGCTCCTCCGACTCTCGAAACGTATCATTGTCTAACGCCTCATATCGTGCAAGCAGAAAAGCCCTTTTCATGTCGAAATTATACTGTCGGACCTCCTTCAGCTTCTTAAAAGAACCACTTCTTACAGCCTCAGCCAGGGCGCACATAGGCTCGTAAAAGTTTTGGTCTTTTGATTCGATAGTGACGCTGTGGATTGATGGTGGAAGCAGATCGACAAGACAATATTTGGGTGGATTTCTCCCCTCACCCACCTTGAAAGGGAAGTATTGACCGCCTAAGATAAATGTTTCAAGGTTGATCAAGTCCTTGAGCGAGCTCACGATGGTGTTTCGAGCAGCAAGCGCAACACCATAAGGCGGCCCCCGGTATCTGCAGTAAACTTCGAGGTAGCGTAGTGTACCCTGACGTAGAGAAAGTACTTGCGGGAGTGTCTGGAGTGTCACGTAACCACGATCAATTTCCCGCCTAGTTAAAGTCTTTCCACGGACGATGAATACAAATTGCTCAAGCTGCGGGCATGAACCAACAAGAAATTTGAGATCCCTTTGGTTAACACAGGTGTTGACGATTTTTAAGCATTTGACGTTTCCAAGTCCCATTGATCTTGACGACCAGGACAAGTCATAGACTCTGATGACCAGTGTATCAATTTTGGGCGCCTGTTGGAACAAATTGGCATATTGCAGGTTGTGAGGTTCCCCCGTCGCTAGGTCAAGCTCAGGGCCCTCGATGTGTAGATATCGCAGTGATTCTAGCCTTGTCGATTCGAGGAGATTGCGCTCATAATATATGAAGTAGAAGCTTAGGTGCAAGAGCTGAATTTTTGGCATCATCTTCAGCATGGCATCAAAACTGAAGCTTTGTTCTTCAGCATCTAGCCGTTGACCGTTGATGTACCTACGCGTCAAAGTATCTGTCAAACTGAGACTGCGGGCGAATTTGAAGACTTCATGACGATGATCTGGGCTATAGATGCGAAATGTCAAAGTGTCGAGGATATCTTTGTCGGGTCGAACGCGGTGGTAGAGATGGGGGAGAGTCAAGGCGTTGAGAGCTTGACATGTCTCGGAGAGATTGACGAGGGCTTTGGCTCCTTCAGCATCGTGTTCCCAGATTTGATCTGGGCAAGGTGTGACAAGGGCTTGTTTGTGGGGGAAGTGAGACAGAGGCTCAGTTTGACAGTGGCTGCACAATAGCTCGCATACTTTGTCAACAATCTCTGGAGGAAGAGAAAGCAGAGTCATGGTGATGACTGCGAATGCACAGCCAGGAGGCGGGTTTTGGAAAACCGGAGTGGTGAGAGATGAGAAAGAAATATGTCAGACCGCAGTGTGAATCAGCCCGAGCAAGCAAAATAGAACAGGCTTAAACTTTCAGCACTGTTATGCACTGGCGAGGCTGTCAACTGGGAAATTAGTTGTTCTCAACGGCGAAAAGCTTGTTAGCCAACTCAAACGAAGTATCTGTGTAACCCTCTTATGGTTTCTGGTTGGCCAGGGGGGAGTAGAGTGGGACATAGATGATGCTGAGAATTTAAAAAGGTTGTGATACCATGAACGGACTGAAAGATAACGGCATTATGCAGAGTTCCTTTCATGTTAGATAAATATGAGAAGGAAGAACAAGTTTTGAGATCAATAGGCTTTGGGATGTATTTAACTAGAGATCTAAAAGTTGAGGGAGCGTCTTGAACTGAGTATTTCCTAAACCATTCCTCAGACTCGCTTAATATCCAAGGCGGTGATGTGCTTCCATAGCCGCTGCCCCAGGAGTGCTGGAAGGCGTCTCAGCTGGAGGAGAAGGGGCAGAAGGTACAGGAGAGCTTGCAGCAGGGGGACTCTCAGCAGGGGGTGCAGGAGGAGCTTCTTCCTCGGCCGGAGTAAACGCTGCCTCAGCCAAAGGAATCTCTCCAACTGTTCCGCCTGTAGCTGCTCCAGCATCGACGTTGGCCAGGGCACCGGCTGCCTTCTTGGAGAACTGAACCAAGTTTTCTTCTGAGGGGCTGGGGCTGGTTAGTAGCTGTGCCGTACAGAGTGGAGTTGGACTTACGGGTTGATGGCCATCACCTGACCGATCTGACAATGTGGTCCGGTAGCACAGTACAGATATATGGGCTCCGTGTTGTTGAGAGGAACATTGAATGTTCCAACGGTTGTCTGTCCAGCCTGGAAAGGAATATGACCACTGTGAATGACGCCAGTCTGTGTAGCCTGAAGTGGCTGGCATGGAGAGTCTTCGGAGCTTTGAGTGACGGTATGGTTTCCAGAACTAAACTGGAACTGGATCACGTCTCCCGCTGCTGCTCGAATCATGTTAGGAACGAAGGTATCTTGAGCACCGCCAACGACGACGGGGATGATTCTGTTGGCTCGGGCTTCGAGGGGTGGATTCTTCCTGACTGGCAAGTATTAGTGTGACTCTTTGGATGAGTATGAAGGGGACTTACTCGAGACTGGCTGATGAACTTCTAGTTCATGAAGTTCCCGTGGGGACATTTCAACGAGTGGCATAGCAGTAGCAACTGCAGCCCACAAGAGAGTCTTGGCCAACATACTTAATATTATCAACAAAAACGTAACTCAAAAGTTGGTTGGTAATGAGCGTATCGTAAAGAAGGCCCAGCCAACTAGCAAAATTGAAATTAACACTTATGAATCCTCACCAGGAGGGTAAAAAAGAAGAGAATTTCGATCACTCAAAGAAGGTAAGAAAGGTAGACTGATCTGTAAATCAGACCATTATTCCCGACTGCAACTCAAGATGATCTTATAACATTTTGAAATTACTGATGATCGGGCACATGCCGAGCCTCATCTCTGGGCCGAAACTCGAGCTGAGACAAGAATCTGGATAGAGTTGCTCTCTCGCAAGATATGACAAATTCGCTAGCAGCCAAGATGTTTTGCAAACTTTGCTTGTTTCAGGGTACGGTTACGTGGGCGCCGAGAGTGTTTCATCAGCCACTTGGATATATAGCCGAGATATGTTTTTTCATGTTTGACGTGTTGATTCATGTTTTAGAGTGATATTTCATGTTTGCGTGCATTAAGAACAGTGACAAATTGATATAGAGCTTTGAAACGGGCATGCGTGGCTTTCGGTATGTGGGCAGACATGTCGGGCTTGGCGATCTTGATAGAGGTTTGATGTGATGTTGCATGAGTGATTCATCTGATGAAGCGGTTATAGTGGCCAGAAGGGGAGGTTTAGGGCGCCGAGGTTTTGAGCCGCAGGAGGTAGAATGATTCGTGATCGCCTTCAAGCTTGTTTCATCGGCATCAGGGAATGAGTGGAGATAGTCGTACTGTTAACCATAAATGCAGAGCACTGCCACTTTATAGACTTATTAATTAAGTTTAATATCTGTTGCATATGAAAGTAAGTGTTACAATGTGTTGGCATGATGCCACAGAGGTGAAGCGTGATGTGGCCTTGATCGTGATAAGTCCGGTGAGATCACACCGGCCACCCACTTTACTTATCGCAAGATAACACAACTGCTTACCAAACTCTGCTCAACTATCCTGGAATACTCGTTCTCATTCTCTAACTATGAAGTCAGAACGAGAATTACCCCGTGGGGGCATGCCCATCCCCGCAGAACCCCAACCCCAATTAGCCTGATTTTGCTCCCCCGCAAAGACCCCAATCTGAACATCGTCACTTTGCCGCTATCAACTTCCAATTCAACGCTTTCGTTGGTGGAATTTTAATTACCGATCGTGCCTTGACAGAACTAACGTTAGTGAGGTTCCATTGCCGGGGGCTCATCGAGGATTATATTAACTACGGCATCGAATATCCGAATAAGCTTTCAGATAATATACATTCTCGAATGTGATTTGTGGATTTTAATATGTGAGTTTGGATCTGGTTATATGCTTTGGGGGTTTAAATGAAGGAGGATCGGCCAATGCGAGGTTGACCTAGTAGATTTATATAATGGCTGAGAGTCCGTAGTATTTTGGTTTGGACCAAGTGTCAAGTATCTCGACATGAAGGGCTTCATCATCAAGACGGCAATTATTGCCGCGACTCTCTTTTCCGCTGCGACTGCATCTCCCAAAGGACCCGTTGACACCTACAAGAAATGTCAACGGCAGACAAAGCGTGCAACAGAAGGATGTCCCAAGGGAACTCTCTTCGTGGCCAAGGATGATCCACGAGCAGACTTTTCCTCCATCCAAGACGCCATCGACTCTTTGGGCAACACAACAACTGCAGGCCACATTCTCATCGCGCCTGGCAACTACAGCGAGCAATTGAATGTCACCCGCCGAGGTCCCCTCCATCTCATCGGCGCCTCAAACAAGCCTTGGGTCAAGGACCTCTATGCCGATATTGACGTCAACACCACGGCTCAGAATGATGTTCAGATCTGGTTCAACCTTGCGAATACGAACAATGGAAGTTTGAGTGATAATGTGTTCACGAGCGTACTCACCGTTGGACCTAATTTCAACGCTACGCTGACCGGATCTGGACCTACGGGCTTTCCTGTGCCTGCGGACACGCCGTTCGGATGCACGGATTTCAGAGCGTATAACATCGACTTCAGAAATGAGTTTGCGCCAAGATCTTCTGGGCCTGCGCATGCGGTTGGTGTGAGCAGGGCTAATGCGGGCTTTTACTCTTGTGGATTTTACTCTTACCAAGATACTGTAAGTCTTCATTCTCGTGATCCTCGCGCACAGCTGACTCCATAGGTTTACGTTGGAAAACTTGGAAACGCCTACTTCTACGACAACATCATTGCTGGAGAGACTGATTTCCTGTATGGCTTCGGCACAGCGTGGATTGAGAAATCAACACTAACTCTCCGAGGCTGCGGAGGCGGCATCACAGCTTGGAAAGGCACCAATACGACATTCACCAACAAATACGGCGTCTACATCGACAACTCCCAGCTCATCCCCGTAAACTCCACCATCGCTACAAACTTTGTTGGAAAGTGTGCCCTCGGACGACCATGGAACTCGCAGCACAAGTCGATCTTCATGCAATCCTACTTTGATGCTGTGATCCTGCCTGCTGGTTATATTGAGTGGAGCAAGTCGACACCAAGAGTTGATAATTACACCTTCATGGCCACGTGGAATGATCATGGGCCGGGATATAATGTTGAGGCTGAGAAGGCGAGTAATGTTACGAGGGTTTTGACGGATGCGGAGGTTAAGCCCTATAGAGCACCTGCGGATGTATTTCAGACTCCTGAAGGAAAGTTTGGACATGTCAAGTGGATTGACAAGAAGGCTCTGTAAAAGACTATCAGCTCGACTAGGGTGAGGAGAGAGATATCTTCCGCGGCTTGAATACATTACATGTGATTCACCACCAACATGACTCGGCATCAGAAGCTGAACCTTTAGACCTCCGTTTGTCCGAGTGTCTCAGTTTGTCAGCCTCAAGCAAGGCTACGTGCTATGTCTCAAACTATCACGACCCTCAGATATTTATTCCCGCCTTACTTTCGTGATTTGACGTGAAGAATTATCCGCTGCCAAGTGAATGAAGATCCCCAAAGCGAGATGAGACTTGAATCCATATGCAGGGGTATAGACTCTGTATCCAATGGCGCGTTTCATTTCTTGAATTGCCCCTTATTTTAGTTCGCGGGGTAAAAGACGCTAAGATTAGTGGTTGGCATGATTCAGGATCGGGAGTTGATCTTCACATGAGAAGAGCGAAGACGGTACGATATATGAGCATTGGCCTCTACAAAGGAATCAGATGTATGATCAAAGTATATAATTAAGCAAAAATAAGAAAAGTATCTTCGAATAGCAACGTATTGGGGCGGAATAGCTCCCCGAAAGTCTGTGATTATCTACGCCCATATCAAGTAGGTAATACCAATGACACCAGTGGCAAAGCAAACCAGTTACATCCCACCAAACAAGCCACCTCCTCTTCCCCGGAGGAAACGTTCCCGGTAATAAGAATCCTTCAACGGGCATCCATTAACACATTGCCCCCCCTGCCTGATCTACAAATCTGACATCTCCCTCCTCCACTTTCTCCTCTTCACCTCACAGTATGAGCTGACGAGAGAATTCTGCCTTTGAGGCGCCTTCGAGATGGGCTACTCAGGCGGCGACGACCAACGCAGCCCTTCGATAACGATACCCATTGCAGTCTGTATGGGCATTTCTTTGTACAATGTTATTGAGCTCAACGTTCTTATCCTCACGACGTTCAAGACGCGGAAGAGCTTGTACTTTTGGAGCTTTCTGGCTGCTACGAATGGGATTGCACCTCATACTATTGGCTTCCTTCTCAAGAACTTGGTCTTTTCTGATAACTTTGTTTTATATATCACGCTTATTTCTGTTGGTTGGGTTTTGATGGTCACGGGCCAGTCGCTCGTTTTATACTCTCGACTACACCTTATTTTCTGGAACCAGTTTATTCTAAAGCTTGTGCTGGCTATGATTATCACCAATGCTGTTGTTTTGCATATTCCGATTATTATTCTCATGTACGGCGCCAACAGCAGCGACAAAAATCCATGGGTCCATCCTTATCAGATCTACGAGAAGATTCAAGTCACGGTGTTCTTTTTCCAAGAACTTATTATCTCGGCAATTTACATCAAAGCGTGCTCCTCGTTCTTCGGGACCGAGGGGCTTTTATACCGGAAAGGTGTTCGACGAATGAGAAGACATCTGCTCTTTGTCAACGTTATCATAATCCTTCTCGACATTCCGATCCTGGTCCTCGAATTCGCAGACTTTTACGACTTTCAGACAGCTTACAAAGCGATTGTCTACAGTATCAAGTTGAAGCTTGAGTTTAACCTTTTGAATCGGCTTGTGGAGGTTGCAAAAGGGAATGATACACGTGGGACGGAGAGTGGAAATCAAATTGTGCGTTTGAATGCTTTTGAGCAAGATGGTGCTGGATATGTGGCCAAGGACAGCGAATGTGGAAACATGGCAAGGGATGCAAACACGAAGAGACGAAAACGACGAGATTCGATGGCGGATGATAGGATATTGATTGAGACGGAAATATCTGTTACTTGTGTTGAAAGGAGGGAGGATGATAATGACAGTACGGGATGAAGGATGTCGATATAGGACTAAATTAATGAATGAAATAGCTTTAACTCTTCAACTATGATACTATAAGAAAGCTTCAATAAAAGGTTCAACTGAGACAGTGAAGCCGAACTCAAAATCAAAACATCCATACTTTAAAGTTCTATAGATACTAGATAGCTGTGGAGATAGTCAAGGTTAAACTTTAGACAGCTGACAGGAACACGATATGTCTTTTTCAACACATAAGCTTCTGCCCTACTATGGTCCTTAAAACTCATCTGTATAGATAAGACAATTCTTTTGCCCAGTCTACCAAACCATATTAACCTTCACCTGGTTTCTCAGCGTAAAGGTAAGGGGACGCACATAAAAGAAGAAACCATGCTGCTTACACTTCACGCATTAAACTTCACCTTTTAGGCCTAGCATATTCTTTATACTTCAGTGATGAGTCGCGATGACTTACTAAGCGTAAACTCTTTTCTGTCCTGTGTATAAATAGTCGACAAGATCCCTTCTTTCATGCTAAAAAAAAACGGGAAACAAACTTCATTTCTTGTTTTTTAAAAACAAGGAGGCACTTGGCCGTGGTTGATTTCCTTTCATCCGAAAACCCATCCAGTTCCTGACAATAGTAGAACTAGCACCACCACCTTCCATCCAAACCTTGATCATGCTCAGGAAAGCTACCCATTTTCATCTCAACTTCTAGAGAGGAAAAAATGCTTCCAGCCGTAGAACCCAGCTATAACACATCTAGCAGTTTACAAAATCGCCGCTGTGAAATAGCTCATGCGCCTCACTGAACCGTCGGCCTGCGATGATGACAGGTGGGATGAAAGGGGATTGCTTGCGATGAAAGCAAGGCCCTCTACCCAGCTTCCAGCTTCTAGCCTCCACTGCACTACCATCAATCAACAAACAAAATCGCAATGCCTGACCATTCACGGCGATCACGGGAATCCATCTGTGGGTTTGAGAAAGCTCCTTGAAGATGACCTGTGGCTGAGAGATAATCTACAAAAACATCGACTTCAGACTGGATATGCAGGGCGTAGTTTAACACTCCTCCTTTAGTGAGCAACCCTCTTCTAACTCTCTGTAGATAACATCCACAGGAGAACATAACATCCAAGTCCAGATCAACAAAGGAACATTCACCTCCACGCTGAAGAAGGACTGAGAGCTTATAATTACCACATAGAACTTAGATTCTGCTCGCAACTTTTGTCGCAACTGCCGTTTTGAGGAAATCTTTGTCTATGGTGTCTGAGCTATTTTTACCGGTGTCTGAGAATTGACGCTCCTTGTACGAGCGCAGTCGAACTATGCAAGGATAGTTTAGAGAGAGCCTCTTTTGGCGTGTGAGCCTGCCATGAATGCTACATGAGTGACGTGCGATCCTTCTCGTGGGGACCATATTTCCTGTCCTGCGCCATAAATGATGGCGAGTCGTGTATTCTTCATGATACTACGAAAGGATTTGGCAACAGCGGCATGAGCCAAAGCTGCACCTCCATGCTGGGTCTTGGACAGTCTGAGAGATCCCGATGACAAATTCTGTTTCAGCGGGGATGGGTGAGCACGCACGAAGATCGCAAGCACAAAGAGATCGTAATCTGGCCGAACAATGATACAAATGTGACATCTGCGTCATTACATTTACCTCTATTGCCAAACAAAAGGAGCACTTAGCTACCGGACTTCATCAACGGAAGGCCGCAGCCTGTGACGCTGGTGTACCAGTTGGGCACGGAGGAGAGCAAGATCTTGATTACGGCCCTGCCAAAGAATAGGCCAAGCGGCTCTGGACCTGGCCGGGAATCTTGTGCGCGAGGTTTGAAGAGGTAGATATCGGAGAGTAGGCCAGGCAGATCAGTATCTTGCTGTGATTGCGATAGGTGGTGTTTGGCTTGCAGTAGGGGTGCTATATTGAGCACTTAGGCCACTTTCATTGGAGATATTTTGTCGACGGCGGGTAGGCATAGCCCAAGTTCTCAAGGGTACTTTGCCTGATGCAGATATTTTGATGGCATGGGATGTGACCATGCGAGTCGGCTTTAATATTAATGAGATTATATCTGGGTAGCATAGGAAGCCAGGCACAAAGACAGATAGCTCGTTCCAATCATGGCTGTAACAACAGATCTGATTGTTACATTCGTCTCGACAGGCCATGCACCTCGGAATTTTATTTCCCTGATTTATTAAACTTAAGGCGAATAATTTGGGGGCCATTTCCTAGCCGCATATCTGTGCCTCTAAACTGCGTGGTCATCCGTCTTACATTGCAGAAACAAGGTTATCACCTAATATTCAGATAGTATCTTTCGACGATTATGTGCTTGAAACAATTGAACTCGAGCGGCTTTCGAGGCGGGAGTTTTAAAATCTCTAGAGAGATAACCGCAGACGCCCGGTTATTGAGACAATGGGCCTGTCACATTAAAACCTGACCGCTTAATGGTTGCTTCTTGAAGGATCGCAGTCTAAAGAGGGCTGAGCTAGGATCCGCAGGTCTAGGACGGAATTGGTTACCTGCGCGGCCAACCTTGCATGACCTTTGGACAGGAACGACAAGGTTGTTTCAGCTTTTGGCAGGGTTGGAAATTCACTCAACAAATGTTTGGTGGTCAAGATGAACCTCGATGAGTATGTCTTTGAGTCAAGAAGATCAGAAAGACTCATTCAGGTCGAATCACCGTCATCTCGAGCAGTGCCGTAAACTAACGGAGCATCATGCCGACTGCACAAAGTGTCAGATCTTGGCGTTATCCTGAAGCAACACGCCTAACCAGGATCATCGTGACAACCCAACTAATCCGGCCATAGAAGGCCTAGCCATGTCTCCCAAAACTGCCCATCCCAAAAAACGCCTCGTTCTTGGCACCACTCATACCCTCGCTCCAAGCACCAACCAACCCCCATCAATCCTTAATTTTCAGCTCTGCCTCCAAAAGAGATGAGAAACCCCGCCCGTGATTTCTCATCTCTTTTTCCTTTATTCTTCTGCTGACACTGAATTCGTCATTGCTAAGTTTTGTGGCGCAAAGATGAAATATCACGGCCTATTGCTTGGTGTTTCTGCCGGAGCAAACGCTCTAGCCATCGCTGAGGCGACAAAGCGACGAGATGCGGGCTACATGTATCAGCCTGATCCGACCCCCATTGTGGGGATCTCTGATCTGAGGCATTTGGCGCTGGGGAAACGACAGGAGACTACTGCTGCGGAATCGACGTTCACGCTTGTTGTTAGTCCTGATTCAACATGCGGTTTTTTGTCTGGTTCACCTGGAAATGCGATTACTTGCGCCAACGGAGACAAGTGTAGTTGGGAGTTGCGGTATGCTACTGCGATCTTTTGCGGCACTCAGGCGTACAATCGCTGTTTGGAGAGGGATGATGCTCTGGATACGAAACTCTGCAATGATGTTTGTCAGAGTAACCAGTATAACCTCCTTTGGTGAGTGAGACAATTGGCTTGATAGTGAGTATATAACTGACTGTATTAGCACCAATACGGCTTCACCTTATTGCGGAACATATAACTATCCTTCAGGTGTTGTTGGCTTCAGATGCGCAACGGCATCAGTGACAGCCGCCCAGGATGTTGAGTTTACATACACCAGTCAAAAGGGCCGCAGCTTCTCTACGACAATGGTTTCTGACGAAACTTCATCAACTATTGCCTCAAGCTCCGAGTCTGGATCATCGACAGAGGAACCTTCGTCGACGACTTCAGAAGCTGAGCCCACTGAATCGGATTCAGGCGGCGGCGGAAGCTCAACACCCGTCGGTGCTATCGTCGGAGGCTCCATTGGCGGTTTCGTCGCACTCTCCCTGGTAGTTCTCGGCGCATTCTGGCTTTGGCGAAAGAACAAGAACAAGAACGCCGCTCAACCGTCACCCCAACAACCATCCGTGACAGCAGCTTCATCGATGCCTTCCCCAGGCCCTTATGGTGATACTGTACCCCCTATGGCGCAGCATTACCCTAAATCTGACGTTACGTCGCCTACACAATCTGAGTGGAGGGAGTCTATGATCACGGCGCAGACTGCCACTACACCTGTGCAAAACCAGGCGTGGGGTCAGTATCCTCAGGGCTCTCCATATCCTCCTCAGGCACAGCCGCAGGAACTACACCCACAGGGAAATCAGGGACTTCAGGATGGCCAGGTCCATGAGATGCCTTCTGATAACAACTACCGTTGAGATGGGTTAGGGGAAAGGAATTAGTAGGAAGGGATTTGCGGAGGAAAGATGACGGCTTTATATATATCAAACTGACGAATGCTTTTATGATTTGTCTTTATAATTCTTACTGCAAATTGAAACAATACCAGGTCTCTTTTTAGCGGCATTGGCCTTTATGTGCTTCTAGTTTATGGAATTTGGATTCTAATAAAATATCAATACTCTAAATATCAAAATGATTTCAAGTGTGACCGCATAAACCAGCTGACATGTCACTGAGGCTCACAAGTGTCACAAGATTAAGCTTAAAACGCCACGATTGCTTTGACAGGCTACCTCTGAATCAGCCTCACTAGTTCATGCGTACCACATTGCTCACTTGAAATATTCATGATGCTTTAAAACAGACTCGTTGCAAATATCAGCATGACTCCTTCGTATGCCAAGCCTGATTCCAATGCGCCACAACAGGATATACCATAAAATGAAACATATTCATCAATTCATTCGCTAAATCAATTTAGATCGGCTACTCAATCTGGCCTCATCCCAAAACTCAACAGTTTCATGTCTCCTTCTCCTCGTGTCATCTCATTCTTACAGACGATATCGAACCTCAAGCTCACCAGGTGCCTGGTAAGTGGGAACCTTCATCTCCAAAGCCTCGCCAGAATATCCAAGATCCTCCGCAACAAGCATAGCAGCCTTCTCACCAATGAGCAGAGCAGTAGAGTACGTGTTGCAGCCGACGTTGTCAGGGCAGATGGACAGATCAGCGACCTTGAGACCCTTGACGCCGTGGACGTTGAGTCTCTCGTCGAGAACACCGTGCTTGACGATGCTGTTACCCTCCTTGGGAGCCATGGAGCATGTGCCGAGGCAGTGCCAGGTTGATTCGGTGTGGCGCTTAACCCATTCTGTAGACATCGGTTAGCATGCTGGTGATGGAGATGGAGGTGGGGTTGATGGGGCTTACCTTCGACGGCCTTGATGTCGGCATCACTGTACTTGAGCTCCTCGCGGATGTGAGCCTTGTTGGAGTTGAGGATGTTGGCACCGGGCTTGCGGTCTGCCTCGGGGAGAGGAGAAGACCAACTTCCGTGGCCAATACCAGCAGTGAGGTTACCAGGGAGAGCGTATTGCTTGGTGGTATCCAGGTCAAGATCATGAGCACGAGCAGGGCTGTCGTAGTCGAAGAAGGGGTGCTAAAAGGGTTAGTTGCTGTTGTATACTAGATAGTGGAGGACTTACCATGTTCTCGACTTCACCGGCGTAGGCGTCCATGCGGCGGGCAGTCTCACGAGACTTGATGTATCCCCAGACCATGGGGACCATATCACGCTCGTCGTTCATCTGAGTTGGTCAGTATTTATTCATGACAAGGGGCAATGTGACTTACGAATCCAGCATCAAAGTCGGGAGTATCGTATGGATCAGCACTCTTTATGTGAGTAAAGCCACGAGAGAAAGGATACTCGAGGAAGTGGAACATGGAGAAGAACTTTCCAGGGGGCCTGTAACCAGTCAGTACCAACACAGACTTTTACTGTATCAGTGGACTTACATGAGCATGTGATCACCGAAGAAACCGGCAATCACAGAGTAATGCATAACAGGCTTGTCAGGCTTGTTCTTGAAGTAAGACTTCCAGCCCTCAGTGAAATGAGGCGTAGGCCACCTCTCGAAGTCCTTGAGCTCTTGCTCAGTAGGTCGGATCTTGACACCAGCCTCAATGCCGTTGGTGGCAAGAGGTCCAGTGCCCTTCTGGTGCCACTCATCAAAGACGCGCTACTCATCTCATTAGTATAACTCTAACCCGAGAACTGTGATGGGCTCACCTTTTGAACCTCAGGGTCTCCACGAACAAAGTCATCGAAACTCTCAGTCTCAGGCTTAGCCCGATAAACCGAAAATGTAAGATAATGATCTTGGAAATTGAGTCCAACTCCAGGAAGATCAACCTTGGGCTCGACGCCAGCAGCGCGAAGCTTCTGGGGGTCACCGATACCAGAGCGCTGAAGAATCAAAGGCGAAGAAAGCGTACCGCCACTAACGACAATCTGCTTTCTAGCACGGAAGATTCGCGTCTGCAGCTGGTTCGGGTGCAGCGGCTTGGTAGGAACAGTCTGAACACCGACGGCACGACCATTCTCCATGATGATCTTGTCGACCTTTGTGTTGCAGGCCAAGTACAAGTTACTGTGCTTGGCGCGTGTGGCGTGGACATAGGCGTGCGCTGAGTCGCTGCGACGGCCCGTGTCGCGGTTGATCCATTTGAGCCAGTGCTCTGCGCCGTGGCCGGTGGAGAGATCCTGGAGATCGTCGACGAAGGGGATGCCTTGGGACTCAGCGGCGCGGAGGAAGTCGTCCTTTACGGGGTAGGTGTAGTTGCCGAAGGAGACCTTGATGGGGCCCTCGAAGCCGTGGATGTCTGGGTTGACAGAGTGGCGCTGGTAGGTCTCGTGCTTTCTCATAAGAGGGAGGAGTTCCTCAGTTGTCCAGCCCTTGGCTTGGAAGTCGTCGTCTGGAGTTGTTTAGTGGTGTTTTAGGTGGTATCAAGTGAGTTGAGCTTACAGTCTGAGGCACTAGCTCGAGTGTACATCATGAAGTTGATGGAAGAACCACCGCCAAGGATCTGCTACAGTTAGTTCATGATCTTCACTCCCCTCAGAGTCCAACTCACATGAGCACATGGCACAGTAGCAGCACGTCCAGCAAGCCACTTGCTAGGACGAGACTTGTAAAACGAAGCCGTCTTGGAGTCCAGCTTCATGTTACGGGGATAGATGCCAGGCCTAAACACCCAAGGGTTGTTGAGGTTGCTCTCGCCAGCCTCGATAAGCAGGACCTTGAGGTTATGGTCAAGATTCGCCAATCGTCCAGCAACGACACAACCGCAGCTTCCTCCACCGCACACAATGATGTCGAACTCCTCTGGCAGGACGCCGAGGCTGTTCGCATACGAGTTGGGAGTCGCCATGATGAAGAAGCTGCAACTTTTGAAGCTGCTTGATTTTCTGATAACAGGGAGAGCTCTACAGCTTATTTATAACATGCACAGAGTCTGTATATCGATCTTTACTGTGTATCAGATGCCGAATGATCCCCGAAGGTTGGTAGCATGTCCATCGAATGCTGGATGCAGTATCATCAACTCTGCGAACCCCTCTCGATACAAGATTGCGGGCACCAATGGCATATGCATGGTAGGGTCATCTGGGGTAATAAGATTGTGGATAATGGTTTCATTCTCATCAGCTCTAGCTTTGCTTTTCGTCTGGGGGAGAGATGCTGGGCAGGCTGGGCACGGTATCTTGCTTGGCCTGCATGTCAGGGATATCATCTGCTCCGCCGCTTTGACTGCGGGTTAAAGTTTCCCGAGACTTCCTTCTCCTATTAGAAGACAAGAGAGAGACAATTGAGTTTGAAAGGTTGGTTTGGGAATGTCGTTAAAGGGGCATTGATATCCGTCTGATCCGGTCTGAAACTCATGGTGAACTTTGGTAGCAGAACTGGCTCGCACTTTCATATCCGATCTTGAGCAATTCCAGTGCAACTCTTATCCCCGCCGGATAAAGCAGCTCCCACCATCCTGCAAATAGTACAAATATAACGTATCATGTATGATATCCTACCTCAGGCAAACTTCCCTTATCCCGAGAGCGAACCAAGCCCACTCGATGCAAACCAACACAGAAATACCAAGGATTCGAGTTGCATGTAAGATTACGACTTTACGGGCGTTAGCTACCCATGTCGTTTACCTCCAGGGTTCTTCCCGGACAAATAGGCTTTGGGCTCTGGAACATCCGGGATCCATCAACAGCTTCTAAAATGCGGGGAGAGAGCCACGCCAAGAGAGGGCTCAAGAGTTTATGGCCGGCAATCATTGTTTCTTGAGACTTGCCCCCGGAAAAGGACCATTACACGAAGATGACGAGCGGGGGTGAGCAAGGGATCAGGGTTGCAATTGGTCTGGGGAAGTTGGGTTCTTTGCGGGTGGGATCTTCAGAGTTGGTGGAGTGCGGTGATTCCCCCGCAATCTGACTATCGACGTTTTGGTAACTATATCGGCTCTATTCTTGGCATATCAACCAACACGACAGCAAAAATATGAGCATTTCTGAGAGAGAGCAAAAGATAACATACAACAGCGGGGATTCGCTGGTCGTCACCGACCCAACTACTAATCCGCCCCTTACCAGCTTATCTATGGGAGAGCGGACGGGATCCCGAGTTCTCTGGTAGGTATGGTCGTATGTGCTTGATTCTCCTTCAGTCCGCATTATCATCACGGCATTGGAATCCCGATAAGCTTCACCTTTTTTCTTTTCCAAAGGGATGGTAATACATAAGCTTCACACGGTGTATTGTGGTCTGGAATGATAGGTCCGCAGCTGTAACATCTGCACTGCAACGCTACCATGTCCGCGTCAGCATTCGGATAAGTTGCAGCGAGGAAAACAAACAGCGGGTGGCATTCACGTCCTTGGCTTTTCATGTTCCTGCGGAATGTCTCAGCTCGTGTGTTTTGTTATGATGATCAAAGTTTTGTCTTTCGTATATAAACAAGAATCATATCCTGGATCAAGACAGATCAGGGTCCACACTGCAGTGATGCTGTCAACAAGGATACTGTCTGTGCTGTAGTATTCGTCTTCGTGCCGAGAAGTCTTGTGCTCAGATGCCCAGCGAGATCAACACTCTGATCGTCGAGATAGAAACCTGCTCCGCTTGTCAAGTGACTCTGCATTGACCGTGGAGGCCTTGTGGTTCAGGCATTGGTGGACAATTAGATCCCGATTACTAAGATGCATCATGAAGTTTGAGCAAGTTGAAGCGAGGACGGGTTTAAGCGAGGGGAACTCATGCGGAGATGTCTGAGCTAGAACGAAAGAAGCACGCCCATGGAAGCCTCAATATGGGACATGCGCGTATAAGTGAAGCATGCCGCGCTGGTTGACTCCATGTGGGTTTATGTGGGCTCCCCACATGAGAATATGGTGTTTTTTGGACATAGTAATTTATGAAAGTTCTATACAGAATTAGACTCCATCTGTCTTGTCAACGGATTCAACGGATTGCAGAAAAAGACCTACTCAATTACTAGGTATCACTTCACAGCTGAGTTCTCGGCATGATTTCTGGCTGATAAAAGAGCTCTAGCTAGGATATCATCCTAAGAGATGCCTCATAAGAGCTCATATAGAATGAATCAAAATATGAGAGAAGCTTATATATATCTGTCTATAGAGACTGCTTATCTGGCGTTCGACTATAACTCACGATATATGTTGAGTCAGTTTATCAGTAGCCGAGACCAATATGAGTCTTGATTCAATACCAACTTTTATACGTTAGAATTCTTTTTCAGGCCAGCCTAATAGTCTTACAAAGTAAGCCAGCTCACCACAATTCCCTTCCCCTACCGAAGGGATAGCCTCAGGATAGGAAAGTTACCTCGTACTGCAGAAGGACATCCTCATCTGATTAACTTTGCCAAGTCCATAGCAAGACATTTTTCAGGTTCAGAGCCCGAGTTCAGCCTCGTTTCTTCAACATATATCCTCATGGAACGCTAGGCGTGAGAAACGTGAGTGAAATAGTTCATGCTTCGCTGAATACATTATAAGGATGTTCCTTACTTTTCCTGGCCTCAATGCTCGGAGTAAAGTTTCCTCAATATCTCATCACTGTTATACAAGTGGACACATTTCCCGTCATTCGTTTGCCGATTTCTTTTTGAAATGCAATAGTGCCAAAGCCATGGATCAATAAGTGTTGATCTGCGCGCGGATACGTTGTTGTCCCAGCGTAATAGGCCTACTCTAAGAGGCTCCCTCTTACTATAGAAATATATTATGATCCTTGAAGCACTCGTGTGGGTGTGTACCAAGTCATCCAAGCTTTCATTATCTACACAATTTTGAAAGAGGCCCAGTATGGGAACTTCTGGCAGCCCTGAATTTCAAAGTAGGACCAAGCAGGAACCCGTCCTCTCCATTTTATAGGCTATAAACCTGAAGATCAAAACCCTATCACTATATTTGAAGTTGTTTCAAAACTGTTTCATGATGTACCTATGCGAGATGTAGGTCAGTCAGAATCTACAGCTCAGTTGCTCATCACATGCAGGATACCCTACACCATTCCGCCTCATCATCTGGAAAGACAAAAGAGTAAAGTCACGCGAGAATTGACATCATTTATCTATAAACTTCATCAATTCCATCTTCATACCTTTTTTATACATTATTAATGCACGTGGTGGCTGATCAACCCCTCCATGACAAACTCCAAATTGCGCCATCCAGATCACGTCTTACGAACTCTCGCAGCCCAGCCCATCACAAGCCAGAAAACACGCGGATGTCTCGCCCCGAAACAAGAAAACAGCTTATCAATATCAATCACGTCTTCACTCCCCCAAACCCATAAGAAACAAAAATGTCCCGAATAACTCACCAGCAACGTATCCAAAATGGCAGACTCGTCCAACGCGCCGCTGCTTCAATCGCGCAGCTCATACGGTTCAACCGATAAGACCTCTACGCGCCATGATTCCATCGACAGTGAAGCTGCGGGGGAGATACGCCCGAGTCGAGATGTAGAAGATGATGTACTTCCTGAGACGTCGACCATTGGGAGGAGTTTATCGTGGCAGAGCGCTTACATCCTCGTTATATCGCGCGTCGTCGGCAGCGGTATCTTTGCGACACCCGGAACAATCGTCCAATCTGTCGGAAGCGCGGGATTATCACTATCGCTATGGGTAATCGGCGCTTTCATCGCAGCTTGCGGTCTTGCGGTGTCGCTCGAGTTTGGATGTATGCTTCCTCGGTCGGGAGGTGATAAAGTATACCTCGAGTTTGCGTACAGAAGACCACGATTACTTGCGTCTACGCTGTTTGCGATGTATGCTGTGCTTTTGGGATTCACAGCGAGTAATTGCATTATTTTTAGTAAATATGCGTTATTTGCGCTGGGAGTCGAAGCGACGGATGTGTTGAGCAAGAGCCTCGCTGTTGGACTTCTCACGTTTGTTTGTATCACACACAGCGTGTTTCCTAAAGCAGGCGTCAAGATCCAGGATGTTCTGGGCTGGATAAAAATCGGCATCATCGTCTTTATGATCCTCTCAGGCTTCTACGTCGTCATCTTCCGTCCCGACACTACATCCGCACCACTCACGCATCAACTCGCATGGGAACACCTTTGGGAAGAGACGAGCTGGAACTGGGGCGTCATCGCAACGAGTCTCTTCAAGGTCTTTTATTCATTCGCGGGATTGGACAATGCTGCGAACGTCATGAATGAAGTCAAGCAGCCCGTGAGGACGTTGAGGTCTGTTGCGCTGACAGCGCTGGGGACGGCGTGTGGACTGTACATGCTTGTTAACATTGCTTATTTTCTGGTGGTGCCGATTGAAGAGATCAGAGGGAGTGGTGAACTCATCGCTGCGCTGTTCTTTGAGAGGTTGTTTGGTGAGAAGTTTGGGAGAGTTGTTCTCCCGACAGCTGTGGCATTATCGTCAGTTGGGAATGTCATGGTCGTTGCTTTCGCAATGGTAAGTCCCTCGGCCATCGTCTACGAGTGATTGTTAACGGGAATAGGCACGCATGAAGCAAGAAATCGCAAGACAAGGCTTCCTCCCATACTCATCCCTGCTCTCCTCCTCACGACCATTCAACTCTCCCATGGGTGGCTTCATAATCCACTACATCCCCTCCTTTCTCGTCATGATCCTCCCACCCTCTGATTCAATCTACTCTCTCATTCTCGACATCGACGGATACGCCGCGCAGCTCATCGGGCTCGCCGTAGCAATCGGTCTTGTGAAGCTCCGCTTCCAACGTCCGGACCTCAAGCGACCCTTTAAGGCGTGGATGCCCGCGGTGAGTATTAGAATAGCGATGAGCTGCGCTTTAATAGTGGCGCCGTTTTTTAGACCGCCGGACTACGAGGGGGAAGTGTTTTACGCTCTGTATGCGGTGTTTTCGTGGGTCATTCTTGTGGGTGGTGTAGGGTATTGGTATCTTTGGACGAGGGCGGTGCCGAGGTGGAGGGGGACGAGGTTGCGGGAGGAGACGTGTGTTTTGGAGGATGGGACGACGATCACGAAGCTAAGTTATTCTTAGAGAGATCGGAAGAAACGGTTGATGTGCATTGCAGATGAAGATTTGTCGATCTTTTAGGTCCGAGACATCCTAGAGGTTAGACTACACAGCGCAAGGAACACAGTACATCATTTATAGACTTTTCCTAAATTTAGATGGCATTTTCATAAATTTAGATGATATCTTAATTCTATGGTGAATATTTGCAGACTTATCGTAGTGAAGAACTCTATTACCATCTCTTCCGTATTCACAAACTCCGAATGCCTTCAACCTCCACTTCTTCTTCCACTCCCACAGCGTTCCAAATTCTCGGGTCCGCAATCGCTCGCCAAGCCCTTATCGGCGCATCGTAAGATTGCGTTATGGGTCAAATCGATCTAGCTCGCAAACATAAACATGTCTAGCCTTATTCCGTTATTCGTGTGTCCCGTCCCACCCACCACGTTTTTTGTTCTTTATCTGCTACCAGAACCAGAAACAAGAAGAAGCCAGCCTCAGTGGAGTTAGCCCAAACGTCAGTGGAGCAAGCGTTAGTTGAAACGAGACCAAGTCAAGCCATGTTTTCTCGGACGACGACGGTGGAGAGGCCGAGAGAACTGTACCTACCATGTGATGAGTGAGTGAGTAAGTGAGTGAGTGAGTCTTTGTTGAGTTGAGGGTCTGAGTGTTCCCCCTGCCAAGGAATGACATGCTTTTTCTTCGGGTACCTGCCTGTGCTACAAACAAAACAATTTAAACGAGCAAACATTCTGTGGGCCATCGCCTACACATTGAACCCTCTCAAAACATCTTCATCTCGGCCGAGTAGAAAATGCCACTGATGCTTTTTTCCCAAACTCCACGATCTATCAACTTGTCACCCGTTGATAGTTACTCAATAGACTCGATACGAATTGCTCTGACAGCAATAGGAGGCGTACGCAATTCCTCCCCTTTCTCAACGCCACGGCGCAAAAAGTGGTAAATTACGGCGGCGCTAAAAGGTGATTGACTGGGGTACGTTTGTTAGGGGAGACCCGTAGTTGAACTGGTCATGTCTGATTCTATGGTAGATGGTGAAGTGAGGGCTTGAGTGTCGGATTGTTGGCATTGGCCAAGATTTTGGTAGACGTCATTGTTTGTTGGGCTTCTTTGAGAGTGTTAGTTGGTGATAAGCGCTGAGTGTTGTGGATGGTGGCGTTATGACGGCGGTTGATGGGCATGGGATTTGGAGAATGCCTTCAAAGGTTACTCCCATTTTCAATTGACAATGAAGCCTGTTGAAGTCGTAGAGCAGAATACACAGTGGTTGATGCCATGAAAACTGTAGCTGTCATCCAGTCTCACGTTTCAGGCACCAGCACGTCTCCCACTCACCGAGACACACTCTCCAATCACCACAACCACCACTGACTACTCCTACTCTGCCCTAACAAAACCCCATCCTCAGTAACCCTTACCTGTACGTTTCATTTTATTTCCCGTAGCGTTATAAACCAAGACGCCACCAAACGGTCTGCGCCCCTGACTAGCCACCTCCTCCCCGCTACGACACCGCAAGCTATCGATTCTTCCATCCCCGAATCGTGATAGCTTCACCAGGTGAAGTCTAGATTTAGGAGATGGCTCTAACGCTGCGGCGCTCTTTTTGGTGTGGGATTTGGATCTTTGGTGCGAAGTGACTTTGCTTGCTAGATCGCACCAGCGGCGATTGAGGTGGATGGATCGGTAATTAAGCCAAGAATTCGATGGAAGACTCTTATATACCCGGCGTCGTACGTTCGTTCTGTGACTGTCTTTCTTAGCGGTAACACTCACCTTCTTTTCTTGCTGTTGCTGTGCATTTGCCCCGTCACTCTTTTGACTTGATACTCTCTACCAACTGTATTTCCACTCACTACAGGAGGATTTTTATTCTCACTTACAATCGTTACCCTTACTGCAATAGCTTAATAACCTACCTTCACAATGCCTTCCTCAAAGGTCTTTGCAGCCATCTTGGCTGCTCTGGCCATGGCCGACGCCAGCCCTTGTAAGCCCAAGCCTGTCACAACAAGCGGTTCAACTGCCGCTGTCGTCACTACTTCTGGCTCAACCGACATTCTTTCTTCTACTGCTACTACTGAGACTGCTGCTACCACCACCACTGGAGCTGCTTGCTCTCACTACACTCCCTACACTGACATCGTCCCCGCTGATTGCGGCAAGACGGGCGTTGCACCCAGCTGCGCTGACAAGGTCATTGGATCTCCTATCACTGTTACCGACTATGCTCAGTGTGGTAACACTTGCGGTATGACTGTTGGCTGCAAGTCTTTCTCCATCAAGGGCTCTTCTTGTACCTTGTACAAGGCCCCTGTTTCTTCACTTGGATATGTGTTTAACGAGGGTTCCGATGCCAGCCACTTCTATGATCTGGATCTTTGCTTTGGATGTGGTGAAGGCACAACTACCTCTGGTACTGAGACTATCACTGGATCGCAGACTACTGGAACTGAGACTGAGACCTCCGCTACTGGCTCTGCTACCGAAACTACCGGTACTGCTTCAGCTGGAACTACAACTGCTACCGGCTCAGAGACAGAGACTTCTGCCACTGGTTCCGAGACCGGAACAACAACTGCCACAGAATCTGAGACTGAGACCTCTGGTACAGCCCATGCTACAGGCACAACCGACACTGAGACCTCAGCCACTGGTTCCCAGACCGAGACTACAACTGCTCCTGGCGCTACCACTGAGACCTCAGCTACCGAGACCCTCACAGCCAACACAGATACAACAACAGCCGCTGCCACAACCACAACCTCCGCCGGCTGCACAGCCTACACCCCCGTCGCCAACCCTCCCTCCACCAACTGTGCCGTCCGAGGCGCCCCCAGCGGCCTCAGCGCCTTCTTCAACAACCTCGCAGGTCTCGGTAACTCCAACACCGCAGACTGTGCTCGCAGCTGCGGTGTCTACCACGATACCACTAAGCCCAACGACAAGTGTGTCTCATTCGCTCTGGACGCGAGCAATACTTGCTACCTGTACAAGGTTCCCATTAGCAGCTTGAATGTTGGTGAGGGTTCGCCCGTCTTGGAGTTTTATGACTTTGAGGCTTGCTACTCTTGCGATGAGGGTGGTGCTACTACCACTGCTGCTGGTGCTGATACTACCACTACCGAGACTGGCTCAGAGACTGGCACTACTACCACTG